GAGTGAGTGGACGCATTTCATTTTGGGGCACTTTGCACGACTATGACTCTCCGACCAGTCCATCCGATATTGTTCCTCTTAACTTCGGGTACAAAAAGACACGCGAACTTCTTCGACGCATGGCTTCCTACCGAGGGGAATTCGCTGCTGGCCATCCTGATTTCCCGGAGGGAAGCGCTGCAGCCTGCAGAGAAGCCTCCGGGCCTGTGGACTTGAATGCGCCCGACATCGTTTACACTGCCGAAGATGACGAGGCGATCGATCGATTCCTCCGTGATATCGGTGAGTGTTAGCATCCCATTTCCATTGTCACAGTGAAATATTGAATCGAATATCAGTGCAAACGACATGGCACTCGGTGTGTGCGGTTGAACCTTCCATGATTTCATATCTGATATTTATATTTGTAGCTTGGGACTTGTGCTATGAAACCGCAGGAAGATCAGGGAGTCGTCGATGCTCGGCTAAATGTATACGGGGTGTCGAGCCTGAAGGTCGCAGATCTGTCTATTTCGCCGTTGAACGTTGGAACGGTGGGTGCTGGACAGAGGATTGTTGATGTGCGATCTCACGATATATCATCAGAACACGTACTCGACGGCACTTCTCATCGGAGAGCGGGCTGCGATGATCATTGCTGAAGAATTGGGTATCACTTGTATTTGATATGTATTGTTGGGGAGCATTCTCTGGACCTGACTGCTCACGCGCCGTGAACAGTCTGTCAGAATACCGGAGATTTGCGTAGGAAGCATCCCTCCAATCCATAGAACTGTATTCACCAAATCACCGACCATGCAGGCTAATTATACTGAGTTCAACAGAGAGGTCCGCGATTAGCCGTAAGTAGATAATGTTGTGAGACTGAGACAATAAGATTCATGGTCTCCATCATACACATAGTCGTAGTCATTGGCAGAGCTGTGGGGAGCACCCGTCGCAGCAATTTAGTGTATAAGACAATAAGTAGGTGCTGCACGAAAGTAACAGTGCATCGACGACGGAGACGTCATCGGGGCTGCGCAGTTCATTGAATCAAGCCCCCTTCGGATACCGATCAACAATAACGCACGCATCAGCACAACATACACCGCCAGGTTTGAATATTCAGATATTTGTTCGGCATAATCCTCATCAACTGTGTCACAGATACGTAGCAAGCCGCGGAAGGACATATATGATAGGTGCTCACCTTCTGGCGACCAGTCGTTCTGGAAAGGTCACCTCTGTCTTCCCTTCACCAGGAGCAAGTGCATATTCTGTAAAATTCGGAATACTTGCAAGACTTTGCGAAACCAAAATATGCATCGTCGCTCTCTGCGTGGTGTAAGGGCATTAGCTGAGGCTCGACGTCAAAAGAACGACACCGCATCCGGGATTCCCGGGATACACCGGTGGCGTCTAGACTCGTGACCGGCCTGGCTTCAAGCTTCAAGTTATGTTACCACGGACAAGCAAAGACCTACATAACATCTTGGCAGACGTAGTACTAAAGACTGGTTATGGCAAGTCTAGGTGGCGTCCCTGGCGTATGCAGATGGGCCAAGGCCACATCGAGGAAGTCCAGGTGCGTGATGGTGGCTGCTCCTTTCACTGCATTCATTAAATATACAAGTTTGTCAACTGTGAATACTAGCAGGTTAACTGCTACTTGGCAGGACACTGCATGTGGCGAAGAAAGCTCACATACCAACGTGATTAACTTAAGTTAGATAGTTGCGATGGCTCGCCAATACGAGCGATAGCTTGCTCTGCAGGAGGTGATTACTTTCATTAATCAGTTATTGAAGACGTTCAAGTTACTATTACTAGCAACTTGCGACTTCCTTGAAGTTCCTTCTCATGAGCAGTATCTATTTGCATATATGTTAACCATGGTTCTCCATACCCGGGTACCTACACAAGACCCACAAAATCTTGTGCGCGACAAACCGTAAGCTCTCCCAGGTGTGAACGTCGCTAATGCTTAATGCGTCGGGGGTACCCGCAATGCCACATTCAGGGATGCTCGATTCTAAAATGACATTGTCGTTCGAAAGTCGTAATGGAGCCAGGAGCATCCTTATTATAATCATGCAGTTTCACACACGTACGCACCCCGTATTTTTCTCACATCATGTTCAAACCTTGCCTAGTCACGGTAGTGAAAGTAAACTGAAGTCGCAAGTTCCCGATGGGCGCCAAGATAGCCTGAGGCTTCGCTTCGGTCAAGGTTATAAAGTGGAACTTGCGAGGGGCAATCTGAAAGGAACCCTCCATGTTAATGTCTCAGCCATTCCCGTCAGAATTCGACATCGTTTTTGCTGGAGGTGAGCGAATATAATCTTGTAGTGGTTTGCACTCTTAAGCTACACATTCTTCTGTATAGGTGGTGCTACAGCCTGTGTTGTCGCAGGTCGCTTAGCTGCATATGATCCATCGCTCAGGATCTTGATTCTGGAAGCGGGTCAACACACCCTCAATAAACCTATTCATGTCCAACCCTACCAATATCCCCTCAACCAAGCACCGACGAGCACCACAGTTACATTTCACGTAGGAAATCCATCTCCTCGTCTTAACGGCCGTGCGCCGATCGTTCCTTCCGGTCGTTGCGTCGGTGGAGGCTCATGCGTGAATTGTGCGTAGCGTACTTGCAATGATGAATGATAATCTAATAATGAGACAGTTATGGCATATACCCGTGCACCTGCTTCGGACTATGATGATTGGGGAGTCGGCGGTTGGGAATCTGAAAAATTGATTCCCCTCATGAAGAAGGTCTCAAATTGGTTTTCAGGACATTCGTTCGAATTGCTTATACATTCGCTTTATAGCTGGAGACATATGAGGTGCAGCCTGATCGTCCAACTCACGGATATGACGGACCTATCAAAATTTCATCTGGTGGGTGTAAGATGGGTGTCGCCGACGAATTCATCGAAGTTGGCACGACCTATCACAAGAGGCAGTACGCCGACGACACCAACGATTTAGAAACATGCAATACATACAGTGTAAGCCATGTTGTCCTTTCCTCACTGCGACCACTAACCAGATCTATCTCAGCCATGGCGGAAGTGAGTTCCTGCACTCGTAGGCAATTGCGAATTCTTGGCTCATGTAGTACAAAAGATACATCGACGGGACAACCGGAAGGCGTTCTGATGCGGCTCACCACTATGTCTACAACCAAGCTCACAACCCGAATTTACACGTCTGGGACGGAAAGCGCGTGAAGCGTATCATCTTCCAGTAAGTGGCCATCTGAGATCGCAACCCCAGCAAACGGTTGACTTTTTTTCCAAACGAAAGAGACAAGCGTGCTGTAGGTGTCGAGTTCACCAGCGACCCAGTGTCTTGCCCGGATGCGGATCAGTCGTCGAGTATTGCGAGAGCATCAAAACTTGTTGTTATCTCTGCTGGGGCATTCGGCTCCCCGACCATTCTGGAGAGGTCTGGGATCGGTGCCGAGGCGATCCTCAAGCGATGTGGTATCGAGCAGCTGGTGAATTTGCCTGGTGTTGGAGAAAATTACCAAGGTGCGGTTTAAATTTATTCCGAGAGCTTGCTTGGCTTAGGACTGTCAGATCACAATCTCGTCTTTGTTCCATACTTGGCTGCTGACGAGGCTGTTACCATGGACGCCCTCTGGCGTGGGGACAGTATCCTGCAGGGTAAGCATGTTTCATCCCACGATTGCACCACCTTACAACCACCGAAATGCAGAAAGCCTTGCAGAATGGAACAGCAGCGGCAAGTCATTGATTGCACAAAAGTTGGTGCAAATTGTCATTATCACTGCTTGCATCGTACTGATTGGAATCTCAGCGGCCTCGATTCCAAAATCAAGTGGCGTCCTGATGACGAGGAATTGAAAGCCATGGATCCAGCTTTTCAACCACGCTGGAAGGAGTTTTTCCAGGACCGGCCAGACAAGGCTGTTGCGATATTTTCTGCTTTTGCAGGGTGCGTGCGCATTGTTTAGCTTTGATGATATGACAATACCCATGGTAGCCAGATATACTCAACCGCTCTCGAGGCCGCTCTTGAGTATCCTACCTCCACGTAACTACATGACTGCTGGTTATTGTACAGTAAGTACTGCTCTCTGTCTACCCCATGGTTTTTTCTAAATCACTTTAATAGCTTTACCCTGTGTCTATTGGAAGTGTCCATGTCAACGTGACAGAGGACGGAAAAGACCGAATGGACTTTACTACAGGTTTCCTAGATGAGTGAGTAGTAGACGCATTTCATTTCAAGGCTTCTTGTGTGACTATGATACTTCGCGCAGTCCATCCGATATCGTGCCTCTTAACTTCGCTTACAAAAAGACGCGTGAACTCTTTCGACGCATGGCTTCCTACCGAGGTGAAGTCGCTGCTGGCCATCCTGATTTCCCGGAGGGAAGCGCTGCAGCCTGCAGAGAGGCTGCTAGGCCAGTGGACTTGAATGCGCCCGACATCGTCTACACTGCCGAAGATGAAGAGGCGATCGATAGATTCCACCGCGATATCGGTGAGTGTTGGCATCCCATTTCTATTGTCACAGTGAAATATTGAATCGAATATCAGTGCAAACGACATGGCACTCGGTGTGTGCGGTTGAACCTTCCATGATTTCTTATCTGAACTTTGTATTTGTAGCTTGGGACTTGTGCCATGAAACCGGAGGCAGATCAGGGAGTCGTCGACGCTCGGCTCAATGTATACGGGGTGTCGAACCTGAAGGTTGCAGATATGTCCATTTCGCCGTTGAATGTTGGCGCGGTGAGTACTGAACAAAGAATTGTTGATGTGCGATCTAACGATATACACAGAACACTTATTCGACTGCACTTATCATCGGAGAGCGGGCTGCGATGATCATCGCTGAAGATTTGGGTATCAATTGCATTTGATATGCATCGTCAAACCATTTCCTGGACCTGACTACTCATCGATGCATCCGTCATGAACAATGCGTCAGAATACCAGAAATTTATGTAGGAAGCCTCCCCCCATCCATGAAATTGTGTTCTCCAAATCCGTGCAAGCTAATTACATAAAGTTCAATGGAGAGGTCCATGATTAGCCGTAAGTATATAGATAAGAGATCACCGTAAACAATGTTGTTGTCAAACTGAGACAGTAGGAAGAAAGGAAGTCGTGGTCATGGGCAGAACCGTGGGGAGCACCCGTTGCAGCAGATCGGTACTACGTAAGACAATAAAGACAGTGATAGTGGCAATCGAGCGCATCAATAGGCTCTGCGTGAAAGGAACAATGCATCGACGAGGACATCATCGGGCCTGCGCAATTGATTAAACCAAGCCCTTCGGATATCGATCAACAATAACGCACGCACCAGCACAACATATGTCACCAGCTTAAATCTTTGTCCGGTGTGATCCTTACCGACTGCATGGTGCGGGATGTACTGATCGCCTATCGTAAAATATGGCTTCAATTCAATGTAGATATCATAACAAGATGGACGATAAAACTAAAATACCCGCAGACTTTCATTAATGCTTTCAGCAGCACGACCAGCCACGTCCATGTTCCCCGTTGTCTAACTGCACTGCTGCTTGTCGCTGTTGCTGTTGCTGGTGTAAATTGGCGCCCGGTGAAGGAGGTCCATGATAGTCTTCATCACAGATCAAGGAGTCGTCACTCCCAGGAGCACCCGCTGCAGCATTACGCCCTAAATTGAAGCATGGATGATGGGACACCTAAGAAACAGTGATAAAAATGACTAGGCGTACCTGTCGACCCTGGGTTAAAGGAACGTTGACGACAGGTAGCATTGCATGATGGGGTGGCAGGGTGGATAAGCGTCGTAGGTAAGTTTTGAAGGTGGTAAGGTGGTGGGTGTGCAGGTGGAGGAGCCGAACGGGTTCTCGTCATACTTTTGAGACACCCAGGGCGCTGTTGAGCTTGTGGACAGGAAATGTGAAAATGCTATAATGAATCATGGTGTGAGAGAGAAATGAGGGGTACGCATTTGCACACACTTGATGCATTTCGTGGAAGAAATTGACTACTACATCATAACAATCCTGAATTTGCCTGGGAATCTCTGCCTGCATAATGGTCAGTAGCGAAAGAGGTGAGGAAGGAAGCGCATACGCCAAGAATACGGTCATGCTGTTCAGCGAGCGCGCTACATCATTTCCTTAATGCTGAGTGAAACGCGGGTGAGTATGATACCATTGGACGATGTCACTGAAAACTTGCCATTGGACCAATGGAGACAGCTAGCCTTCGCAGATTCGTCGATAGTTCTTATTGTGTGCTTCGAGGGCTTCATTACGTTCACCTGCCGAGGCCCGAAAGGAATACCTGACGCCGTTTCTGGTGTGTGGTGAGCAACAAGTCTGACTGGAGATCCCAACCGAAGAGCTGAACAAAGCACTAGGTTATGAAAAACGCTTGGACGTGAACCCATTGATGGCCTAGTATAGGAACGCTTGTATTAATGGCGCGCCAGTGACGGCTCGTCAATGCCGCGGAGTCAGTGCCGCGTACGTCAAAATAGGATATCTACTTCCCACGACCCGTCGCTCTTCTGTCGAGCAGTTTCAAACTTTCTGCGTATCGATACTGGCTATCATGTAAATTGTCCGTGTGCATATCATCTCGTCGAGTTCCAAAATCTGCGTCTGCATCAGATGCAACTAATTCAATGTCTCTCTTTTCGCATCTCAAACCCGCTCGTAATGAAGAAGTTTCCATCTTTCAAGACGCGTTTTATCCAAATTATGATTTTCAAAGGTGTCAGCCTTGGCCCGCTTGCAGCGCTTTGCTCCTTGCTCATCCCACCAAGTCCTGTCCCATTCATTTGGTTTCAGTTTGTCTCGTTGACTAATTATACCATGTCCATTCTTGTTGGAATTGCAATCCTGCGCCGCAGTGTGCAATATGGTCATTGCACTCTACTAACATTCGAAAGCTCTCTCTACAGCCAAGCTGCACGGGCCTGCACTTTACATGTCACTGCGGTGTTCAGGAATGGTTTGTTATCGATCGTGGAATATACGGAACCAATCCTTGGTCACATCAAGTTAGCACCACAACTTTCAAGCAATCTTTCACGGTTCAGGTCGTCCGACCGTCCAAGGTCTCGCGATCCCTCGCCTTACGACTCGCCATAGGGCGTCTGCAAAAATCACGTCGATACAGTACATCTTGAATTCTGATGCTCGTGCTTTCCGAAGTCTGGAAGGACGACCACGACATATCGATCTCTCGGATGATCTGTGAGTCATTCGAGCCAGCCATCTTCAAAGATGTGTTTGTGGGACATGTGACAATGGCGTCCCCTTCTCTTCTCCTAAAGACCGAAGCCTGACTTGCTCCGAAAATCCCTTCTGGGCTCATACGCAGGCATTCGCGTGCCCGTCCACCTTCACAAAACCTAACTCTGGAAATCAGCGAGCTATTCGAGTATTATCATCCGGAGAATTTGCATTGTGGATTGCGTTGTGGCCATGTAACGCAATCCCCGCAACGGACCCGATTCTATAACTAATCTTCGGTTTGTAGATTGCTCGATGTATCACTCAAGTTGTTGCTTGAAATCAGTGTATCCTTTCGGTCGAATACTAAACAATAGAGAACTCATCGGGAAAGCTTGAATCATCATAGAATGAACTGTGGGCTCTGGCGGTGAGTGACCCGCTTTTCCTTGATGTACATCCATTACTAACTTTTCGTACATCTGTTTTTCCCTCTTGTTTGTGGTGTCCAGCCTTCCAATTACTGACCTAAACAATGGTATTGGGAGTCTTGATGTAGCGGATGGATCTTGCCTCATATTGGAGGCGAACGGGCCCGCCGGGCCGTAATAGAATTAACGTTTATCAACTTGTAGGACCTTGCCTAATGGGTCACAAGATTTTGTATTGTATTATCAAGCTCAACAATACATTGACCCTGCGACGCCACGCAGCGCCCTGATGTTCTTGTTCAGATGTGGCCTATTGCAGTCCAAGTTATTATTGCCACTTATCAGCCTTGATCCTGTGATCTGTGATGTGTCGTATGTTCCCCATGGACCAATGATAGGCTTCACTTCGCTGGTTATAAGATGGAAGCAGCGAGGGGCAGCCTGAAATTAACCATCCACATCGATGTCTCATCCAATCTTATCAGAATTCGACATCGTTTTTGCCGGAGGTAAGCAAATAACATCCTGTGGATTGCCTTCGTCACACATCATCATATACAGGTGGCACTACAGCCTGTGTTGTCGCAGGTCGCTTAGCTGCATATGACCCCTCACTCAAGATCTTGATTTTGGAAGCGGGTCAACACACCCTCAACAAACCTATTCATGTCCAACCCTACCAATATCCCTTCAACCAAGCACCGACGAGCACCACAGTTACATTTCACGTAGGAAATCCATCTCCTCGTCTTAACGGCCGTGCGCCGATCGTTCCTTCCGGTCGTTGCGTTGGTGGAGCCTCATGTGTGAATTGTGCGTAGCATGCTTGCCACGATGAAGAAGACCCTGATAATGAGACAGTTATGGCATATACCCGTGCACCTGCTTCGGACTATGATGATTGGGCAGTCAAGGGTTGGGAATCTGAAAAATTGATTCCCCTCATGAAGAAGGTCTCAAATTCGTTTTCGGGACATTCGTTCGAATTGCTTATACGTTTGCTTTATAGCTGGAGACATATGAGATGCAGCCCGATCGTCCAACTCACGGATTTGACGGACCTATCAAAGTGTCATCTGGTGGGTGCAAGTTGGGTATCGCCGACGAATTCATCCAGGTTGGCACGACCTATCACAAGAGGCAGTATGCCGACGACACCGATGATTTAGAAACATGCAATACATACAGTGTAAGCTACGATGCTCCTTTTCCGACTGCGACTAATTAGATCTATCTCAGCCATGGCAGAAGTGAGTTCCGGCACTAGTAGGCAATTGCGAATTCTTGGCTCATGTCCAAAAGATACATCGACGGGACAACCGGAAGGCGTTCTGACGCAGCTCACCACTATGTCTACAACCAAGCTCACAACCCGAATTTACACATCTGGGACGGAAAGCGCGTGAAGCGTATCATCTTCCAGTAAGTGGCCATCTGAGATCGCAACCCCAGCAAACGGCTGACTGTTTCTTCAAATGAAAGAGACAAGCGTGCTGTAGGTGTCGAGTTCGCCAGCGACCCAGTGTCTTGCCCGGATGCGGATCAGTCGTCGAGCATTGTAAGAGCATCAAAACTGGTTGTTATTTCTGCTGGGGTATTCGGTTCTCCGACCATTTTGGAGAGGTCTGGGATCGGTGCCGAGGCGATCCTCAAGCGGTGCGGCATCGAGCAGCTGGTGAAGTTGCCTGGTGTCGGAGAAAATTATCAAGGTGCGGTTTAAATTTATTCCGAGAGCTTGCTTGGCTTAGGACGGTCAGATCACAATCTCGTCTTTGTTCCATACTTGGCTGCTGACGAGGCTGTTACCATGGACGCCCTCTGGCGTGGGGACAGTATCCTGCAGGGTAAGCATGTTTCATCCCACGATTGCAGCACCTTACAATCACCCAAATGCAGAAAGCCTTGCAGAATGGAACAGTAACGGCAAGTCATTGATTGCACAAAAGTTGGTGCAAATTGTCATTACCACTGCTGGCATCGTACTGATTGGAATCTCAGCGGCCTCGATTCCAAAATCAAGTGGCGTCCTGATGACGAGGAGTTGAAAGCCATGGATCCAGCTTTTCAACCACGCTGGAAGGAGTTCTTCCAGGACCGGCCAGACAAGGCTGTTGCAATATTCTGTGTTTTTGCAGGGTGTGTGGGCATTGTTTAGCTTTGATGATATGACAATGCTCATGACACCCAGACATGTTCAACCGCTCTCGAAGCCACTCGTTCTTCCTCCTCGCAAGTACATGTGTACGGGGTATTATACAGTACTGCTCTTCATCTACCTTGTGATTCTTTTGTTGATCTTTTCAATAGCTTTACCCCGTGTCTGTTGGAAGCGTTCATATGAACGTGACAGAGGACGGAAAAGAAGAAATGGACTTTACTACAGGCTTCCTAGATGAGTGAGTGGGCATATTTCATTTCAGGGCACCTTGCATGACTACGACACTCCGACCAGTCCATCCGATATCGTTCCTCTTAACTTCGGGTACAAAAAGACACGCGAACTTCTTCGACGCATGGCTTCCTACCGAGGTGAAGTCGCTGTTGGCCATCCTGATTTCCCAGAGGGAAGCGCTGCAGCCTGCAGAGAAACCTCCGGGCCAGTGGACTTGTATGCGCCTGACATTGTTTACACTACCGAAGATGACGAGGCGATTGATCGATTCCACCGCGATATCAGTAAGTGCTGACATGCGATCTGCATTGTCACAGTAAAATACTAAATCGAACATCAGTGCAAACGACGTGGCATTCTGTGCGTGCGACTGAACTTTCCATGATTTCATATCTGATATTTGTATTTGTAGCTTGGGACTTGTGCGATGAAACCTGAGGCAGATCAGGGAGTCGTCGACGCTCGGCTAAATGTATACGGAGTGTCAAACCTGAAGGTTGCAGATATGTCTATTTCGCCGTTGAACGTTGGCACGGTGAGTACTGGACAGGGAATTGTTGATGTGCGATCTAACAACTTACACAGAACACGTACTCGACGGCACTTCTCATCGGAGAACGGGCTGCGATGATCATTGCTGAAGAATTGGGTATCACTTGCATTTGATATGTACCGTCAGAGACGTGTTTAATAATGACTTCCTGGACCTGGTTAAAGCCAGGTTCAGGGACTTCCAGTGGGTCTTCGTCGTCTGAGAGCCCATCTGCCATAGTGTGAGGCTGGTAAACGACTCTTGTCACGGGCTTGACGGGCCTCGACCCTCGTTCTTGCGTAAAATGTCGACACACGATGTAAGTGTCACAACGCGACTCCTCCTGCTACTGACCGAGTGAGCCAATCTGCTTGTATTGTCATCGTTGCCATTAGGGTTAAGTTCAGTTTTCAAATATCTTTGTAATAGTCTAGTGATGTAAACTCTGATGTCGGAAACTCAAACCTAGCATCAATGTGGGTCAACACAGGACAACACAGGGATGTGTTCCCTCATAATATACAGAACGCCCTTACGAGTGCATCCTTCGTTTCTCAGCAAAGGCAGCCATGCCTAGCAAGATTGAAAGGAATCAGTGCAAAGCTTAGTCGGACAAAATATCCTTCTGATCCTTGGTCGAAAGCAAAGCATGGAATAACCGCTTCTCAAATCTCAGCGAGGCTCACTTCAAACGCTGCATTCACGGCCTCCTCACCTACATTCACTGTGATGCGTCCCTTGCTTGCAATATCGCTTGCCACCTTTACGGCCTCCTCAGCGCGTACAACCCGTACGATGCCCCAGCGTTCTGCCTCGTCTGCACCAATTATGCGTCCGGTTAGGACGAGTTCTAAAGGGAAAAGCCGTCTCTCAGGACGCCATGCGTAGCTCTGACGGCTGTCTTTAAGTTGTTCGGCTTTTGAAATATCCTGCTTAAGCCCTCAAGCTATAGACTGGACATACAGTGTACTCCTGCGCAATGTACTATCTTCAACTGACTAGGGAAATTTGATATACCTCGCTCTCGCAACAGAACATACACCCATAATCCCAAAGTTCCTCTCTACTCATATCGACCCAAGCGCACCTCCATTTGTTTTCGGGGAAGTGTTTGACATCCCTCGACTCAGTCAAGCCATAAGGATTTACTTGCTTCAATGGCGCGAAGTAAAGTATCCAGAAAGTCAGGTTGTCGGAGATCTTGGTTGTTGGGCTGTTTGGGAAACCGTTCAACAACACATCGAGATTCCTGAACCACGACGAAGTCCCTCCCTGAACCTGCTCAAGCTCGGTGAGATAACTTCGAACATCCCTCTTTGGTGATTTAATCCATGGCCATCACAGATATTTCGTGGACGCGAACCTCAGCTTGGGTCGAGCAGACATCTCCTAGCGTACACACAATCATGCATCCTTTTGGTCTCTCGCATCACTTGGGTTTCCAGAGGCTTGCTCGAAAAGCCTGGAATTATCATTAACGAATCGTCCTCCTCAGCACCAGGTTTTCCTTCCCCCGGACGATCACATATTATGCTTCAATTTCCTTTGATACATAAGCGGGCATCATACACGAGAATGGGGATTAAACTATTCTCCGGCATGGAGATTTGTAGGCCAACACATGCGATGGACTGCAAGCATGGAAAAGATTGCCGACGCACATGCCCAACGCGCCATGAATGTACAAGTAACGGAACCAACTCCTCCCGCGAGTGAAAGTTTCGGGCATAGGTTGCTCTACAGATCTAATTTTTTGATAGTATATATCGATCCACACACGACACGGTGACTTTAGCCAGCAATGCGAGGAGTTTCCAGCGGACTAGTGCTTTGCCTCGTTGTCTGTCATTGCGCGCATGGTGTCTGAGGTGCAAGAAGAGCTTCGCACACGAAAAGGTATTGATGCCACACATGTTATCATGTCGAGCGACGAAAGGGACCCGGAATGGTGGACAGATGCTAGGGCGTTGGGGTGGATGTGGGTAGATTATGCAGCGGAGCAGACATAGGATATCTATGGAAAATGGTGAGTCGATTATATCATTCTGACGCTAAAAGTTGTGGCTGTTACCAGGCATCCGATGTTCCTCGACGCTATCATCCAGTCGAATGGAGCTGGCTTCGTTGGCACTCGTGGTTCTACGATGTCCACACTAGCTAGTCGCAAAGTACAGTCGTGGCATGACGGAGCAACTTGGCTCGTTAAATGGGGGTGGCCGGGCGCGGACACCACTGATGCTGATCGGAATGCTAGAATCGAGACTACTTTGCGGCTCACACATCATTGGCTACAATGTCCTTGAATTTATTTATGATGCGCATAATCGTTCTCCGGCTCGAATTCACTGCAGGCAAAAGCTTCTTGGTGCATAGTACTGGAAACGTTCCCTTCCAGACGGGGATCAACGTTCACCGGCACCAATCAAGACGCACCATAGACACGCGGGTATTTTATACTAGTCTACAGCGAGTCGTAAGATGATCGGTCATAGCTTGAACGTTCAAGTTGGAGAGCTGATACTCGCTTAATGTCTCGGTAGGGCTTGAAACTGTGAAGACAAATGTCGGACGCATGTACTAGGCATTGCAGTCGGTTATGACCGGTTGGAAGCATTCTTGCTGAAACAGTGATGGCAAACTGCCTCGTGTTTTGGGCGTCTATGGAAACGAGGAAGGTTAGCGTGGTGAAGAATACACGCACCTTTGTAACTTAGAGAAAGACGCCCACAATCCTCGGCCGTGCCAACACCATCAACCTCCAGTAAAATGTCACGGCTCATTCCAAGCACCACACCCATTCGAACTTTTGAAGATCATGAGAACGCCGTAAGGGCAGTCGCAGTGTTCCCCGACCAACGACGAATAATTACCACGGGCTCATACGACAAGACACTTCGTCTTTGGGACTTGAAGACAGGTGTTGTGTTGAAGAAGATGGAAGGGCATAGCAGTTGGGTGCAGGCATTGGCGATATCGCGAGATGGTAGAATAATAGCAAGCGGTGATTCAAATGGAGAGGTCATCGCCTGGCACGGTGAAACTAGCGAATCTATTACCCAACCCATCAAAGTCCACTCCAACGGAATCTATTCTTTGGATTTTTCTCCGGATGGAACGGTGCTAGCCACTGGTTCAAGGAACGGCACGGTGAAGTTTTGGTGTACCAAAACGTGGCAGATACAAGGAGATCCAATCGAGTGCCCTTGTGTCTTCTGCGTTCGATATTCGCCTTCTGGTGAACTTCTTGCCATCGCAACAGACGAGAACATCCACATTTATAATTCATGCACAAGGGAACGCGTCGCATCTTTGACAGGTCATGTGCATGAATCATGGAGCACGTCACTCGTGTGGACGCCCGATGGCACACGCCTTCTTTCAGGAGGCAGAAATGACATATCGGAGTGGGACACATCGACCTGGCAGCAGGTCGGTCATCCATGGAAAAGCCACACTAACACTATCAACGCCATTGCCATTCATCCCGCTGGCACCCTCGTCGCTTCTGCATCTGATGACAAGCATGTCCGTCTCTGGCGGCTCTCAGATCAACGAACCGTCGCCATCTTCCAGCATCCATTCAGCCAGATATGTGTCACGTTCTCTGTGGACGGCAAGCACATCCTTAGCGGAGGTGAAGACAATAAGATCTCAGAATGGGCAGTACAACATTCAAAGGCGAGTTTCCATTTCTGACTCCCATTACACAATTCGAGCATCCTTCGTACAGATCCTTGATATCACAACAGCCCGCGATGCATGTCTGACTGGGGACTTGTCTATCGCTGAAGAACTCCTCACCCAAGAGATCCACACCAACGTTGACGACTTTACTTCATATGCCAATCGTTCGTTCGTTATGACCCGGAAGCACAACTTGGACAACGCCCTTGAGGATGCAATCAAGGTGAGATGGACTCACCCATCATTGTCGTCTTACAAAAAGCTAACTTCCGTCCGTGACATAGTCAATCAACATTAGGCCATCATTGATAGGCTTTATCTCCAAAAGCATGGCCCTCTGCAGAAAAGGTCATGTCCGGGAAGCAAGGGTAGCATTCGACGTTGCATCCATGTTCACGAACCAAAATTCAGAAACCAACCAATTTCTTCTCTTGATCAAGGTACATTTAATTCGTCTCGCATGCTCTCTGCTTCATCCGGTATTCCAGGCTATCGTACTCTTCAATGCAGATCAACACGAGGAAGCAATGCTGCTCATTAAAGACCTGGCTGCCGCTTGTCCCAATGTCGATCCCCTCGCGCGTCGTGTCGTGGAAGTGAGTGTCATGTGGCCACACTCGATCATCAATCCTGATTTTTCAACTCGTACAATAGACATATCTACGTGTTCAGCTCGGAATCAAAGCTTGCGATGGCGCGCGTCACGACGAAGCCGCTGATCACTTCACCACCGCTGTCAACTCAGGCATTTTCTCATCAAAATTCATGACTCAAACGTACGAGGACTTGACCATGGTGCGCCAAGATGATGCATGCATAATACTTTTCATAACTGAGTTTTTGTGTAGCTCTTCGGCTGGGACCTCGAGTCATTGTTGCTCACTGCACACCAGAGACGGTGCCAGGCTTTCCTTTCCGCAAGTAAACCCGATGAAGCCCTGGAAGCACACCAATCCATGATCAACGCCATCGATGAATCTGCGAAGGCCAGCTGCCTTGATTGGTCCAATGGCAAGTTTTCAGTCATGTCACTCGCTGCTATGATATTCACCCACATGTCACTCAGAGTTCAGGGAGCAATGCAATGCACTCGTTGCGCACAATGACCTTCTTGGTGTATGTACCTCCTGTTTCACCCTTTTCGCCACCGACTGTTCTGCAGGCAGAGATTCCCGGGCAAGAACCAGATGGATATGATACAGAACCCAATTTCTTCCACGGATTGCATCAAGTGTGTGCAACAACACATCCTTTTTTTCTCTCTCACATTGTTCATTACAGCATTCTCAGATTTCCCGGCCAAGACCTCAACAGCGCCCTGGGCGTCTCAAAAGACTCAAGCTTGCTATGACGAGAAGCCCTCAGGAAGGTCCTGCGCCTGTACCTGCACCACCCACCACATCACCACCGGTTGCCGTCGCCACCACCCTCAAAACTCACCTACGACACCTATTCACCCGGCCGCCCCATCATGCAACATCGCCCGTTGTCGATGTTCCATTCGCGAAGGCTAAAGAGGTGGGTCAGGTCGATTCTTATCACCATATCTCGGTTGTCTGATGCGTATATCTACAGCGTAATGCTGCTGCGGGCGCTCCTGGCCAAGACCCGGACATTGTACCTGATGAATATCTGGATACTACCGAGCCGGACCCTGATACGCAACATCAACATCAACAACACCAGCAAGCAGTAGCAGTCCATATAGACCCTGGCGAACATGGAGGCAGGAAGTCCTGTGTCTGCTGCTAGCACGTTTCGATGTCCCTCGGACATTTTGGTTCTACTATCACTTCATGTACGTGGACAGCTCTTATTTTATAGATAGGTAATGACTACCCTTTAGAATTTTTACAACGAACAGATTCAAGCCTGCTGTAACTGGATGAGTTCGTCCAGCAGCCATCACCTTGCCAACTGCTCTGGAGTCTGGACGTCACAGGTCCAGATACTCAGCCACTAAACCTTCCCTCAAACTATGTAGAGCCATTTTGCTTGATTATTGTGTATGAAATTTGTGGTCGTCGAAGATGGGTTGTTGCGCCGTACCTGTTAGCTGGATCAATATATACGTTTAGAGGGAACATATAAAAACGAAATCTAAGTTGGCAGAACCTATATTGTGATACACTACACTCGCAACTGATAGGATGAAGGGTGATTATGGAAAAGCTCATTGCACAAGTTCTAGTCGGTCACATCGTCGTGAAGGTACTATCGATGGATTGTCTTTCTTTGGAAAGAACACTCGTTTCACTGATACTCCCAACCGCTCTGCACTTGGCTCCTCAGGCTTAAGTTACTCTCAGCTTCTTCGAGACTTTGACTCTTGCAAGAGTCCGAATACGCCGGGCCCCCAGCGTACGTGTGTTGGTACTCTCCAATGGACCAACTACGCACGTGTCGTTGTAAACGTGTCATCAGTATATTGAGGTGCTGGATCCAGAGGGGGTTCGTGTTTTGCAGGTGCTAGCATGCAATTACCTCAGTAGATAGCGCTCGAGGGCTGAAGAAGATACTCACGTTCAAAGGACCAGCGTTTATCTGTTTCTTCATCATCGTCTCCCGATTAATCATCTGCGTGACCCTCGGACCTGGACTGAATGAATATCATAGTTGCGGGCACTTTGAGGGTGAGTATATTGCTATCACATTAATTGAAACTACTCACATCGAACACTAGTTTGAGGTGACAGCTAACAGTTTTATCATTTCCGAAGAATGATTAATACTGGGGCATTGTGGTTGCCAGGGTGAGCGAGCAGGTGGGGTCCGAGCATGATGCATTGATGCCCAGTGAACGTTAATGATGAGTAAGGTATGGTGGTGATGAGAGCAGTCGCAGTGGACAATATCATTTGCTGGCGTGTATTGAGACTGAGAATGAGAGTAAATTAAGACGAGCCAAGCTTGTTGTTGTCTGGACTTAATGAGGAGAGGGCTTGGATGGGAGGCGTTGCATTCTGATTAATATTGTGGGTTAACGACGTAACTTCTTATTTGAACACGACCTTACGGAGCAAGAGGTCGCATTCAGGCTAGGCTGGACCCTATCAGTCTTCATCGTGTGAAGATGCTGCGCCAAGTACTGCTGCGATTGCTGCGGTGTTCCTAAATGGTGAGTGCGCGTTAACTACACTTACTTGCTAATCGATAAACGATCTTTTAAATTGCATTGTAGTCTGATTCCTCCGCATACAATGTTATGTTCATTTCTTTTCAATGAGCGACTGCGTAGTTGCGGTCTGAAGCCTGACGCGGTCAATGGCACCTTTCTTCGTGTTCTCGGTCCTCCTGGACTCCAGTGACACCTGTGTACAGCCCCACAGCTCGGGCATGTGCATGAGGATTGGCAGCTGAACATGCTAACTTCTCGAGTATGGCGGGCATGGTTACGATTGTCATTGTGTTCGTGACATATGCCACCATGACATTAGTATGGATGTATATAACATTTCCGGGGCATTCCTGATGAACGAATTTTCTTCCGCAGTCATTAGAGGCGTGATGAGTGTGAATTTGTGTGTGGCAGGACGTGTGATGGTTTAGCAAGTTGGCTCATCAGAAACAATAGTCCAAGACACGTACGCAATGTTCGAAACCCATCTTACCAGTTCCCAGCATCATCACTCCGTCCCTCATCGCCTCCTTGATCCCTGTCGTCCTTGTTAACCTCGCACACAGAAGATTGCAAGACATACTAGTAGACTGATAGATTTGACCATTGCTAGTGAGGATCAAACGACACAAGTTGCTCAAGCCATCGATAGCAGAAAAGTCAACTTGATTTGAAATTGAATATGAGTTACTGACAAGTGTCGCAGCACCTTATCGCGGGCACCTTCTTTCCATATTTGGGGGGTGCTACGATATGCCCGCGACACCCGCGATAAGGTGCTACGACACTAGTATACTTATGTACTAGAGCAGCATTTTCCTAGTGCCCGCGTGACTTGTGATGCATACGATGTGTCGTCAGTCGGAGTCCCCCGATACCGGCGTCAACTATACCCATGAATGTTATAAGATGGAACTTCGGAAGGGCTGCCTGAAAGTAACTAGTAACCCTCCATATCCGATATGTCTCATCCAATCATGTCAGAATTCGACATCGTCTTTGCTGGAGGTAAGCAAATCACATATTGTAGTCGTTTACCCTCTTCACACATACTCTGTACAGGTGGCGCTACAGCTTGTGTTGTCGCAGGTCGCTTGGCTGCATATGATCCCTCTCTCAGGATCTTGATTCTGGAAGCGGGTCAACACACCCTCAACAAACCTATTCATGTCCAACCCTCTCAAGCTCTCCTCAACCTAGCACCGACGAGCACCACGGTTACATTCAACATAGGAAATCCATCTCCTCATATCAACGGCCGTGCGCCGATCGTTTTTTCCGGTCGTTGCGTCGGTGGAGGTTCATGCGTGAATTGTGCGTAGCATACTTGCAATGATAAACGATAATCTAATAATGAGACAGTTATGGCATATACACGTGCACCTGCTTCGGACTATGATGATTGGGGAGTTGATGGTTGGGAATCTCTGAAATTGATTTCTCTCATGAAGAAGGTCTCGAATTCGTTTTCAGGATATGTATTCAAATCGCTTATACGTTCAATCGATAGCTGGAGAAATACGAAGTGCAGCCCGATTGTCCAACTCACGGCTATGACGGACCTATCAAAGTGTCATCTAGTGGGTGTAAGTTGGGTATCTCCGACGAATTCATCCAGGTTGGCGCGACCTATCACAAGAGACAGTATGCCGAAGATACTGACGATTTGGAAACATGCAATACATACAGTGTAAGCTATCATGTTTCTTCTCTATCTGCGACCACTAACCAGATCTGTCTCAGCCGTGTCAGAAGTGAGTCCTTTTACTCCTAGTCTATTCAGTTTATTAGCTCATGTAGAAAAGGTACTTTGATGGGTCAACCGGAAGGCGCTCTGATGCGGCTCATCACTATATCTACAACCAAGATCACAACCCGAATTTACACGTCTGGGACGGAAAGCGTGTGAAGCGGATCATCTTCGAGTAAGTGGCCACTTGGGATCACATCTGCAGCAAACGGTTGACAGCTTTCCAAATGAAAGAGACAAACGTGCTGTAGGTGTTGAGTTCACCAGCGATCCAGTATCTTGCCCGGATGCGAATCAGTCGTCAAGTATTGTAAGAGCATCAAAACTTGTTGTTGTCTCTGCCGGGGCGTTCGGTTCCCCGACCATTCTGGAGAGGTCTGGGATCGGTGCTGAGGCGATACTCAAGCGGTGCGGCATCGAGCAACTAGTGAATTTACCTGGCGTCGGAGAAAATTATCGAGGTGCGATTTGATACATTTATTCTATGATCTTGGCTGAGGACGGTCAGATCATTATCTCGTCCTTGTTCCATACCTGGCTACCGACGACATCGTTACCCCCTTTCGTGGGGACAGTATTCTACAGGGTAAGCATGCTTCTCCCATGATTCTAGAACTTTTACAACTACTTGAATGTAGGAAGCCTTGCACAAAAGTTGGTGCAAGTTCTCATCATCACTGTTGGCATCGTGCTGATTTGGATCTCAGCAGCCTTGATTCAAAAATCAAGTGGCGTCCTGATGACGAGGAATTGAAAGTCATGAGTCCAGCTTTTCAACCACGCTGGAAGGAGTTCTTCCAGGACCGGCCTGACAAGGCTGTTGCAGTATTTACTCATTTTGCGCAGTACGTATATTACTTAGCTTGGATGATATGGAAATGCTCATGACAACCAGATACCTTCCACCGCCATCAAGGTCGCTATCGAACATCCCAGCTCCTCGTAGCTCTATGACTGCCTGTTATTATACAGTGCTGCTCTCCGGCTACCCTACGGTTCTTTTGCTAATCTTTTCATTAGCTTTACCCCACGTCTGTTGGAAGTGTCCACATCAACGTGACAGATGACGGCAAAGAACAAATGGACTTTAATACAGGCATCCTAGATGAGTGAGTGGACGCATTTCATTTCAAGGCGTTTTGCATGACTAAGACACTCCGCTTAGTCCATCCGATATTGTTCCTCTCAACTTCGGATACAAAAAGACACGCGAAATTTTTCGACGCATGGCTTCCTACCGAGGTGAAGTCGCTGCTGACCATCCTAATTTCCCAGAGGGAAGTGCTGCAGCCTGCAGAGAAGCCTCCGGGCCAGTAGACTTGAATGCGCCCGACATCGTTTACACTGCCGAAGATGACGAGGCGATCGATCGATTCCACCGCGATATCGGTGAGTGTTGGCATCCCATTTTCATTGTCACAGTGAAATATTGAATCGAATATCAGTGCAAACGATGTCGCACTCGGTATGTACAGCTGGATCGTTCATGATTTCATATCTGACCTTGTATTTGTAGCTTGGGACTTGTGCCATGAAACCGGAGGCAGACCATGGAGTCGTCGACGCTCGGCTTAATGTATACGGGGTGTCGAACCTGAAGGTTGCAGATATGTCCATTTCGCCGTTGAATGTTGGCGGGGTGAGTACTGAACAAAGAATTGTTGATGTGTGATCTAACGATATACACAGAACACTTATTCGACTGCACTTCTCATCGGAGAGCGGGCTGCGATGATCATTGCCGAAGACTTGGGCATCGATTGCATTTGATTTGTACCGTTAGGCGTATTTAATTATGACTTCCTAGCAGATTTAGGGACTTCCAGCGGGTCTTCATCATCTGAGATCGCATCTGCGATAGCATTACGCTGGTCAGTGCGACTCTTGTCACGGGCTCGACGGGCCTCACTCTTGCATACAATGTCAACGGCATGATGTAAATGTCACAATGCGACTCCTCCTGCCACTGACCGAGTGAGCCAATCTGCCGGTGTTGTCATCGTTGTCAACCCCATTAGGTTTTCCCCCAACATTCGCAATATACAGCAAATTGCAAAAAAAACATACACCCTTAAGGCCTATTCTGAGGCGTGATCCATGCGGTGGGTTCAGGCCTGAAGGTTTTACTGCGACCTACAGTGCGATAATGGATATGTTGATCAGCAGGTGACGCCAGAGCCGGCCAGACCTTGACAGGTATCCACATTTGTAAACGTTTCTGAATGCACCACCAGTGATGTATCATATATGGTACCGAAGGTCTGACCTTCTGCCAGTGCCAGTTGCATCTCAGGACTGAAAAAACCGAGGGAACTGGATCAATGACGACTTGTTTCAGTATGAGTACCCTACAGAGGCAGAGGTTCTACCTGAACCCTGATAGCCTTGGCTGCAACTACGCAAGGTTCTTGCACTGCACTAACCTAGTTTACCTTGGCGAGGTAAATTTTGTCGTTTAAATCAACTTACCTGAACCCCAGTCTGTCCATGGCTACCACATTAATGGTACTTCAAATCACACCCCTCATGCACATGCACATGTGAGTAAGCTTGCAATTGTCATTCCGCGTACTCCTGACTGAAGCGGGTACCGGGTGCTAATGGACTACGTTTGGTCGAAATAATCACGTGATCACATTCGAACAGGCTAACCTCGCGTCGCGCGATGAGCTCGTGAATGCAATGATCAATCATTATTGCCACATATCACAGTCCTTGTTCGTGTGATTCGGACGTGTCGCCCTGCAATCACGGTTCATTTCAGTCGTTTTGCAGATGTACTTACTAATTATCAGAGCCGACAAGGTTTGTGAGGTCTTTTTACGTTATACTACTACTGGTACTAGTTTTAACACCTTGTTTTCGCCACGGCTTGGCAGCCGAACGGTGGCGGAGTGGTAACAGTCACTATGCACTCGCTTGAAAGTAACCCTCCATATCCGATATGTCTCATCCCATCCTGTCAGAATTCGACATCGTTTTTGCCGGAGGTAAGCAAATCACATATTGTAGTGATTGCCCTCTTCACACATCACTCTGTACAGGTGGCACTACAGCTTGTGTTGTAGCAGGTCGCTTAGCTGCATATGATCCCTCTCTCAGGATCTTGATTTTGGAAGCGGGCCAACACACCCTCAACAAACCTATTCATGTTCAACCCTCTCAAGCTCTCCTCAACCAAGCACCGACAAGCACCACGGTCACATTCAACATAGGAAATTCATCTCCTCATATCAACGGCCGTGCGCCAATCGTTCCTTCCGGTCGTTGCGTCGGTGGAGGCTCATGCGTGAATTGTGCGTAGCATACTTGCCATCATAAACAAGACTCTCATAATGAGATAGTCATGGTATATACCCGTGCACCTGCTTCGGACTATGATGATTGGGGAGTTGATGGTTGGGAATCTGAAAATTTGATTCCCCTCATGAAGAAGGTCTCGAATTCATTTTCAGGATGTGTATTCAAATCGCTTATACGTTCAATCGATAGCTGGAGAAATACGAAGTGCAGCCCGATTGTCCAACCCACGGCTATGACGGACCTATCAAAGTGTCATCTGGTGGGCGTAGAACGGGTATCTCCAACGAGTTCATCCAGGTTGGCACGACCTATCACAAGAGGCACTATGCCGACGATACCGAAGATTTGGAAACATGCAATACATACAGTGTACGCTATGATGTTTCTTCCCTATCTGTGACCACTAACCAGATCTATCTCAGCCGTCTCAGAAGTGAGTCCCTTTACTTGTAGCCTATTCTATTTTTTGTCTCATGTAGAAAAGGTACATTGATGGGATAACCGGAAGGCGTTCTGACGCGGCTCACCACTATGTCTACACCCAAGCTCACAACCTGAATTTACACGTCTGGGACGGAAAGCGTGTGAAGCGGATCATCTTCGAGTGAGTGGCCACTTGGGATCACATCTGCTGCAAACGGTTGACGGCTTTCGAAATGAAAGAGACAAACGTGCTGTAGGTGTTGAGTTCACCAGCGATCCAGCGTCTTGCCCGGATGCGAATCAGTCGTCAAGTATTGTAAGAGCATCAAAACTTGTTGTTGTCTCTGCTGGGGCGTTCGGTTCTCCGACCATTCTGGAGAGGTCTGGGATCGGTGCCGAGGCTATCCTCAAGCGGTGCGGCATCGACCAACTAGTGAATTTACCTGGCGTCGGAGAAAAGTATCGAGGTGCACTTTGATACATTTATTCTATGAGCTTGGCTGAGGACGGTCAGATCACTATCTCGCCCTTGTTCCATATTTGGCTGCCGACGAGATCATTACCACTGAGGCCCTCTCTCGTGGGGACAGTATTCTACAGGGTAAGCATGTTTCTCCCCGTGATTCCAGCACCTTCACAACTACTTGAATGTAGAAAGCCTTACACAAAAGTTGGTGCAAGTTCTCATTATCACTGCTGGTATCTTGCTGAATGGAATCTCAGTGGCATCGATTCGAAAATCAAGTGGCGTCCTGATGACGAAGAATTGAAAGCCATGAGTCCAGCCTTTCAACCACGCTGGAAGGAGTTCTTCCAGGACCGGCCTGACAAGGCTGTTGCAGTATTTACTCCTTTTGCGCAGTACGTGCATATTACCTAACTTTAATGATATGGAAATTCTCATGACAGCCAGATATTTTTCACCTCTCTCAAGGCCGCGATCGAGTATACCACCTACTCGTAACTACATGACTGCCTGTTATTATACAGTACTACTCTCCGGCCACCCTGTGGTTCTTTTGTTAATCTTTTCGTTAGCTTTACCCCGTGTCTGCTGGAAGCGTCCATATCAACGTGACAGAGGACGGCAAAGAACGAATGGACTTCAATACAGGCTTCCTAGACGAGTGAGTGGACATATTTCATTTGGGTCACTTTGCGTGACCAAGACACTCCGCGTAGTCCATCCGATATTGTTCTTCTCAACTTCGGGTATAAAAAAACACGCGAAATTTTTCGACGCATGGCTTCCTACCGAGGTGAAGTCGCTGCTGACCATCCTGATTTCCCAGAGGGAAGTGCTGCAGCCTGCAGAGAAGCCTCCGGGCCAGTGGAATTAGATGCACCTGACATCATCTACACTGCCGAAGATGATGAGGTGATCGATCGATTCCTCCGTGACATCGGTAAGTGCTCACTTGCCATCCCTATTATCACGATAAAATGCTGAATTGAACACCAGTGCAAACTCCATCCCACTCGGTATGTACGCTGAACCTTTCATGATTTTTATATCTCATCTTTGTATTTGTAGCTTGGGACTTGTGCCATGAAACCGGAGGCAGATCATGGAGTCGTCGACGCTCGGCTTAATGTATACGGGGTGTCGAACCTGAAGGTTGCAGATATGTCCATTTCGCCGTTGAATGTTGGCGCGGTGAGCACTGAACAAAGAATTGTTTATGTGCGATCTAACGATATATACAGAACACTTATTCGACGGCACTTCTCATCGGAGAGCGGGCTGCGATTATCATTGCTGAAGACTTTGGCATCGGTTGCATTTGAATTGTATCGTCAGAGGCGTATTTAATTCTGACTCCCTAGATCTGATTAGGGCCAGCTTTAGGGACTTCCAGCGGGTCTTCGTCGTCTGAGATTGCATCTACCATAGCATGACACTGGTCAGTGCGACTCTTGTCACGGGCTCGACGGGCCTCACTCATGTCGACGCATGATGTAAATGTCACAACGCGAATCTTTCTGCCACCGACCGAGTGAGCCAATCTGCTGGTATTGTCATCGTTGTCAGCCCCATTAGGGTTGAAGTGCTTTTGCCCCCAACGTTTGTAGGACTTTCCCATCGCAATATCCAGCAAAACTACACAAATAGTGCTCAAAATCGAAAAAAAAAACATACACCCTTAAGAGCTGTTCTGAGGCGTGATCCATGCGGTGGGTTCAGGCCTGAAGGTTTTACTGCGACCTGTAATGCGACAATGGATATGTTGATCAGCGCTAGCAGGTGACGCCAGAGCCGGCCAGACCTTTACAAGCATCCACTGATCTGTAAACGTTTCCGAATGCACCACCAGGGACGTAGTCCATATTTGGTACTGAACGTCTGACCTGTCTGACCCTCTAGATGCCAGCAATTGTATCTCAGGACTGAAAGCACGAGGGGACTGAATCAACATCAACGAGGACTTCTTTCGGTATGAGCACCCTACAGAGGCAAAGGTTCTACGTGAACACTGATAACTATGGAGGCTGTAACTACGCAAGGTTCTTGCACTGCAACCCGCCGGTTTACGACGTTTACCTTGCCAAGGTAAATTTCGTCGTTTATATCGACTTATTACCTGAACCCCACGACTACTACATTAACGGTACTTCAAATCACAATTCTCATGCACATGTGAGTCGTAATGAAAGAGCGTCATACCCTTTCTGAAGTAGGTGCTAATGACGTATCTACCTTTGGCTTGGCAATAGGTTCGAGATAATCACGTGATCACATTCGTCTGACATTCAGGCTAGGCTTGGGCTAGGCCGCGACGTGGCCTCGTGAATGCAAACATTATCGCCACATATCACAGTCTTGTTGGATTTGTGACGTGTCGCTAGTCGCGTCGACTACTCATGAGTCTTATAAGATGGAAGCAGCGAGGGGCAGTTTGAAAGTAACCCTCCATATCAATGTCTCATCCAATCCTGTCAGAATTCGACATCGTTTTTGCTGGAGGTAAGCAAATAACATCCTGTGGTCGTTTACCCTCTTCACACATCACTCTGTACAGGTGGCACTACAGCTTGTGTTGTCGCAGGTCGCTTAGCCGCATATGATCCCTCTCTCAGGATCTTGATCCTGGAAGCGGGTCAACACAGCCTCAATAAATCTATTCATGTCCAACCCTCTCAAGCTTACTTAAACCAAGCACCGACGAGCACTACGGTCACATTCAACATCGGAAATCCATCTTCTCGTCTGAATGGTCGTGCGCCGATCGTTCCTTCCGGTCGTTGCATTGGTGGAGGTTCTTGTGTGAATTGTGCGTAACATACTTGCGACGATTAACAAGACTCTGATAACGAGATAGTTATGGTATACGCCCGTGCACCTGCTTCGGACTATGATGATTGGGGAGTCGATGGCTGGGAATCTGAAAAATTGATTCCCCTCATGAAGAAGGTCTCAAATTTGTTTTCACGATATTTGTTCGAATTGCTTATACTTTCACTTTATAGCTGGAGACATATGAGGTGCAGCCCGATTGTCCAACCCACGGCTATGACGGACCTATCGAAGTGTCATCTAGTGGGTGTAAAATGGGTATCTCCAAAGAGTTCATCCAGGTTGGCACGACCTATCACAAGAGGCACTATGCCGACGATACCGAAGATTTGGAAAAATGCAATACATACAGTGTACGCTATGATGTTTCTTCTCTATCTGCGACCACTAACCAGATCTATCTCAGCCGTCTCAGAAGTGAGTCCCTTTACTCGTACTCTATTCGATTTTTTGGCTCATGAAGAAAAGGTACATTGATGGGTCAACCGGAAGGCGTTCTGATGCGGCTCACCAATATGTCTACAACCAAGCTCACAACCCGAATTTACACGTCTGGGACGGAAAGCGCGTGAAGCGGGTCATCTTCGAGTAAGTGGCCACTTGGGATCACATCTGCAGCAAACGGTTGACGGCTTTCGAAATGAAAGGGACAAACGTGCTGTGGGTGTCGAGTTCACCAGCGATCTAGTGTCTTGCCCGGATGCGAATCAGTCGTCAAGTATTGTAAGAGCATCAAAACTTGTTGTTGTCTCTGCTGGGGCGTTCGGTTCTCCGACCATTCTGGAGAGGTCTGGGATCGGTGCCGAGGCTATCCTCAAGCGGTGCGGCATCGACCAACTAGTGAATTTACCTGGCGTCGGAGAAAAGTATCGAGGTGCACTTTGATACATTTATTCTATGAGCTTGGCTGAGGACGGTCAGATCACTATCTCGTCCTTGTTCCATACTTGGCTGCCGACGAGATCATTACCACTGAGGCCCTCTCTCGTGGGGACAGTATTCTACAGGGTAAGCATGTTTCTCTCCATGATTCCAGCACCTTCACAACTACTTGAACTTGAATGTAGAAAGCCTTGCACAAAAGTTGGTACAAGTTCTCATCATCATTGCTGGTATCTTGCTGAATGGAATCTCAGTGGACATCGATTCGAAAATCAAGTGGCGTCCTGATGACGAAGAATTGAAAGCCATGAGTCCAGCCTTTCAACCACGCTGGAAGGAGTTCTTCCAGGACCGGCCTGACAAGGCTGTTGCAATATTTACTCCTTTTGCGCAGTACGTGCATATTACTTAGCTCTAATGATATGGAAATTCTCATGACAGCCAGATATCTTCCACCACTCTCAAGGCCGCTATCGAGTATACTACCTACTCGTAACTACATGACTGCCTGTTATTTTACAGTACTGCTCTCCGGCTACCCTGTGGTTCTTCTGTTAATCTTTTCGTTAGCTTTACCCCGTGTCTGCTGGAAGCGTCCATATCAACGTGACAGAAGACGGCAAAGAACGAATGGACTTCAATACCGGCATCCTAGATGAGTGAGTGGACATATTTCATTTGGGTCACTTTGCGTGACCAAGACACTCCGCGTAGTCCATCCGATATTGTTCTTCTCAACTTCGGGTATAAAAAAACACGCGAAATTTTTCGACGCATGGCTTCCTACCGAGGTGAAGTCGCTGCCGGCCATCCTGATTTCCCGCAGGGAAGCGCTGCAGCCTGTAGAGAAGCCTCCCGGCCAGTGGACTTGGATGCGCCCGACATTGTCTACACTGCCGAGGATGACGAGGTGATCGATCGATTCCTCCGCGACATCGGTAAGTGCTCAATTGCCATCCCAATTATCACAATAAAATGCTGAATTGAACATCAGTGCAAACTCCATGCCACTCGGTATGTAGGCTGAACCTTCCATGATTTCATATCCGATCTTTGTATTTGTAGCTTGGGACCTGTGCCATGAAACCGGAGGCAGATCATGGAGTCGTCGACGCTCGGCTTAATGTATACGGGGTGTCGAACCTGAAGGTTGCAGATATGTCCATTTCGCCGTTGAATGTTGGCGCGGTAAGTACTGAACAAAGAATTTTTTATGTGCGATCTAACGATATGCACAGAACACTTGTTCGACGGCACTTCTCATCGGAGAGCGGGCTGCGATGATCATCGCTGAAGACTTGGGTATCAGTTGCATTTGATATGTATCCTCGGATGGGTCTTTGATTCTATAGCGAGTACTTTTATAATGCAATGATACTCGACCAGCACTGGCAGTGGTTACTCCTTTTTTTTAATTCCAATTTCTGTCCCTTGTGTACTTAGACTATTAACGCTCCTTACTTCACGACGTGCTTATATAAGCGCTGTGAGAACATGATTTTTTTTCAACGAAAAACACAACTCAACCGGCAATACCATATACTTATCTACAACTTGGAAGCAAGCCCGGTACACATTAAAGCTACTGTGTAGTACGTGAAATGTATAACGATCAATCCTTACCACAGGAGCAAGTCTGTTAGGCTACCGTGACGTGTACGTGAATGTTTTTGCGACCCTCAAAGCCAACGGTGTCTTCATGCCACATTGATCCTCGAGGTCCGTCTGTAGTTTCTTCTGCAACTTCTTATCCTCCGGATCAGGATACCCAATCCATCGCATGAACGCGCTGCCTATCTTCTCATGCTTCCATCCCCCTGACACTGGCGTAACAGCTGCATACTTCCGGATCAGCTCACGCACGACTTCTCTCGATGCCTTGTACTTCTCATCTTCATTCTTCAGGGTGGTTACGCATGCATGTCCCTCCACGACGATTTGGGATGCCTCTAACGATGCACAGTTCCGCGTCCACCATTCCTCCATGACTGTCTCATCCTCGAGGCACGTCACCACCATGACTATGGGGACTCGCCGCCGATATAACACTTCGTGGAATAGCTGGTAGTTACTCCGCAATGCTCCACTGTCACGGCCTTTTTGAACGCAATATACCAGTAAATTGGTGCCGCCGCATGCATCAAGCTCGCGGAGAAGGCGGCTGGCATTTTTGATGGATCGGTGGTACTCTTCTGGCTCGAGTTCTGGGTTCTCGATGCCCATCGTATCGAAGATGTTGTGCTGCATCTCATCATCAAAGAGCTTGGGTAACACATATTTGGTCCATGTGAGGGTGCAGCGCTTGAGGTTGGAGCCTGTCTGAGCGATGTTTTTGTCTGCAATGAGGTTTATGAGGGAACTCTTTCCGGCGCCCATTGCGCCAAATATAACGATGTTTTTAGCGCGAATGGAGCTTTTCTTTTTCGCCATCGTGATGTGTATAATGGGTAGCTGGCGGGTTATGGGAGGTGGTCGAGGTGAAGCGACTTGTTCCTTCGGGCGGTCAGAATTGACGTGACTTTTCCTAGCTATCTGTCAGGGCTGATGCCTTGTATGTACCCTTATATGATGCAGAAGCTTTCTGACACGACTTTTCCGTGCCCTGGATTGATACTTTGGCATGCGGCAGCCGTGCTGCTACGGGCGAAGGCGTAACTAGGATACGTACTGGGTACATCCATTAATAATGCCACCTTACAAACTCGCATACAGAGCCGCAAGCATGAGGTAGTCAGGACGGAGGCCTTGAGTTATAGCTGAGGAGCACGTACAGGAACTGCTGGTGAGTGCGCTCCACGTTGAATTTCCATGTCTCACGTTGCAGGAAGATAGCAGAACCGAATATTTTAGTCCCGCCTACTAGTCGTATTACACGGTCATCATGAAACAGCCCCTGTGTCCAGCTATCGAAACGAGTAAACTCCCGTCATCTATTGAGTTTTTGAATCACGTCTTTCGCTAGGTTATCATCCATCCCGCAACGCTTCGTGAGGACTCCAAGAATGTCTGACTTACTTGGACGTCCTGTCAAGAGGTCTTTCAACTTTCCGATGAACCTGGCAAGCCACCCATCTCCTCCATTCCAGTCCACCACCGTATCCTCATGCCTTGTGATCAAGTCCTTCACTTCCCTTCTGGAGGCTTCGTACTTCTGCTTGTATTTTGGGTCCAGGTTGGCTGCCGCAGTGATACAAGCATGGTCAACACACTTGACTGCATGGCGGTCGAACGATTCCTTGTTTCGCGTGTACCAATGATCCATGGGATCCTCCCTCTCCAGGTGAGTAACGATGAGCACGACTGGTATCTTCTCCTCGAAGAAAAATTCATAGAATAGCCTGTAGTTGGTGACGAACGTCGGTGGTATTCTGCCTGCCTTGATGCAATACAACAGCAGATGGACTCCTCCGTTATCCCTCAGCTCCTTCATCAACTTGTCAGCATTGGTGACTGCATCGAGAAATCCGCTAGGATCCATGCGATTGCCGTCGACCCCGGCAGTGTCATAGATGCGATACGGCACGTCCCTGATGTGGATATCATACGCTTGATAGCGCAATGTACAATGTTTGGTGTCCGGAGAGGTTCTAGCGACCTGGTTGCCTGCGAGGAGATTGATGATGGAGCTTTTCCCGACGCCGCTCTCTCCAAAAATAACAATGTTTTTGGAAGACATTGGCAATGAACCTAGCATGGCGGTTCTTCAGTACTGGGTTTCTAGCACAAGGGAGGCATGACGATGCGCTCACGATTATAGCAAATGTGTTCCTTCTGGCTGGGTGGACAATCTTCGATGAGAGCGATGATTCAATGGATTCTGATACTTATGCCACTGCAAGCATGACACGGTGCACAACGAATGTTACGACCTGCAATGCGAACATGAGGTTGCATATTGACTACCCTTTTTCGTTGAACCCAGAACCCTACTGCAACGTGCAAGCAACGTTGTGCAGTGCTTTTGATGCAATGGAATCGATCATCTTCTTAGGCAGGTCTGAATTCATAACCGCATAACCTCCCGTGATCCAGTCGGCCAGGAATCACTGAGGTTCAATATGTTGACCCCTACCGCTGGATCCGAGAGCCATATGCCTCGAACTACCGCATGATGTGCCAAAGATTATGTTGCTCGTTAGGTCTCGCTAGGCCACTGTCGTTCAGCATGTGCTAACCTTGCGTCCGCCTCCTGCTTCGGAAGTTACCTAGAAGGTTGGCCGAACCCTTGATCCGGCAACACCAGAAGCAAACGTTCTCAATTGGGTTAGCGTTGCTTCCTGGCATGAATATACCAATGGTGTCCGCAAATATCAATGACTTCAAGTTGCGATATTAAAACCTATAGGTCTCGATGTGATCACAATAAACCTGCGGTTGGCTGCGACCACATCCACACGAGCGCGCTTCCGTCCAGGCCTTCCTGGCTGCGATGGCGGCATCTCCTGCTTGTCTATATTAGCAACCGTCTACGGTTGTGTATGAGTAAATCAGATATCTCGTAGCATACATAATAATACGATGTTTGGTAGGAGCATAATTAAATCTAAATCCTTCTATAGTAGCCACAATATCTGAAGCAGTCACGAGTTCACTAATGTGACCTGCACAAGCCACGTCAGAACGCCCCGCTACTACCAACATATTCTATGATGTGTGTCCAGGGACATATGATGCGTAGGATTCGATGAGGTTGCAGATAGTCTCCCGAGATCGTAAAGCGTTGGGATCATCGGGGAGCGAAGTGATGCATACGTGTTTGGAAAACTGCATGCCGAGGCGCATCAGGTCCCCCTTGTATTTCGTCCACCAATCATCCATGTTTGTCAGAGACTCCTCCAAACCATCGACCACAGCAGAAATTGATACGCAGCTGGTGGAGCCGACAATGTCAGTGAAATCTTGATATTCCCTGGATGCTGTCGGGGTACTTGTTCCCTTCATGCAATATAGGACAAGAGGCGCCCCACCGTCCCTATACAGCCTTTTATACGATGCTCTTAGTCGCCATTTTGCAATAAATCGCGGGAAGAAACTCGTTGAGAAAGAAACTTCCCAAAGTTCGAAACGGCGCTCTCTAAGGGTAACTCCGGCGGTACGTTTCAGCATAGAGTAAGGCGCACCCGGCGCTGCATCCGTGATATTTTGCCCGACAATCAATTGAATGATAGAGCTTTTGTCGACTCCAGTCTCCCCGAATAGCAACACATTCAAAGGAAGCTTGTTGCATGGGAGGATGAGTGCATACAGATCAATGTAACGACAAGTGCTCACCAACGTCGAGACTCCAGAAGAGTTTCGAAGTATTGCAGGATTTGGACTGACCCGACTTGGAGGCTGTAGATCCTCCTCGCGGGTTGGATGTGTGACATCACCAGATGCCGTTCTTTGCTCTGCGTCAAATATGTCTGAGGATGTCCGCCGATGATTGCTCTGTTCCCTAACAAAAGTCGCGTGCTGTGAGAATAATGGTTTGGCCTTGCATGAAGATAGACAAATCATAAATGAACCTACATCGTCTATCGAAGTATCTGAATCATCTGTCACCTCTGAGGCCGACACATCAACTGGCAAACACTGCCGGATCCCATTACAGGGTGCGTTTGTAATGTGGGGGGATAGATCCAATGTTGCAGGGCTCGGTTTGTCCGCCTCGTACTTGATAAGAGGCACCGCATGTTCCCCTCCTAGTCCACAAATAGTCTTATCCTATGAAGAGCAAAAATTCAGCAAGGTAGGAAAAAACCAGCCGTGAATGAACCTACATCGGCTGACAAAGCCTCTAGTTCACTTTTCAAGAAGCCTATGACCATCGAAGCAGATGGACGTAACACCATGGCTGACCAACACTCGAGAATCATATTCCAGCGTGCATCCGTGAGATCGAGCGAATCTGATGGCGCAGGACGCAACATCTGTTCTCCCCCACGAATGTGTTCAGCGACTGTTAACTCATTGGTGACTGTATACCAAGGAGTATATAGAGTCAACAGCTGAGTATGACGATCGTGAGCAATAGTGGGTACAAACTTGCAAACTTTAGACTTACGTGGAACATGATGCAACCAAAAGAATACATATCATTCTCTTCGGTCGGGCTGCCGCCACTGAGCGACTCTGGCGCGGTCCACCTGACCGCATCAAGTTGAACTTGCGATCCGTCAACCACGCGGTTACCTAAATGGCCACCCAAAATTGTTGCCAACCCGATGTCAGTGAGGCACGCGCGGTATTTCCCATCTGAGATATCCACTAGAATATTGGGCTGAAACTTTCTGTGAGCAGAGATTCAGGTAAAGAAGTTCAACGAACACTAGTGACATCCCCGTGGACGATGCCCAGACCATGAACTAATGACGATCATATCAGTCGAAGGAAAACGAAAAAGGACAGGAAGACGGACGATATTCAAGCGCAGATGCTGGCCCGAGAAGCTAGTGGGGATTGATATGAAGAATTCAGTCTAGATGCAAACATCGGCTCACCAAATCCAGTTTCGACCCAATGTTCAGTTCAGTGCCCCGTTCTCGGATAACGCCAGGGAGCGTAGTCTCAAACCAAGGAAAGACAAGGGCTGGTGGGACATGAGATGGCCCAAACTCTCTTGCCGTTCCAAGAAGACGGACGGTGTGATCATGCTTGAGGACCGCCCAGATCTTAGTTTCGTGACGTAATCTCTAGCAATCAAATATTTTTAAGTATGCACAGATCGTAGAAAAATATCAGAATCCTCACTTCTAGTTCTTCCTTTGAGATGCCAAATTTGATGATTTTCACAGCAACCTACAGCGCAGTAGTCAACAACTACATCAATGTCATACCAGCATTAGCCAGACCTTAATACGTCCTGATGCCTGTTTGCATTCGCATTTGTACACGTTGGTAAAGTTGCCTCCTGCGACAAGGCAGTCGATTTGACCGATGATCTGACCTGTCAGATCCACTGGTTGATTCGAAATGGACGCCTGAATTAACAACAAATGTATTAGAATTTGCCATTGATTGCGATGTCTGGGCTGCAGGACCTGCGAGTCGTCGACCCCAAATTGTTCGATGCATCCAAGGACTTCTGTAGACTCCGGGCGATCCTTCGCCTTCCACGACCAGCATTTTTGAATCAAGTTCCAGTGACCATTAAGGATATTGTCTGGGCGTGTGGGAGTGGCTTTGTTCGACAGTTCGACAAAAATTTGTCTCGATATTCTCTTCTCTTTCCATGGTATATCCCCTGAGATGATCTAAGTGGAGAGAATGAGGTTGGGAATACAGAAAGAAAAAAGAGATCGCACAAAGAAAAGAATGCTTCCAAGGGAATATATATCACTCATGAAAGTTGGTTTGGCCACCTCGTCCTCTATTCCAAGGACTTCAGGTGCACGCCATCGAGCATTGAGTTCACGTGCCGCAGTCGTCGTACCCCACTGCAACTCTGGGTCTCCTACGACTATCGCGAGACCAAAATCTGTAAGACGTGGATTCCCTTCGCGATCGATCAGCACATTGGCCTGAGGCTTGCAAATGAGTGCGATGTCTACAAGAATATAATCGTGCATACGGGGTGAAGGTCTCCATGAACGACTTCCTCCAAGCGAACTGGGTGAGCCTATCAATAACTGAAATAACGCCTATATAGAAATTGACAGACGATAATTGATGCCGCCAGCGACACCCTTGGACTAGTAGCGTGCAAATAGATGAACATCTGTTAAATGTGATTGATGTAAATGAGGGACTCGCCAATTCAACTCTAGCGGAAGCATCAAGGGTTTTGGCGTACTTCTTGAGGTATTGATTTAATGGCCCGGAAGGCATCCATTCTGAAACAAGAGCTGGCAACGACCCAGGAGGAGAGAATTTTGCAATGCCAAGTAGCGGCACGATATAAGCCGATTCACTGAGCTTAAGCCATACTGCGACTTCCCGATCCATCGCCTACAATGATAGATCATAATGAAGTGTCATTTGAATCTGCAAAAGAAAACTTACGCTCTGAAGTTTCTCCAGAGATCTTTGAGGATGTATTATGGTTCGGATTATCTTCACTGCGACCTAGTAGATGTTCTATGCACGAGCTTAAGATGCTCAGATAGACTGCCACAGACCTCCTTCTTGCCTTCATTGATGGCACACCGATAAACCTCGCTAAACGAACCATCTCCAATTGGAGATCCAAGCTCAATTTGAGACGCGAGGTCGCTAGTGATGATATTATTGTAGATGTGTATATGTGGCCTCATGGACTGAGTGAGACCACCAGAGGATGTATATTATGGAGTCGCCGACTCACTTTGTAAGCGCATTCTCTTCCATGACTCGAATGTGGGTGCTAAGCGTTGTTCTACAACTTGAAGAGGCTATACACAACGAGATGGGTATGGAGTTAAGTATGCGCTTCAAGCTGCCTGTGCTGTTAAGTTTATATGTAAGAATTCATGTCAAGGGCAGCATGCCGCAAACTAGTATGTAAGAAGGGCACACGAGTTTGTAACACCTGTTTGGCACCTCCAAGGATCCAGCTCGGTTCACAAACATAACCGTGCCCAGTGACGCCGGACCGCAGATTGCCGGCGGACGTAGGGTGCGCCAGATTAATGGAAGGGTGGCGCTTCAAGTGGTAACTAGACTTTTGACCAGTAGGCTGACATACGCGAGCAACAAGGAGGTTGTACACGGCAGGAATATGGTTTGAGTGCATGCGTCGTCCTATCCTGCCTTGATCCCGCCGGAAGTAATTTAGGGAACTGAGCTAGCTCGGAGTCATGAAGGAGCATAACCGTTTTATGTAACAGTCTAAGGGTGCTCGACTTATTAAGTACAAATTTGATCCACGATGCAGAACTTCCAGCTTCAACGTTGCTGCAATTAAACGCGGTTGCAATCGGATCCTACGTACATGTCCTCGTATCTTGTACATCACCTTGCAAGCAAGGTCATATGCCATCTGACAAAATCTGACGGACTAACTGCCAATAATAAACAATAATAAACATCAATAAATGTTGAACGTGACTGTATGTCGTGACATTACCCATCCAGTTTCAAGTTTCTGAACCATGTCGAGACTCGCAACAGCTCAATTCTGCCCTGGATAAATTAACAATGAAAGAGATCATAGCTGCAGTATGTGACGACAACTTGAGAAAAATCCGAGACCGTGCAGGCAAGCAAGGTCAGATTCGGCAACGCCGAACCCTAGTAAACGATAAACGATTTTGAAATTCTTGGCTGACTACGCTATTAATGTAACTCAGTACATAATCCTTTTAATGATAATTATGTCTGTTTAACTAGGGAAATTTACAGTAGACTCACGACCATTGAAGGAATTCATAAAAGCAAACTGCAATCCCAGTTTCCCGGCCTCGAAGCCATAGTAAATTATCGAATTGCTCTGGATATCAGTCGTGACGTTACAGTCAAGGTGATTATGATAGCTGCAGTACTAGTGGGTGATGACCTGTTGAGTTTACACCAAACCTTAAAGTCATGACTTCATTGATTTTGAAAACCTCAAGCAGTTTTCGCATATGCCATGGCCAAACCGCAACCCTCAAACTTCAAGGATGTTCCTCGCACACTAGTACTGGCAGAAACAACTCATGTACGCAGTGAACTTGAACATGTCATTAATTTGGTATTTCGAGTCATGTAGTTCTAGAGTATTACAGTCAAATAGATCTTACTGCGCCTACCATGTGTTTCAAAAATACGCCATTCTGCGCGTAATACAGAATAAAATGCCAGTATCTGCTCCATAGTGCGGAACTAACTGGACCAGCAAGGTGAAAGTCGGCATCACTGCGTGTTGACCTCTCGTGGTGTTTATTTTAAGCTCCGCTCACCCCCTGCATACCGTTCGCCACCACGGGTGGAACAGCAGTCACACTCATGGACCCAGGTTTTGCGCTTGAATAGTGAGTCCACTTTTATAATGTGCATTATCTTCCTTTATCATGTTCTGCAGCAATACCGCCGTCGACCTCACGTCCCTAATTAACAAGCTTGAACCGCCAATCACAATCAACTCATTTAGCCAAGTTCATCGATGTACTATGATGGCCAACGAAGGCACAAGGGAGGTTCGTCTGAGTTTGTCTGATTAACTTAAGTAAACTTACCGAGTGCCCGCTTCATATTCGTCAGGTAGCTGTGAAGGTAATCATTATTGATCATAATAGAGCTATGCCGAAACTAGAGAAAGTCAGCTTCTCAATTAAGTTGTACCGACTAACAATTGACTGGACATTGACCTTGTAGGCGATGCGTCGGGAACTTGGTTTATGGTTGAGATTGAAACACTTGAATATCGTGCCGCTACTTGGTATCGTACACGTCGAATCACCATGGCCAGCTCTTGTTTATCCATGGATGTCATCTGGGACGTTATATATTTACCTGGAGAAGCAAGAAACAACCCTTTCTACTTCCACAAAAGTTGGATTGGTATGTCCCTTGTTCATACCAATCACATTTAACTAGCACTCATCGATTCTTGTGTCACTAGGTTAAAGGTGTCGCTGATGGCCTCTATTATCGTTCGTCTATTTCTAGCAGGTCATAGTCTTTTTTTATTGATGCCTACGCAGTTCACTCGATGCATGTTGTACACGGAGACCTTCAACCCGTATGTACGGTTGTTTCTTTGCGGATACTGCACTTATTTGTAAGCCAGGACAATGTGCTGATAGCCGATTCGGGGAATCCATGCCTCACAGGTTTCGGTCTCGCAACAGTCGTAGGAGACCCAGAGTTACAGTGGAATTCGACCACTGCGGCATGCGACTTTGATTCTCGATGGCGTGCACCTGAAGTCATTGGAATAGAGTCTGATGAGCCTGCACGACCAACTTACGCGAGCGATATCTATTCTTTTGGTAGCATTATGTTCTTTGTGCGATCTATTCCATGTCACTGTGGTGTTACCCTTGACTTTTTCCGTTCAGATCATGTCTGGGAATATCCCATGGAAAGAAAAAAACTCGAATCACATCGCCATTGCGCTGTCAAGAGGAGCCACTCCTGCACGTCCTAAGAACATCCCCAATGGTTTCTGGAGTTTGATTACACGTTGCTGGTCCCGGAACCCCATGGATCGTCCGGGGACTGCACACATCCTTGATTGCACTGATCAGTGCAGGATCGATGACTTGCAGGTCCGGCTGCCCAAGTATTTCATCACTGGCGGATCTTGATGCATTTTACTTAGGCATCCATCTCGGAACTTCCACCTCTGTAGGGTGTTCATACTGAAACAAGTCTTCATTGATTCAGTTCCCTCGGTTTTTTAGTCCCGAAATACAACCAGAAGATCTGACAGGTCAGATCTTCGGTTCGATAAATGACTACGTTGCCAGTGGTGCATTCGCAAACGTTTACAGTTGTGAATGGAGAAAACCGTCGGGCCCCGTCAAAAAGGTCTGGCCAGTGGGCAGCGCTGGCGTCATTTGCTGATCAGCCTGTCCCTTATCGCACTACAGGTCGCAGTAAAAACCTTCAGGCACCACTTGCATCTAGTCTCAGAGCAGGACTTAAGAGTGAGAGTCTATTTTTTTCTGTTTTGAACACTATTTTACGTGAATTCGCTAGAGGTTTCGACGGGAAACTGCAATATGGGCACACCTCGTCCACGATAATATCGTGACACTTTATGGAACGACAGAGGGGTTCGGGCCATCCACAGCCCTGGTCTCCCAATGGTTTCCGCACGGCACGCTGTCCCGTCTTATCACAGAACAGGGTGCTACCTTAACCATCAAATCCAAATTGAAGCTGGTAACTTAAACCTGTTTAGCTGCAATGGACCTCAACTGAATTATCCGTATTCACTAGCTTCACGGCATAGCATCTGGGCTCTACTATCGTTTGTATTCCCTTCATGGTCATCTTGCTTCAACTAATAAATTTGTCGTCAGTTCACTCTTTTCCCGTTGTTCACGGTGACATTACGAGCGTGAGCTCATCCTTTCTACATTCAATTGCACTCACTAAACAATGCAGTCTAACGTTTTGGTAGATCTCAAGGAAGGAGAATACAAGGCTTGCCTAACGGACTTCGGTTTGTCAAATGCCCTCGGCGCACGTTCAAAAGAGTGGCAAATTGAAGAATCGATCGTTCGGTCTGGTGCAATCAAGTGGACTGCGCCTGAGTTGCTCGGGTCACGTGATCCCCCTTCCGACATCAAACCGACCACGCAGAACGACATGTATTCCTTTGGTCGTGTCATGTTCCATGTAAGTGTAAGCGTTTCAAGTCCACAAAATTTGTATTTAATGTATCATTCATCCCAGTTGTTGACTCTGACTGTTCCTTGGCATGACATTGACGACTACAAAATCATTCAAAAAATCCAAAATGGAGAGGATGTCCCGCGTCCTGAGGTATCCGAGGCGACGTCTGACGTCACAGACGCCCGCTGGGATCATATCGAGCAGTGTTGGTCAATTGATCCATCTGCTCGTCCATATGCCCTCACGGCCATAAACTTCATAGCGGGGGAACTAGATGCTTTGAAACAAGATGTAAGCTCATGACTTGTCTGGTCACGTAGGTAGATTTTCTGACTCTGACAGGATGTCTTTGTTAGCGAGGTACAAGAAAATACATTCTTGGTCGCAGAGCAGGTATGAACTCGCCACTTGTGGTTGAAGTAATTTTGGCTTAAATGTTTATCAATCAGTCAAAGATTTCTATCGTACCATCGTTGCAGACACTTGTTCCGTCACGCAATGCCGTTCTCTCTAGTCCTTTAACACATCATCTCCTCTCTACGGCCTCGTCGCTGGTGAGAATCTAGTGGTGTATTGTTTTTATGTGTACTGATTCTTCCACGCGGTCAAGTCACTTGCAGGTCCTCTGAATGTGTTGGTTTTCGGGGAGACTGGAGTCGGAAAAAGCTCCATCATCAACTTGATCATGGGATGCGACGTTGCACAGACGTCGCCAGACGCAGCAACCTGCACATTGCAGCATACCTCCCATGAAGTCAGTCTTGCAGATCGCCGCTTTAAACTTTGGGAAGTTGCCTCAATCGAATCAATGGGTTTTTTCCGAATCCTTTTTGCAAAATGGCGCCTGAAAAAGTCATACAAGAAGCTATACAGAGATGACGGTGTCTACCTTCTTTTATATTGCATGAGGAAATCGAGGGACCAGAGGGCACTGATCAAGGATTATAAATTCTTCACCAACATCGTTGGCTCCACAGCCACTGTGGCAGGCGGCGTACCGGTCGCCGCTGTGGTCACCTCCTTGGAAGATTATCCTAAGGATATGGATGAGTGGTGGACGAAAAATAAAGACAATCTGGAACACCTCGGAATGCGGTTCTCCGCACACGCTTGTATCACTTCTGTCCCTGACGATCCAACATCCTCACCTGCAATGCGCGCACGTCGACAGCGATCAGAACAAGTCATCCGCCGTCTTATTTATGAGTCCTACGAAACAGATACCGGAATACCTGACAGTTCTAGCCCAACTCAACTATAAAATAGAATCGGGCTTAATTGTGGTTCTCGAATGTTAGCCTCTGCAGGGCCGGGCCACTACATGTGTTACTTTATAATATTTCAAGCAAGGTACTCCAGCTCATACGTAATTGGCACGATGTAATTGCTTCAATCTCCCCATGTTTGTCACTATATATAATTTACTCTAAAGAACATATAAAGTATATAAAAGGCATGAATACTTGTCATCGTTGACCGTGCTGTACACTGTTCTCTTATCGTCGAGCGCGTCGAGATGCTCACACTAGTATATAATATTATTTATACGTGCACGGTGAGTACGAGGTGTACAATAGGACGGGTGCCTCTGAAAGTTCTCAACACATAATGCTGTTCTTCCTGTCCATACAGAATAGGATTCCATGCTACCATATCCGGGTAGAAAAAATCTCAAAAACCCTGAGCAGCTGAGCCTTTGATGTCTCACGGACCTCAGATCTTTTATTTGTCTAGACATTAGTGAAACCTTTCAGTTGCGTCCGTGTCGAAGATTTCGATTAGGATCACGAATCCGACGACTTCGCAATAGAAGTATTTGAACTTGCTTTTCAGAGCTGGGATCAATCCATTGGAGAATGATGAATACCATCATCGACAACTTAGAAGACATCCAAGGCCCCTCAAGCCCAGATATAGTTACAAACGAAAGGAGTGGATAGGTGACATTGCGAAATAGCAGACGGGGTCCTGAAGCAAATGACTCCAGACTCCAAGCTTCAAGGGCAAGTGGTGCGGCTGAGGAAGATAGTTTGCCGACGTCCGGCGATGATAGTAGCATGGGCAATAGATGCACAATTACAATTACAATTACAAAACTTTGGAAGAACAGCCCTATAACAGAAGGGTATTCTTTCACTACATATAGTACTGAGTACGTAGATGGATTCCATATTCATAACGACAAGACGCAGATGAGGGTTGTGATTTGAAGTACAGTGCGGTAGCCGTTGGGTCCAGGTAAGAACGCTTGAAAGGAATGTCAACTTGATGATTGCTTCCTACTGCCAACCTCGAAGCGTTGGGTTTTCATACGAAATCTGCGAACAAACGGCCTTCGAGGAAAAGGAGGCGCCTATTTCTGAACAGCTGGTGCACAATTCTCGTGTCGACGAGACAGCAGCAGTCTCGAAGGCGCTGTCACAAGCGGCTCGTGGTTTCTTGACGATTAGTAATTCCTCGATACCCAATTGGGCGCGAGGGTCAATTCCTTTGGTACGTACAACCATATTGTGGTTTATATTATCCAAGAGCGAATTGATTCGGTCTATACAAATGGTGAGAATGAAATAAAACGCAATAACGACCAATGCTCACCGTCTATGTCAGTAGGGAATGCGGACCTGCGGCGTCTGATCCAGATAAGCAATTTGCAGTACGCCGCCTTGTAAGGCACGTGTTCCTCTGGACAAAGCGTGAGCAGGGACACACCCATTTTCTCTCTTAGAGTCTGGCGCGCCACCTTGATTACCAAGAATATCAGCGAGAGAGTTTGCCAGAATTGAAATTATATTTACCTCTGTCAGAGCGATGATCTGCATGGACATACCATCATCAGTTGACTGTAAGAGATAATTAATAGGAAAAACAAGACCTTTTCCCCGTAGGGCTGCAATTCGCAGTCTTCCGAGTGATCGAATTTCATTATTTCATTCGTGGCATATATAAATTTGTCTAGAGTGCTCAGACGTTTAGCCAAACTTTTGAAGACTGCCCGACGATCGAGTTTACGGATGTTGTTAGACATGAGGATTCGCAGTACAAAGTGGGTAGAAGTATATGGAGTGATGGAATGAGATGGGAGGAAGAAAAACGCTGCCAGCACGAAATATATAGCGCTTGGATCCTTGGGACCACAAATTTTAGAGGCGCTCGCCACCTGCCATGTAACCACATAAAAAGAACAAACATAAATATCACCGTATAGCTACGGTACATTCCATGAACTCTGCTAGTGAAGCGTCTTTGTGGTGTGATTATTGTCCTTTATTTACTTCACCACGTTCATGTCATCGTAGCAGTTATTAAAATGGGAAATACAAGATGTGGATGGTCAAGGAACAGCGGCTTGTGCGTCTGGCAATGGAGAGTATTTACCATGACAAAGGTGCATACGGCCTACTTTGAGGGGTTCCTGAAACAAAGGTTCTGTGGACATATGCCACTCAAACCAAGAGACCTTGCGAAGCAATTCTATAGAAACGTGAGCCAATAACGCTGAAACCAGAACAGCAAAACCCACTGAACAATGCAATAGGTGAGTGAAGTCCAATGATACCTCCACCAACGTTGTTCGGATACTTGACCTCCGAATGAGAAACTGTTTCCGTGTGCATCTCCTCAAGTGTGATTCGAGTTGGTGGGATCAGGATTTCACGGAGGTGAATACGTACCAACGGGACGCAATTGAACGACGCGCCTTTGTCAGATAATCTGTCCCAAGCGGCATCAATTTCTGGCGAACTTGAAAGGGGGCCATCTACGTTTGAAAGTTCCAGTCTTCCATAAATCCTTATAGCGTCTCATACGTGTAGAGTATACTCACAACTTGCTCTGTGGAACAGATGACGGTGCAACAGTCCTTTCGAAAATCAAGTGCCGTGACAGTGAAAGATAAACATGAAGAAGGTGTTGGCCAGTCCTCACTAGCTCGAAATCGAATGTGGTACAGTGGTTTATATTAGGGAGAATCCATAAATCCTGCTTGATCCCTTTTGACTCCAAGGATTTGGCAGAGAATATTTCAATAGTTATTGGGGGAATCCAAGGAGAATCATCGTTCAAGCTTGCAAGTTCAACATTGCAGTGATCACGTGCTGAAAATGCTGGAATGCCGCATCTCGATTCTCCTCAGTTCCGAAATCATTTGCACGCTGACCTCCCTCCTTCACTCGTCCAGCATGTCCAATCATTAATTGAATATTTCAACAATCGCAGATACCCTGGATATGAAGCAAAAAAGCACGGACAAGAGCCACCATCACCCTGGGCCATATACGAGTCTCTCCCTCCGCCCTACTACTAGTTACTACGGTACAACCGATTACTCAAACAGTTCCTGCCATTCACAACTCTCCCAAGCGCACCCTCCAACACCCTGCGCACCTATATGCTGTCAAAAGTTCTAGTTATGTTGGAGTGGGGGACCCCTAGGTGAGGGGGTAGTAGCAGCCGGGTAGCACCGTAGCTTAGTCAGCCACTCAGTGTCCTTCGGGCTTTGTCGTAGCGTAGTGCTCTTCACCACTTTGCCTTGCTCGCGACACGCAGGCACACAGTCGCGGGTACACCGCTCCAATGTGAATCATGATACCTATCGTCGTTGACTGTGCTGTACACTGTTCCCTTATCGTCAGGCACACTGAAATGCTCCCTAGTACCGTGCACGGTGAGTACGAGGTGTACTATAGGACGAAGTTCTCAATATATTAATGTTGTTCTTCCTATCCATATGAAATGACCATGCCACCATTTCCCAGTAGATCAAACTTCAAAAAAAACCTGAGCGGCTGAGCCTTTGATGCCTCACTGACAATATCAGACCTTTTATTTGTCTAGACATCAGTGAAACCTTTCAGTTACGTCTGTGCTGGGTGCAGATTCGGATCACGAATTCAACTTTGTGATAGAAGTATTTGAACTTGCTTTTCAGAGCTGTCATTAATCTATCATCATCGATGAGAAGACATCCAAGGCGCCCCAAGCCGAGTTCTAGTTACAAATGAAAGGAGTACATAGATGACATTGCGAATTAGCGGGCGGGATCCTGAGAGAAGGCTTCAAGCTTCGAGGATCAACGGTGCGGCCGAGGAAGATAGATCGTCGAAGTCCGGCGATAGCAGTAGCATGGGCAATATCATGATGCACGATTACAATTACAATTACAAAACTTGGAAAGAACAACCCTATAGCGAAATGGTATGACGTTCTTTCACTACATATACTACTGAGTGCGTGGATGGATTCCATATTCATGACGACAAGAAGCAGATGAGGGTTGTGATTTGAAGTACAGTGCGGTAGCCGTTGGGTCCAGGTAAGAACGTTTGAAAGGAATATCAACTTGATGATCGCTTCCTAGTGCCAACTTCAAAGCGTTGGGCGTTCGTACAAAATCCGCGAACAAACGGCCTTCGAGGACAAGGAGGCGGCTATTTCTGAACAGCTGGTGCATAATTCTTGTGTCGACGAGACAGCAGCAGTCTCGACGATTAGTAATTCCTCAATGCCCAATTGGACGCGTGGGTCAATTCCCCTGGTGCGTAGAACTATTCTATGGTTTATGTCCTCCAAGAGCGAATTGATTCGATCTATACAAATGGTGAGAATGAAATAAAACACAATAACGACCAATACTTACCGTCGATGTTAGTGGGGAATGCGGACCTGCGGCGTCTGATCCAGACAAGCAATTTGAAGTAAGCTGCCTTGTAAGGCACGTGTTCCTTTGAACAGAGCATGATCAAGGACACGTCCATTCTCTGCCTAAGCGTCCGGCGTGCAACCTTCATTGCCAAGAGAATCAGTGAGAGTGTTTGCCAGAATTGAAATCATTTTACCTCCGTCAGAGTGATGATCTGCATGGACATGACATCATCAGTTGACTATACGAGATGATTAATAAGAAAAGCAAGACCTTTTCCCCGTAGGGCTGCAAATCGCAGTCCTCCAACTGATCGAATTTCATTGCTTCATTCGTAGCATATAGAAAATAGTCTAGAGTGGTCAGACGTTTAGCCAGACTTCCGTCGAGGATTCCTCGACGATCGAGTTTACGGATGTTGTTAGACATGAGGATTCACAGTAAAAAGTAGATATGAGGATATGGAGAGATGGAAAGAGATGGGAGGAAGAGAAACGCTGCCAGCACGAAATATATAGTGCTTGGATCCTTGGGACGACAAATTTTAGAGGCGCTCGCCACCCGCCATGTAAGCACATAAAAGAACAAACATAAATGTCACCGCATAGCTACGGTACATTCCATGAACTCTGCTAGTGAAACGTCTTTGTGGTGTGATGATTGTCCTTTGTTTACTTCACCACGTTCATGTCGTCGTAGCAGTTACTAAATGGGAAATACAAGATGTGGATGGTCGAGGACAGCGGCGCGTGCGTCTGGCAACGGAGAGTATTCACCGTGACCAAGGTGAATACGGCCTACTTTGGGGGGGTTCCTGAAACAAAGGTTCTATGGACATGTGCCACTCAAACCAAGAGACTTTGCGAAGCAATTCTATAAAAACGTGAGCCAACAACGCTGAAACCAGGACAGAAAACCCACTAAACAATGCAATAGGTGAGTGAATTCCAATGATACCTCCACCAACGTTGTTTGGACACTGGACCTCCGAATGAGAAACTGTTTCTGTGTGCATCTCCTCAAGTGCCATCCGAGTTGGTGGGATCGGGATTTCACGGAGGTGAATACGTACCAACGGGACGCAATTGAACGACGTGCCTTTGTCGATGATCTGTCCCAAGCGGCATCGATTTCTGGCGAACTTGAAAGAGGGCCATCTAATACGTTTGAAAGTTCCAGTCTTCTATAAATCCTTATAGCGTCTCATACTTGTAGAATATACTCACAACTTGCTCTGTGGAACAGGTTACGCCGGTACAAGAGTTCTTTCGAAAATCAAGTGCTGAAGATAACTCAACTGAACATGAAGGTATTGGCCAGTCCTAATGTCCTCACTAGCTCGAAATCGAATGCATTGGTACAGTGGTCCATATGATTAGGGAGAATCCATAAATCCCTCTTGACCCCAAGAATATTTGTTGAACGAGGGTTAATAATTATTGGGAGAAACTTGAGTATTGTGTTGTGATCACGTGCTGATGCCGCAGAATGCCGCCGCATCTCAGTTCAACGTTCATCATTTGCTGCTGTGACACGCTCCTTCACTCATCCAGCATGTCCATGATCGATGATCATTAATACCGATCACAGACACCCTGAATATGAGGCAAAAAAAGTGCGGACAAGAGCCACCCTCATATACGAGTCTCTACCTCCGCCCTAGTTACCTAAGTCTCACAGGACTGCTGATGTCGGTAAGCACCCTCAGCTATGTAAGGAATCCTGCGAATTATTCTTACGCATGGCTAGGGTACCGTGATTTCCATCCACCAGCCTAGAACAGGATGAGGATGTCTTGCCTGACAAACATAAGTATAAAGGACGGTTTCTTGTTGCTGCTTCCCGTGCCTGTAAGCTTGAGATTGATCGATGCCGTTTAATGGCTGATGATGATTAGGATGAGCACCAAAGCGCTGCAGTCATATTTCTACAGCAGGATGCAAAGGGTGGCCGCATGTTCGATCAGAGCGTGCTTGCAGACTTCGAGCACCCATGAATGATATCTTTACTTGAAAGGCAGACAGTGCGGTTTCCGAGTCTATGCAGTACGCCGAATATCTCGGTACTGAACTTGTTCCGACGGTTTCATAGATCATCAGCATTCAAGATTCCCTCACAAGTGACCAGGAGCGATTGAGATCGATAATTCAACGGATTCTGATACTTATACCACTGTAGACACGATACAGTGCACAACGAAGGTTACAACCTGCAAAGCGAACATAAGGTTGGATATTGACTACCGTTTTCCCAAAATCCAACTTTGCCGGTTGCAACGCGCAAGCAACGTCGTGCAGCGCTCATGGAATCGAACTTGTTTGTTCTTCAGGCTGGACAGGTCTGAATTCAGAACCATACACCCTCCAATGATCTGTAGCTGGTCGGGATACGTCGACCCCTACCTCCCAAAAAGTCTATATTTCCCGCACTACCATGTGACATGCCAAGATTGTGCTGTTTGTGACTAATAATAGCGGAGAGTAGACAATTCCAGGTGCCGGGTAACGTAGCCTGCCGGAGTTACCCGGCACCACACTTCCAGCTGAGCGGTAGCGCAGTCTCCCACGTTCGTTTTTCTTCCTCCCATCGTCAACAACAAGCTCGCCACAGCTATAGTACACTCACTCGTTGTTACTTTTGTTCTTTGAGCCCACCCGCCACTCCCTTAGTTCTAGTCGTAATTCCATTCCTTCCGTATATTATCTCGTCGTTGGTTGTTCACAAGCTAGAATATCCAATTTTATCACGTATGAAGGTTCATGAGTCAGCGCACAATCGAATTCGTAAGCAGGTGCCCGCCCTCCCAGCGGCTCCACCTGCTTGCGTCCCACCCCGAGCTAACGCTCGGTCCAGCCCAACATCACAGATTGTAGCATTGACTCTAGAGCCAGACGAAGCTGGATGGTGTGTGCATGTATATTATGACGTCATCCTGCAGGCTCAAGCGCTGCAGCGCTGAAACCTTGGGCTATAACTTCAAGCTTCAGCGCAAGCTAGGACTGACGCAGTGTTGTTCATCAGTCTTATCAAGTGAGTAGTACCTTGTCAGTTTCATATTAGTGTCCGCTCCTTCAAACAATATGGATCTCGAACATCATTGCACATGAACCCTACGTACATGTGCTAAGTCACGGTATACATAATAACACGTTGATAACACGAACCCTAAGTCCAAGGCTTTTCCATATAAGCTCAACTTCGGTATGTAACGCACTAGCACTCAACTTCCTTACGAAAACACTCCGTCTGCAACGCAGCCAAATTGGCATGACCTGTCTTGTGCCCGGAGAGCTTCAGATTTTTCCTCTAACGTGCCTTATTTGAAAATCAAATGTGTTTTGGACTCTTGGCTTATCATATTTTGCAGCGATGCCGCCGCTGACTTCACACCTCAACTTTCTGATCCTGAGAAGCTTGGAACTTCGTGTGGATCTGGGTCCTTTGGTGAGGTTTTTCAGGGTATTGTCGAGACAAGTAATGGCAAAGTGAAGGTCTGTCCGAGTCAGATCAACCCGAGTTCATCATTCGTCCATCTAATGAATGACCACCATCAGGTCGCAGTGAAGGTATTCAAGATTGATCCTTCGAGAACTACGGACAAAGTTGAAAATGTCAGTCGTCTGGGTTCAATTTTTACTTCGCTAAATGGTCTATGTAGGCAATACGTCGAGAACTCAAAGTGTGGCTTAGACTGAAAAACCAGACCATCGTTCCGCTACTTGGCTTCGCATACGTTAATTCCCCATTCAAGTCCCCGGCTCTCGTCTCTCAATGGATGCCATCTGGAACATTGTTCACCTACCTCGAAGAAGCTACCACCATTACTACTTCTGCTAAAGTTGCATTGGTGAGTGCTCTTCTTAACGTCTCCATCAATCATATACAACAAGAATTCATGTTACTAGGTCAAGGGTGTTGCTGCTGGCCTAGATTATCGTTTGTCGAGTTCTACCATGTCTTCCATTTCGTTCTTGACGCCTATCCAGTCCAATCAATGAATGTTGTTCACGGGGACCTTCACCCCGTATGTACGGTCGTCTCTTTGCGGATGCTACACTCATTCTTAAGCTTCAGGGAAATGTACTCATAGATGGTTCAGGGAATCCATGCCTAACTGATTTCGGTCTTGCAACAATCGAAGGAGAAGTGGATTTGCAGTTGAATTCGACCACCGTCGAACGCAGTTTCAATTCTCGATGGCGAGCGCCCGAAGTCCTTGGAGTGGAATTGGAATGTAATCCTCAAAAACCGACTTTCATGAGTGATATATATTCTTTTGGTGGCGTCATGTTCTTTGTACGATTTCTCTGTTTTTGCAGCTCCGTACTGAGTTTTCTCATCTCAGATTGTCTCGGGAGATATACCATGGAAAGAGAAGAAACACGTTCAAATCTGCGTCACGCTATCGAGTAAAGTCTTACACGCACGTCCCGAAAACATCCTCGACGATCACTGGAACTTGATTCAGAAATGCTGGTCATGGGAAGCGGGTCATCGCCCGAGGGCCACGAAAGTTCTTCAATATATCGATCAGTTTAGGACCGACAACTGGCAGGGTCGACAACTTAAGGTTCTCGCTGGTCAGGGTCTGGTAGACCTGACAGGTCAGATCGATGGTACAAAGGCCGACTTGGTTGCTGTAGGTGATTTTGGGATAGTTTGCAAATGTGAATGGAGACGGCCGACGGGTCCTATGATGGTCTGGACAGTGCTAGTACACACTGATGATATATTTATTGATTATCGCGCTGCAGGTTGCAGTAAAAGTAATCGAGGTTCACTTGTCAGAGCTAGATTTGCAGGTGAGAATTTGCTAATTCTTCTGTCATGTACAGCTTATCGTGGATTTGATAGGGATTTCGACATGTGGCTGAGAATTTGGCTGTCTTCATGCACGACAACATCGTTCCTGTGTTTGGGACGACAGCAGGATTTGGGCCATCTCCAGCTCTTGTTCTTCCATGGTTACAGAGCGATACACTGCTCCGTCTCATCGCGGAACAGGGTGCTGCATTGAACCTTAGGTCGAGGCTAATTTTAGTGAGTCGCCTGTTTAGGTATAACTTTTGTATCTCAACTTGATTTTCGTGTCGTTAGCTTCATGGTGTGGTGTCTGGCCTTTGCTATCGTTCGTCTTTCATTCATTCTAAGCTTGCTTTCACTGATATAGTTGCTATCAGTTCATGGGTTGGGTATGGTACACGGAAACATTACGAGTGTTCGTTCATCTTCTTGACATGGAACTTTTCTGACAGAGAGTTCCAGTCTAACGTTCTGGTTGACATCAAGGAAGGAGAATATGTAGCACTTTTAACAGGCTTCAGTTTGGCGACAATTTTCAGTGGTCGTTTAGGTGACCGCACATTCGGATCAAATGTTCGAACTGGTGCCATCAGGTGGATCGCACCCGAATTGCTGAAGGCACATGACCAACCTGCTAATGGTGCACCGACCACGCAAACCGACATTTATTCATTTGGTCGCGTCATGTTTCATGTGAGATTTATAGATCCAGCAAACTTACGTACCTTTAACATGATCGCCCGTGCGCAGGTGTTAACACTGGTCATTCCTTGGAATGATATGAACGACATCGCAGTTCTTCAAAGAATTCTAAAAGGAGAAGACATTTCCCGTCCTGCGACATCCGATATGACAACCGCACGCTGGAATGAGATTGTGCAATGTTGGTCGTCTGACGTATCTGCTCGTCCTTCTGCCACAATGGTCATGAACTTCTTGAGGAGCGAACTGGAGGCTTTGACAGGTCACGTATGTTCATGAGTAATCTCTTCGCGCGGGACCAGATTCTTACTCTCTCACAGGATATCTCTGTCGGCGGAATGGGAGAAAGTCATTCAAATACAATATTTGATGCAAAACAAAGAACTACGTTTATTAATACCATGCGCTCCAAATCCAAGGCCATGCAAAATGAAAGGGGTCGACGTATTTTAACAGTCAATCTTCTCACGCTCTCAGGCTCCCAAAGAGGATTTTCCTGGGGAACTCGGAAAACCGCAGTGACTACGGCAGCGCGTTCCGATACCGCCTATGACGCCTCCTGCACCTCGAGTCAACAGGACACAGGGCGGTTCACAGGGAACACAAAAGTCCCTGAGTGCATCACCCAGTCTAGGGATCACGACTCACAGGTTTGACGGCCCACTGGTATCCGAATCAGTGGCGGATCCTGATGTATTTTACTTAGGCATCCACCTCGGAACTTCCACCTCTGTAGGTGTTCATATTGAAACAAGTCTTCATTGATTCAGTTCCGTCGTAGTCCCGAAATACAACTAGCACTAGCAGAAGATCTGACAGGTCAGATCTTCGGTGGAATAAATGACTACGTTGCCAGTGGTGCATTCGCAACCGTTTACAGATGTGAATGGAGAAAACCGTCGGGCCCCGTCAAAAAGGTCTGGCCAGTGGGCAGCGCTGGCGTCACTTGCTGATCAGCCTGTCCATTACCGTACTACAGGTCGCAGTAAAAAGCTTCAGGTACCACACGAATCCCATCTCAGAGCAGGACTTAAGAGTGAGGGTCTATTTTTTCTGTTTTGAACACTATTTTACGTGGACTCGCTAGAGGTTTCGACGAGAAACTGCAATATGGGCACACCTCGTCCATGACAATATCGTCACACTTTATGGAACGACAGAGGAGTTCGGGCCAACCACAGCCCTTGTCTCCCAGTGGTTTCCGGATGGCACGCTGTCCCGTCTGATCAGAGAACAGGGCGCTGCATTAACCATCAAATCTAAATTGAAGCTGGTAACTTAGACCTGTTTAGCTGCAATGGACCTCAACTGAATTATCCATATTCACTAGCTTCACGGCATAGCATCCGGGCTCTACTATCGTTTGTATTTCCTTCACGGTCGTCTTATTTCAATTGATAAATTTGCCATTAGTTCACTCTTTCCCCGTTGTTCACGGTGATATTGCGAGCGTGAGCTCATCCTTTCTACATTCAATTGCACTCACTAAACAACGCAGTCTAACGTTTTGGTAGATTTCAAGGAAGGACAATACAAGGCTTGCCTAACGGACTTCGGTTTGTCGAATGTCCTCTGTGGACGTTTAAAAGAGTGGCAAATTGAAGAATCAACTGTTTGGCCTGGTGCAATCAGGTGGACTGCACCTGAGTTGCTCAGGCCAGGTGATCCCCCTTCCAATATTAAACCGACTACACAGAACGACATGTATTCCTTTGGTCGTGTCATGTTCCATGTAAGTGTAAGCGTTTTGAGCCCACAAAATTACATTTAATGTGTCATTCATCCCAGTTGTTGACTCTGATTATTCCTTGGCATGATATTGACGAGTACAAAGTCATTCAAAAAATACAAAATGGAGAGGATGTCCCGCGTCCTGAGGTATCCGAGGCGACGTCCGACGTCACAGACGCCCGCTGGGATCATATCGAGCAATGTTGGTCAATTGATCCATCTGCTCGTCCATGTGCCCTCGCGGCTATGAACTTCATAACGGGGGAGCTAGAGGCTTTGAACCAAGATGTAAGCTCATGACTTGTCTCGTCACGTAGGAGTACAGTTTCTGACTCCGATAGGATGTCCTTGTGGACGAGGTACAAGAAAGCCATCAAGATCCATACTTGGTCACGGAGCAGGTATGAACTCGCCAGCTGGTAGTTGAAGTAATTGGGTTTAAATGTCTCATCAACCAGGCTGAGATTTCGACCGTACTGCTGTTCCGGTCTTCCTCGCGAACCATCGTTCCGTCACGTAAAAGTGCCCTCTTTAATCCTCTAGTATACCATCCCTTATCTACCCCTTTATCTACGGTGAGCGTCCACCGTGCATTGTTTTTATATGTCCTGATCCTTCTACGTGGTCAAGTCACTTGCCGGTCCTTTGAATGTGTTGCTTTTCGGGGAGACTGGAGTTGGAAAAAGTTCCATCATCGACTTGATTATGGGACGCGACGTTGCACAAACGTCGCCCGATCAAGAAACTTGCACATTGCAGCATACCTCCCACGAAGTCAGTCTTGCAGAACGCCGATTCAAACTTTGGGAAGTTTCCTCAATCGAATCAATGGGTTCTTTCCGGGCCCTTTTGGCAAAATGGCGCCTAGAAAAGTCGTACAAGAAGCTGTACAAAGATGACGGGGTCTACCTTCTTTTGTATTGCATGAGGGGATCGAGGGCGCAGAGGGCACTGCTCAGGGATTATAAGTTCTTCACTGACATCGTTGGCTCTACGGCCACTGCGGCAGGCGGCGTACCTGTCGCCGCTGTGGTCACCTCCTTGGAAGATTATCCTAAGGACATGGATAATTGGTGGACGAAGAACAAGGACAATCTGGAAGGCCTCGGAATGCGGTTCTCCGCACATGCTTGTATCACTTCTCTCTCTGACGATCTAACATCTTCACCTGCAATGCGCGCACGTCGAAATCGATCAGAACAAGTTATTCGCCATCTTATTTATGAGTCCTGCAGAATAGGCATCGAAACACCTCGCAGTTCCAGTCCTCTATGAAAAGTTGTCAAACTTGCTTGCGCAATATGGTTCTCGAATGTTGGCCTCTGTATGGCTACTACACGTAATACTTCGAGGTACTCTAGCCCATATATAGTTGGTACGATGTAATTGCTTCAATCTTTCCATACATATAATTTACTGCCAAGCAAAATACAAAGTATGTAAAACGCACGCCCACAACGGACCAAGATCCCGGATCAATATCAGAGCAACAATGCAAGAAACCGTGTTTGACTACAAAATTTGAATCAAACATTCGACCGAGTAATATCAATATACAGCACCACAGCAGGTCTGTGTGTATCGAATAAATCCAAAATCGAAGTCACAAGTCATGTTATTGCAAAATGCATGTCAATGATCAGAAAGATGTCGGTGATGTGTCGTAGCAGGGTCGTCAGAAGTAAGATGGTTAAAACATGATAATCGGAAAAGTGAAGGGACAGGAATGAAAAGAAAAAGGAACACAACGATGAAACCAGACAGGAGTCCGAGAGAAAAGAGAAAACTCTAGAGGAAACTCTTCCTCTTCTTCTTCTTCTCTTCCTTCTTCAAAGCCGCAATCTCAACATGCGACTCATCCACACTCTCCCTAGCACTTCCGGTAGGAGGCGTAGACGCACTTCCACCCGCGGTACCACTTCCACTGCTCGCCAGACTCACGTCTCGTACGTGAGTGTCCCGGCGTAAAACGCCAGGCAGTTTCGGAGCTTTACCGCTAAGACTGATCTTCCTCGCAAGTCTCTGGATGTTATGTGTCGAGAGGGCTCTCCTAGGCTCAGGTGAACTCGCCCGCGGAGGCGTGGTCGCTTTTGCGTCAAACGTAACATTCGCGCCATGCACATGCGCGGGTATGGCTGAACGCTCTGGATGGCTGTGAGTGGAAGGTGAGTCGGACATGGATACCGTCGTCGGGAACGTTTGGGGTAGGTCCTCGGAGATGGGGAATGATATGCGCGCGCTCGGGACTGGCAGGGATGCTGGGACGACCTGGGGAGAATCGACGGCTACACGCTCTTCGACTTCAACTGCTGTGCTCCGGGTTTCAGATTCGGGTACGTCTACAACAGGGGCATCGTCATCGGCATCGTATCCAGCTGGAGCCTTGGGATCTTCGGACGCGCTGATCTGGTCTGCCCACATGGATGCAAAGAGGCCGTTGAGTTCAAGAAGCTCCCTATGTGAGCCCTGTTCAACGATCCGTCCGTCCTTGAGAACCATAATCCTTCAAAAGAAAACAAATCAGCACCGCATCACCAAGAAAGCACTCAAAAAAAGCACTCACACATCAGCTCCCTTAATCGTACTCAACCGGTGCGCAATACTCAAACAACTCCTGCCATTTACAAGTCTCCCAAGCGCACCCTCCAACACCCCGCGCTCTGTCGCACTGTCCAACGCACTAGTAGCCTCATCCAAAAGTAACACCTTCGGGTTCTTCACCATAGTCCTGGCAATCGCCACCCGTTGCTTCTCACCACCGCTCAGCCTCACTCCCCTCTCCCCGACCTTCGTCTCATATCCCTCTGGGAAACTCATGATACGGTCATGCATCTGAGCAGCTTGGGCGCTTGAGATGATGGTGCTTTCATCAGGGGGAGTGGTGGATGGTTGGCCATAAGCAATGTTATACCCGATGCTGGCGTTGAAGAGCACGGGGTCTTGGGGTACGACGCCCATTGCGCGACGCAGGCTTGAAAGCGTCACTGTGCGGATGTCTTGACCGTCAATTAGGATACGCCCTGAGCCGGGTTGGAGGTCGTAGAAGCGGTAGAGGAGGCGCAGGATGGTGCTTTTGCCGGCTCCGCTTTCGCCGACAAGGGCTACGCGCCCGCCGCGGGGAACTTTGAAGGAGATATTGTGCAGTGCGGAAGTTTGGTCGTCGTAGGAGAAGGATACGTTCTCTGTGTTACGTTAAGATGAATTTATGGAAACTTAGAATGAGGGCTACGCACCAAATTCAACTTCGCCGTTCGAGACTTCCAATTCCTTAGCATCAGGTGCATCAACCACTTCAGTGGGCTCATTGAGAAGGTGAAGCAATTTCTCGGTATCGATGAGGCTTTGGTTGATTGCGCGGTATACGCCGCCGAGGTTCGACAGAGGGAAATAAAGCTGATGTGGATGGCATCGGCGTAGTTGTGATTAGAAGACGTCAGCTTCATACGACACGAAAGAGATAAGGTACCCACCTGCGCATAATAAGTGATGAACACCACAAAATCGCTAGTATTACTCTGTCCCCTTGTGATGCGCGACGCGACGATCAAGGAACCGACCAGAAGACCAGAGGTGATGATGAGCGTTTGCACGAGGTTCAGGAGGTTGAGTGATACTACAGGTGTGGTCAGCATTTGCGTTCGCCATTGAAATGAAACACAGGTTTGGTTTGAAAATAAGAAACAACTTGGAAGCGAGACGCGGTTTTTTGAAATGAGATGAAGTAAAAACACTCACGAACAACCCTCTTCTCCAAACTCTGATACTCCTCGATAGCCTCCGTATATCTCTGCGCCTCATACTCCTCCCCACCGAAATACTTGACAGTCTCATAATTGAGGAGACAATCCGTATGGATCCCACGCATGTTCTGAGCAGGCATAGAATCAAGACCCTCTCCATAGAGAACGAATAGCACTGAACACTTACCACATCCCGCTCATTCATGAGTCTCCGTATCCTAGTCCTATACCTCGTAAGCACGACGCTCGCCCAGATATAACTCGCCATCACGACTCCAACCACAGCGCCCAACGCAGGTTCGAACTTGACGATAAACACAACGAGCGCAACACATATATCCACGAGTGCAGGAACCACTGTGAACCCAATAAGCTCGCCAACGCGGTTTATTGCGCTTCCTCTATCGAGAATACGGAGCAACTCGCCAGTCTTGCGTTTGGTATGCCAGCTGAGAGAAAGAGCCAGGACATGGTTGAATGAGAGCATCGACATGCTGCGGTCGCTGTATTGCATGAGTGGAATCCAGAGTGCATCGCGGAAAGCTGCGAGACCGCCTGAGGAAGCGAGGAAGCGGAGCACGACGTAGGCGATTAGGTACGGCCATGGGCTTGAACCGAATGCAGGGAATGGAACTACGCCTGGTGTGTCGAATGTGGTGATGAGTGCGCCAAGTACGAAAGGAAGAAAGGCGTTGACTACGCGTCCTAGAACAAGGATAAAGAAACAAGCCAACTGCAGAACTATCAGTTTGGGTGATGAAAATGCAAGGGAGATACGTACCGCGATGAATTGCAGCTTTGGATAGCGGGAAGGCCAGAGATGAGGCGCGATGCGAGACAGACGAGAGAAGAGTTCGCGCCATGAGGGATCGACAGCTACTTCGCGTGGGGTTGTCTGTGGAAACGTTAGGTTGCGTTACACTAGATTGACAGCCCTGCTAACCTTATTTGGCTCTCGTACACCTGGAACTGGGGAGGCGCAGCGAGTGGTAGGACCGCTTCTGGACGTAAAAGTGCCATATTTGGCGGTACTACTGGGGCCGTCAGGGTCGGCATCTTCTGGTTGCAGCAACAATGATTGATGAGGAACTTGCTGCGATATGAGAGGAGCGGTCTCATCAACTTCTTCTGTGTAACCATGTGATTGGGCAGCAAGGTAAATGACACGAGGGAAAAAGAGCGCCACGAGGAGAGGAAGGAGTGCAAGTACACGTGCAAGAGGCAGGACACCATGCAAAAGATTGGGTACACATGACCGGATAGGCGACGTGCAAATATGATGCAAGTCTGAAATTGATTGATAGAGTTAATGAATTGAAATGATAAGCGAGTAGGAACGGACCTATTCTCATCAAGGAGAGGACGACCTGGACGATGTCAAGTGCGAGAGCGATAGCTATTGCGACCTTAACTCGACTTCGATTCCAAATCCCGTCATCGCGCGTGTCCTTCCATGCGCCTAGAGCTGCCAAGCCGGCATACGCTAGCAAACCCAAAACACTTGCAATTTCGATGCCAGTGCCTTTAGGCCAAACTTTGTTAAGGACAACAGAGACGACGTATGCAAGACCATCTGCGAAAAAAGTGAAAGCGCTGATACTGAGAAAAACAAGAATGAGTGTTCTCCGTGGGACGCGAGATGCAACGACGACGGGTGTTATTGGACTTTGAGTTTGGTGATCAAGGCGCTTAGAAGATATGAGGGAGAGGGTAGCTAGGAAGACGACGGCGGGAGAGGCGACGCGCGCACCGAGTAGCACGGCAGCGGCGATGGGGACGGGTTGCATGGTCATCGTCCAAGAATCAAAACCTAGCAGGGAGGCCTGCCACCGATTTTTTTTTTGATGGACAGTCGGGTTTTGATATAAGCTTGTGGCTGTGCTTAGTACTAAACTCTGTTGTGATATCACAACGCGTTAGGCACGCGGCACGCGAGTACACGGAACTAAACGTCAACGAGGGGACTGGTACAGGCGACGACGAGGCTTCAACTGGCGATGTTAAAAGTTAGTAATGATAAAGTTAAGTGACGCTCAACCAAAATATACGTGGTTGGACAAGCCCGGGCATCAGCTCGGGCAAGAAATTCGATTATCTGTGGTCTGACACGTGGCAAATGACCTTGCCTCACCTCCTCCGCATTTCATTCATTTGTCATAGCCGATTACTAGGCTTGCTGCGCATACGGTACAAATAGTACGTCCAAGCTGTTTCCATTCCACCCTTTCACATCGAACACGCGGATCATGTCTCCTATCGCTGTTCATGAAGAAACACTGATGCTCAGCCCTCTCCATGCGATAACAGCGAGGCGACTGAGCCCTCTCGTTAAATCGTCTTTGACGGGTTTGCCATGCATAATACCTCTCCGTTCAAAGTTCTGTCATGATAACAACCAACCCCTTTCGGGCTCGACTGCGCCCCAGCATGCCAAGACCGGTTCAGTCCCCGAGGTCGTCGTGTACAACAACCCTCAGGATTCCCAACTACGTTACCCCACCCGATGCTGTAAGTCTTTCCCGGCCCTCCGTGACTCATCTAGGCCCATGGAACCGAATTCAAAGTCAACGGGTACAAGTATAATTATCACCTCATACCTCGCACACCCCGTCGGTTACGCATCATATCCACCCTGTTCGCTCGCAATTCGCCCGCGCGCATGCTTAACATACAGGAAGCCCTCCTAGTATGTCATTTCGATGACTTGGAAGTCTTATCTTGTTCGAAATCAACCCAACGGGTCTGCGATTCTTGTCGGCCGAGCATCATATCCGTATGAAGGGAACAATCCGGGTTTTTTTCCTGCTTCTCCCCTTCTACTCATCCATTCAGCCAGCGTTTAAACGGATCACGTTTTGAAATACCTTTTTATGATTTCATTATCACTTTCGAAGCACAGTACATATCTACCAGATCCCTGTGAATCCCCTCGCCGATCCACGTGACCTTTCGTAATTCCACCTAGATGACGATTGACGTTACTCGGATACTCAATGCCGATCCACGTATGACCCCTACTAGGGACTGAGTTCCCTTGCTCACCTACTCACTCCGCCTCCATATCTACCTGTGCCGAATCGCCACTCTATTCCCCCGCTTCACCCCAACAAATCCAAAATATTACTCACTCATCAACGTTTAACTCCAAGCCCCAAACCACACATACAATCACATGAATCAATCAACACAACAGCATGACTTGCCATCACCATACCAACCAACCAAGCAACCTGGCAGTACCTCGGTCATGACATTAACAACGATCCATTGACACCTCGGGCTCATCCCCCATGCCCGGGTTCATTTTACTGTCGAATCGGATATGCATGTGTAACTAGATCTCATCGTACATTTTAAATTGGATGCCGGATGACATCATCCATAGTTCTGTCAATCTCATTGATTGACTAGACTGTGCTTGCGTGGTAGGCTGACAGGTATTGTCGGAGCATCGGTGTGAGTGCTAATGTGGTAACCTGGGTGAGTACTCGGTGAAAGTGGTTTGATCTTTTGACGAATGAGAGCTTGCAGGAGATGCGATAACTCATTAGCCTTTGCCAAGTAAGTTACCACTCTCTGACGTCTTCCAACACCTACTTCACACACTTGACTGCTTCCTGGTTTACCCCAATAGGACTTCACGTTACAGTCTCACGGGCACTTTGTAAGCAATCTATTGTCGAAACCTGCACTAGTATAGTGCGAGGACTCAATTCCAGCACAATGGATGCCGGACACTGACATCATTCATGGTTCTGTGTCAATCTTGCTGATGCTAATCGGGGGCCGGACGCATACAAGAGCAGCATTTGCAGAAAAGTCGGTGAGTGAGTACCCTATTGATGTTTGATGTGATATCGACTTCAATCAAAGTCGTTCGGGCGCACTGATTTAGAACAGAACGTTATAGTCCAGTTTCGTCCCTGCACAGACATGCAAGATTCCTACTAGTGCAGTTCGGAAACGGCCGTACACGGATGATAATTGTGACTAAGTGGGTTTGGGGTTCGGCCCATGCTAAAGGCTGACCGAACCTGGGAGATGAAGCTTCCTGTTTCCCCAGTAGTCCAACCTGTAAAGCACCGCCGGTAGGTCATGAGAATGCAGCTGGTCAGGTATAGACTTGATTGCAGTCGTGCACGGACCATTTACTCCCACTGGCTCAGTGGTATTCTCCTGACCCCCAAACAGAACGAGAAGAACGGCGGGGTAGGGGTAGCCCCCTGACAATAAATTTCGCAGGTCCGAAAGCGGTGCCACTAGCGCTTCTAGCGTCCCTCTCGCCCTAGTCAAGACCCTTATCTTAGGAGGCGGATGCCTGCGGCAGCTGCAAAGGACACGGTCTACCTCGCGACGCTCAACTGGACGCTCTGTCTTTGGCTTCACTTTGTAGCTAGTCTTCATTTGTTAAGGTTTTTACCACTCTCTTACGTCGTAGACCGACGCTTTCTAACTTAACTTACACACTTAGCATCGTCTGGGTTTACTTACCCCAACAGGCTTTCCACATCAAGGAAAGCCTTATAATGCTGACGTCACTTCGTAGCTAGTCGCTAATTATCGTCAACGTTCTTAGCGCTCTCCTACGTCGTAAACTGACGCCCTCTAACTTAACTCACGCACTTACCATCGTCCTGGTCTACCCGAACAGGCTTTCCCGTCAAGGGAAGCCTTATAATGCTGTCGACTATCGATTCATTCCCAGCCTAAACAGCGCATCCGATTTCTGGCAAATTCCCTTCAGAGTCAAGTCGCATTCTGTTTTATCTCCACAAGTACTCGTGCGTCGGAAATCCAAATCCAAATGCACTAGGATAACTCTTGTCGACACTTTCTGCAAGGCCAAGACGTGTTATCACAACTATTGGACTATCTATTCGCAACCAAATGTACTGAGAAGTATTTTGTTTTGAATCGATAGTCAAATGTTGTGCGAGGATATTCCGATGTTCATTTTGGGACGTCCAGTCCTCCGACTTGAAACGTCTGGCCTGCAGCATGTACTATATGCACACTCATTCATGGGCCATCGCATTTGATCCTGACTTTGATGTCTCCTGAGGTGAGTGGTACGTTGGACAAGTTGGTGGGGAATTATACGGCGAGCAGAGGGGACGGTGATGTGCTCATACGACACTTCAGTTGCATTATGACAAAACCGACTGCGCAAACTCGTATCGCCCGTATTCTGGAAGTCATTCGATCTTGTTTATTGATACAATCCACTTGTAGCTGTGGAATTTTTCGACCGGAGATAGTAATGTTACGATCCTATTTGCGTCAGTAGACCTTCCGTCAGTTGCGAGAGCAAGTGACTGGGCAGGCATGTCTTCGAATGGACTTCACGGATTTCCCCGCAGACAGCCCAGAAAATGCCAGAGAGGGTTTGGTTCTGGAAGTCATTCGATCTTGTTTATCGACACAATCCACTTGTAGCACTGAAATTTTTCGACTGGAGATACTAGTGTTACGATCCCTATTTGCGTCGGTAGACCTTGCTTCAGCTGCGAGAACAAGTGACTTAGTAGGCCTTTACGGGTATCCCCGCAGACACTCCCATATCAAGGAGACGCCCAGAAAATGCGACAGATTGTTGTACAACTGGTGCAATGAAAAAAGCAAGCTCATGAGTGCAGACCTTCAAATCGTTTCGTCTAATGAGAGTAAAATATGACGGAAATTGACTGATTCTCACAAGCCTGTATCCCTGTACAAATGTCGTTACGCACTGATAGTACGTGAACAAAGTTAACTTCAGTATGCTTATCTTGCAGAAGGTCCGTCCGGCATTTTACATGGAGAGTGAGATGAAAACGCACTCAAGATGACGCCAACTTGAAGCTTTGCGGGGTGACTGACCCTTTTGGTATACGGCGTGGTATGCTGCACTTATCTATCGGGCATCCGGAACTAGATGGGACGAGGAATAGAATTGGATTCCCTGATAACACTTTTGTTGTTGTCAGGACAGCAGCGCGTGGACTCGCTCTTCTATCCATAAATCAGTAGCTACTGGTGCCTCGCCGCGTTGTGTTGAATGAATTGAAGATCACCGTCCCTCACAAAAAGAAAGTGGATCAATTCCTTTTGATAGAAGGGATGCTGATCATTCGGGTCGTCTGGCGCAATGCAATTGCCACTGGAATCAACGAGCTTACAATCTGGATTCAAAATCTGGACTGTGCCCAGACGGTGATAGCTGGTACAAGGTGCGGGAATGAGTGCGTCCTGGGAAACCGAGTGTTTGGGACTATGTACGGCGAATGCCGATCTGGCGTAATGAATTTTCCCCTGATTTGAACGATTTGAGTTTGATCGTGACAGATTATTAGCGCACTTACCAAAACGTCGGGCCATGTGTCGCGTGCTCGCAGTCTAGACAATTGTCTTTGTTGTTGGCATTTTCAAATCAGGTCTTGCTTGGCTCTGCCACAGCGCTTGCAAGTAATGAATATGAACACCAAGCGCGTTTTTGACGCAGTGGCGCAGGAAGGAATGCACTTGGATGAGATCCGTTAACTGACCTGCAATACAGCACCACTTGTATACGTCCCGGAGAGTCCATTCAAGAATACGAAATTGCGAGAACGTTCAGGAGTTATGGTGAACATTTACCACGCAAGGTACACGGCAGTACGGTAGATGCCGTGGACGCGGCTGCAGAGGGCTCCTGCCGGTAAACAAAGCGACTCCGACACGCAGACCATGTGATTAAACCGAATCAATATTGTAGGGCGTAGCTCCTATGTGAATCCAAAACATTGAACGAATGAATGTAAACACATGATATGATACGGGGAGGTGGGAGAAGACGAGCCACGATTTGAAATCCAACTCAACCCTCAAAAATTTATTTGTGTATAGGTACTGAACGGACCACCCCGTTAGCCGATACACCGGATATTGCTGCCGATAAATATACTCCTTGCACTTACTTGCACCTATCAATTCAATCCACTGGAACGTTGATAACGCTGCCAAGTCCTTTTCAACGCCGCACAAATCCTTCTACTCGGATACTGCCGAGCGTTAACGAGGCGGGGTCGCCCGTGTCAGGTTCGTGTCTGATAGAGAATTCAAGTTGACATGAGCCATCTAGATGGACTGTCATCGCTAAGCCTAGCTCCTTTTGATCGCGTTGATGACAGAAGGCCTTGAGGTCGCCGTCTTTGCTAACCTGCCAAGCATAAAATGACTCTTTGTGGTGGAACGCGGAGGTAACTCGATCAATACAATCCTAAATCGGGAATTAGTCTGGAGCAAACCCATTAGAGTTCAGACCGGAGTTTGAAATAAAGGGGCTTGAATATAAGGGTGATCGTCGATAAATCCTTGTCACTTAAACTCTCTTTCAAACCTCCACGTTCCGTTACAGGTCTCCGTTTCGTTCAGTTCTCGTGTAACAGTTTTCGAGACTCTATTGTATTACCAGTGATCTCCTTCACTATGTCACAATCAAGTGCAAAAATCTACGTTGGGTCAGTCTATATTGTCCGACTTGTTTTGCAAGCGCTTCTCCTGTCTCCCCGGCGGAGAGAAGCGAAACTGATACCTTAAATTCTTTCCTTCTTCATCCAGAAATTTGAGTTGGAACACCACTGATGACACATTGCGCAATGTCAGTTATATACGATTGTGACCGGCGGGCTCTTGATTCCAGGCTGCTTCGCTATGTCATCTTCGTCTGAAATTGTTCTCGAGTTGCATGTTCTTACCCGTTTTCGGTCTTGGGACCTTGCACAATATAGGCTTTCAGCAGTTATGGACCAGTGCTTGACGTGCGCGAGTTATCTTACCCAGTCGTCCTTTTTGATTGAGTTGATCCGTTCAGTCTATTGTCATGCGTGACCGTGACACTGGTCGTTCCCGAGGTTTTGGCTTTGTCACCTACGGGACCACTGAGGAAGCAAACCATGCTATTGCCAACATGAATGAGCAGGAGCTTGATGGCAGGAGGATAAAAGTAAACCTTGCTAATCCCCGTAGCTCCGCAACAGGTGGTGGTGGCGCAGGCGGCAGCGCAGGATTTGGAGGTGGTTATGGTGGCGCCGGCGGCGGCTACTCTGGTTCGTAGCAAGTTTGCAAACATAGCAAGCGTCTTGAACATGTTTTCAGGTGGTGGCGGATATGGTCAACAACCTGCCTATGGAGGTCAGGGCGGCTATGCTGGAGGCCAAGGTGGGTACGGTCAAGGTGGCTATGGAGGAGGCTACCCAGGTGAGACCACTTTACATGTATCTTTCCCATTTTTGATGTCATTTCCAAGCCGCGGGGTATGCAGGCGGTTTTGCTCCCACTGGTTACAGTACCCAGCAAGGTTATGGTCAGCAAGGTGGAAATGGCAATCCAGGTTACGGTCGCGGTTATTGATCAAGTGTTGATCATCTCTGGCACGTACATTCCTTATCTCCACTATCGAAATAAGCTGAAGCATGTGCTACCAGCTTTCCCTTTGGACATATCATGCTGTTTTCTTATTCACATCCACAGCCTACTTGCACATGTCCAGTGTTCTTTCTCCTCTCATCTTTAGTCTGAACTCTATTACGATTCAGCTTGTACTTGTATGTTAAGATATATCCATCCCATGCCCTCACCATCCATCATAGCGCTTTTCCAGATTCAGAAGGAACGACCTGTCTTTTTATAAGTATAGGAGACTAATGTCCTGTATTTGGGAGGGGTATTTTAGGTAGTGTGTGCTCGGCAGTTGATGTCATAAAGTCATCCAACTATAACAGGTTAGAACGAACCATGATGACCGAATGCGAACTGTCCGTTAACCGAAAGGAACGCAAATCTAAAACGCAGGGACTCTCAATATATTTAAATTTCATTACGACCCCTCTGCCCTGGGGTTCCAAGGGCACGGGCCACGCGTCTCAGTCGTGCGCAGTTGAGTCAACAATAGTCACGGGCCACGCGCTCGGAGTACCTCAGTCATGCGCAGCCAAGTCAATAAATAGTCACTGGCAGGACTCCGCATGTTCGTAGCGTAACATCGCCCGTCTCCTCGTCCGCATAAACTGCTCTCCACCGCGTTAACGAAAATACTAAGATAGGTAAATAGAGCACTGCGAGTCTCAATTCCTTCAAGCCCTGTCAACGCGCACAACCCGAAGAACATCATTCGTCTTCAAGACTTTGTCTCCCCTCTGGAACGGGAAGCACACAATTCGGCGTGTCTTCGTTACGTCCCCCCCTCAAGCCAAGGAACTATCACTAGAATCCGCTTCGCTTCCATCACGGACACCTGTTCCCTCAACACGACCTCGAACCGTGTCGGTATGGTAAAACACCAAAACAGCTAGCGCAGCAACAGAGATGCACCCGAGCATTAACCAAAACCCAGCAGACTGGCCTTCATAATTCGACGGCCCCCCATTCCCAGCTTGCACGCTCGTCTGGATAGAGCACACGGCAGCCAATCCGACAGCGGAGCCGAGTTGCAGACCGCAGTTGAACATGGCGCCTACGGTGCCTGCCATGGAGGGGGGCGTGGCTCGGAATATCGCGATGCTGTGAGTGGATGTTAACGTGCGTGCTGTGAGAATGAGAATGAGAGTGAGACGCACTTTGCGGAGATGTTGGTTAGCATTGCGCCGGCTGAACCGATGATGAAGCCGGGGAATACCAATGGCCAGTACTTGTTAGGTCCGTCTGCAAAGGCAAACAACACCAGTGCCGTCATCATCATCAGTGCTCCGCCTAGTATCAGCCACTTGGCGCTCATGCCCCTGAGCCCCTTTAGCCTACTGGCAAAACTGAAGAGAAATGCAGTAATGCCTATTGGAAGCCTGGAAGAACGTTGGCGTCGTCAGATCACTACACTCAAGCACACGGTCTTTACTCACATGTGGACAGCAGAGGACATGGCGCTCCATCGGTAAATATCTTGCCACAGGGACACGTAGGTGGTGAATATATTTGCCCACCAAAAATATGGTAGGAGAGCCGTTCCGAATAGAACAGAAAAATTCGGAATGAACCATGTGGAAGGCGGTCTACGAATCAGTCTAAATCAGAGAACCCTTGAACAATCGGAAAAACATACACGGCTGCGCATTCAATTGGCTGGAAGGCCTCCCAGTAGAAGAATGCAACAGTCATGGCAATGGAAAAGACCAGAGGCGCTAGTGTGGTAGCTGATCTCCAGCCTATCATAGACCCTGTCGTCACAGCAAATATAAAGAGTATGACAGCAACTGACCATGTGCTCAGTATGGTGTGAACAGACGATCTGAAATCATGACTGACCTGTAAGAATTGATATTCCAATAACATCAAGACTCCTGAATTTGGTGAAACCGCTCTTTCGAACCACATTTGTTGTTTGTGAAGGTATAAGCACCGTAGAAATGAGCGTGGTTGGTATGATCACCGTCGATACAAACCAGAATACCCAGCTCCAGCTGACATATTCGACGAAAAAGGCACCGGAAATTAAACCCAACACTGAGATATTCATCGTGAGTACCTAGACCACTTTAGGAAGTAGAGGTCGCTGACCGATGCCAATCGCCCCCCAAGCTCCAAATGCTGCAATAGCGAATCCTTGATGCCTAGGCTCAGGAAAAAGTCCGATGAGCAGTGCTAGAGCCGATGGTACGGTGAGCGATGCGGCTGCAATGATCCAGTGAGCCTTCAAGTTCATGACGGTGGCGAAGGGACGCAACCGATTCCACTTAGGGCTCTCAGTGAAAGGAATAAGATACCATCGGAGACGAAACCGATGCCGATACAGATTACCCCTAATATGAATTTACCGGTTATGAAGGTGTATTCTTCATTAAAAGTTAATCCGACGCCTGAAAATATAGCTTCTGGAAGACTGACTAGGGTTATAGATGTCGCTGATTTTCCCGCTCTGCAGATATGGTAAAGATCCTTTCGTCAGCTATGAAGGCAGGCCCGGGACTCACCATAAGGAGAAAAGATGCAAAAGTCAACTGGTATGCACTGATGATCCAAACTGACTGGCTTTGGGTGAAGCCAAACTTCCGGACAAGGGAAGGGATAGCGGAAAACAATGCCGAGTTGGTGGTCGTATATAAAAACTGTGTAATGCAGAAGATCAAAAGCAGAGTATATCTGCGCGCGTTCGAAGGCACGGGGCGCCGACCAGCAACTTCGCCATCGCCATCAGAGGTCACGGGTGACTCGGATTTGCTAGGCAGTGACGAGGCCATACAGAGTTTCTGTTCGTTCAGAGTCGTTCTGAAGACTCGGATGTTCTACTAGTAGAAAGGAGTGCGATAGACAGTTGGGAGGTTGAACTGGGCATTCCGATGGAAAACCCTTGACCCTTTTTATAATGGCTCTGGGTGCGGCCAAGTACTGTACAAATAACCACAGAAAGGCTGCCACGGACTCGGAGTCCGGACACGCGAAAATCCCTATACCCTATTGCCATGTCAGTATTTTTTTATCAATGGTTACGCCCGACCTCCGCTAACTTTGTTCAACCAAAGTTCTTGCCTTATCTCATCGGGAGAAGTGTCGGACTCGGGGGATCCACTAAGTAGTAACTTAGACAGCAATGTCGATTCCACGAGTCGTGGTGATTAATATTGAAGGGCGCAACGTGAGTACTTGGGAATACTAATAGCCAGAGACGACCACAGATGTTGATGTGGCCACATCGGAGTTGTTGATCGACTTGTCCCACATCCGAGCGAACAAAGTTGATGATCAGGGACTTCCATAATTGTCGAGTTCACATATGGCCACAGTCCACAGTCACGCGGTGCTTTAATATATATAAGGCACAAGCCTTCGCTTCAGCCTTCTCCTTAATTTGCAACACCTCGTACATTTCTTTCCAACTCCAACTTGCCGCCATGCCTCCAACTCGTTCAGCTAGCCAACAGCGCTTTCTTCCAAACGAATCGCCTACACGAAACGGCCGGCCGAAACCAAAACCAAACTCGGCTACTATTCCTGAACATGAAGTCATCGTTTTGTCTTCGGATAATGAGAATGCCCGGCCCAGCAAAATTGGTTCGTCATCAAGATCCAAAAGGAAGCCTTACAAGAAGCCCTATCCGACGCGCGAAGTTCTGGAGATATCGTCATCCTCGGATGAAGGACCAATGCTTCCAAAAGCGCTGGGAAATGATGGCTCATCTTGGCAGCGGGAGAATTCAAAAATCAAGCAGGTACGTCTCAGATGATCTGAATTTCAATTCTGTACTGATAGGAGGCCATTAGATGAGCGAAGACTTAGAGCGGCAGGTCGCTGACCAGCGCATACAACTCGACAATTTGAAGATGCGTCTCGAGGAGCAAAATCAAGAACTTGTTGCACAATCTCAGGAAATTGATGCCAGTCATCAGGAGATCCACTTGCAGCGGGAGAAACTTGCTGCCTTGCAAGCAAAAGGCACATCGGAATCGACCATAGTACGCGCTCTTTTCTGTCTTTCCTCGTGCTCTTCTAACTTATATATTTAGGATGCTACCAAGTTGGGCGACATGCTATCTTGCGATATATGCGCGCATTTGATGTACTCTCCTTACCTGTACGTTCTCATTTTCACTTGCTTTCTATGTACTAACCTGTTTGCCCTAGTCTCCTTGATTGCGGACACTCTTACTGCGAGGGATGCCTCAAAGGCTGGTTCGACGAAACACTCACTAAACATATTCGCGCACATCCCGGATACAACGTGAACCGCCGATTTGTGCCTCGGAATCTTCCTCAAGTTCTTAACGCCATTGGTCCATACATCTCGTATCAGATTCAGATGACGCTGCAGGCGATGTATAATGTTTCCCGACAACAGCAGCCAGAGTATACCTGTCCAGGATGTCGGACGGAGATCACAGGAAAACCGGTTGTAAACTTTGTAGTCAAAGATATGGTTTCGATCGTCGGGAGCGTTCTTCGGCAACCTGACACTCGCCGGGAGTCTTCTAATATTGGTCATGGGCAGCAGGCAGGTCCATTTGACGGCTTTTTCCCTCGATGATTAGCTCTAGTGTACTGTACAGAAATTCTCCATCCTTCTACGTTATTTGCATATTCTATCATACGTATGTATACCATAAACTAAACTATGGTACAACACCTGCACTGTATGCATCATTATACCAGACACAATGTAAACAAGACAACATGCTGATTCACATGATCAAGACGGGCCAAGAAGATATATATAACTACTTTGTCTTTGGTTTGGGCTTCATTTTGGCCTTCTTCAGGTTTACTGATGCAGGCCCCTCAATTATTTCGACTTCGTCGTCATCATCCACAGAAGCCGAAGCTTTTCGTTTGCGCCCTGCTGCTGGACCAGAACCAATACTCTCCCCGGTACCCTCCCTCGTAGAAACGGCAGACCGATTGCCCGAGAGCGACCCTGGACTACGACGTACCGAACTGACTGATCCCCGAGAACGCACTGACGAAGCAGGCGATGCCCTTCTCGACCCAGGCTTCTGCAATCCAAAAATAGGCAGAGTCCCCAGCTCGTCTTCCCCCTCTCCTATCCCGCGCTCCCCAGCACGAACGTCAGAGTGCGCTGGAAGTCGTGTTTCGCGCCAGTCTCGATGGAACACGCTCTCGGCCGTTATGTTATCCTCAAAGACACCTTCTAGTCTCGTTGGTACGCAACGCTCTTCATCTTGCACATAGCCCATCAAATGATCGCCCGTGGCCTTCGCCCCGAACAATTCGAGCGATAGAGAGGCATTGTTTCGGATCACGCCATCGTCTTTGTCGAGGTTCTCAATCCATTCCCATGGGCGGTTCTGAACAGGTGCGCCGTAGACGAGGAGGCCTGTGCTGTCTCGATGAGCGTGGGCGAGATCTTGGACAACGGCATTCGGCCGGAGGTGTGGAAAGAGTGTCAGAAGTCGTATACGATGTGAACTAGGGAGGGAATGCAGATGAGGTGACTGAAGTTTCGTGGGGTAATACTTGAATGGGTCTGGCGATGAAGTTTTGGAGTGTAGGAAAAGATCTATGATGATTGCGTTTAAACGAGGGAGAACACAGCGATTGGAGATCAGCATACCGTCTATGAGGAAGTACAAGGTATCAAGAAGAAGCGCGAACGCAACAGCGTCTTGTGCAGGGCCGCATGCATGAATCTGCAATATGTTATCTCAGAACTCGCATACATAATCCGTCATGTACATACCACGACAAGGTCAAAGAGAACTGGTGTCATCTTCTCACACGTGTCCCGAAAGTGTGTCGTCCGTATCCCGGGAAACCAAGGTCGAATTGAAGCAGTCGAGCCAAAAATATGACAGCTTCGGTGATAACACGCAGCGAGCTATCAGTCGTTTTGGAAAACATCACATTTGCGAATTGAAACGACTCCAGAATGATTTTTGCAAGTCGCTCTTGTGTTGAGACATCAAGATCTAGTCCAGTTCCTTCCTCTCGCAGTGGCTCTGAGACATGCGATAGTACGCGAAGCACCTCGCCTGCACGGCCAACCCGCGCTAGCAATGATTCGGGAGTCGAAGGAGTAGGGGCTCGGTTAAGAATATCAACGATACTCTTGAAGCCGTTATTTATGAACTACTTGTCGCTTTCAGTGCACGTCAAGTCCAAGTATAAAACTATTTACTTTAATTGCCACTGGTCCGTCGACACCCCTGGCCATCTCCGCGATGAAGTACGCTTCTTCCGAGGCCATCGAATGGTGGAAGATCAAGGATGTCATTTTGTCGAGCGATGCACTTGCACCCTGCTTCGTCGACTCACAAGCAAGCGCCCTTCCGAGTTGCCTCAGCCCAAACTGCAGCTGAACTGCAGTCGCCGCCAGTGTACATGGGCTCAGAACGGATGATATCCCAGTGCTTAAAAACGAGTTGACATCTGTATCTACGGTTGAACGTAAATCTCTGAGTCATTCTATATCGTGTCTTCTACATACCTTCGTTCGATTCACTCAAAATCATTTTCAGTGCGTTGACAAGCGGTTCGTAAAGTGTTTCTGCAACCATTCCCGACTGGATCGGGTGCTCGAAGCCCTTGCGGACAGCATCAAGATTGCGATAGCATGATTGTCTGATATCGCGACTCTCGCACGTCCGCAAGCGAAGGTCTCGCGCAGTTCCGCGAAGTCCATCTGAAACGACATCATTATGTTCCAGGAGCACTAGATTCGGTATATTACTGGCGAGAAGGGTGAAATGAGGTTCCCGAAAGGCATCCTGTCGCCAAGTGCGAATCCGTTGCGCATCAAGGAGTTCTTGCGGGACGATAGGACTGATTGAACACTCCTCCTGGAGCACGAGGGCGTCAAAAAGCTCACTGGCTGCCTGTATAAACGTCTCCATGTTATGTGGCTGATAGAGAGGGCCTGCGTCGGCTCCCAGTTGCCAGGCAGGGTAAACTAGTCCTTGAAGCAGCGTGGTTGTCGATAGCGCTCCATGGACACATAAGAAGAGAAGGACGACTCTAAGTACATCCCACGTTTCAAGCGTCAATCCTAGCACTTCACTTTTTCCAGTACCGAGAAACCATTGGAGTACGTCATTATCGATACCACCAGGAAGGTGGTGGTCGACATTAAGTAGAAACTGACCATAGCGAAGTGCGTATGTGTGACGAAGCTCGTGATCTTCGCTCATGACGGGAACTTGGCGTAACGAAGCAACAATATTGTCCCAGACTTTCCATGCCCAGTCTCCGGACGTACGATATCTGTACCAGAGGCTGTTTGCGAGAATCGATGGAGCGTCCGGCTTGGAATCTTCAGCTAGAAGTAGGATTTCAGGCATGACTGACGGAACGGCTTCTGGATGTTCTGTCTTAGGAGCCAGCGCGTGTGTGAACGCCGCGATGTCGTTGTCCACCTGAGTTTTGGCCGTCGCATCTAGCTGTCGTCCATTGTCCATCTCAATAATCAAGGTCAGGAGAGATCTGGTTTTCCCCCCTTGCGTTCTCCAGAGCAAATAAGTAGAATAGAGTGTGGAAGTAATCGTGCCAGTGACGTTCATTGCCGTCCATATAGTTGCGAAACGGTGGAAAACTTCCCCGACTGCGGTCAATAATTCTGCGTGGGTTGTCTGGGACAAGACCGAAAGACTCAGCTGCATAAGAGCCGTCAATACTTCAAACTTTGAAAGGAGTAGAACACACCTCCAGTAAGGAGCCATAGCTATGAGTGTAACTTAAGAGTTCAACCGCCGTACTGTATGTCTTCAGGGTACTGATCTCATCTAATGATTGCGATCTGCGCGCTCCATCAACACAGCAAAAGAAGGATTTAATCTTGCGTACCTCGAGGTAAATTTGTGTAGATTCGGAAGTAACCATTGTTTGATCGTTCGCACTTGCTCAAAACATGGTGCGCCGAGTACAGTAGGACAGCTGGTTTGGAGAGATGTCATAGAAACTGGAGGCGGAAGGGTGTCCCCTGTTATCCATTAGCAATAGAAACCAAATGAAAACGTTGGTCCTACATACCACCAAACACAAGTGGCAAGATTGCGCGGATTTCCCTTCGCATTTCACGTTCACAGACATCTTCAGGGGTTTGTCGTGCACGCGCTCCGTAGACTATGACTTTGCGCTGGTTTGAAAGAGATGCTGTCGTGTTATGTAATGGTATCCAGCGAAGGAGATTACGATGAAAGGAGGCTGTTCCGTCGGGCTGTACGATATTTTGAGTCAAAGAACAACGTCCATATGATATACAATATACCTCGCTCAAAGAGAGCCCCTCTTCGCCTCTCGCAACGAGTCTCTGCACATAAGCTGCGTAGTCAAAGAGCCCACTCTTCATCAATTTGCCGAACAGACCCGCTACTGCCCTAAGATTGCCAGCCTCCCGGACAACTGGTTTGGAGTCGAGCCAATCGAAGAGATAATCGTGAAGGGTGGCTGAAGATAGTTCGCGGCGTGCGTTGCGTTCATGATATGCTTGGAGAAGGGTTACAGCGGCATACGGACGATGAGAGCCATACTGCAGTGACGTCACAGCCCACGTTAACAAAGTGTCGAGTTTGTCGACAAAGCTTGAGCTTGAATCAGGAATTTGAGAAGAGAAAAATGATATAGTGGACATGTCCGTGCTACTGCAGATTGAATTTAGAATTTGAATATCAACAACCAGGGACCCAAGACGCTCGAGTTTTCGTGGTGGGAGATTGCGAAATAGCATGGCGTCATTGCGACGCTGAATATCTCTAAGATTGTCTGAAATCAACTGCTGAAAATCACGTCGTCGACAGTCACTAGGGCCACTATCGGCCGGGCCCGCAAGTGCAGAACACAAGAGCAATGAGTGCGCTAGCCATGTTCTGGGAGAAACAAATGTGTCCGGAAGGGCTACACAAATGCGCTGATGTTGAATCTTTAAGTGTGTGATAGTAATGCGGAGGTTGATGCATACCTGAATCAGAGACTTCAGAATCTCTTCAAGCTTGTTCAGGTGACCCTGAGCAGAAGTCGTCCTGACCTTGGAATAGTTAGTCATAAATGAATGTATGTGGCCATAAAACATACTTCGTTCAATTTCGCGATGCATGCGTCTAAAAGGGGTTTCGCGAGTGGGCGTTTTTCAAGAACTCCATCGAGATACTCATCGGCCAAATGTGCTACAAATCCTGCTTGAGCAAGGTTGCAGGCTGCCATCTGAACGACAATCCATGTAAGGAAAGTGCGATGGTCCACGAGACCTTCATCATAGAATGGTCGCAATAATTTCAGGCTGACTTTGTCAGCGGATACTTGGATAGTTGAATCAAACACTGTACCAGTACGTGAAACGGGAAACCCATCGGTCCCGGCTTTCTGCATCAGAAAGGACACCCTTAAATGTCTGTTTGATATTCATTCCAGGCCTAGGGGCGCTCGGTAGAGCAATGTCAGCAAGCTGTTTCTTGATATAACTCGTCACCACTATCGCCCAATCTACGCTGTACTGGGTGGGATTATAAGACGGTTTGTTTCTAAGACCAGCCTTTTATCATATAAATCACGCAGTCAAAAAACACTACATCATCACTCACAGTCTCGTTGGCGCCAAACACTCGAAGAAACCAGACTGCACGAGGTATAGCAACGTTGTTGGTATGAAGAAGGTCGAGTAGATCGTGTCCTTTGGCACCATGCGGCACACTTTTCCCAAGTTTACTTAAGGGCACCTCAGGGTCTGCGAGTTCAGCGAACCAGGTCTGTCGCTTGGTATCGCTCATGGTCACTCGTGAAGGAATCTTGAATGCTGATGACCTACAAAACCGTTGGAACAAGTTCAACGTCGAGATAATCAGCTCACTGTATAGTAACAGCACTGTCTGCCTTTCGAGTAAAGATATCATTCATGAGGTGCTCAAGGTCTGCAAGCACGCTCTGATCGAGTATGCGGCCACCCTTTGCATCCTGCTGTAGAAATATGACTGAAGCACTTTGGTGCTCATCCTAATCATCATCAGCCATCAAACAACATCGATCAGTCTCAAGCTTACAGGCACAGGAAGCGGCAACAAGAAACCGTCCTTTATATGTTTGTCAGACAAGACATCCTCATCTTGTCCTGGGCGGGGCGGATGGAAACCAGGGTACCCTAGACATGTGTAAGAGTGATTCGTAGGATTCCTTAGGCAGTTGAGGGTGCTTACCGACATCAGCAGTCCTGTGAGACTTAGGTAGCCAGGGCGGTGGTAAAGACTCGTATATGGGTGATGGTGGCTCTTGTCCGCGCTTTTCTTGCTTCATATCCAGGGTATCTGCGATTGGTAAAATATACAATTAATGACACTGAGGTATGGACATGCTGGACGAGTGAAGGAGGGCGGTCAGCGTGTCACGGTTGCAAATATTGATGAGCTCAGATGCGGCGGCATTAGGGCTATACTACTATTTTCAACACGTGATCACAGTTATACCCAAGGCTTATGTGATAAAAATTTCACTCATTCATTGAATCATTCCAACTCGATGTCGATCAGCGACTCTCCTAGTACTAACAATTCCCTGGGCCATTCAGGTATTCAGCGCCAAGTTCTTGGGCTCTGCAGAGAGCCAAAACAATATTTACGAGGGCTCTCCACAATGTAAACGCTTTATCACATTGGAGCTCGAGCGAGTGAGGACTGGAGTCAATGCCTTCTTCGAGTTACCAGTTGAGTTATCTTTCACTGTCACAGCACTTGATTTTGGAAAGAACTGTCGTACTGCCACCTGTTCCACCCAGTAACTTATAACCATAAGCTACTAGTGTGAGATGCTATAAGGATTTATGGAACACTGGAACTTTCAAATGTAGATGGCCTCATTCACCAGAAATCGATGCCACTTGGAATATATCTGGAAAGGGTGCGTCGTTCGATTGTGTCCCGTCGGCTACCTCCATGAAATTCCGATGCCCACCAACTCGGCTGAAGCGGTTCCTCCTTCCGAAGTTAAGTATTCGGACAACGTTGATGGAAGTTCCATGGTATCCTTAAAATGCACCCATCTATTGCATTGTATGGTGGGCTTTTCTGTGCTTGTTTCAGCGTTAGCTCATATTTTTGTCGCGAAGCTTGGTTTGAGCAATATATATACATAAAACCTATGTTTCAAGAATTCTAAAAAGTAGGCTGTATGCACTTTGGTAATTACTCTCACTGACGCACGTGCCACTGTGCCTAACGTCCACATCTTGTATTTGCCATTCAGGAACTGATGGGAGGAGACGAACGGGGGAAAATGACGCTCCACTACCAGAGTTCACAGGATGTACTGCAGCTATGTGGTGATATCTATATTTTTTCTTTTGATGTACTTACATGGCCTGTGGCAAGCGCCTCTAAAAGTTGTGGTCCCAAGGATCCAAGCACTATATATTTCGTGCTGGCAGCGTTTCTCTTCCTCCCATCTCTTTCCATCTCTCCATATCCTCATGTCTAACAACATCCGTAAACTCGATCGTCGAGGAATCCTCGACGGAAGTCTGGCTAAACGTCTGACCACTCTAGACTATTTTCTATATGCTACGAATGAAGCAATGAAATTCGATCAGTTGGAGGACTGCGATTTGCAGCCCTACGGGGAAAAGGTCTTGCTTTTCTTATTGATCATCTCGTATAGTCAACTGATGATGTTATGTCCATGCAGATCATCACTCTGACGGAGGTAAAATGATTTCAATTCTGGCAAACACTCTCACTGATTCTCTTGGCAATGAAGGTTGCACGCCGGACGCTTAGACAAAGGATGGGCGTGTCCCTGATCATGCTATGTTCGAAGGAACACGTGCCTTACAAGGCAGCTTACTTCAAATTGCTTGTCTGGATTAGACGCCGCAGGTCCGCATTCCCCACTAACATCGACGGTAAGCATTGGTCGTTATTGTGTTTTATATCATTCTCATCATTTGTATAGATCGAATCAATTCGCTCTTGGAGGACATAAACCATAAAACAGTTCTACGCACCAGGGGAATTGACCCTCGCGTCCAATTGGGCATTGAGGAATTGATAATCATCAAGAAACGACAACCAGACGCCGGCAATTCCTCGGAGGCCGTTTGTTCGCAAATTTCAAACGAAAGCCCAACGCTCTGAGGTTGGCACTAGGAAGTAATCGTCATCAAATTTGGTGTTCTTTACAAGCGTTCTTATCAGGATCTAATGGCTCGCTCGTTGTGGTATGAATCGCAACCCTAATCTGTGTCTAGTTGAAACATATCTATGTGCTCCGTAGCTAGTATTATATGTAATGAAAGAACGTCATAATATCCCTTTCGTTGTACGACTGTTCTCCATATTTTCGTATTTGTAATTGTTCTGTTTTCCTTGGCTGCCACACCACTTGTTCTCAAGTTTGAGAGTCGTCACCAGCTCACATGTCTTTGCATACCAGATTCTGTTCTCCATGTCCCATTGCTTTGCAGTCCCATCGGAAGATCTGCTAGCCATTTGCTTCCCATCTCGACTCCAGCACAATGTTCCACAACCTCACTACACCGTCCTCACTTCCTACTTTCAAGTTCCTCCCGGCGTCCGGGGACAATGATATTGTGTACACTGCCCTGTCTTCGTCTCCCCAATTTTCCTCTATCTGGTTTCTGCTTTCCAAGTTCCATGTTCGGAGCGAGCCATCGTACGAAATGATCATTTTTTACCCGCCTGGTAAGTGTATGGTGCCCGTGACTCCACAGCGGTGTGTCCTTTTTAAATTTCTGAAGAGGCATTATTTCCTTCTTGACAGGGGGTGAAGACATACTGAAACAGTCAATTACCAACCGCTTGTCTCAGCTTTCATACATTCAATTCAAATGCCATCACTCACGAGCATAGTAGCAGTGGCAGGTGCATAATGGGTGTTTCAGTCAAGTCAGAGTCGAGTTCTTCTATTGTATTTATTCCATAGCTTGAATACAGCACGTACTGTGCAATGCCGCCGCTCTAGTTTCTGTCTTCACTGGACCTGTTCCTCGTATACAAATACCTTTGCATGCAGCCTTGACTTCCTACATTACTTCATCTCGCAGCATTCAATTATTGTAGGTTCCAATCCTGTCCCTGCGGTGGAAGATAAATTTAGATATCATATCGGCATTCACCTCGGAGTCATTCAACTTGGCGCCCGTCCGAGTCCTTTTCTAGCCACAAGATATCTGTGTCAGCTAATTTCCAGCATCAGCTATATGTTGGCCTCACTCTCACATAAAGGTTGCTGGTCGACTTGGCTCGTCACTTGCTTTTTGTCCAACGGCACCCAAGCACCCGAACATAAACCTAATGACAACGCCAGCCTACTCATCCAACAAGATGGGGTTTTTCTCTAGGACTCTTAATCATATCGGTTAAAAGGCACAGCCATTGCGACGTCTATCTCATGGCTCCCATACTCTGAAAGTTCAGTGTTTTGTATGGTATATATTTCTTCATGGAATACCACTGTTGACAACGGTTCATGCTAATTATTCCGATAACCTAATTCCCTTGGTTGCCATCTCATACACTCATTTCCGGTCAGAGAACATTGATCTACTTTTATTCATAGCTGGAATTGCCAAGTTGCAGGCGAACTACTCACAGGGCTTGTGAAGAGTTCCTCGACTACCACGACTTGATGATCTCAATCAAATACTGGACTTGTGGGTCATAGCAATATTAATGCCTGTCTGAATTCCTTTTCTGCCGATATCTGCAACGGACTCAAGCTGCAATCACTATCTTCACTTCTTTCCTATCCCTTGGTCCACCCCCAGCTCAGATAGCATCTAACAGAAAAACCCTGTATGTATCCAACACCCTGTTTGCATTCACTCTTGCAAGGGACTCGGGCAGACAGTAAGGGAGGTCTCCGTCAAAATCGTCTTTCTCTTGGACATAGAGAACCCCACCCGCGCGATGATTAGTAACGGCGAGGCAGTCTATGTAGAGGAAAAAAATAATCAAACCACACGCCATGGATAGCCTACTCTGCACCCACCGCAATTTGAGTCGCTGCTCCGACTCCAACGAGTCCCTCCGGTTTGTTTGCTGCATAGAGGGAAAACATGACCGCGGTACACGTTGTGATAAGGGCCCCACATTCGATGATGATGAGAAAACTAGTCTTATAGTTGAAGTGTCGCCCCGTAAGAATAGCCGTGCGGCGCCCCGCGTGCCATAGACGGTAGGCTATGCAGCCTGATGCAAGAAAATTGACACCAGTCTCGAGACCCCACCCGGCGAGTCCGTATGAATGGACATTGCGCGTGAGCGGCGTGGCTGTTGCGGGTATAAAACCAGAAACAGCGATCGATGCTATACCTGACAGAATGTCACCACATATAGCTCCCTGTCTTACACGTCTAGCTTACTGCAGTGAAGCATCCAGAGAATGACCTATAGGCGGTAGGTCATCAACACGAAAGTTACATTAGTAGTAAACACAAAGGTAGAGGTAGAGTACCGGTATGATGCATATCTTGAAGTTGTGATCCCAGATCACGTATAGTCTCCAAATCTGAAAGGTAAACATTCATCTGTGTTGTAATCAAGCCTGGATCCCGAAACTCACCAGGAGTAGTTCTTGAGCGAATGTCTAAAATGATAGGCGTGAGTCGAACGATATAGAAGATACTGATGCTTCGCTACTGACATTGACGATATATACATAGAAGCCACTGACGAACAGTTTGTTGGCACCAGGATCGGCGAAGTAGTTCTCAGCTGCGCTGGCTGAAGTTGCGAAAGCAGCAATCAACTCCAGCAAGCTTATGGTAACATGCACTGTAGCCAACGAAAATTGGACAACGCTCGAGAACAGGAGCATCCTAAACATAATTGTGCTCTTGTTTGAGAAGATGTAGACTTCCACTCACTTTCGAGATGCTCCGTGGTGGCCTAGCAGGACGAAAAGACAAATGGAGAATAAGATGCAGCTACAACCACCATCAGAAACAACCCCGTGTGCTATGGCAGGGCGCACTTGATACCTGGTAGAAAAGTTATTGTGTTTGGCGATACAATAGAAATTCATCAGCACGTACCATACAAGATCGCCTCCAACCAGATGCCGGCGATATACATACGCGCCAGAGCCTCGGCCATTGTGGATAGAGAGAAATGGGGGGGACTGTCAGAGGGGTTTTCGAAGGGCACCCTAAATCCCATGACCGAGGCATATATAGGTAGATCATGTGTTCCATCAGGCTTGCTAGTTTGGCAGTAGCTATCAATGGAACAGCATCTCTAACCAATGGAACAGCATCTCTAACCAATCAATCAGCGGATGGTTCCGGACAGAGATCATGGATCTTTGTGGCGCTGCGGTGATTTTTTATGGTAGTGTAGCAATGAGATGGGAACATACGTGCGTCATGCATCAATAATCGGTTGGTTGCGCAAAGATGATCACAGTAGCGCTGCTTTCTGATATGACACAAACACTGTGGATTACCCACCGGCGACACGTCCCAAAGCCGCCACGGTGTGTGCAGATAGAAAGTTGTACACCATAATGATTGGCTGAGTAATCCCGCGGAGTGGCTGTGTATACAATAATTCAGAAAGAGCGGGTCTGCGAGCCACTGGCAGCTGACAGCGGCGCCATTCATTGAGATACATAGTTGGTACGGTCCCCGAACCCGATGACTCAACAGCAACTGTACAAGATGCAAAATTCCTGATTCGGGACTTGGACTGGCGTGTACTACAGAAAAGATGATAAGCGAGGATGTGAAACTTGTCCAAAAATACTATAGTGAAAAGCACCAGCATCAGTCAAGCTTCAAGCTTTAACCGAAGAATTACTCACAATGGGTATCACGACCATGGAAAGTAAGCTCTGAGCGGGTACTGGCGACCAAGTGCCGAAATTAGGACGTAGTGGCACTTAGACTGCATGCGGGGGCCCCCGGGTTGAGAGCGGCAACTGCCGCGACGTACGTCATACATTGGACAATACAGTAAATACTAGGGAACTCAAGCAGCATGTAACTATCAAGTATCTCATTGTCGACCAGGTTTTAGCAGACGCAGACTGACTGTCGTACCTTTCTACCATCTGACAGCGATAGAGACTAATCATTCAGAGGTACACACGTCATTCCCGCGTTGGCATCATCGAGTCACTAGTGACTGGCAAACTTGAATCTGCCTCATAGGCCTTTCACGAGATTCTGGTTATGAATATCTCAAGCAATTCGTAGTCGAAGCGCTGCGGGGACGTATTCGATGCTCCTGGTGATGAGATTCCCAGAGAAGGTTTCATCAACAAATGATACATTTATATACGGTCGTGCGTTATTTTCTAAGAGTCGAGGCATAGAAGAATAGCAGCACTGATATCAATGCTCGATATTCAATCTCCAGCTTGTTATGGGCACAGATTTCCGCTCCAACTTCACAACGTCATCAGCAGCAACGCGGCAAAGCCAAGTGAACGTTCACTCACGTGCGAAAACTTTGTGTGAAATTCTGCCCCAACCCTCCTAGATCCTACACAAGTTATAGGTGACAACGGTCACAGTATATCGATGGCCACGCGCTCGTCATCGAGAAAGAAGATCAATGAGGCTTGGGGATTGTGGCCCTGGGACATGCAGCACTTCCGGCTCAGATTGGCTGCTTAATAATGATGTAGAAGCCATGAGCACCCTAGTAGCTTCCGCATCATTACCAAGCTGCCAAATTGTCATTTGGTGAGACATGAAACAAAAAGTGAATTTGTGTAAATGTGACAAACACGTGATGCTGAGAGTGCGAGGTAAGTCCTGATAGCAACCATGGGTGTTAGTGGAATTACTCAACGGTCATCGCACTCACCGGTTGCGGTGAATATACACTAGCGAAGGCCACCATCAGCAAGTGGCTACGAAGCGAAGCCGAAGCTAGAGCGTCCAGTTGAGCGTCGCGAGGTAAACCACCTCCTTGGCACCCGTCTCCCAGGATATATCGATAAGGGTCTGGGCCAGAGGGACGCTAGAAAGGCGGATGGCAGCGGTTTCGAACTTGCCAAATTTCTCGTCAGGGGGCTTCTCCTACCCATACCGCGCCTTCGATACTACTGAGCCTTTATACAACCTGGTCAGAGTAAATGGTCCATGCATGACTGCAACCAACGTTGGGGGTACTAGTGGGGAGACAGGAAGCTTCATTTCCCAGGTTCGGTCTTCATCAAATTCACTGAGTCATGGGACCCTGGCACGGCCGTTTCCGAACCCGGCTGCTAAGCGTGACCGCTTATTTAAAATTAGACCATCACATGATCTCATGTAAATATTTAAATATTATTAATAAGAGTATAGGAGCGACTTCTGTTCACAGGCTGTTGGTGTCCACAAAGATGAACGGTCACGGTGAAACCGAACCTCTAATTCCAAACGATGAGACAGTGCAACGGGACTCTCGCACACTTCGCAACCGTGCAGTTGCCTGGTCTGTGCTGACTGCTTTTCTCATCGCTGTTGGAGTCGTCGCACTGGTTGATCCCAGCTTTGTAAGCGATATTGGACTGTCGTCGGGAAAGTTACCCCGGGATCCTAAGCTTGCAGCACAGCGTGTGCTCGACATTGCTCCGGTCATCGTACGCCTCTTGGCCAAATTTTCTGCTCATTCCTCACTGACGGAACACACAGGATGGCCACATTGGTATGTTTCCTTCCGAGCATGACCTGTCTGTCATCTCACAATGCGCTTTTGAGATCTTCCTATTGTCGCTCGCTTCGTCTGGCGCAACAACGTCACCGATATTCCTCTTGACGGTCAAATGCCCATGCATGTGGATATCCCACGTCTGAGGGAAGGGAAAGTCGGAGGCTTCTTTTGGTATACAGCGGTATCCTTGCATTCTACCCTAAACTGACTTTCATCAGGTCTGTATACGTGGGTTGTGCAAAGCCTGAAGATGAGGGCGCCGATTTCTTAACGGCTACCTGGCGCGTCCGGTCTGGATATTCCTTGTTGAGTTCAATGCATCTCGCTGACGACACAAAATGATAGAGACACCCTCGAGCAGATTGACGTCGCAAAGGGCCTGATATCGAAATATCCTAACGTAAGTTCCATAAACCTTATGTTAGGAATGCTGACTGATGTCTGGCGCAGGATTTTTCATACGCTGTCAGCACAAGTGGCATCAAATCGGCAATAAGAGACCGCAAAATTGCAAGCATTCTAGGTGTTGAGGGGTGAGCGCCATGTCGCTAGCTCCCTTTGATTACCCTAAAGTCATATCAGTGCACATCAACTCGGGAACTCTATTGCCGTCCTCCGCCAGTACTATGAGCTTGGTGTTCGCTACGTAACTCTGACCCACACTTGTCACAACGCTTTCGCTGACTCCTGTGGTTACTTGATACCGAGCGTCCCGCGGCACTATGGCCTCAGCCCTCTTGGATTCAGGCTCGTGGAGGAGATGAACAGACTTGGAATGCTTGTTGATCTATCTCATACTTCTGACATGACTGCAACGCAAGCCTTGCTGCATTCCAAGGCACCAGTCATCTGGTCCCATTCATCTGCCAGAGCCATTCACGATGTTGCCCGCAATGTGCCCGACGAAGTGCTTAGTCTCGTCGGTTTCGGCGAGGGGCAAAGAGATGCCGTTGTTATGGTCTGTCCAGAAAATAATAAATCTGCTGATTTTAATGGTTGTGCAGGTCAACTTCAATGGCCCATTTGTTGCCGCCGACGGCGAGGCCGATATTGAAGCCGTTGCTGATCACATTGAGCATATTGCCAAAGTTGCTGGAGTGAAACAGTGAGTTATGACTGATACTCGCTCGGCTGCCGATCTGAAGGTTGTTACAGCGTCGGGATCGGGAGTGACTATGATGGGATTGAAGTCACTCCGACAGGACTCGAGGACGTTTCAAAGTATCCTGCTCTTGTACGTGACATCTTCCCATATTTAAGCGATGATTGACTGTTCTCACTTCTCAGATCGCTGAGTTGTACCAACGCGGATGGAGCAAGCAAGATCTAGTTGGGCTCACTGGGGGAAATTTCCTGCGGGTGTTTGAGGGTGCAGAGAAAGTGGCCAAAGAATTACAGGCTGCAGGAACCTTGCCAAAATATGACATATACGAAAAGAGAGACGACTTGCCCCCCAGGGAGCTTTGATATATTCAGGGATGTGTGGTACGTCTATCCGCATAACTATCTGGATTCCTTCCAGCTTCGAATGTAATTTGCTATGTTTATTCCTGCGCTACTGATAAGATATCATTCGAAGAAGTTATTTATGCTTTGTTCACACGTCCAAAGATATTCCCAAGAAATGTCTCTTCGTATCTGTGATCTTTGACGTGGTAAGCGTAATAAGTGCGGCCTCCTGACCAACGAGAACGAGGTCAGCGAGACACACGACAGATTTCGCGGTTGCTGATGGCGGCATGATTGCCACGAGGCTCTGTCGTATCCCTCCAACGTGTTCATGATCATGATCCGATGGGTTTGTTTGTAATCTCCGGGACTTGTCGCGAACATAAGGACTGTGTAATAGCAGGGTTTGTACTTCACGTTGGATTCTCCGGGCTGGACACGGAGCACCTTAGATGCCATTCTGTTGTCCCGCCTTCAGCCTCCAGATGCCCCACATCAAGGAGTAGAAGCACACCCAACAAGCAACACCTTGACCTTCACATCTCGGGCGCTGATGGCGCTGATGGTAGCATAGAAAGTATATTCAACATCATGAGGTGGTCTGCACTGCATTTCAAGTAATTTTGAACATACGCTTATAGATGAGCATTTAATATTTAATGGTAATACTGGCGGTATTTCGTTTCTCGAGCCGTGTAAGAGCTCCCCATGTCTCAAGGCGACCGCCCCCTCTTGATGATGCTGACCTATCAAGCTGCAAGCTTTGTCCTCTGCGAGTCATCTTACGTATACCTGCCCATGACATTTTCATCACTATCTGGCATGTCTAGACTCCAGAGTTGAAAGCCTAACTGTCCGAAGGATATACCGGTCATCTTGGAGTCATCTCTCGCGAATGCCCGGTACACTGCACGCGTGATGAATGCCTGGGCGTCTTGGTCTCGATCCTTATCATTGAGGTTGGTTGTCCAGTTTTCAAATTTCATTTGCTCGCGGGTGAGCGGCTCCTGTAATGTATATCCTCGTGGAAACTGCGGATCATTAAATAAACGTTGAGGTATGATTAGGTGACAAGATATCTGGTGCATAAAACGCGCTGCGGCTCCATTTGAACATAGAGCGAAATATTACATATTTCGCCCAATGTTTAAATGACAATGCAGTAGAGTTGCTTTGAAGTGTGCAGCAGCACGAGGGGGAAAGTCTCACGGAATTCCATACGATGACATCTCATAAGCAGTAGCTAGTGGCTTAAGTGCCTGGAAAACATACGATGAAGAAATAAAGACAGTGTAAAGCAGTTCGTGCAATGATTAACGAGGTCTGGTGTTTGACTCGGAAGGATGGGCAGGCACACGTGACTAACGACGTCATACAAGAGTTTGTCGTCATTAGGAGCCGATGTTGGATATAAAGGCATACGCTCATCCAACACCAACCACACACCACACCTGCACACTTCACTTATACCGCTTCCTTCACAATGTACAGAGCATCCAATTTGCGTTCCAGCGTTGTTCACGTTCGTGTCCCGACCGCCGTCCTTCCTGTCGTAAGTAGATCAGTATTCCATGATTCTCAAAGCTAACTGCAAATGCAGACGCGTAGGACGTACGCAACACAGCCTTCGCCGGGACAAGCGTCGCCCAATCCAAAGGTCAGCCCTTCCACTGATGGCGGTGGCGGACACAACAACGGCCTCATTATCGCATCTGCTGTTGCGGCCATCGGGGGAATGTACTACTTCTACAATCGCAGCCGGGGCGTCAGCCTTCAAGAGCAAAAACGCAGAGATGAAGAGGACATCAAGCGTGCAGTGCGTGCAGCACAGGGCGATATAAAGCAAGCTGGGGAGGCAGGGAAGGCAAGGGCTGAAGATGGCCTTAAAGAAGCTCAGGAGAGCTATAGTGCTGCGAAGGTCTGTCTCCTGAGCATCTAAGTGGGTCACGTCTGACCTGCTACGCGTAGGCCTCAGCTAAAGAGAAAGTCACTGGATCCCGCCAAAAAGTAGATGAGTCTCGCTACGACCTGACCGAACAGGCACGACAGGCAGCACATGATGCACAGACAAAACTGAATCAGTACAAGAATGCAGCTGAGCAATCTCTAGCGGACACTAGGAGGACATCCGAACAGAAGTTTGAGGAGACGAAGGACGCTGTCATACAACGCGCGGATGAAGCCAAGGACGCAGGCCAAAGCTGGTTTGGTTGGGGGCAGTCAAAGACAGACGAGGCGAAACGTGAAGGCACTCAGAAAGTTGCAGAGAGTGCAGAAGATGTTAAGAAGAGAGCAGAGAGACAGGGATGAGATTTGCGATGTTGAATGAATATTCGACAACTTACAAGCTGTACACCTGAATTAGTATTGTAAATACATTACCCTATATTGCATATTATTCTCTCCGCGCTTCAACGACCTTCAATTGCAGTGAGAGATGCTGAGATCTTACGATTAGGTCGTATACGGACTCGGAGGATCGTGGAGAACAACATAAGGCTCGGACATTAAGAATTTCAAATTTGACTACGTACCGGTATTTGCCGCATGTAGGTAGTCGCTGCTGTAATGACAATCCTGAGCAAGTCAAACTCGGCTGACTCGGTTGGCGGTCCGCGGAATCGCTGGTAGATCAGAGCATATCCACCACCGTCTTTGAATTGTCTGGAGTCGTGGCTTAGATGGCCGAAATTCAGACCAAGGTTATCCTTGTAGGCTTAGGGTATGTGAACATTTCACATTCTATAGGAACTACCGATTGACTACCTATGACATTGATAAGTGGTGCCACTTGCTCAGGAAAGACTACTCTAGCGAAGCATCTGAAGAACATACTGCCCAATAGTGTCATTGTGCATCAGGATGTCGGTGGATTTCTCAAAGAATATCAACATTAACTTACCTACTATGACAGGATTTTGCTCCAGTAAGGTGCTCAGATCGATCGTGTTTTTTCGCTGAGCAGTCGCGCAGCCTGAGGAACTACTCCCCATAAAGCATGGCTACCAGGATTGGGATGCTCCAGATTGCGCAATTGACTACCCACGACTTTCCAAATTTTTGAAGCACGTGAAAGACACAGGATGCATACCAGATGATCATAGAAGCCATGATCATTTGAACAAGCACACGGATTTACCTATAGAAGCAGAGTGTCAACGCCGTCTGGCTGAGAACTTCAGAGTTATCCAAGATCAAGTCAAGGAGAGCGATCACATCAATATAGTGTGGGGCTTGGTGGACGGGTTTCTGTTGTATTGGAATCAGGTGTGTCAGCATTTATGCCTCAGTAGAATGAGGAATTAACGCGACTCGGTCATAGGAAGTCACAGAACAGCTAGATATGCGCTTCTTACTCCGTCTTCCACTCAAGACATTGGAGGGCCGAAGGAGAGCGCGGCAGGTTTACATCACAGCAAGTATGTCATTTAGTATTTCCGCTCTATCTTCGTTCTTATTCCGCTCGGATGATTATTGACTTTTTCTCCTCCTCATAACCTCTTGAATGTCAATCCTGCCACGTTGATGGTCTAATTTCCCTTAACTCCACGCGCCTCCGTTATTTGCCCGGTTACTCTCATGGAGCGCAATTTAATGAAGAGGGGGACGCATGGGTAGATCCTCCTGACTACTGGGAGACGATCGTGCTCCCTGCATACCTAGACGCACACCGCGAAATATTCGAGGGTGGTGATGTTGAGAATGGGGGCTTGACAAATAAGGTGGAAGGTCTTGTTTTAATCGAGCCTGAGAAAGAGGACAAAGAGATGAGCATGACGGATATTGTTGAAAGGTGCTGCCAAGAGTTATATCAGCTTGTCAAGGCGGAGCAAGTAGGGAGTTAAAGCATAGACTGCGGTCTCATTATCGGGTGTTTTTTTACAGTGTACCACAGATCATGCGATAGAATTTTAGATGATTCCCCTCCACGATTGGTACAACAGATAATTTTGTTTGTGAAAGAGGAACACCGGGATAGGTTTCCGGAAGGATAAATCGTTCATGAGGGTGACCGGGAGCTCGTTTGCCGCCCGTGATTTCCATACCCGAAAGCTGACATAATGAGACAATCACATGCTCATTTTAATTTAAACCTTGCGCATTGTGATTGGCTAGCAATCATAGGTACTTGACCCGGAACAGCTTCCCCCACCTTGCTCCCTCTCCACTACCATCTTCTCCGCACACTCCTAACAATTATCGCAATGTCACAGGTCATCGTCGTTGGAGGTGGCCTTGCTGGTCTCTCTGCAGCTCACACCCTTCTTGAGCGTGGTGCTAACGTATTGCTACTCGACAAGCAAGGGTACGAAGATTCACATAGAGGGTGAAACACTTGCTGACGGAGTTCCGCAGATTCATGGGTGGAAACTCCACAAAGGCCACTTCTGGTATCAACGGTGCTGGTACTCAGACGCAGCAGGAGGCTGGTATCCCAGATAACGCAAAGATTTTCTTTGAGGACACGAAGAAATCTGTGAGTGATCCCATGTTTGTACCCGACTCTCATACCAATGTATTTTAGGCTCGTGAACTTGCTCGCGATGACCTTATCCGTGTGTTGACTGGACGCTCAGGCGATGCTGTCAACTGGCTACAGGACAAATTCGGCCTGGACCTCTCAAAGGTCGCGCGGTTAGGAGGCCATAGCCAGCCTCGTACACACAGAGGGAATGCACAATTCCCTGGTATGGTATGTAGTCGCAATCTCCGTTCTTTAAGTGTAGAACTTGCACTAACTACGCATTTCTGTACTGACAGGTTATTACTTACGCACAAATGGAGCGCCTGGAGGATTTGTCAGTGAGCCAGCCAGACCGCGTGAAAATATACAAGAAGTCCCGTGTCACGAAGCTTCTCAAAGACGAATCTGGCGCAGTTACGGGTGTTGAGTATGTCCGCAATGGCAAGACAGAAACTGCACATGGCCCCGTCGTCCTCGCTACTGGTGGTTATGCCGCCGATTTCACTGGCGGTGACTCTCTGCTGAAGAAGCACCGTCCTGAATACTATGATCTCCCGACGACGAATGGTGACCACTGCACAGGTGATGGTCAGAAGATTGCCATGGCTATTGGTGCGAGTGCGATCGACCTCGAAAAAGTGCAAGTGCACCCGACGGGTCTTGTTGACCCTAACGAGCCCGACGCGAAAGTGAAGTTCTTGGCTGCAGAGGCTCTTCGTGGTGTTGGCGGTTTACTTCTTGACAAGAACGGCGACCGTTTCGTCGATGAGCTTCAACATCGCGATTACGTCACTGGCAAGATTTGGGAGAACGGCAAGGTATTTGAATGTAATTGTTGCTTTTTGTCATTCACCCAAAGATCTTCCTTAGTATCCCATTCGCTTGATCCTTAACGGGCAGGCTTCAAGCGAGATTGAATGGCACTGCAAGCACTATGTCGGTCGTGGTCTCATGAAGCGTTTCGATTCTGGCGAGGCTCTTGCTAAAGAGATGGGCATCAAGCCTGAATATCTTAAGAAGACTTTCGACACGTACAATGCAGGTGTCAAGGCAAAGAAGGATCCATTTGGAAAGAAGGTAACGTCATTTCTTAAGATATATCACTGTTGCTCAACTCCAGAAGTACTTCTCAACAGGAGAGTGGAGCATGAACGACTACTTCAACGTCGCAATTATGACCCCTGTATTGCACTATACCATGGGTGGCTTGGAAATCGACCCCGAATCACGTGTCATCGGAAAGGATGGCAAACCCATCTCTGGTCTCTTCGCTGCTGGTGAGGTTGCTGGTGGTGTACACGGTGCCAACCGTCTTGGTGGTTCGTCACTGCTTGGATGTGTTGTTTTTGGACGTGTATCTGGCGATTCAGCTGCTGCCTATCTCCTCCAGACGACTAGCGCCATCGTAGAGAAGGCAGGCGGACGTCTTGGTGCACTCGTAGGACAGCTCGAGTCGAAGCCTGCTACTTCATCTGCGTCTACACAGCCTGCTGTCACGAGTGTTCCCGCCCAGTCGTCATCGCTATCAAAGGAATTCAGTGCCGCAGATGTAGCTAAGCACAACAAGAAGGACGACATCTGGGTCATTGTTAATGGCCAGGTGCTGGACGTCACATCCGTAAGCGTAGGCCTTCCAGTCCTGCAAACTTGCTGACTTTTTCGCGACACAGTTCTTGCCTGATCACCCGGGAGGCGAGAAAGCTATCATTCTCTACGCTGGTCGTGACGCGACTGAGGAGTTCAACATGCTCCACGACCCGAAGGTATGAAACACTGTCCCAATTCGTTGTCCTTGGCTCATTCGTCGTGTAGGTGATTCCAAGATATGCACCAGACGCTGTCATTGGCACACTGAAGAAGTAGGGATAAATGGCACTACGACTCCGCTCAGAAAAAGTAGAGGAACTATATCTGTCATCTTTCTTCAACATCGCATATCTCTTTCTCCCATGTCTCTGCTTGGTTGCTGTAATCCAGTGTATTCTAATGTTGTGTTCTCTTCATACCATCTTTAACTGACTGATCCATGAGGCCAACACGAGGCCGTGGCTGTTGCAAAGTTTGAATACTAAATGCTGAATTGTTTCTTGATACGCCTGTGCAACGCCTCCGCCATAACAACCTTGGGAATATTCCTGCGGCGGCGGTTTTAAAGTTTGTGCGTACGTTCTTTTTACTATAGTATGTGCACCCCGCTCGCCACGACGCCACTTCATTTCGAATATTGTTCACGTTTTATGGTCGCCCAATTGGTTACTGTGTCTGACCAATGGCCATAGCCATAACTTGCACACCGCTGTGCCGCATCCTAGGTTGGATCGGGAGAAATCGGATGAACACGAGTACTTGCGTGCAGGGGGTTGGCCAGGCCGCCAAGGCCCAATACTACCAACGCGGATTGTATGACTGTGTTAGCGCATAGCATATATGTGCCGTCTGGCGTTCTCTGGCCCATCGGAGGGGCCACCCGAAAAATGTAAGTCTTTATTAATTATCTCCGATCCCAAAGTAGATGCATCATACGACCCAAAGTGACATTGAGCTGTTCCATACAGAAGGGCGGGAATGCTATCCTGCGCACCCACATACGGTCCCTTCCATTTGAAGCCCTCATTCATCTCGTTATATGTGTGAAGGCTGTGGCGTATTCTTCCACTCCGCCGACTGTGCGAAATGGCGCTGTCCTACCACCATCACCACCACCACCACCAGCGTGTGTGTACGTGTGTACCATGATCCTGTAACGAGCTGTTCTGCGCGCCGCACCCGAACTCACGCCATTCATGTGGCTCAAGGCTCCTTTCTGTCAAACGCGATATTCCCGTTACTCGTCGTCTCAAGCCCCAGGATGATACTTGTGTGGATTGAATCCATTGGTTCGGTTACTCTCAACCCATCAATGTGCATGCTAGTGGACGCTCGCGTCCTTCGATGACTCGAATGCTGGCTTGGTAACTACTGTCATTGGCGCATGCCCGAACACTTGGATATCTGAATATGTCGGAAACTCTTTTTATTGCCTTTTCTGAGTTCGCCACCAGCCATCGGTGCAGGCTGTACTCAACCAAGGTCCACGAGCTATGTTCTGGCATGGAAAGGGAGATTTCGGATCTGCGAAGCTATAAAATACCATGCCTGGCCCTATGGATAGTAGAAACCGATCCCAGCCCTCCATCTTCAATCCAACCGCCAGCATGCAATCCTTCAATCCAGTCACTGGTGCCTCAACCTTCGGCTACAACGAAACTACAAGGTGATTAGTGCATTGATCGCATCAATATTTGAGGTCTGACGCTGTTGTCTGCGCGATAGCCCAAATCACGCCCCTGGAACTTCAAGTTCTTGCGCTTCGACCGCGTGTTGGTCTGGACCCATTGTTAATGGTCCATCAGATGAGTGCTTTCCGGGTGGCTTCGCCCTTCCTCCAGAGTTTTTCGTAATGCAGTACGTTGTTATACCTGATGATTATGCCGGTTCCGTTCCTCATTGCGAAACTACAGGAACTCTGGACACCAGCACCATGTGAATGATAATACGGCATTCCAGAGCATTCCTGAGAACTCTATGTTATTGCACTCAGAGACAGCAGATGATAGAACGTCTTACTATCCTCAAGATCTATGGTATCTTCCGCTCGAGGATAACAATCTAACCCAAGCATATGTTTGGTAAGCTTATCGGGCCGAGTCACGAGCATACTATTCATTTAGCTACTAGGAACCAGTACGGACAGCTTCCGTTGTTTAACTCAGGCACAATCCCTCCATCCTTGCAAACGATGATGTCACAGTCGTCGACGGAACCATTACCTATCATGATGCCGTCTCAAGAACAATGTTCGTCTTTCTCTCCAACATTTTATTATAGCCTCTCATCGTCCTTACTCCAGCAGCCCTTTCTGAATGCGCATGGATTGAAGATGGTAAACGGTGTGACCATCCCATTTCCCATGACAAACGCAAACTCAGCACCCATCTTCGCAACTTTCATGGTGTGTATGGACCCGAAAAGAAACCCGTTGTGTGCTTCTGGCAGGGTTGCGATCAGAACATGCAAAGAGGCGCTATCGGGCGGCACATCATTAGCTGCCATCTGAAAACTAGATGGACCTGCAAGAATTGTTCCAAGACGTATTCTCGCCGCGACGCTATGAAGAAGCACGCCAAGGACTGTCAAGTCGCATAGGCTTAACCGCTGACAACCAGCATTACATCTTCTCGCTCGTTATCGTACACTTTCTTTTGATGACCAACACCAATCATTTCCTAACGCAATGTTTCGTTGTGTATATCTTCACCACTGCTGTATTACCACAAACTCAAACTTACGGCATGAAACATTGCTATAGTATACCCATAATGTCGTAGTATATCTTGTTACCAACACTCCTTCAATGATGTATTTATTATACATCTCGACTCGTTTTGTAATGCGACGATAAACTTCGAAGATAAAAACGACGACGTTCCTTCAGGTATACTAGGATCGTGATCAGGCAAATCGCAAACGAGTCAACTTTAGCAGAACTTATACTTGTATGCGACAAAAGCGGATGACTGTAACGTTGAGTCTTAAGATAGTGCGTTCTCATGCTCAAAATTAGGAGGTGCATAGGACAATAAATCAGATTTTTTTCATGTACAAAAAGTTGAGAGGAACCCGACAGGGTCCCATTTTGGGCTAGTAAGTCTGACATAAGCTTCTGCTTGCTTTGGATACTTTCATTCCCACCAACCAGATATCACCGGCCAGGCCTAAAACACTTCCTAGGAAAAGCCGTCGACATATGCATATGATACCGATATCTGTATGCAAGCTCCAAGTCCGTTCATGGGCCAGCGGCTTCTGAGCTCGAGTCATCCTCCGGAATTGAGGCAGTCGACATCTCTCACCGGCGGCTGCAGGTGCTTAGTAAGTCAAGTCTATCATAATGATTGGCGATCACCATGGAATGCATAGTGTAAGAATCAGACCGGCAGGCTGCAACTGGCGTGACAATGACGAGAAAATGTTCTAATTGTCAAGCGGATCGGTAGCGACGAAGGATTAGCGGTAGATTGAGGACGGGGACTGCACTGATCGATAGTGTTGGTGAGGTAAGGTTGTAGTGGTCGCGATAGAGCGGTACACAATTAGTAATCCTGACAGATATGGTGAGGGCCGGTTCTCACTGGGATTCAACTTGAGGACGTTGAGTAACTCTATATTCGGGAATCAGCACTGAATTTCGACAGATAGCCCAGTAGGATGTCGGATACTCCATCGTTTGCCTCTTATCCATTCCAAAACTGTAACTTTTCACTGTCCAGCATGAGGAGGTGACGAGGCGTACCTACTATCGGGCAAACCATGTGCTTAGCGAATCACAATGATCTTCATTTACCACTCGGGTCATTGACATGGTGGCATGCGCGTGATGTTGTCGTGTGACTGTCAAGCTGAGTCTTTTCGTATTCGTAGAAGAGCAGAGGGCGGACAGCCACTTGCAATAGGGCGGGTAATGCAGTAAAGTCCTGTTGTGCCACTGAACTGCGCTTCAATGGCAATTGATATTGATCTGACATTCGAACTGCTTGTGAACTTGACGAGAAGTGCTCAGTATAGCACAGGATTATCAATCGTCGATTCTCTAGTCGTGCACCATCAATCGTGTGTACACATTCCATCTGTGTTCTGGTGAGCAAACTGCGGTACTTGACAAATAACAATTGACTTTCCCGTCGGTACATCACCAGCCAGTTCGCCTTCCGACGGTAGACAAGTTGCGCCAGTCTCCATTAACACTCCTGGGACCCTCTCGACCACGTTCAATGATTAACTGCGCCGATTAGTTGAACAACATCGTGACTATCTTTCACAGGTTGTAGCCATGAGGGCTGTTAACGTTTCCGCTGGAGACGCCAGCCGAGCGCTCTGAAGAGGACGAGAACACGGTGCTTGCTGAACCCGTCTAATCCACGCTCGCTCTAACTACATGCTGCTCTAGGAACCCGAACATCGGAGACCCCTGACTTCTGCTCCCACCGGCCAACCCCTCGCTGTGCTTCATACTACACCGCAGCTACTTTCGCTTCTTTGGGAAGATCCATTAAGACTGGATTATTGCATTTGGGGTATATATAACCCTCGAGAGTTGCTGTATCTCGACATCACCTTCTAACACCTAAGACTCCAGCATGCAATCTGCGAATATTTTGATTATTGTCGCCTTTCTCATCGGCGCTGTGAAGGCAGGTCAGTAATCTGTCAATATCTGTTGAACTTGATATTAAAATACATTAGCCGGCGGCAACAGCACAGTCAGTGTCGAAGCGCCGACAATAGTCTCCACAGTATTTAGTCAGTCCAAAAGGTATTATCTTTCGGAGTGGGTCTAATGCATGTCATCCAGAATATGACCCAAACAAAGCCGCAGCAATTTCGGCAGGCGTGTTGTACTCCATCGCCAGCCTATGCCTGTTCACGCGCTTATTTATGAACAAGGCATGGTGGGGACTTCACCTCCCTATAGCCTCAACCTGTCAGTTCTCATCATCCACCTCGAAATACGTGTTGACTATTAAAACAGTGATGTCCGTTGGCCTTTTTATGCGCATACCCATGGCGACGAACCCAAATTCTCTCCCGACTTTCATGGTCCAACAAATCCTCACCTTGTCACCGCCTGCCGCATACCTCGCCTTCAATTACATCCTTTATAGTCGTTTCATCGTGAACTGTGTGGACAGACGCTACTCTTGGATAAAACCAGAGAAAGTTACCTGGTACATCATTATCAGCGATATGACGACATCCATACAGGTTGTGAAGTTTGACTGTCTTTCTCATCGCATGGAGGATTGATCACGACGTTGTGCAGGGTGCAGTCATCAGTCTACAAGCGTCGACAAATCCGACAAGTACAAAGTTGGGCGTGGACATACTGCTCACCGGATTCATCCTTCAGACAGCCTCATTTGCGTTCTTCATGATCCTGGTTGCGCATGCATGGCATTGTATCAATCGAGACGGTCTTCTGTTCCGCGAGGAGCCGTGGGGGAAAATTCTTTGGATATTGATGTTTTCTTCAACAGCCTACATGGTACGCCTTTCGCCCACATTTCATTGTCAATCTTCACTGATGTTACGCGATACAGATTCGCTATATCTATCGTGTCACTGAGTTTGCTCAAGGCAATGGCGGCTATCTCATCACACATGAAAGTAAGTGTTGAGAGGGACTGAAATTGAGGCGCTTAGTCTAACCCTTGCCCAACAAGTCTATTTTTACCTCCTCGACTCCCTGCCACTGTTGATTGGCATTTGCGCATACATCATCTACTGGCCAACGAAGTATCTCGAAGCGTCGGTCAAGCCTGTCTATGATAATGAAATGACGGGACGAGTTCAGGGTTCTGTCTTCACTGCGATAACTCACTCGGGTGCGTAAAGCATCAGGGAAACGTAATTCACTTCAGAGTGCTACAGAGCGCTCCGTAGCATTCTGTAGCACAATCCAACCCGCTGATGAATCGTACATGATGGATGACTTTCCGTAGGCAAAAATAATGCGGAATAGAATATAATTTCACGTATCAGTGTGCCGCGATGCCGGGTGTCATTCCGTCACTGTTTGTAATGGGTGACTTCCCGCCGGAGCTCGAAAACAATTTTGAGTCTGTAGGATTCCCGACTTCTAAATTATAATAGAGGAGGGTTCTGAACTTATGTGGCAAAGTGTTTTCTTTGTTCGAAATTCTGTGCTTACATTTGTACGAGTGTCCAGCTTCTTCAACTCCCAGCCAGACGCCCTCTAGGCTTTGACCACTTGTGATCGAGGGATCGTCCAAACGGTGTTGCTCGTAAATGAAATTTTAGACCTTTCTGCAGGATACAGCTAACGAGCTGCTTACCAGCAACTTCGGATACCCATAGAGATCTCCTGCACATTCTAATTTCTCAAATAACAACGAAGCACTTCCTCCACAGACAGTCCCGAAGTCATCTGCTGGGTAGGGCATTAATCTTGTGAGTGGGTCTTGTTAGTTACTATTCTGACAAGAAATAAAGTGAAAAAGACAGGTTCCTGGACTCACCATCAATCATTGCTGTCGCCGGAAGACTCAGTCTGATTCCAAGAACCCGCTTTCTCGTATACATAGCCCTCAATCTGCCGTAGTTGAGATACCAACTACCGACCATGTCTTCCTCCGCCAGTAAGACACCAGCAATCACGCCACGCCAGACGTTCCGAGGTCACACCGGCTGGGTGAATGGCGTTGTGCACCTACCTGGCGGACGACAGATAATCACATGTTCGCCGGACAAGTCGCTCCGACTGTGGGACCTGGAGAGCGGAGAACAGATAGGTGAGGACTGGCGAGATGAGAATGCAGAAGGGTGGTGCATGGCATTGTCTCCCGATGGAAAGACAATTGCAAGCGGATATGTTAAAGTGAACTTATGGGACGTCGAGACGAGGAAGTTATCGCCAAATGTTCAGGACACAGAGCTGTGGGTGCATTGTGCTGGAGTGCAGACGGTAAACGAGTGCTGAGCGGATCCTGGGATGGGACGGCAAGAGTCTGGGATGTCGAGAGCAGCCAAACTGTCCTGACAATCAAAACCGGGCGATTGTGTGAACGCAGTAATCTACTCGCCCGATGCAGCAAAAATTGCAACCGGTAGAGACAACGTGTCTGCGCTCAAAATCTGGGATGCCAAGACGGGCAAGCTGCTTAACACGCTCAAAGACATTTATCCTGTTTGGAGCTTGGCCTGGACGTCGGACGGAAAGAAACTTATCTCCGGTTCAAATCCAATTAGAATATACGACATAACCACTTGGCAGGAGATCGCCAATCTCGGCGCTGACACCCTCTTGGTCGACGTCATCTCCTTATCTCAGAACAACCGCCTTCTATGTGCATCAGGCGATAACACGGTGCGCTTATGGAATCTCAATACAAACCTTCCAGTCGGTCCTCCCCTCCAGCATGAAGATTACGTGCAATGCGCAGCCCTTTCCGCTGATGGAAAGCTGCTAGTCACTGGCTGCCCAAAACAAAAATGCGTACACCTGGGACATTCACGCCATCCTCAAAGAAGCTGGCCTTGAAGACCTCCTTCGGCCTTCATCTGATGTAAAGCTCATAGTTCTTCAGTCAAAATTATGCTAATATCCCCCTCGCAGATAATGGCAGTGCGTGATTTGTTTCTCAACCTTCTCAGTGGTTGTAACCTGAATATTCTATTTAGGCGGATGCTACGCAGGTCGTAGACGATGAACTTTTGCTAGGTTTTTTCAACGATACCACAGATGGTGCTGATGTGCGTCATCAGCGTTTTTAGTCGGTTTCTGTTCTGACCTCTTGATCTCAGTCCTCCGGAACGTACGGTAACTATCACCGTTCCTCTTCCCGCCGTCCTCGCCCTCTCGCACCCTCTTTTTGGAGTGTCAATACGCTCTTCGGTCGCCTATCGTCACCTTTCCAGCCCTCTCATTCCAAGACCAATGGATCAACCGATCCCCAGCAATACCCAAGGCGAGCCTTATTGTCTCGCGGGCCTCGTATCGTCGAAGTGGCTGCGATAAAGGACAGAGAGGTATATATACATTTGCGTGCATTTCCCATTGCCGTTGTCTAATGATTTCTGTTCAGGTTATATTCACTGCTCTCCCGCCGCCAGAAAAAGAACAGCAGCAAACCCAATCGCACGCTCAGGAATCATCCACGACACAGCCTGCTTCAGGTACTAATCCTACTACACCACGTCCCAGATACCCACTACCTGTCCGATTATTGGGTCATCTGGTGCTTTTTCTCTGCTGCGCATCACCTCAGCACGCCAATGGAAATGCACAACCAATACAGCAGGAAGGCCAACCACAACGCCAAGTCCATGCCCAGGCGTCATTATCGCAGAGTCATCCTGCCGCCCCCTCGACATCCACGACACCACCTTCTCCTGCTACTAGTACTGTTGCATCAGGTGCAGCGACCGTGCAGTCACGACCTCTTCCACTGCGAGCTCGCTTCGTGCTGTTTCTTTGTTGTACATATCCCCCATATGCCGATGGTCATTAATACAGGTACAGGTACACAACTATCTCACATTTGCTTCTAGTTCTTTTGTACTCTTATCTTTTCATCTCGCAACTACATAGATCGATCTTGTTTCTTCGTGTGTATCGAACTCGACAATACCAACTGTTGCGAGGAACATTCTGAGATTAATTGAGAGGATCATCTAGCACGGATGATGGTTTTTTTTCCTACATAACCCATTCTCCGTCCGGATCTCCATTCCGCAACCCAATCTCGTCACCTACTAGGAGAATCATGAACGCAATGAATATCTGGCAAGATAATCTCATCAGATACAGTATGCTATCATCCGTACTGTTTTGAGAGCAGTGTCATATATCATACAAGCGGTCCGTTCACCTTTGGACGCCTTCTACTCTCAAGCTGGACCGTAAATCGCAGTTTCCACTCTAACCTGCTTAGGCGACCACTTTTAACGGATAAGTCAAAGACTCACGCTCGCACATTTCGCACTAAGCCGTTTGAAAGAAAGTCGACAGTGTCGTTGACTCATCCCGGAGACATGACGGATGTCGATGAGGTCTGTAGGCTTAGAGGGGCTGAAGTGGAGCGCGCACATGGCGTCGACACCATATTGGAAATCGCTCCGTCCTAGATAGATAACAGTATGTTCTTAGTAAAGGCACCTTCGCTACTCCTTACACTTTGGACGTGATTTACGGTCCAGCTTGAGCGTGCTGGATTGAAAGAGAATGTGATGCGAGGCAGGCAATGTCACTCTCCTGTGAGGAATCTGAACCTCGACGAATCTGCGATGAAGAGTGCTGATGTAGACCGGACTTTCGAGAGCGTGATGTCGCTGAGACACTCGAAGCGCTGTTTGCAACAGAGAACGAAGAGGAAAAGACAACGGAGAACGTATTGTACAGGCCCATCTCTCACGATAGAAAACGTCCGAAGGTGAACGGACCGCTTGTATATATATAACCTTCAGGCCTCAGGTCTAGTCTACTTAACAATGTTACCCGCTCCACCATGAGCGGACTTGGAGCTTGCATGGAAATATCGGTATCGTGTGTTGACGGCTTTTCCTAGGAAGTGTTATATTGTATTGAGGCCAGCTGGCCGGTGATATCTGGTTGGTGGAAATAAAATGACATTCATCCAAAGCAAGCAGAAATTCATGTCCGCTCATATAGTCTTAGTTACTTGGGACTCAAGGTAGATTTTGGTGCCCGGCTACTTTTTCCTACTTTCAACTTTGACATTCAGAAAAAAGTTTGGTCATATTACTACTAGCATACAGGCTGCACTAAATTTACTAGGTGGATCGTGACGACAGAACTCTAAACCCGTCCCGTCATTTCGTTATCATAGACAGGCTTGACCGACGCTTCGAGATACTTTGTTGGCCAGTAAATGATGTATGCGCAAATGCCAATAAACAGTGGTAGGGAGTCAAGGAGGTAGAAATAGACTTGTTGGGCAAGGGTTAGACCAAGCGCCTCAATTTCAGTCCCTCTCAACACTTACTTTCATGTGTGATGAGATAGCCGCCATTGCCTTGAGCAAACTCAGTGACACGATAGATATAGCGAATCTGTATTGTGTAACATCAGTGAAGATTGACAATGAAATGTGGGCGAAAGGCGTACCATGTAGGCTGTTGAAGAAAACATCAATGTCCAAAGAATTTTCCTCCATGGCTCCTTGCGCAACAGAAGACCGTCTCGATTGACACCATGCCATACATGCACAACCAGGATCACGAAAAACGCAAATGAGACTGTCTGAAGGATTAGTCCGGTGAGCACTATGTCCGCGCCCAACTTTTCACTTGTCGGATTTGTCGACGCTTCTAGACCGCCACCTGCACCCTGCACAACGTCGTGATTAATCCTCCATGCGATGAGAAAGACAGTCAAACTTCCAACCTGTATGGAGGCTGTCGCGATATCGCTGATAACGATGTACCGGATAACTTTCTCTGGTTTTATCCAAGAGTAGCGTCTGTCCACACAGTTCACGATGAAACGTCTATAAAGGATGTAATTGAAGGCGAGGTATGCGGCAGGCGGTAACAAGGTGAAGAGTTCTTGGACCATGAAAATCGGGAGAGAATTTGGGTTCGTCGCCATGGGTATGCGCATAAAAAGGCCAATGGACATCACTGTTTTAACAGTCAATACGTATTTCGAGGTGGGTGATGAGAACTGACAGGTTGAGGCTACAGGGAGGTAAAGTCCCCACCATGCCTTGTTCATAAATAAGCGCGTGAACAGGCATAGGCTGGCGATGGAGTACAACACGCCTGCTGCAATTGCTGCGGCTTTGTTTGGGTCATATTCTGGATGACATGCATGAATGAGACCCAATCCGAAAGATGATACCTTTTGGACTGACTAAATACTGTGGAGACTATTGTCGGCGCTTCGACACTGACTGTGCTGTTGCCGCTGGCTAATGTGTTTAAATATCAAGTTCAACAGATATTGACAAATTACTGACCTGCCTTCACAGCGCCGATGAGGAAGACGACAATGATCAAAATATTCGCAGATTGCATGATGGAGGCTTGGGTATTAGAAGGTGATATCGAGATACAGCAACTCTCAAGGGACATATATACACCAAATGCAATGATCCAGCATCAATGGACCTTCTCAAAGAAGCGAGGGTAGGTGCGGTGTAGTACGGAGCACAGCAAGGGGGTCATCAGTAAACTTAGTGCTGCTGCGGTCCGGTTCGGTCGGGTTCAGAGGCAGTTTGACGAGAACCGGGACAGTTCTTCTGGGGATTATGCTGATTATGGTGCTTTTACATAGTCATATATTGCTTTATATCACTTTATATTCCAATGCGACGAAAACCTTTCCTATATATTACGAAAATTAATGATCCGAGGCGCAGGAATGCAGGTGGCGCTCAGGTGGAGCACGCACATGGGGTGGACGCAAATTGGTTCCTTGTGTAGATGCAGCTGCGCTTTCGCGACGTCGTCAACAGTGGCCACACCGGCACAGTTTTCTCTTGAATGCTATGGGCGTTTTACGTATTTAGTAGCTCAGGCCGCTACAGCGGAACACAACTTACAGGGGGGGCTAAAAAACTCCTTCACTTTCTCAAGGAGGATAATTGCGTGCACGATGTCTTGACTGGTTGGTGGATGTGAAGGAGGCAATGGTCGCTTGATTTGAGATAACGACTCTGAGAAGAGTGGGCGCTCTGGCAGGACAGGACGGGAGTGGCAGGGTCCTGGCTCGTAATCGGTAGTCCTCGCGTGTGTCGTAGTCTGTCCTCGATAGACAGAGCCGTAGCCTCCCGCCATAGAGGTCTGGCCTTGGTTCCCTAGCAGTCCGTGCCCGTTCCAATGGGGAGTGCGAAGGTGTGGACCGCTTGTAAGAGATAGGCACTGTGGAGTCAGAGGTTTCGTAAACGAGAGCAAATGTAGTCCGTCTGAGATGATACACGAAATAATGAGATGCATCTGGTTAAAGAATGCGAGACCGGAACTTCGAGACTTGGTTATATTGCCTGCAGTAGGAACTGTGCATAGGCTACTTATATTGTAGCTCGGTAAGGGTCATCAGGTACAGGTAGGCCGGATGATTATGTGAGGACGGTCGTCGAAGGAAGTGGCGTCACGCCTGACAGGGTAGAGTAGACATGACGAGGGAATGACATGAAAAGAATCATGTAGACTGAGTGACGAAAAATATGGTGTTATTGGCAGATATTAGACCGGCGGGCTGCACCTGGCGTGGCAATGACGAGAAGGTATTCTAATTGTCAAGTGGATCGGTAGCGAACGAAGAATTAGCGGTAGATTGAGGACGGGGACTGCACTGATCGATAGCGCTGGTGAAGTGAGGTTAACGTTGTGGTGGTCGCAATAGAGACGGTTACGTCGGCGGTACACGATTAGTAATCTTGACACTAGTTCAAAATTCAACTTGAAGACGTTGAGTATCTGGCTTTCTAGGCTAACTCGATATTCGGGAATCGGCACTGAATTTGACAGATAGCTTAGTAGGGTGTCGGATACTCCATCATTTGCCTCTTATCCATTCCAAATTCTGGAACTTTTCACTGTCCAGCATAAGGAGGCGGCGAGGCGTACCCATTGGGCAAACCATGTGCTCAGCGAATCACAATGATTTATCACTCGGGTCATTGACATGGCGGCATGCGTGTGATGTTGTCGTGTGACTCCGACGGTACTAGGAACGTCAAGCTAAGTCTTTTGGTATTTGTAGAAGGGCGGACAGCCACTTACGATAGGGCGGGCAATGCAGTATTACAGTCTTGTTGTGCCACTGAACTGCGCTTCAATTTGCAATTAATATTAATCTGTCATTCGAACTACTTGTGAACTTGACGAGGGCCGTGCTCGGTATGGCGCATGATCATCAATTGTTGATTCTCTAGTCGTGCATCAATCGCGTGTACGCATTCCATCTATGTTCTGATGAGCACATCGAACTGCGGTACTTGCCAAGTAACAATTTGCTTTCCCGTCGGATGTCATCTTGGTGGTACATCACCAGCCGGCAGTGCTCAGTCCCCTTCCGACGGTAGACAAATTGCGCCGGTCTCCATTAACATTCCTGGGACCACGTTCAATGATTACTGTGCCGATTAGCTAAACAACACCGTGATTTTCTTTTACAGGTTGCAGCCGTGAGGGCTGTTAATGTTCCCGCAGCTACCTTCGCTTCTTTGGGAAGGTCTATTGATGCTGGATCATCGCATTTGGGGTATATATAACCCTTGAGAGTTGCTGTATCTTGATATCACATTCTAGCACCCAACCCTCCAGCATGCGGTCTGCGAATATTTTGATTATTGTCGCTTTCCTCATCGGCGCGGTGAGCGCAGGTCAGTAATCTGTCAATATCTGTTGAACTTGATATTGAAATACATTAGCCAGCGGCAACAGCACAGTCAGTGTCGAAAAGCCGACAATAGTCTCCACAGTATTTAGTCAGTCCAAAAAGTATCATCTTTCGGATTGGGTCTAATCCATGTCATCCAGAATACGACCCAAGCAAAGCCGCAGCAATCGCGGCAGGCGTATTGTACTCCGTCGCCAGTCTATGCCTGTTTACGCGCTTATTTATGAACAAGGCATGGTGGGGACTTTGTCTCCCTGTAGCCTCAACCTGTCAGTTTTCACCACCTACCTCGAAATACGTGTTGACTGTTAAAACAGTGATGTCCGTTGGCTTTTTTATGCGCATACCCATGGCGACGAACCCAAATTCTCTCCCGATTTTCATGGCCCAACAACTCCTCACCTTGTTACCGCCTGCCGCATACCTCGCCTTCAATTACATCCTTTATGGGCGTTTCATCGTGAACTGTGTGGACAGACGCTACTCTTGGATAAAACCGGAGAAAGTTGCCCGGTACTTCGTTATCAGCGATATCACGACATTCCTCATACAGGTTTGAAGTTTGATTGTTTACCTTGTAGCATGGAGGACTAATCACAATGTTGTGCAGGGCGGAGGTGGCGGTCTAGAAGCGTCGACAAATACCACAAGTGCAAAGTTGGGCGCGGACATACTGCTCGCCGGACTAATCCTTCAGACAGTCTCATTTGCGTTCTTCATGATCCTGGTTGTGCATGCATGGCATTGTATCGTTCGAGACGGCCTTATGTTCCGCAAGGAGCCGTGGGGGCAAATTCTTTGGATATTGATGTTTTCTTCAACAGCCTACATGGTGCGCCTTTCGCCCACATTTCATTGTCAATCTTCACTGATGTTACGCGGTACAGATTCGCTGTATCTATCGTGTCACCGAGCTTGGTCAAGGTAACGGCGGCTATCTCCTCACACATGAAAGTAAGTGTTAAGAGGTACTGAAATTGAGGCGCTTAGTCTAACCCTTGCCCAACAAGTCTATTTTTACCTCCTCGACTCACTGCCACTGTTGATTGGCATTTGCACATACATCATCTACTGGCCAACGAAGTATCTCGAAGCGTCGGTCAAGCCTGTCTATGATACTGAAATGACGGGACGGGTTTAGAGTTCTGTTGTCTATAATTTACTTGGGTGCATGGACACATAATACCCTCATAAGGGCACTGGACTATATATGTTACAATAATCCGCTGCGATGCAACAATGTTCTGTAGATCGGTTCCTTGACCGCACAATATCCTACTTATATGTTCGTGTTCGGAGGCTCGGAGCGAATAGGAAAGCAATTGCATGACATCATTGCGCTATGCCTTTAATGTACTCCATGCCGACAATGCCCGTAACCAGTGCAGGCGTACTACTAAAATTTCAAAGCTGAGCGCTGAAACTCGAATGCTACTCCTGCAAGCGTCTTCTCCATACCCATCCTTACGATTTCGTCTACTACAACAATCTGCCAACAAACCAAATATACATCTATGACTCAACGTGATAGTGGACACATGACATCACTGCTACCGGACGGAATCGGCATACGGATGATGAGATCTTCAGACATGCCACAAGTCCGTGCACTCCATGTGAGGAAACACTTTCACATTTGCACACCAGAGCCCCTGACTGGCAGGTCGCTTGACCGATCCCAAAGACCAAACTCCTCCCAGTCGCATACCCCACCGCATTCTTTGTGCAGCTGCTCATACAGCCGCAGCGTATGTGTCTCATAGCCACATACGACGGCAAAGTCATCGCATTTGCCTCTGCTACCATGGAAACACGGCATTCAACGCCAGGGCCGCTTGGTTCGAGCGGGGATCAGACTGGAGGAGGCGCTCTGCGGGTTACCTTGTTGACGCTTGGGGTATCGCCCGAGTTCCGACGACAAGGGATTGCACGCAGACTCGTACATGAAATCGTGCAGCGCCTGCGATTGTCTTGCGGGGCCCCTTCTCATGAATCACCTCCCGCCCCATCGCTCTCAGAGAGCGATTCGACTGATGCGGTGATTATATCCGCAGAGGTTGCACGCAACAATTCGTCTGGACAGTCTTTTTACTCCCACCTCGGGATGCAAAGACAACTAGAAGTGGATCAGCAGAGCGGGTTTGGTTCGAAGGCACACACGTGCATGGTACTGGGGGTGATGAGAACGGTTCCTGTTTCCTGAAGAATACATCATTAGATTTTTCAGGAGGTGATAGATGGTGTGCGCGGCAGAGACAACATTCACGAGCGTTATCAAGGACGCGCTAGCATAAATTAGAAACTCGTAGTGAAATTATGTTCTCCATAATGATATCTGAAATTTGCGATGACATTCGTGTCTGCTTCTTGCTTCAACTAGAAGGTCGACAGGGCACTATAAACGACGACAGCCTGTGATCTGGGGGTACAATATCACCTGCAAATGGCAGTCGATGAACCGAACCTGACTCGGAGGCCTGCCAGATGATGGGTGAAAATCTGGCCCGGGGGTACATTCACCTGATCAAAGTCTTGAAGTGACGATAACCTACGATTTTATCCTGTTCAATCAGACACAAGCAGTTGGTAATAAAGATTGTCCGAGAGGGAGTTTTATGGCAGGTTTATTGATCCAGAACATATGGGACAGGGGAAAGTAGGGCATTAGCTAGAGTCGGGAGAATGTCGAGATCCCACAATTCTCCCACTAGCTGGCATCATGAGAAAAAAAAACAAGCATCCTACTATGTTTGTATATCAAGTCCTGATCTGCTACGTTTCACTGCAACTCCTGCGATAAATAAATCACTTTCATCAGTAAAGATCCGCGTTGAGACTTGTGTTTCGCAGCGCCACGAATACAATCTCGCGATTGATGATCAGCTGCGTGATCTGCATCTGTTTTAGTCTGGTGCCCGGCTGGGCCCTGGCCGCATGCAAGTTTTGTCAAATGACCACGGGAGTTCTGGGAGGTGCAAGGGCAACTCCGAACGCGAAGTATGTGCAAACTCAAAAACCACGTTGGCATGTCCCAAAGCAGCTAGGGGAGTCTGAAAATGAGAGCGCCCCACTATAAAATCCATCATCCATCCTGTCTTTGTTATCAACCCGTTCTTTTGAACTCTGATAGTTCAGGAAGGGCATTACTCGTCATCACATAATATCATGGCGGCAAAAGTTTACGTTGGGTACGTCGATGTTGCTTTGATCGTGTGGAGGAGCAATTTTACTGATGTCGGCACATCGATCAGGAATCTGAGTTGGAACACGACAGATGACTCCTTGAGAGCGGTTAGTTCTTCTGCGCGATTAGTTCGTCTTCGATGCTGATATCCACTTTACAGGCTTTTGGAGACTTTGGGAATGTTACTGATGTGCGCGATCTATTGAGGCGATCTCCCATCGTGGTCAAAGATAGGCACCGATGATGGCAGATCGCCCATGGTTTTTTTTTCTGCGACTAAAATTGTTATATGCGCTCCTGCTCGTTGCACGTTTGCGTTTTTTTAGGCCATCGTGATGAAGGACCGTGAAACTGGCCGCTCTCGTGGTTTTGGTTTCGTCACCTTCAACGGCAATGAAGAAGCTGAGGCAGCCATCCAAGGAATGAACGAACAAGAGCTTGACGGTCGCCGGCTTAGGGTTAACCTGGCCAATGCTAGACCCAGTGGTGGGGGAGGCGGAGGCGGAGGTTACGGTGGAGGTGGAGGCGGCTACGGCGGCGGCGGCCACAGCGGTGGTGGTGGCCACGGCGGATACGGTGGCGGCGGATACAGTGGTGGTGGCGGATACGGCGGCGGCGGCGGCAACTACGGCGGGGGCTACTGAGCTCTCGGATGGTTTTGTGTTTCAAGATTGGTCGGTGTCGCAATTCTGTATGATGTTCAAAGGTCGTGTTCATCCTCGCCAAGCTACGATATTTCCGCATGCATTACAGTATCTGTTTGATCATAACGCAACTTAAATACTCGGTCGAAATTTGTATCAAAACATGTGTTCTCGAGATTCCTTTACAAATTTAGTTTGAACGTGTACGTCGGATCCTTAAGTTGCCAAGCATTTGCAAAGTTCGAGAAGACGGCCTCGAGGCTATTTTACCCGAGGAGCGGCTTAACTCCGTAATTCTCAGCGCAAATGACCAAAGCGTTGCCTATGACGGTCTGGCTCTGAAAAGTTGATACACTGATCGAAACGTGTAACGGAGAACATTGGTGAGGCAGCTACGCAGCACTGACAAGACTCTCTACTGTACAGTTGTGTACTATCACTATGGCCCAGAAACAAGAACGATATCAAGTCAAACTTGAAGGCGGGTCGTCGAGGACTAATTCGTTTCCAGGATTAGTCCCTGGATGAAGGTCGCCGCCCGGTGCCACGCCGAAGCTAGGTAAAGCTAGTGGCCTTTTTTCGCCGGTCTTCTGGTCTTCGTTCACAGCTCAGTGTTGAAGCAAGTCACATCTGAAACCGGGGATCGGTCGACGCAAGCAATTTGCCTTGTGCAACCCCCTTGTGAACTGTGGCAGCTGTCAAGCCAGCGACGAGCTCACTTTGTTTTCATGAACATCCAAGCGATGGCCGACATGGTAAGTGGTCCACGACTGCTCTTGTATAATGCGTACCTTCTGTCAAATCACTGTGGTTTGGTCATGGCAAGACCATTGAAAGAGCAGATAGTGGACTTTGTGGTACAGAAGCTGTGCTGAAATGGTCCACAGAGCAAACAATTCCAAAACAGTGTGGACCTACAAGGACCTACTAAAATTGGACCTGTCTTTACACATTTTCCCGCACTTCATCTACGACGCGACCTTCCAGTTTTTCCTCTTAACTACAACTTTCATCCTTCCATTCAGAGGAACATTCATACTCCAAATCATCTCAAGCTCTACACTTTATACTACGCTCTTCACCCGTTGCACCCCATGCCAGGTCCAATTAGATCTAAAGGAAAAGGTCGCGTAACGAATGATGAAGAAATCAAGCCCCCCCGTCCCCCCAATGCCTGGATTCTCTATCGCTCCGATAAGATAAAGGAGCTACCACCAGCAGAACCTGGTCAGCGGAGCAGAGCCCAGGCCGACGTTTCAAAACTCGTTTCTGACATGTGGCGGAAGGAGTCAGATGCAGTCAAATTAGAGTATGAGCGGCTCGCAGACGCGAAGAAGGCGGAGCACCAGCGTAAATACCCTGATTATAGGTTCCAACCGATGAAGAAGGAGGAGAAGGAACGCATCAGGGAAGAAAAAAAGCAGCTCAAGGAACGCGCTCGCGAGAAGAAGAAAACCCGCGGTCGCGCAAATGCGGTCGCCGGGCCCTCACAGGAGCAACACGATGCAGTTGTACCACAGCCAATGCAGGAGCCCGACCCACAACAAGTCATGCCAGCGATGGCATACGCACCTCCTTACCCTCTCCCCGGTGTCATGCCTGTCCAGAACGTCCCCTCTCACATGCCTTATCACAATTACACCTTCCTCGACCCGGAAATGCAGTTTGGACTGACGGGTCCATCACCACCGTTGTCAGCTATGTCATCGCCGAACCCGTCGTCTACCTCTGATTTTTCATCCCTCTCGGATGAACTTCTATTGCGGTTAGATGAGCTACCTCCAGTACGTGTATCTCCCGTCCCATATGCGCAACCCACACAGCAGCCTTATGGTGGTCTTCCTCTGTTCTCCCAGGCATTCCCCCCTCCCCATAACTCGTACAATATGGAGTCTGCGCCTATGCAGCAACCGCAGGGTAGCTATGGTCAATGGCAAGCTCCACAAGATCACATCGTATCGCAGCCGTCTGGTTCTGTAGCTGCCCAACAACCTGCTTCCGGATGGGATGACTTTGACGCATCAAAGGTAACTTGTGACTATCAGCCGCAGGTATGTCGCTTCTCAACGCTATTGTCACCGTCACTAATTTTTTCATGTGCTACTCAGGATTTCTTGAACTTCAACCTTGCGGCTGCTAACAATTTGGGGACAATGCACGAGCTCGAAAGCTCACTTCAGGACATGATGTCATCTCCTGACCAGAACGGTGTCTTCGACGTTACAAAGATCAACCCTGGAGATGTCCCTGTTCAGCCTGAGGGCGACTTCGAAGTTGACATGGCCCCAAACCCTGACGCGCAGTCACAGGAATATGAAAACTATTACAATAGTTTCGATATTGAGGCGGTACTTGCTGCATCACACGAACACGATCCCACCACCGTGAATCCTTCCGGCACCGTGAACCCCACAGACACTTTTATTGACCCAAAGCTTTCTGTGGACGACTTCACATCGTTCTTCAAGCTTAACCCTGACGTTCAGGCTTATATGGCAGCGCAGCAACGGCAACGTCAGCCGAGTGCATTCACGCGCGACATGATGCAGTTCATCAACTTCGACGCGGGTGAGGGTGGACCGCAAAACACTGCGGTGCCGCAGGTGGGCGCCCCTCCCCCTCCGCCACCACAAGGACAAGTGCCAATCTTCACACAGATGACGAACACCGCTGCTGTACCGCAGTCTGGCTATGTTCCCCCTGCTGGTGCAGCATATTCGTCAACACGGCGGGTTGCTGCGAGTTGGAAGCCGTCTTATGTCATTCCTGATGATTCTGTCATCGACCCTGCTCTATTTTATTGACCCTGCTCAGCATCGGCTTGCTAGCGGCCTTGCGTGATGAGTTCAAGAAGAAAACCGTTAGTACTTTCCCCTCTTCCCATTTCCAATAATGTTATTGATCTCGCTTTCTTGTACTATAGATTGCTCGACTGGATCGCTTTGTTCATTGTTTTTTCCCCAGAGATATCCGCATCACCGCGGTATCATCCGCTCCCATGTGATATCCAAAGCGCTTGTTAATTATATCATGCGCGCCTTGCCGCACGTATACCCACGCATCATCTACAATCAATCATCATTTCCGCATTGCTGACATTTTGCTTGCATTCCATATTTCTATTGCTATCTTCACTCCGTCATATCATCCAAATAACATATACCATGTTCTCATGTTGTTCCCTGATGGTTTCCTATAATCTCATAGTCCCGCCTACTTCATCGAACTACGAAACACATCAAAATGGCAGTATTCTTTCGCCGGATGTGTACTTTTTTCTTGTTCAGTGTACAATATATACCGTCACGAACTTTCACGATCTAGCTAGGTTGCATATGCACATAATAGTCATGGTACAATAAAACTTGGGCGTTCTTTCGCTGGCTGATATTCTGGGCGTGTAAACTCCGCGACAAAACCCTCGTTGCGATGTCTCTTTCAGGAAAACAATAGGGTTCGAAGGTACGAAATCGACGGGATCATACAGGATTGCCTATCGTGCCGTTGTTCCGCTATATTTAATTTAGGATATCCTGCAGGGACATCGGGGAATTGCGTGGCTTGAAGTTTTTGCATTCAAACGATTTCAGGGCTTCGAAAGGACAATGAGATTTTGTTATCTCGGGGACTTATTGAGGATCAAAGCGGGCGAAGAACTGCAGATGTTATAACCTCAAAAGGCTTGGACCTCGCAGCCCTTCCAAGATTGCGATCGCGTGGTATTATCACGTAGGCTCGGAACCAGCCTAGTACTAGTATAAACCACGTATGTCAGATTAGTCACGAGTCGTCGATTGCTAACATCTTTCATTCATAAGTAGTATCTTTAATATCTGCAGGTATCAAGAAGGCACAGGCGGAAGGCCCGTTGCCAATGCGATGGGGAGGATAACGATTTTCTCCTTGTCCCACTGCATCATAAAAAATCTCCGAATCAGCGCCCATTGCAAGCATCAATCACATCGTAACAGCCAAGACACGCACCACATCAGCTGTATAGTAAAGATCTTCCTCCACGATCTTACGCACGGCATCGATGGTTTCGCCCTCGTAGATCAAGCACGATCCGACGAATTTTATGTCTGTTGGAGCTGCACCGACGGATTCGGGCGTCAAGAGCCCTCCGCCGACCCCTGTCGGATATCAAAGTACTTGAGCGCCAGATATCCAGCTCGTGCTGTACTTACGTATGATGCCTTGATTGATGAGTTTCTTGGCGTTCTCGAGGTGGGCGGGTCTTACTGCTAGTCTTCGTTGGAGAGCACCCTCGTCGGTGTAGTCGGGTGCCCAGACGACGAATTTCGGTAGGGATGGTGTTGAGGACATGTGTCTCTTGTGGATGTAGCTGTAGATGCTTCGCTGCGGGATGATCTTGAGAGCTCGTGTCGTTTCGCGGTCGATGATAAGTCGATTGGTGGAGGAGCGGGCCTGTTCGGACCGATTGACGTTCCATTGGCCAAGGTCACCTGCACTGGTGCGTTGTCCTTCCACCGCCAGCATGATTGACGTCCTGTTTTAACTGTTTTGCTGACACTGGTTTTCTTTAATTGGTTCAGGGTGGGATAACTGGGCTAGTTTTGGATCTACTGGATGGTGTATCTCCTGCAGCTAGTTGGACAGTCCTTCTTCAGATATCAGGTGATCGATGAGGACAACCGTGGTATGCTCGTAGGTGCATCGCAGTACCGAAAATAACTTACTTGCCTTGACTCTAACAGATTCATTCACAGCTAGCACCCCCACTATACTGCAGTCATGCTTCAGTCCGCTCTGAGCTAGATACGCCATGCACATCCATCTTCATTCAGATCGAAATGACACTATTCGCTTCATAACTTCCAACATCCGTGAAAATGCATCGCTACACGGTCTGGGAACCAGACTGCACCGACGAAGTTACCCTCGCGCGTCGCATGGCTATTCGTCCCAAGCACCTCTATGAGCTAAGAAGCTCGTCGCACGAGGAGACAGCCACCATTTCCGAGTCTGAGCAGCTGAGCCTTCGATGTCTCATTGAAAATCTCACCACACCTAGATGTCAGTGAAACCTTCCAGTTACAGGTGCAGATTCAGACCACGAATCCAACTTTGTGATAGGAGGTATTTGAATGTGCCTGAAAATTCAGAGCTGGGATTAATCCATTAGGAAATAGTGACGACGAGAAGATATCTTGAAGACCGAGTCTAGTCACAAACGAAAGGGGTAAATATCTGATATTGCGAAATTCTCGGCGGGATCCTGAGGCAAATCATTCTGGATACAGCCGAGGAAGATAACTTATCTGCATGGGCAATAGATCATTTACAAATACGAAACTTTGAACAGTATAACATATAACGAAAGGGCATTCATCAGTAAATTCACATATTGCTTAGTAATGACGGTCTCATTGATTCTATTTGTTAGCTCCCTCTGAATCGTCCGCTCGCCTCTAAGTTCAACACGAGGAATTACTAATCGTCAAGAAACCACGAGCCGCTTGTAAAACCAACAACGTTGAAACTAGCACAGGAAAGCTCACTGAACATGCAATACGTGAGTGAATTCCAAGGATACCTCCGGCAAGTTGCAACGTTGTCCGGATACTTGACCTCGGAAGGAGAAACTGCTTCACCGGCTTTGTGTATCTCCTCGAATGTCATTCGAGTCGGCAGCATCGGGATTTCATGAAAGTGAACATCATCAATATTATTTTCTCTTTGGACCATGTTCGGAATATAACTTATTTAAGTACCTGACCTCCCAAGAAACTTCTCCTGCTCCCTACATAGCACCCAACAGAGATTCCCGTGCTACACGCAACGGTGAATACGAAGCGAGCAATCTATATGCTTCATATATATCGACATGTATCTACCTCTTTCTTGTCGATTTTTACTGGGACTCAGGCCTCAGGAGTCAGGAGTCACAGTACCTAGGAGTTCGTTGTGAAATTTGGTCTAATTCTCGAAGCAATTCTCGATACCTCACTTTGCAGAAACGATAGTTCTGCTATGTGGTGAGTCAATCAAATCCACGAAAACTACTGATACTTACGCAAGTCCTCGAACGACCGCTCTGGCATTCTCCGCTGTCCCTGTCCAAACACCCAGTGGGGCATTCATCGGTGCTACTGCCAACAATGGACGTAGCAGAGATTGATGATGCCGAAGCAGCAGCGACGGCGGGGATAATCGCAAAGGTGAAACGCATTGTGTATGAGGATGTGATGTGGGATCAAATAATTCTGAAGGGTTAGTAGGAATACACCTTTCTTTTATATGCTGGATAACGTCCCTTATGGCTTTCAGAACCTATCCACCGTTGGTCCGCCGAAATCCCTTTACTAGCCTCGCGTCAGCGCTTTGAATTTGAAGGTCTCCTGACAAATATTCTTGCGTGGTTGTGCCGCATTCGACCACATGATATTTGTAACAGTGTTGGCACTGGCGCAGTCTGACCGGATTTGATCGTTCGTCAGTCAAACCGTCAGTGGCAGTGTCGTTTAGTTGCTAAGCGCTAAGCGCTAAGCAGTAAGTAGGTAGTAAGAATGGTATATATGCGAGTAGGATATATATGAATTGAATAAGTGTGATACTTTAGCAGATTTGATTATTGCATCTTGATAGGCTCGGCACCATGCTGCTTTATGCGAGGCATTGCATCATTCCCGTACATGACACCCTTTGTCGAGTCAAATTCAGACCAGCCCGCAACAATGCAGCATGACGTGGTGGGCAAAGCAGATGAATTCGGACTCGTACGCCAACCCTTGAGATGTCAGAGTACCGATAATGTTCCGTAAGGAGAAAGATGAGGTAGATCTAATATAATTGAAGTTGTATAGACAATCCCTATGGTATCCTCCCATACGAGCGCACGCAAAGATGCGGCAAATACACGCCAAGACCCGACAAGTCCGCCTGACGTTGAGAGGGACGAGTGCTAAAGAAGGACAGGAAGAATTGTTGGAAATTTCTAATTTTGGTTGGCATATCTTAAAATAGCATGAAAGGCCTCAATTCGTCGGCAGCAGGAACCCGAAAATTATGAAAGCTTGCTTAGAAGCCATAGGGGGTTCCTGAGGCTAGATTTCAAGGATACAGCCGAGGAAGATAACTGCATGGGCAATAGATCATTTGCACGAGTCTCCCTGTTCACAATTTGTTCAGAAGGAACATGTGACCTACAAGTCGGCGCACTGCAGAATGCTTGTTTGGATCAGACGGCGCAGGTCCGCATTCCCTACTGACATAGGCGGTAAACATAGGTCTTTATTGTGTTTGAATTCATTCTTACAATTTGTATAGACCGAATCAATTCGCTCTTGGATAATAGAATGGTTCTACGGACCAGAGGAATTGACCCTCGCGCCCAATTGGGCATCGAGGAAGTCAAGAAACCACGAGCCGCTTGTAAAACCAAAACTAGCACAGGAAAGCTCACTGAACATGCAATAGGTGAGTGAATTCCAAGGATACCTCCGGCAATGTTGTCCGGATACTTGACCTCGGAAGGAGAAACTGCTTCACCGGCTTTGTGCATCTCCTCAAATGTCATTCGAGTCGGCAGCATCGGGATTTCATGAAAGTGAACATCATCAATATTATTTTCTCTTTGGACCATGTTCGGAACATAACTTATTTAAATACCTGACCTCCCAAGAAACTTCTCCTGCTCCCTACATAGCACCCAACAGAGATTCCCGTGCTACACGCAACTGCCAGTTGACACGTGTACTTGCTCTTGGAAAATAATTGAAGTCATGTTCGTTCCTGCGTCGGAGTCGCCTACAAGCTTAGCGTGGACTTCTCGAACGTCGAGGATGAGGCGTGGACCAAGTACAAACATCTGCACCATAGCGATGATGACAGAAATGCCAGAATATATCATGGCTCCCATGGAATTTGAGTCCTATAAGAATGATAAATAACAGTCGCATGCAGTTAACAACAGGCATACCGCGATTGTTGGAGCAAGAGAACCGAAGTTCAAGCAAGATGCAGCAAAAAAACTGGTTCGTGCGGAACTTTAGCGACAATAATGACCAAGTCAAATTATGAGTTCACCTTCCAAAGTAAAATACGTGAGATTTTAGTAACTCTCTGAGACAGTCCCCAAGGGTCGACTTTCCGAATTGTCGCAAGTCACGGAATTGTTTTACAGCAATCCAGACAGCAAGACACAGTGCGAGGACCTCCCATACAGTGTTGAGTATCTGGATCACCAATATCAGATTTGGGTCATACGTGGTGCTGAAACTGCATTGATAGGTGCCAGAGAGAATGAGCTCCTCTAATATTCGCTGGGTCAGCCTGAATCTTTCATATATATTAACTAGAACTTTACCCCCTGAAGTATTCCTGAGAATTACTCCAGCGACCACTGCAGAGGTGATGTTGGCAGTCAGGAAGACTGCAATGAGAAAGATAAGCATGTTTCTCGATCCTTGATACATGGCATATAACCGAACAACCGTGATGACTAGCATGATACGTCAGTCAATATCACTGATGTATTGCAGCTGAGTCACTCACCACCCAAAATAGCAGTCACGATCACATTTGCTGAATTTAGTATGAAGTTGGTAATATTGCCTGAAACGCCCGTTCAGTGCTTCGTAGAACCCAGACACTCAAAAGGAACTTACACCTGTTACAGTCATTATATTGAACCGACAATCCGGTAGGGAATGTCACTCACCCCTTGTACGTAGGCAGGTAATTAGGAGGGGTAATAACAGACATAAGCGCAGAATACTCACTACATCTGTCTGCGATACTGTTGTAAGGTTCCCTGTATTTCGTTGGTCAGAGGCAACTGTACTGTATGCAAAGAGACATACACAATAGGTTGTTGCTGATGGTGAGCGATAGGTTATTAGTAGTGCCATAACGTTAACTTCAAACATACATAACATATATTATTCCAATATAACGCGTCTAGAATAGTTTGACGTCAGCACAACTTGTCGACGTTCATGACTCACGCGACATACACTGAAATATAGAATGGTCATGAGAGATAAACGCTGCCTCTGCCCGAATTGACTGTATCATTCTATTGTCTTCTAATATGGGATTCTGCTCACCCAAACCAGTTCAACCTATGATACAATTTTGAGCAAGATGTCTGCTCCGGTAATGAGATCAAACTACCTCTCGTCCAAGTGTTAGTACTAGAGATATAATGAGCATATCAATCATTTTCGCTGTGTACTACTTTTGCTCACCCCAATCGTATACCACCATAGCGAAGGCTACCACTGCAAAGCCGCAAGTCCAGGTTAGATCGAGACACCACCACCATCATACAAGTGGCTCTCAGCGTACCTAGAAAATAGGAGTTTGAATGTTTGAATGAAATTGCCGGCCACCAAATGGGGTCATTTGAGACTAGAGTCATATTCGAGGATGAGGACGGGTGAAAGTGAGTAGGATACTTTGATGCTAGACTAGACCTTATATTCTGAATCCACCACTCGGCATTAATATCATGTACTAATGTGAAACGGGTATTTATTCCCGAGGCTGGAGACCCTTGATTGATGACTGAATCCGAGTAGATTTGTAGTCATCTGATAGTACAGGTCTGGACGTGTTGTAATCTATCTTCGACGAGTGTCGGCATAACAGTGGCGACGATTGGCCTCGTTGGCCTCGACCCGGTCGTAATAGCACAAAATAGAATGCACTAAAATGAAGCAAACAGATAACTCACCTGTTCCGCCGACTGTCATCATTTTTTTGCTGTCCCACCATCATGCTATGATGATGAAATAAAGGCTATGAAGCAAACAGATAACTCACCTGTTCCGCCGACTGTCATTGTTTTTTTGCTGTCCCAACATCATGCTATGATGATGAGATAAAAGCTATGAAGCAAACAGATAACTCACCTGTTCCGCCGACTGTCATTATTTTTTTGCTGTCCCACCATCATGCTATGATGATGAAATAAAAGCTATGCATAAACGTTACGGTCAATGCCATGCAAAAGACTTTTGTCTCACCTTCCCACGGTCCATATACGTCCAACGGTCAGTGAATGAGCTGTTGACCTCAGTTCTCTGCACGATGCCAACTCTACTCACTGTAGAAGTGCGATTTTAGCTCCACCGTAATCCGAGGGTGTTTAAGCGTATAACTGGATACGGTACAGACGTAAGACCTATCGACTTGCCTTTCAATAGCTAACCGGTCGCGCATTTCTCGGCAGCCGTGAGCTCTCTGGCACAAATCATAGCCCCAATTTTCTTCGATGAGCTCTTTGGCTCTAATGACCGACAGAGCCGCATGCATTGTTGATGAGTGTCACCTTTTCAAGGGAAAGTGCTGTGAAACCTATGGTTATCAAGGCTGCACGCTGGTGCGTTGTTTTCTTCATGGATATATGTAGTACTAACTAGTGTTGCTTTTTGATCGAAATTGCTCATTCATAGTGCATATAGTCACATGATCGGGTTGAACTGCTGGGTAGCTGCCAAATGCCAGAGCATACTCTCTATTACTTGTGTTTGTCCCTTCTGTGAGCGGACTGCAACAAATGTTTATTTGATTCATTCAGTCTTGCTACATCGGAGACAAGGCGTGCAACAGTCGAATTCAAATACTGGATCTGACCTTCGGGTGTGCTTGGAATGTGATGATAAGGATCCATGCGTAGTGCTGCTGGTTGCTGACGAAATGCTGAGTTGAGAAGCACTTCCACTCGGCCCCTGCGACGGCAATCGCGATGATGGCTCAAAGACGCCTGCGAATTATAGTCATAGTAAGGAGCTTCACCTCGCCGAGAACCCGAGTTTGACGAGTAGTCAGGTACAGCAGGTCTACATCAGTCGCAGGTTCGTGTCACAGTGATGCATCAAACAGGACAGCTCCAGCGGATCTGTGATGCATCATTGGTGCAACTGCACAGTGAGTGGAACTTTGCCACGTATTTCTCGACTCGTCTCGATTCTCTCTACCTACGTCCTGGAGCTTGTTTTTTTCCTAGTTCTTGTGCACTGGCAGTATTAATCGGATCTCCCTGGACTATCGTTTGGGGAGATCCTTTTGCTGGCTTAATCCCATAGCCTGCGCTCTTGCCAGGCATAGTGTGTGCCATAGACTAATCTATGCCCTCCTTAATAGTGCTACTATTTTTTGTATCTTTCAAGTTACACGTCTGATCTACAGACATCTCCCAGTTGAATAAAAATTCCAGGCCAACTCCAGTATGTAATTGGACCGATACTTTCTTGATGCACGTCGATCAACTCGATCAATCACTAGTAACTTGCGCGTCCCATACTGCATCGATGTGAAAGCAGAAATACGACTCACCACGCAGAGTTGAAGTCCCTGCAACTGCCATGCAGGTGAGTCGTGTATCAAATCCAAGAAAACTACTGGTACTCACGCAAAAGCCGTAATAGCAAGCGCCGCATTGTGAGTCAACCGAGCAATACCAGGGACATTCATCGTCGCGCGCATCAATGGGCGTGGCAGAAATTGATGATGCCAAAGCAGCAACGACGGCGAGGACAATTACAGAAGAGAATCGCATTGTGTGTGAGGGTGTGATTTAAAATCAAATACTGAAGGGTTAGTAGGAAGACACCTTGCTTTTATATACTGAATAACGTTCATTAGGTTTCAAGAAGAACATATCTACTGGAATCCCCTTATTAGCCTCGCGTCAATCGAATGTCCAAGCTTTGAAGGTCTGCCGAAATTCTTGCGTGGCCATGACGCATTCGACCCCGCAATATCTGCAATGCCAGCAGATTGCGAAGGATCTTTTGGCAGTTTGAGGACATGTGATCCCAGAACATTCGTCGCTCCGACGTCATCCGAAGTCACAACGTCCAAATCCTATCTGCACCAGTATATTCATCATCACCACATATATGTCATAGCAAACTGAATCATGTATTAAACTCGTTGTGCCTCGCGTTCTCGCTAGGTGCAACCACCCTGCATGCAACGCCAAGGAGGAAGTGCACAGATTTGTCTTCATCGTCAATGATAGGACTAGCTTTTTGAAGTTTTTGAGTTCAAGTGATTTCATCATGGCTTCGAAAGGATAAATTCCGTTGTCTCAGGGACTTGTTGAGGATCAAAAGCGGGCGGAGAGCCGCAGATAACCTCGAAAGCTTGGACCTCGTAGCAGCCCTTAAGCTTAATCAAGATTGCGATTGCGTGGTATCATCACGTAGGCTCGGGCCTAGTACTGGTATGACCGCGGACAAGTCAATGAGTCATCGAGCAAAGACGTATCATACTAATGTCAGACTGGTCACGAGTCTAATTATCACGTCGAATGCTACCATCTTTCATTCATAAGTAGTATCTTTGATGTCTGCAGGTATCAGGAAGGCACAGGCGGAAGGCCCGTTGCCAATGCGATGGGGAGAATAACGATTTTCTCCTTGTCCCACTGTATCATAACAGTCTCCGAATCAGCGCCCATACATCAATCATAACAGCCAAGACGCACCACATCAGTCTTATAATAAAGATCCTCCTCCACGAGCTGACGCACGGCATCGAGATTTTCACCCTCGTAAATCATGCACGAGCCGCGAAACTTTCTGTCTGCTGCAGCTGCATCGACGGATTCGGGCGTCATGAATGCTCCGCCAACCCCTGTTGAATTTCAAAGTGCTTTAGCGTTAGGTGCATAACTTGCTGAACTGAGTTACGTAGGACGCCTTGACTGATTTGTTTCTTGATGTTCTCGAGGTGGGCAGGTCTTACTGCTAGTCTTCGTCCGAGAGCACCATCGTCAGTGTAGTCGGGTGCCCAGACGACGAATTTCGGTAGGGATGGTGTTGAGGACATTTTTCTCTTGTGGATGTAGTTGTAGATGCTTCGCTGCGGGATGATCTTGAGAGCTCGTGTCATTTCCCGGTCGATGCCAGTTGCGATAAGTCGATTCGTGGAAGAGCGGGCCTATTCGGACCGTCACCGATTGACGTTTCATACGGCTGCACGTGTTGTCCTTCCAGACCTTAACATCCTGATTTAACTCCATCCCTGAGTTCTACGTGCTTCTTTAATTGGTCCAGGGAGGGATAACTAGACTACTTTTGGATCCACTGGATGTATCAGAGTTTTTCAATTATCTTACAACCAGTTGGATAATCTTTCGGATTCTTTTCTTGACTATCAAGTGATCAATGAGGACAGCCGTGGTATAACTCGTAGGTGCATCGTACCGAAATAACTTACTCGGCGTTCTGACTCTAATAGACCCCAACAAGAAATCAATTACCTCAGACCTATTATTTTCTCTTCGGACCATGTTCGGAATATAGCCTTTAAGTACCTGACCTCCACGAAATTTCTACTGCTCCCTGCATAGCACCCAATAAGAATTCCTGTGTTACACGCAACTACCAGTCGACACGTGTACATGGTGCAGGAAAACAATCGAAATTACGTCGGTTCCTGCGTCAGAGTCGTCTACAAGCTTAGCGTGGAGTTCTCGAACGTCAAGGATTAGGCGTGGACCAAGTACAAACATCTGCACCATAGCGATGATGACAGAAATGCCATAATATATGATGACTCCCATGGAATCTGAGTCCTATAAAAATGATAAATCGCAGTCACATGTAGCGAACGATCGGCATACCGCGATTGTTGGAGCAAAACTACCGAAGTTCATGCAGGATGCAGCAAAAAAACTAGTTCATGCAGAACTTTATCAGCAAAGACTAACTACCAAGTCAAATTATGAGTTTACCTTGCAAAGTAAAACACGTGAGATTTGATCAACTCTCTGAGACAGTCCCCAAAGGTCGACGTTCCGAATTGTCGCAAGTCACGGAATTGTTGTACAGCAATCCAGACGGCAAGACACAGTGCGAGGACCTCCCATACAGTGTTGAGTATATAGATCACCAGTACCAGATTTGGGTCACCCGTGGAGCTATGAGTGCACTGATAGGTACCGGAGAGAATTAGCTCCTCTAATATTCGTCGGGTCAGCCTGATTATTTGATACATAACTAGAACTCACCTCCTGAGGTATCGCTGAAACCTACTGCAGCGACCACTGCAGAAGTGATGTTGGCAGTCAGGAAGATTGCGATAAGAAAGATAAGCATATTTTTTGATCCTTGATACATGGCATATAACCGAACAATCATGATCACTAGCATGATACGTCAGTCGATATCACTGATGTATTGCAGCTGAGTCACTCACCACCCAAAATAGCAGTCACGATTACATTTGCTGAATTTAGTGTGAAGCTGGTAATATTGCCTGAAACGCCCGTTCAGTGCTTCGTAGAACCCAGACACTCAAAAGGAACTTACACCTGTGACAGTCATTATTAAACCGACAATCCGGTAGGGAATGTCACTCACTCCTTGTACGTAGGCAGGTAATTAGGAGGGGTATTAACAGACATCAGCGCAGAATACTCACTATATCTGTCTGCGATACTGTTGTAAGGTTCCCTGTATTTCGTCGGTCAGAGGAGTCAACTGTACTGTATGCAAAGAGACATACACAATATGTTGTTGCTGATGGTGAGTGATAGGTTATTAGTAGTGCCATAACGTTAACTTCAAACATACATAGCATATATTATTCCAATATAACGCATCTAGAATAGCTTGAAGTCAGCACAACTTGTCGACGTTCATGACTCAAGCGACATACACTGAAATATAGAATGGTCATGAGAGATAAACGCTGCCTCTGCTCCAGATTAATCACATCATTCTGTTATCTTCTGATATGGGATTCTGCTCACCCAGACCAGTTCAACCTATAATACGATTCTGAGTAAGATGCCTGCTCCGGTGATGCGATCAACCTACCTCTCGTCCAAGTGTCAGTACTGGAGATAGAGATATTATGAGCATATCAGTAGTTTTCAATGTGTACTGCTTTGCTCACCCCAATCGTATATCACCATGACGGAGGCTGCCACTGCGACATCAAAGCCCAGGTTAGATCGAGACACCACCGCCATCATACAACTAGGTCTCCACGTACCTACAAAATAGGAACTTAAATAGAAGAAATTAATCGTCGGCAACCAGCTAGGATCATCCGAGACTAGGGTCATATTCGGGGATAAGTGAAAGTGAGTGGGATACTTTGTGGACGTCTAACGATGACGTTCAGGCTAGATCTTATACTCCATTGCTCGGCGTCAATATCGTGTGATGTGAGATGGGTGCTTATTCTGCTTCAGGCTCGAGACCCTTCATCGATGTGACTAAATCTCGGTAGATTGGTAGCGACCTAACACAGATCTGAGCGTCGGAATTACGTTGGCGGCGATTGGCCTCGCTGGGCAAGACTGGGTTGTGATAACACAAAATAGAATGCGATAAAACGAAGCAAACAGATAACTCACCTGTCCCACAGACTGTCAACACCATTTGCAACGCGGCCTGTAAGCAAGTCCCTCGATTCTCAAACCCCTGCTCGTCCAGCACATGCTGTTTCATCACTCTCAGCCTCGGTCTGGTGACGGTGAGTGTGAGGCAAAAGCTATGCACAGACATTTTGGTAGATGTCAAAAAACGCACTAACACTACGTATCGTGTGGTCGTGACATCACATAATAGGCAACTGTTGTTAAGTCTGTTTCACCTTCCCGTGGTGACCGGTCCATATGATACACTAGACCATTATGAGCGTATGAAACATTGAAAGCGATAAGGTAAAGAACCGGACTGACAAGGTGCGCGATGCAGTTTCAATGGATGTCATTCACAGGGGGTGCGACACCGCGACCTCTCTGAGAGTTCAAGTGGATGAATAGTATTATGAACCTTGCTGTGAGTGTAAATCATGTCGAGTTTTGGCATACATGCGCAAACGACGATGTTACAGCTGATTGCAATATTATAGCTTGTTCATGAAGCGAGTAAACGGAATATTGAATCATTGGATGTCAGAGGGCTGCAACAATTGTTTGGGATGAATATTAATACGGAAATAAACACGTGATCACACAAGCCTTTGAAGTTGCCGACTCGGAGTGGCGAGCAAGGTGATTTAAAAATTTTGGCAACAACGTCCACCTCGATTAGCACTCAGCGCTCAGGCCTCAGGAGTCGGTGCCCAGAGTTCGTTGCAAAGCGCGGCCCGATTCCCGAAGCAACACCCGACGACCCCGAGTCTCACCGACCCACAGAAGTCATATACATGGCAAGGACGTGACGGACTGCAGTCACTTTCCTGTGTTCTATCCAAGGCAAACGTTGTAGCAAAGTGATGTACCAGTACGCATGTGAGTTTCAGAGGTATTTCAACTGCAAGACACTACTAGGCCATCTGAGTGATCCCCCCTGGTTTATCTGATCCCCATTCATTCCACGTCCTCTATGGAACTTGCCTAACAATTCACCAAGGACACGTATGCCAAGGAAGACTGGATATGTGAACGACCAACCTGTGCTGCCAAGATCCTGAAGGGCGGCTTTTACTTCCATGTTGCTGCTGCTAACTCCAACAAACCAGGCCGTTTTGTCTGCAGCTTTTTCGTTCACGTTGTGCCTATCTAGATCTTGTCGAACGTTGTTGCGAAACAATTGAAGTCAAAAGTCGAAGTAGGGAGCTATACATGGGACCTAGGTGTGTTTTTATTAGGTCCATCGTGCGCATATAGACTTATACTTGTACGATCTACAGCCCCAGGCCTGTCTACGGTGATTCAGCAAGAACAACAGTCACTGACGCTGCGCGCTATAGACTGTTCTGCACGCTCCTCAATGGTATTATTTCTGTGTTCTTACACGTCTCATCTAACATTTCCCAATCGAACGAAAATTACGCCAACTCCACCGATGTTTTTCTGACGGCGCATTGATTAAATCTAAACAAGTCGTAAATCGTGCGTCAGCACCAACAGCAATACCGCGCACCGATAGGCCAGTGAAACAGAAAGGAAAGTCCTGCCATGCAGGTGAGTCGATCAAATCCACGAAAACTACTGGTACTCACGCATTTATTGTATGCACAGCTCCGGCATGCTCCGTCGTCCCAACACCAAAAGGGGCATTTATCGGTGCTACTGCCAACAATGGGCGTGGCAGAGATTGATGATGCCGAAGCAGCAGCGACGGCGAGGATAATCGCAAAGGTGAAACGCATTGTGTATGAGTATGTGATATGGAATCAAATAATTCTGAAGGTTTGGTAGAAATACACCTTTCTTTTATATGCTGAACAACGTTCCTTATGGCTTTAAGAACCTATGCACCGTTGATCCACCGAAATCCCTCTACTAGCCTCGCGTCAGCGAATGTACAAGCGTTGCAACGTTGAAGGTCTCCTGACATTCTTCTTGCGTGGTTGTGCCGCATTCGACCACATGATATCTGCAATGCCAGCAGATTACCCCAGATGTACGCACGTGCAGATCTCGGATCCATCCTATATGCCATCCTACGAGCGATCCCCTTCGGGTGACAGTGCTACGGTATGTATACTTCATATTTCGCGCGATCAAACGTATTCTCACTGCAGGTCAACGATTTTATGAAGGAAGAAGTATGTAACAGAAAAAGCGCCGGTCTGGCCTGAAGCCCCAAATACTGATAGTGTGCTGATAGGACATATGCCAGACCTCCCGTTTACTGACAGGGCTGGATCAAATTTTCCAATTCTTATGACTCATACATCTGCGCGACAGATAAACGGCGTTACAGGACGCAGCAGAAGCAAGAGAACACAACAATGCAGCATGACGTGGTGGGCAAAGCGAATGAATCTGACTCGTACAGCAACCCTTGGGTGAACGTGCGATGTCAGAGTACGGATATGTTCCGTGAGGGGTAGATGTAATTGAAGTTGTACAGACAATCTCTATGGTATCCTCCCATAGGAGCGCACGCAAAGATGCGGCAAATATACGCCAAGACCCGATAAGCCCTTTAGGGTACCCGACGTTGATTGTGAGGAGCAGAACTATTTGGAGTTGCAAACGGCAGAACTGGCAAAACTCTAGGCTCTGTAGATTTGAAAAAAAAAAAACGTTTCCGGGGAAATATTAGCGTGACTTCGACGCAAATGATCCTGGCCATAGTTTTTTTAACAGACTGCTTATCCGACACTATATTCAAGATATTGACACATCTTTGATAAGCTTATGTAGGTTTTCATGTTGTTTCCACCCAGATTTCAATTTCAACGGTGTAGTACTTAAGTGAACCTTCGCTCTGATGGTGGCTCCTAGGCCCGGTGATGACGGACCCAGACACCGTTCAATCGGACATACTAGTACTCAAGAGATCAAATTTCCTGTGCTATATTGCAAATACGAGATGTCTGAGTGCGTACTAGGATGATGATCTCGAATGCACTCAGCGGCGGCCTGGCCGCAGGAACGACAGCACACATAATCAACCGTCGAGGCTTATCGAACCACGGTTCTCCCGATACAACTTGAATGTCTAACCCAAAAGTTAGTATTGCTATCTGGTAAGGTGTCTTCAGCTTGTGGCTGCAGACTGCAGTCAAGTCCATCACAATACTATTCTAGCGGAGGAGGGGTAGGCGGTTTGACATTAGCTATTGCTTTGTCCCGCTACCAGCATATTGCTGTCGATGTGTATGAAGCCACGCAGAGCTTTTGTGAGATTGGGGCTGCTGTTGGTGTCTGGCCCAGGGCATTCAGGGTGCGGATCTTGGAAAGCGAAGGCATGCTAACCCCAAACAATCATCCAGGTCTTACGAAAATTCGGACCCGACTTCGAACAGCAACTGCTTTACGAATACACAGAAGAATATGGTCAGTGGAAATCGTATACGATCTGAGCCCCAGCTTTTAGGAGCCGTAAAAGTGATTACTAAGCTGTCGACAGGTGAGCCGACTTCCATCCCTGCATGTTGCACGAATTGGCTGAGGGCCTAAATCCCGATGAAGCTGCGCGCGCGTTGTCCTGATCACCGTACCTTAAGAGAGTTTACTCAAGTAAGCTTGATTCCTGTTGCATTTCATACCATTAATTTGGCGAGGCGCCTTCATTCACAGTACATGGGAAAAGATGCTGTGAGACTCTTTAATCAACGGTTTGCACTGTGCTGAGGCTGATGCATTGTAGTACTTTCTTGCATACCTTATTTCTCTTGGTCAATTTTGCGGGTTTCACGCTTGAACGCGATGTCGTTGACTTGGCGTATAAAGCCGACACAGAAATTCCTCGTGCGTCTTTCAAAGGGAAGACAAACGATGAGTGGGTTAGTGAATTCACTGCTCAGCAGTTTGTTGAGCCTTTCAAAGACTTGGAAGAGGATGCACAGCACCGTCTCGAGGTCTGTCGTTCATATCTGAGTTACTGTTCATCGCTGACGATTTCCAGTGTGTGAAAAAGGGCACGCTTTGGGCTGTGCACACCGTGAAAACTTTACCATCCACTAATTTCAGGCGAGTTGCGATCATGGGAGCTGACGCACATGTAATGACCCCGTTTCCAAGGCTCTAGTGCTGGCCAGGGCATCGAGGTCGGTTATGCACGACTGCACTCCGAGAAATCTACACGTGCTGATTTGATTTTATAGGATGCTTACTTGCTCATGACCGTTCTTGGTCATAGCCTAATCTACAACCCTAGAAACGGTACCTAGGGCCCTCGCCATCTATGACAAGTCGAGAAGGCCATTCTCATCAGAAGTGGCACTGCGCTCGATGCGTGGGGGCCAACTATGCGCGTTTCAAGAGGACGTCCCTTTGCACGAGCTCGGTGATGCGATCACCAAGAATTGGGAGTGGGCATGGCTGACCGACTTAGATGATGCTCTGAAAGAAGCTGTCAGGCTTGTGGAGGACAGCCCGATCGATGTCAACTGAGAGATCTGATATATAACGTGTATTCTGGCTCGGAGTTATGACTACTCGACTGTTTCCTCTAGGTCTACTTCTTTCTAGATACCACTATGTAGGTATTGTACGGATATTGATACGTGCCCTCCTCCTTGTTAATCCAAACTCTACCATCTCCCCGCTCGAGGATACCTTTAACGTTCTCCAGTACCTTAGCCTTTTCGTCTGGAGGGAGCACGGAAATATAGCTGTTACTCTGAGCGCGATCTGTAACAATTTGTTCACTAGCAAGAAGATGATATGCCCATTCTACCTCCTCCTCAGGATGGAACAAGGAGGTATACTCAGGTGTAGAGAACGTCTTCCTCCAGAGACCGAGGCGAAATTGGGGCGTCCCTTGCTCATGAGCCTCGACGCAGTCACGGAGTTGTGCAACCCAACCTGCACCGTCTCTTCAATGCTGTCAGACAATTTGATACAAAGCAAATAAGATAAACAAACCTGTCTTCAAGGTTCCAGATAAACACGACTGCGCCGTCCTTCTTCAAGATACGACCGAATTCAGCTGACGCTTTCCCATAATCGGGGCACCAATGGAATGCCTATATATCCGATGGGTAAACGCCTACACCTACCTGATTCAGCCCTTACAATACTACTTACCTGTGCAATAATGATAAGGTCTGCCCACCCGTCTTCCACACCAGTGTCATCAAATGTCCCTTTGACAATAGAACTACGAGTATCATCGACAGTCTTCCTCCACACATCACGCATGCCATCGCTAGGTTCGATAGCTCTCAGCGTACCAATACTCGTGACCCACTCCGAGTGAGCCAACAAGGCACGGGTGAAGATACCCGTCCCTGCCCCAATTCTGAAAGCCAATTGAAAAGAAGAAGTAAAAGTAGTGTGTGTGACTCACTCGACAATATTCAAAGGTGCCGTGCTCTTGGATACCTGGCGAATGTACGAAAGACACTCAGTTGGGTACGAAGGGCGAGCTCTATACACAGCTCATGTATTAGTGCATGTGGATCACGCGGACCGAAGTCAACTCACCGATCATACAGTTCATTCGTCCCAGTGCCAAATCCTGTCTCTGCAACAACATGTACCTTCGTCATCATGGTACGTGTGAGCTTCAAACTTGACGTAGAAGAAGCGAAGACGAATCGCTGAACTCGCAGAGATACGAAGCTGGTTATTATAGGTGGGGAGCCAGCGCAGAGACGTTATTTATGTGCATGCTATGCAGTCACGGTCGCCTTCGGAGACCCTCAGGCTGACGATAGTAACTTACTAGCCAACTCTGATTCTACTTACGTAAACTCTGGGGCGGCTTCGATTGAAATTCTTGAACGTTGTCTGCTCAAGTCATACCACGAAGAAATCTACAAATGCACTGCACTGCTACATAAAATAGTCCAAATCGTGAATGTCATCATATAGGCAGGCGTGGGAGCACCGGGGTGGTGTCGGGGCACAAGACAGTCGAGACATTATTAGTGGATATGCAAGAGCACTAGTGCAGATCATGTACAAGGGTGACGGTAGGCACAAGGCGTGGGAAGGCTCATGCAAGATAGTAAGAGAACACACGAGAGGGGGCTGCTCGATGGTTCCATTAGTTATAAGAAAGAAAAACACTTAATGCAAGTGAGAGGGGGAGCAGGTGCAGGAGAACAGCGGGATGTAACAATAGACACGAAAAACTAGCCGAAGGTGTTGGAGAGCAGATTTTACTGGTCGTGCACCAGTTGGGTGAGCAGTAGGTGGGCTCACTTAATTTGTCAGTTCGGTTCCCCTCGGTTTGGCGATGCTTAGTGATGCTCGGACTCCAAGTGAACGCGGACTGAATGAATTGAGTAGCCCTGAATTGTTACTTGGTCAGGGGGCTGTGAGGAATGATTGTTTAATTAAATCGCTCAGTGGACAAGCGAGGGGCGAGGTCACCGAGGGCGATCGGTGTCAAATGTTTCCAAGCCTGCACATACCGGTAAGTGCCTAGACTGTCACTGACGGTCATCATTCTCCACCTTCATGTTATCCCCTTCAATTCGATCATCGTCATCGCAGAATTGGAAACACAGACCGCCAGCCATACAGCCAGATTTCTGCATCACCAATTCTGTCAATTCGACATGACTATAACCACCCAAGAAACCAGATAAGTCGATATTCCCTGGAAAATCAACGAGTGCTTCAGGAGACATAAATATGGAGGACGCTATATGCATACTCTCCGCTTGAGAATAACAAGATAAGCGATTCCAGCGCCTTGGCCGATTTTTATTTCAGACCTGAAGGATAGACGTGGACGACGAGGACTGGGTACGGGCGCTGCATCTTGGTGAACGTAATATCTGTCAACTGATGCGTATACAGCGCTCGATGGTGGATCGTCCGAGGAACCCAAGTAAGATGTCTTTTGATGAGATTTCTGCGTTGCAGATACGGGGGTTATTGCTTTGAACTATCCGCTGCCTGAATCTTATACGCCGAGGTCTGTGAGGAGGTTCGCAAGTTGGGAGTCCGTGGATAGATATATGAGCAGTGCCAACGGGTACATAGAGGAAAGGGAAGCGGTGTTAAAGAGTCGCATGCGAAGCACAGTCGGACCGGCATCCCAGCCGAACATCCAAATGTTCATTTGTTGTTGAATCGCATGACAGCACATGTCTCGCAAAAATGGACGCGGACAGCTCGAAATGCTTCGTCTGATGCACGTGTTGAGTGATATATCAACTCCATGGATAAATGCATGAGCTTCCCATGCCACGGCACGCGTACATCGCACTCGAGTTGGAAACCGGATATCGGTAGGTGCTGCGATTCAGAAGACAAGAAGGTTGACTTCCGAAGTTGTTATCTGTTGATGGTATGTTGCTTTAGGACCAGCAGGGGATTCCGGATCTATGTTTTCCTTGACGATGGTATTGTCCAACCCACTGCCCAGGCTTCTCAGCGGCAGGGTCGATTGGCGAAAAACACGCGTTGGATGTTCCGTAACCTAGCTCCGGTGAGTTTGACTGATGCTGCTGGGGGAAATGTATTCACCAACGCACCAGGCGAGTCCAAAGATGGGATCAAACTTGACCGCTGAGTTGTCTGTGCTGCGTTGATTCTTGAACGCTTAATTTTCGTTGAGGCCGACATCGAAAGACAATGAAAACTCGCACACAGGACGCTTGTCATGTCGATGTTTGATCGGGTTATCGACATGCATCGGGCCGTGGTCGCCAGTGGCCGCGTGAATGAAGGGGCCATGTCGATGAGTTGACACTCTTTGAGTCAAGGAAATCACAGAGTCTCAACCGGACGTGACAGTCTGACATGGTTGATATAAAATTGGTTATGTAATGTCAAAGCAGTGATACAATTTTGGACACTTTAAAAGTAGTAATAAGTTGTAGAGTCACTGCCATGTATTAACCCTGGCACACCTCATAACCTCGTCCTAGTCTTGTTCCTGTATGTGAATCCTTTATCAAGACAGAACCGAACTAACCAGCGCCTCATCTAGTCCCATGAGCCAACCACCAAGCACACCCCGAGCAGGTCCCAGTAACATAAGTGGCGACAAATCAAACACCTCACCACTCCCAATACCACCCCTCGCACGTTCCCAATCACACCATTCTACCGCCTCAAAGGCTTCGAAGCCTATCTCTCGCACTAGTTCACAACCTCCGACAAACCGTGAAGTTCTACAGCTCCTCGCAGATGCAGAATCTGCCGTGCGCGATCTCCGCGCCGACGTCTCTCTCTTAAATTCACAACTTGCATTCGAGCAGGACCGTGCTGATAATGCAGAGCTCAAAGCAAAGGAAGCATGCCTACGGTTCAAAGAGGCCAACGATACGCGCATAGTCTCTCAAAGCGAGATTGTACGTCTGACAGAGGAGCTAAGGCTATACAAAGACGCTCTCGAACAAGCACAGAAGGAGATTTTCCGTGCGCAGGGCGTGATGAAGGATGTCGAAGACAGGAGGAGGGAAGCAGAGGAGAGCGCTGCAAAGTCAAGGACTAGGTTGCGCAAATTGATGGAGGAGAAGATGATTGAAGTCGCTCGTGAGGAGGGCCGTAAACAGGGTCTCCAGGAAGGATTGGAGATGGGGAAGGATATGGGGTACGTGCATGGGCGGACAAAGGGTTATGCACAAGGTCGAGTAACAGCAGATCGTGTCCTCGACCGCTACTTTGCTGCCCCCAGTGACGATGAAGGTAGCGATTCGAGAGGTGGCTCTGTTGAGGCGCAGAATACCCCGCGATTCAGACCAGAACCGGTATCGCGCACTTCCAGCGAACAATCACGTCCTCTTACGCCTACACGTCCTCGCACGCCTACACGCCCCCGCGCTCAACATCAACCACAATCACAGCAACAGCAACGTCCACCCCAGACCTCATCTGCGCGCAGTACCATGTTCTCCCCTGCCAACGCGATGGACGACATTCCTTTAGATGGTTGGATTCCAGAAGCTGATTCTTCTCTCATTATCCGCTTGCCACCTCCACATGAGTTTCAGCGCTCGCGTCGTACGCCCTCGCCCATTTGTTCAAGTCCTGACACACCTTTGCGCTCCCTACCCCAAGATCCTGTACTTATGGTACCAGAGCCTCGATCTCCTGGCGCGCCGTTATATTCGGTCCCTGCTTCTGACTCTCGTAACCAACGAACGGTACGTCGGAGAGCTTCGGCTACGGAAAGTGTGGCCTCTACGAGGACGTCAGAACTAGAGCTGCTTAGTCCTCCGGAGCACCATCAATCTAGCGGGCTGAGTGTCATTCCCGAGGTTACGAGCGTACGTGAGCAGAGTAGTACACCTAGTAGCCGGAGCATGAGAGCGAGTGTAGAAGAAGAAGCAGACGAGGTGTGTTTTACTCGACAAAACTCATTTGTGGCGTGCGTGCTGATCGAGTTGCAGGCTGGCTTCGTACATGTTTCTATGCCAGCCCCGCGTTCGTCTAGAGAACAGATTCGGCTGCAGAAAGCACCGTCTGCTATATCAGTAGCTAGATCACCAGCACAACAATCAACGCGTCCCATTAGTTCATCATCATCTGGTACCGTTAACATCACGATCCAACCGCCGGTGAGTAGCCTCTCTTCTCAGACCATTGAGCATTGACAAACGTGACACAACTCTAGTCACGTCCCGCATCCAACATGTCGCAGGTAACACCGTCTGGGCAGCGCCCGTACTTCCTCAGTCCCGCAGACGCCGACCGCCCATTACCACCACCACCACCATCGTCGTATTCCCCATCACCAGCACACGTGACACCGTCGATGGTGCCTATACCGCCTACAGGTAGCACGATGTATTCAAGCTTACCTTCAGGCCTCCCACCCGGGTTCGTACCCACCGGCCCACCAACTCCGCGTCCATACACACCAAGCAGCAGCCTGGCAGCACCTGGCAGCTCCTCCCAACACGGTCACCACCAATACAGCGGACCCACCAACCACCAATACGCCAGCAACACGATCGTAGTCCCGTGCAGTCCCAAAACGATACACGACGACCCGAACGAACCAGTAGTGATCCCCCCTCCATCTCAGAAGTTTGGGCCTGAGTCGGATGACGACTCCAGTGATACTAGTAGTGATGCGGGGTTGCAGACGCCGAAGAGGAAGTATAGGGCTGCGGGGAGTGCGGCGAGTTTGTATACTGCTACTGCTCCTGGGAGTGGGACGAGGTATTCTGTGGGGATGGCTTTGAATGGGAGTGCGGGTGGGACGCCGAGGGTGGGGTCGTATGGACGGAGTGGGAGTGTTGGTGGTGGTGGAGGGGAGGGGTATGTGAGGAGTGGAGGGGAGGGGTATGTGAGGGGTGGAGGGGAGGGATACGCGAGTATGAGTGCCGGTGGTAGTGGGTTTGGGAGGATGGCGTATGTTAGTGAACAGGGGAGTGTGAGGGGGTGATATTCACGATTTATGATACAATGATTTACGAGTTTGAATTTACGATAAAGGTGCTGGCTCCTTCTTATATGGATTAGTATGACATGCGTTATAAATACTCTATCTGTTGTCTTTATGGAATACAAGGTTAGACTGTTATTACAAATCAATCTGATAACTCGACAGGGTTGTTTGTAGTTGTTTGTAGAGACACGGGGCAGTTTGTGCAACGTGCAGCCAAGATTCAGTGACTCGTATAGTCTACTAGTAAAGGAGTCAATTGGTATGTCTCTCGTTCCTGTGGCTAAGCCTCACAAGGTACACGTCAGTTTCTTTCAAGCTCGGGAACAGACATCAACACTAAACCCCATCGCACTGTGTCCGCGGACGTTTTGACATATCATCTGACAGGGACGTGTAATGTCGGCAATTCCTTGCTATCAGTTGCGACACTGATACGGGATGCACACTTGGACGTATGGTTACCTGTTCCGCTGTGATCGGCTATCCCCTATATTATAAGATGTGGATTAATGTGATTCAAAAACCTCTGAACGCTACACATGAATTCTACTCGTCCTCTCGTGCTAGTCGTAAGTGAACCGCATATATATGATGGAGGGTTGCTCTCAGCTTAGTTCCTCTTTCTTAGGTAGGCGCTGGGCCAACAGGTCTGGTAGCAGCGTTAACGCTCCTCCAGAACGGTATACCAGTTCGCATCATTGACAAAGATCCCAACCCTCGAATCGGACAGCGTGGTCCTGGAATCTGGGTGTGTCATGACAATACTTCTCTAATTTCCTATAGTCTCATTTAATGGATGATCTAGCCACGCTCCTTCGAACTCTTCAACTTCCTGAATGTCCCAGAAGTCAACGAGCTCGCCAAACCCGTCCTCACAATCCGTTCCTACAAGCACGGGACAATGTAATTTGCGACAGAATCGTTGATGACCCGGCATGTGGAACCTACCCCTACGATACCATTCGTACGTACTAAACAGAATTATCTCTATCAAGCAGTCATGCTAATGATTTCCACCCATTGTAGCACGTTCCAAAGCTGATAGGTCAGCAACTCCTGGATGTGATTCTGCGACGTCACCTAGAGAAATTCTCATGCTCTGTCGAGATGGGCACCGAATTGCGTTCGTTCGAGCAGTCCGATGAAGGTGTCACGGCTGTTCTAGCAAAAAACGGCATATTGGAAACTTTCAATACTAAGTGGGTGATCGGTGCTGATGGTGCTAGAGGTAAAACGCGGTCAAATTCAAATGTAGTAGGATGAGTCTGAGTTATGGTTTGTAGGCATCGTGCGTAAACAGCTCGGGCTTACATTCTTAGGCGAGACTAGAGACGATATCCGACTGGTCATGGGAGATATTCGTTTACATGGCGTTGGTCTTGATAGGGAAGTGCGTCCGATTTCTACCTAATCCATGAAGGAGTGCTGCTTATACTGTCTTGAAAGTATTGGCACCGGTTTGGGACCTTTAAGCGAGGGTATGTCCAGTCTCTACCCTTGAAGGTTGCGGATGTGTATATGACGTTGGGCAGCGTCTCATTGCGTCCAACAGACGAAATTGGCGAGGATGGCTGGCAGTTTGTCATCATTGACAATAATCTAGACACGACAAAGGTCGCTCAGAGCGAGGAGCTGATCTTCGAGACTATCACATCAGTGATACCCACTGAGATTACGTTTAACAAGCTCGTCTAGGTGAGGGAGTCCAGGTGTGTCTTATCTTGTTGCATAGATGAGTTTTCAATGTTCATTTGTTTAGGGCCAACATCCGCATGGTAAACAAGTTCAGCGAGGGCCGAGTTTTTGTTGCAGGCGGTATGTGGTTCTATTTTTGAATGATGTACCCGTGCTGATGGGAGTCTACGTAGATGCTGCTCAGTATGTCTATCTTTGAGCGCTTTCTTGCCAAATTGATTCTGACATATATTCAGTGTCCACAGTCCAACCGGTGGTCAGGTGTGTATGTTCTGATCAAATTCATATGCCTACTCACCTATCTATGAATAGGGACTCAATTCAAGTATACAAGATGCTGTAAGTCTTGCAAACGCAGTACGTATGACACCACTGACCGTATACCAGTTCAATCTAGGTTGGAAACTTGCGCTCGTCGAAAAAGGACTCGCCGACAAGTCTCTTCTTGAGACGTATAATGCCGAGCGTCTGCCTGTCATCTCCGAGATGCTCGAGATGACCACCACGATTCTCGACCAGGCATTAAAGACAGACAGCATAACCATCGCACGAACCCCCATCCTTTTTATGCTTGGGATCAATTACCGATTCAGCGACATCGTTCTCGACGAGTTTGCAATCCCAGGGAAGCCTATAAATGCGTACGGGGTGCTTGACGAGGAGCACCTAGAGGCTGGAGACAGGGCGCCTGACGCACCAAACCTAGTCCAGGTGGGAGGTGGAGAGTCTGATGTGAAGACACTTTTTAGTCTCTACAGACCTTGGTATCACACTGTGCTTGTGTTCGCGCCGAGTCATGCAGATGCTGCCCCGATCTTGGGTATGCTAGAGGCATATGATACAAGCGTTGTGCGATCGGCAGTCGTTCTGCCTTCATCCGCATCAGTAACGTCTGTTGCATCCCCTGCTGATCTCATTCTTGTTGATCAGGAGAGCCATGCTTATTCGGCTTACCTCATGAAAGCTGGCCAGGCGAGAGTGTTTGTGATACGGCCGGACGGAGTGATCGGGGCAATCGTACAGGGTACAGAAGGCGTGAAGAAGTATTTCTCTGGAATATTTTTGGATGTTTAGTTCTTTTTGCTTGTGCTCTTACATCTCAACTCATTCGTATTTTACCATCAACGTAGTTTTTAAGTAGCGTAGAGGTCATCGCTGTTTCCGCTTTCTCTAAGAGTTGAAAGCAGGCCGGTGGTTCGTATAGACATCTTTTCCTTGTAACTACTACACGCATAATATCGTCAGCAGTGTATCTATCGTTGGAAAAACAATCAAACAAGAACCCGACAAAGAAGTATGATGAGGGACAGGAACACACCAGGATATCATTCCAAGTATGATCCCAGTCGCTCAGAAATTTACAAATAGAGACGCACGGAGCACTTGAGTTCAATGATCTTGTCAGAATGAGCCGATCAGCACGTCCTTATATCTAGATCTGTACGTGTGAGGTTGTAGCCGCTTCATGACATACACTTCGATCGAGACTGGCTGTCATGAGAACGACGGTCGAGTTGGAAAGTCTGAAGGTACCGTCTGCTGTTCAGTGCATTGTTCAGTCAGGCAACTACAAATTCAGGATCGGCGCTAGGTATGAAATAGGAAGAGAACCATAGAATCAAATGGTACACTCGATATTGCAGCAATAAAATCATCGTTACGTGGAGCTGGAGGGATTGACGTCAGCAACTATGAGGACGGATGGTAAAGACTAAAAACTTATGCATCTTGGCAACTCGACCAGCGCGTCCCGTTCGCCATGCAGCTCAAATCAAGCTCAGGGTATCCTCTGGGTATCACCAATGAAGTCCAAGGAGTATAAAACACGTGTCGGGAAGCAGGAGGTACCCAGAAAAGAAGCTCATGTCTGGGCCCCATGACCCACCCATCAGGCTGCAGTAAGAAAGGGGTTGAATCAGAATGATGATGAGAGGCGGGTTCGAGCAAGTCAGCGGGGTTGGGCAAGGCGTGTTTCAGGCAGGGCGAGAAGGAAATGGGGGGATGGTTACAAGTGTTGGTTGGTGTGATATGATTCTCTTGAGTGGGAGATGCGGTACTTTGATGCAGTGGAGATGTAAAGGGATCCAGCTTCGTTGACTCGAGGGATGGCAGCACTTTCATAAGCCGCACAGTGTTATCCTCCGAACCAGACGCGATGCGAGTACCATCCGGTGAGAACGAGACTGACCAAACCAGGCCAGCGTGCCCCTTCAAGGGCCCACCCAATGGCTCTCCTGTCCCTGCATTCCACAGCCGCACAGTGTTATCCTCTGAACCAGACGCGATGTGAGTACCATCTGGTGAGAATGAGACTGACCAAACCCTGTCAGTGTGCCCCTTCAAGGGCTCACCCAAGGGCTCTCCTGTCGCTGCATTCCACAGCCGCACAGTGTTATCCGATGAACCAGACGCGATGCGAGTACCATCCGGTGAGAACGAGACTGAGGTAACCGGGCGAGTGTGCCCCTTCAAGGGCTCACCCAATGGCTGTCCCGTCGCTGCATTCCACAGCCGCATAGTGTTATCTGATGAACCAGACACGATGCGAGTACCATCCGGTGAGAACGAGACTGACCAAACCGCGCGAGTGTGCCCCCTCATTATGGCCTCCACAACCATCCACTTCAAATCCTGGCCGGATGCCAGACGAAGGCTATTCGGAAACATAGCCGTAAATTTGGTAGCAATGGTAGAGTTGACGGGAGAGAACGGGAGCGCTGATAAATACAGATGGGGTGTGCTGTGCAAAATCATCCCACCAAACACTTGCATGAATCTTTGTACATCCATCGTGGCGGACCGCACATCCTCGTATCCAGAATGGCCCTGTATTTATGTATGAGTTGTTCGTCCGACACTACCTCGTAGGCATGTGCTCACCTTCAGCCACTTGGCAATGAGTGGAAGCACAGCAACTGCACCACTGATTGCATTGAGAAGTCCGAGTGCCTCGATCCAGAACATCAGTCGCTCATTGTTGAAGAGTGATCTTATTTCCTTTGCGAGCTCATCATCGAAGTGTGTTGTTTGAACATGTGTAGCCCAATATCGACAGGAATAGGACAGATGTGGGGGAATGGATGCTTTGAGTCGTTCGGGCAGCTCCGTGTCTTGGGAGTTAGGGAGGTAGGATGACTTCAAACCACAGATATTGAAGCGAAGGCCATGTTCCATCACTCGTAGGGACGCAAAAGCAAGGTCACGTTGTACCTTGGACACTTCGACAAAAAAGTCTCCGCTGGATGACTCGTCTGTCGGGAAGTCGTGGAAAGATGCGTGAAGGGGTCGGATGGGAGTACACGAATTGGTGGTGCCGCTGAGGAGGGATCCCATATGCTTAATGATGTCCATGTTGTCGTGCTTGCTTTGGTCTGGAAAGTATTTCCGCATGATATTGAGGGAATTGAGAGGGAGTGGTTCGGCTGTGCCGAGTATTTGTCCCATCACAGAGCGAAATCCTGCTAATGCTCCTTTGTACTGCTCGTCATCTTCATATTGATCCCTTCTCATAATTTCTTTCAAAATCACCAGATACATATCGTACAACAGGTTCCTCTGCTTTCTGGGACTGCGTTTCGCCAATGCATCAAAGCGGTCCATGTGGCATACACCTAGAGGGGGATTTTTGATGTATTCGCAGGCGAGACGCGCCCACTCAAAGAGTCCGTCGGATTTCGCAGCGAGCATTGCAAGATGGTTGTCATGAAATTCTGATAGCTCTTTCAGCTCCTCAGATACGAAGGTCTCAATGTCGCACTCCGCGACATCAGGTGGAATATCGTCCATTGACAACCGCAGAATATGATCAGCGCCTTCAAACCCCTTTTCCATGTCAAGAAGCGGACGAGAGGTAACGAGAATCCGAAAGTTGGAAGGGAGTTCGGTGATTTGGGGAAGTCCTTTGTTCTGAAGTTTACCCACAAGTATCCAGAGAAGGTCCTGTCGCGTCTCTGCTCTGCCACTCTCGTCCAGCGCATCGATCACGATCAAGACAGGCCCTATGCTTGACTCAGAAAACTTCTTCAGAGGGTCCATGAGAAGCTTGCGCCACTGTTGGACAATATCTGTCGTATTCTTGAGCGAGGTCGCATTCTTGACTGCATTTGCTAACGCTCGTTTCATCCCCGGATCGCGATCAGCAAGATCGTGCGCGATGGTGGAGAAAATCTTTTCATGGCAACGGTCTGCTTCTCTGTGTCGATCGAAACAAAAACATGAACCGAGACCTCCCGTTTCCTCGAACCAGTTGGCAATTGTGTGCGCGATGGCTGATTTGCCCTTGCCTGCAGGGCCAGATAGCCACATCACGCGTTTAGCAGCATCTCCGCTGTCGTTGATCCAATCCATAATCTGGGAAAAAATCTTTTTGCGCATCCCTGGTAGGCACTGTTTCATAGTGTCTATGCGCTTTTCGTAGCTTGGTGTCTTTGTTTGTATTTGTACAAACTCATTCTACTTTCTAGGTTTCGATCTATGGACTCGGTATCCTCTTTCTAATGAAAACTACGAATGTAATGGGACTTCGTTGGATGCGTTTGTTAGTTTGCTTGTTTGTTTGTTTTGGGCGAAAGCCCCGCAGGGGCTTTCCAGCCCGAAACATGGGTCCGTGCCTCAGGCGCCAGGTGAGCTGTGTTCCCATGTATTAGGAGAACTACGACGCACTCAGCGAAGCTTGGGGCCCTTTCAACTAGGAGAAGTGCTTCTTTTCACCAGACTGGGGGGATTGTGTATCGCGTGAAAGGTTCCAGTACTGGTGAGGCCTGAATGTAAGGTGCGAGAATTACGGCATGCTCTCTGAGATATAGTGTGAACGCTTCGCTAGACCACCTTCCCATCGTTTTCACGACTTCGAAAGGCACTCCGCGCAGAAGGTATTCTAGCGTTCCCCCAATCCTAAGTCCGTGTCCTTTTAGTTCTGGTAGGTTTGCTGCCGCTGTTGCTGATGCTATCCTTTTCAATAGTTCTTTCTTCGATAAGGACGCAGTCCTTTGGCGTGTTTCCACGCGAACAGGTGCGCATCACCGTTTGCTGGATTGATTCTCAAGTGATTTTCCAACGCAGCGCTCGGGTCCGACGGCCCTTCCTGCATTGCCCAATATGCTTCCTCTCCTTCGTTTGGAGAACACTTAGTGCTTGGTAGGTGGAATTTTGTAACTGGCAGACCGTTGCGGTCTGCTGCTTTGGATACGCCGGATCTCGTTATGTGTTTCTTCGGATCGAATTCTTTGATTGCGTTTACCGTGAACTCCCCTAACCTTGCTATTGCATAGAAGGTCGTCGTCAAGCACGCGAAAATGGCCGCATCTAGCGGTGAATTGAGGCCTAGGTGGTCGCGAATGATGGATAAGTAAGCGGGCGTGAATGGTAGCCGTTTGGGACGCTTGGACGACTCAGGTGCTGCAGCCGCAGCTCCATCTAGCACTGCTTTCAACTCATTGGGTGGGATCAACCAATTCCTTCCATGAAGTAAGTGCCAGGCTTTTAGACCCGCCGCGTAGTTAGCTAACGATGATCCGGAGTAGGATCCTGCACAACTGCAGAGAAAATCGAGAAGGAGACTGCGTGCAACCGGACATCTGTGCTCTTCCGCGATGCTGTTTGTGTCGCAGAACACATGGAACACCAGCAAACCTGCCCCATATGTTTCTTTTGTCGATTGCGCCCAGGACGACCCGATGACGTCAAGGATTCGTTCTAACTGCGCCTCCGAAATTTCGTGTCTAGGAGACTGTGAGGTTACCGCTATCTCTTGTCTCGTACTATCTCCCGCTGGTAACCACAGTCTTAATCGGTCTCGCGCAAGACAATGGGGGCGCAGGGTGGAAGGTTTGGGTGTCAAATTAAGTCTATAGTTCTGGGGAATGGGGGAGGGGGAAGTATCTGTTACATTTGGTAGCGGTGCTCCGAATCGTGAGTTCTTATGTTTCATCGTCGTTGAGCGCACTGCTGATGAAACTTTCTTCTTCGGAACGGCTTTCTCTTGCTCGCTCAGCTGCTTGCTGTCTAAGCAGCTCGCGGTTGATAACTTTAGCTGCTGGAGCGAAGTAATGGCCATCGCGCAGGAGGCGGAGTTCTGCGGCAGACAGTGGTTCTGTAGCGTCGATGAGGAAGGTACTAAGCTCTGTTGGAAGGCTGATTGGGGGAAGAAGAAGGCTTGCTGGTCTGTATATTCCTCTGGATGGTTCATCTGCTGGGTTGGAAGCGCTTGGGACGTATGTAGTGACGACGTCGCAAGGGTAGGGTAGAGTGTGAATAAACTTGTTGATTCTACGAAAGACTTCGTTGACTTCTTGGTTTCTGTGTCTCCGTTTCCACCATCCTTCAACGACGCCTGTGTTGTCTCCATGGACGACGACGTGCCTGCCAATGCCAGGCAGAGAGGTGAGAGTGTATACGAGGAGTTCGAAAGCCACTGCCTCCGCCCATCCGATGTCTCATTGACCATTGTGTGTTTTCCACCCTGGGATTAACCTCCAGGCCCTCCAGTAGTTGCCTATTACGATGCCTATTCCAATTCCTGAGCTTGCGTCTGAGAATGCGAGAGGATTTTCGAGTTTGATAGATGGGTAAATTGCTCGTTTTACGCCACCGGGCTGAAGTAGTCTAGCCCACCATTCTAGATCCTTCGCTACCCTGCTTCCTGCTCGATGCGGAAGGAAAGGCTTAGCGCCGCAGTGGGAAAGCATTAGGGTATAGCACGGGTATGGGCCACACCGCGGGTATGGGGGTCACGGGTATGGCGGGTACGGGTACGGTGTCGAGATGTGGTACCCGTGGTCATACCGTACCCGTTAGCACGGTATACGGGTATGTTTACGGGTGTCTCCGATAGAACCGAGAGTGGAAAGGACGGGACGGCCGAAGAACAGGCACAAGGGGAGATGCGCATCCAAAACGGGCATGGTGAGCGACCTGTCGACGTCGGCTCGCGCCCTCTAATGTTTCAGTCCATTTTATCTTATATCACAGTACCTGACGCACGCACCTTATAATCTAGGTATAGAATTTGTTAGTAGAGAGTCTTCAATGCGAATACTGAGATATTCGCACCTTTGTCTAGGTCCCGCCTGTCCGCTTCGATATACATCACTTTAACTCTACATTTCTCAATACTCCCTCCATTCACTCCATCATTATGGTCAATCAGACGGCCTCGATCGCCGAGTCTACACGTTCAGAAACTTCAGATGTATCATCATCGAGTCCGCAGTCCATAGCGGCAGACAATGTTGCAAAACGTGTTAAGCTTATCGTTCCACAGGTCGAAGCAACCCCCTCCGAGTTGCACTCTCCTGCTCCGGAAGTAATTGATATCGATGAAAATGATGCACCTCCTGCTGCTGAACAGGACAATGAGGCCGATCTAAGTATGTGAACTTATTGCTCGTGTCTGCATGGACCTTGATTAATTTTCACTCACAGACGCACTCAAAAAAACTTGGCGTTCAGCAGTCTATTCTTTTTTTAAGCTTGACGCTGTGACTGTCCAGTATCTCGATGGACGTCTAGTTCATTTCTTCCCTTGCGGGGCACGCAAGTGCAAACTCCCTGCTGGGGGTGTTCGCAACAGGTGAGCATAAGTTGTCAATTGTTTCAATATGAGGTGGTTTGTGCTGACCCATGTCTCGCTAGTTCTCCACCCTGGCCTGAAGCTCGAATATTTCCGACTACAAAAATGGGAAGATGAATGGATTGAGGCTGCCGAAAATCTCATTCGAGAAGAGTACATAGATCGTTACAAAGACCAGGTCTTACCTTCGACTCCAGCTGCACATGTCTTGGCAGAAGACAAGGTGCGACAATGTGCTGATGACTTTGGTGACATATCTCTTGGCATAGCGGCATCTCTAGTAGATGAGCTTGACAACTATTTGCGGCAACCAGTGGAGAATACCAAAGTCCCGCTGCAATGGTGGGTCCATAATCAAAAGACATATCCAAATTTGCACCGGATGGCACTTGATTACCTTAGTATCCCTGGTAGGTTGTGCACCATTGCTCTCGCTAGCATCACAGCTTATGTATCACACACCATAGCTACCTCAACTGCAGTTGAACGTGTATTTTCGCAAGGCCGGCACCTTCTGCACTTTACTCGAAACCGCTTGTCTCCAGCATCAACCCGTGCATTCCTCTGTCTTGGCTCATGGCTCCGCTGTGATCTGGTAGTGCACGAGGACCTTACTAAGATCATGAAGTCTCTGAAGAAAAGAAAACGAGAGGACGAGAGCGTTGGATAAGGTTATTCTACGTAGTCCCACTATTTTTTGTTTGTGTACCCGCGGGTAAATGCAACACCGCGGGTAAGCTGCCATACCGCGGGTTAGTACGGGTAATACCGTACCCGTATCTGTACGGGTATGGTGTTGACGGGTACGGGTACGGTGTTGATCTTCCGACCCGCGGGTGTACCCGTGCTATACCCTAGAAAGCATCTCCTCGAGGCTTGTTAGGTATGCTCTGCCTCGTGGTACTGCTTGGCACGCATGTAGTAACTTGCCATATAGCTCTCGTACGTCCTGTAAAACATGCGCTGGTCTCTTTCTCCATTCGTCGATTGCTGCCAGATATTTGTTGACTTTTGCGGGACTCAGTGAGACTATCCTTCGTCCGATATCCCAAAGGAATCCTATATAGATTGTTGTCGATGAGAACGGTTGGTCTTTCAACAATTCCCATATAATGCCTAGGATACTTGACAATTCATTGATATCTTGCAAGCAAAATGCAAAAAGCTCATCATGTTTCGATCTCGGTGAGTGAAATGAAAGGTCTTGCAGAGGCTTTGAACAGTCCTCACTCAATTCCTCCAGTTTTCCTGTCTCCCAACACATGTCGCCGAACCACAGCCTTGCGCCAGATTGTCTCATCCCTTCTTTCACGAAGACTTGATTCCACTTCTTCCTCTTATCGTTGTACGGCTGTAAGTACTCTCTTCTGATTCTGAAAAAGATATGATCGTCTACCCATTTGTCTAATGGGCCGATGCCGTTGCTCCTAAATATTTCGGCGCCCGCATCTGCTACATGCCCGTATACTCCTGCCGAAGGGGTGGCTCCGAACGCAGTGCATGTGTCGATGCAGAAGTGGGAGTCTGATACTCTTACTATTCCTGCTGGCCATTGCGAGGGGCGCAGTGGGATTGTCCGGTAAGCTTCTGCCATGTCTCGTGTGGCTGTTACGCTGACCGTCAGTTGGCGTGTGCGAACTAGGATAGGTCTTCTCAGCGACGGCTCGAGTGAGCCTACTGAAGCTGAGGGTGGTTCTCGGCTTGACGGAACGTCAAGGGTTCCTCCGGCGATCTCGGTAAGGCGGCGCTCGTCGAGATGCAGGGCTAGCAGATACGTGCTAAGTCGTAAGGGGGCGACTTAGAAGTGCGGTCTTGCACAAGGAAGCTAGTAAGGCTTAGATGAACAAGTTCTGGGATGAACCTAGTAGATTAAAGTAAAGTCTAAGTACAATAATCCTGTCTACTTATAGGGAAGTACTACAAGTATTCTAGCTCAGTCTGTAATCAATAGTATATCTATGATCTATGATAACAGGACATGAGGTCAGATAAGGTACATGAGGCTTAACCTCTGATCAAGCGTGCAGCGCCAAGTGCGACTGCGCATAGGTACAGGAAGCGCCAAGAGCGCTCCGGATCTTCATGAAGCGACATGTGGTATGCATGCGCTGATCTAGGGTGACCATGAGGCGTACAGCCTCCATGGATCAGGTACAAGGCCATCTAGGCCAGGGGCAGGGTCATAGCGCCAGGGGCAGGGTCATAGCGGTGTAGACCGCTGTCTTTCTAGGCGCAGGCGGCGCACCGCTGCGCGGGGAGTCTAGCAGAGCAGGGGCAGGCGTAGGCAGAGCAGGGGCTCCTGTAGGTGTTACGGATGCCTGTAACAGTGGCTGCCTCTGAACCTGGGGGAAGGTTTGCGATTATTAGATATATATTCGAAAATTTGCCCCATGTCGTCGGAAAGTCACTGGCATTAATGTAGGAGTTTATCGAGGGATTAGGATGCGAAACGTTTGGGGATGCTGGAAAGGAAAAGTTTTGTACTATCCTGAATTTGCCTGGCTTGCCCGGCTTAGGGATTATGGACAGCGGCGACGATTGAAACGGTCCTATGAGACTTTCCAATGATTCAGCTCGAAAGGGTCCAATATACCTTCCTTTGTCCAATTCTTTTCGGATGATACTTTCAAATTCGTTCTGGTACTCGGTAATCGAACTTTTATTTGGTGGAACCTGCATAAATCTGACAGGAGGAAAATCTATCTCAAAACCTAACCGGAGGCCGTTTGGTATCTTGGCGAAACGCCCAAGAAGTCCTGCTCTTCGAAGTTCCTGTTCCCATGCGTCAGCCTTGTATGGCGTCAGCGGCATCTGCTTTCTGTGCTCTAGGGCATCTTTGGGCTCCGTGCGTAGCGGCTCCGCAGCCTGAACAGGCGTGGCGCGCATCGTGTTTTGGTGTTGTGCATCCTTCCTCCCTCTGCCAAGCGGTACAGAGTTGTTTCCCGTCTTTAGCCCAAAGGCCTTTGCGGATGCGCTCTGCGCAGGTCTCGAACTTCTTGTCCCATGTTTGCTTGGCCGTACACTCGATGGTGCGGTGCGGGTGTCTTCCCAGACAGACTGCGCAGCAAGGTAACAAGCCTGCATTGACAATGGGACGGACTGTTTGTACCTTCTTGTTGCTGGACGAGTAGTCCTCTGCAGGAGTATACGGACACTTCTGCGAAGCTGCAAGGTACTGCGGTTGAGCTGTTACGAAAGCTGCTGCTGCTTGCTGCAGTGCCAAGTAGGGGGGACAGTGTAGTTCCAGTTTTGATTCGATTGAATGGGCGCATGGTGGCCGTGAGGGAACAAGGCATATGATAGCCAAGGTAAGGAGGCATATGATAGCCAGGGGTGTAAAGGAGGCACGCGATGGCCGGGGTGAAAGCACGCGATGGCCAGGGGGTAAAGGCACGCGATGGCCAGGGGGTAGAGGCACGCGATGGCCAGGGGGTAAAGGCACATGATGGCCAAGGTGTACGAGAAACGGCACGCGATGGCCAGGGAGAGTACAGTTTCGTACAAGCCCATTTTTGTCGGCGCGTGATTGGCCGACAAGAAAGACACATTGCACGATGACAACGAGTTGTAATTGTTAGTATACGAGAAAGTTTTTTAAGAGACTTTTCGTTAGGAATGGCTGCGGATTCGCGATGACATTTACTGACCTGAATAGCGATAGCCGTCTCCTTTTCTCTCTTCTCGTTGAACAGCTCTTCTCTTGCTTCGAAAATTAAATCTTGATTGAGGTCTTCAAGACTCCATCCTTGCGCCGTTCCGATAGTCTGATGCCAACGTCGTCGTTGCTGGGATTGATACAGTAGTAGCGCTCGTTGTTTGAGCTGATCTGGTGAATGGCGCCAACGATGTGTCTGTAGAGCAGACCAAAATTGTATATGCATGTCCGTCCAATCATCAGGCCAGTCGTACAATTTCATCATTGTGATCATTCGAGGGGCGGCTTCGTTGAATTCTTCCCAAGACAGGTTCTCGTCTTTCACAACCGGAGCTGCTTTCGGGTCCTTTACTGCCGCTGCTGGGATCCAAGAGTGTAGACCGTCTGCTGCTGGTAGCATTACCATAGCTTCCGGTTCCGCAATTAAGTTGGACAGTTTCGCATCTTCGAGACCATGGTTGGTGAAATAATGGAGCTCGCAGTAGTCTCCGGATTTCATCTTCCTTATAGCGTATTGCGCTGGGAGAATAGTGGGGTCAGAAGGTACTTTTCCGCGCACTATGGGCGCGTACTTAGTTTTGTTCTTCTTCCGTTCCTCTAGACGTGCAGTTTCCTCTTCCTCCTTGCGTTGTTGCTGACGTTCTTCCTCTTCGTCCTCTTCTCTTTGCCTGGCCTCTATCATGCGCCGTTGTCTAAGTGCCCAACGGTCTTTCTCAGCGTTGTTAGCTAAGGTCCATAATGCTGCTAGGGTCCGAGCTGCATTTTCATTCGAGAGGCCTTCTTCTACTAATTGACGCCGCGAAGCTTCGTGTTCTTGTGATGCGAAGTCTGGCCTTACTGCCAAGTTAGGATCTTCCATTAGTTAGTACGGTACTTCGTGGGTCTTGTATGCAAAAGATGAAGCTAGAGTAGTGAGCTTCTGACGAAAAGTGGCTCAGCTGCGAGGTGGGCAGAACCAAGAGGTGCTGCGCCACCTCGCTTATTCCGCGCTTAGACTAAATTCTAGGCCTGCCTCGTGCCTCGGCCGGCCTAGCCCGCCATTTAGTCCCGCTCCCGCTGCATAAGTCATGCCGTTGAGATCGAGCGTTTCACCTTTAAGAGTATGAGTGCATCTACAAGGACAAGTACGTATGAATCATTACCTGCAAACTGGACAAAGATAGCTACGTCCCGATCAGTTTGATCGCGAAATTGTTGCATAAGGCCGTCCAAGGCGTCGTTGTACCGTGTGACGATATCATCCATTTCCGCGACAACATTTTTACCAATTCTCTTCCCTATATCATGGTAAGTATAAAAGTTGTGCCAGTGTGCGAATGCAATAGTCCGACGACTCACAGAAGCTCTTCGTCTCCGAGTATTCCCTGATGAAACGGGCGCACTCCAGAGTCTGTTGGGCAATCTTTCCGATGACATCATGCATCGATTCAACCTTGGAAAGATTCTCGTCTCTGGTAATGAAGCCATAGACTTCATCTAATTTCTGGAGAAGACGATCTACTGACTCGTCCCGCTTCACTTGAGCAAGAATAATCTGAAAGAATCAAGACTTCTGAGTGGGAAGTAGATCTCCGGGCAACATAGAACATACTTTGGCTGCAGCAGAAAGTACGCCCAACGCCATCTTTGCATATGGATGCACCTATAACCTGATTAGTTCGCTACTAATTAAGGGGAGCATTCCATACATTTGCGATCTTCTCGATGGCGCTGTCGAAAATTTTTAGGGGTTGGAGGTAATTGGTCTGGAAATCATCTGCAGCAGCGAGACCAGCTTGGGCATTCGCGGCGGCGGATGTCACAGACTTCGCATGCCCCCCGAATGTTTTCATATGTTCTGAAGCCTTGTGGGCACCCTGAAGTTCAGCACCAGCTGATTTGGGACCAGAGGTCCCCTCTACGCCAGAGGAGATGTCGAGAACCTGCGCGACCAACAAAACTTAGAGACGAGAACCATATAATTCGATGCAAGTACCTTCGAAGCGGGTTCTCCGGATGTGCCTTGGCTGCTGGGATTTTCAGCTGTGGTGGGATGCTTGTCGTCCGTAAAAGGTAGTGTATGTGGCGTTTCCTGAGCGCCTCTGATAAAAAAAATTGAGCTGGGATTAGGAATTCGGACACCTACCTCGATATTCTGATTCAACGAAGTATCCTGAAGGTCGGCATTCTGTCGCAGGAATGCGGCTGCGGGAAGCCTTGGAGAGTTTCTGCACAATATCAGCCATATTCAGAATCAAGAAACCTGGCACTCTACTCACAGAAAGTTTCTTGGTGGCGCCTTTCGCAAATTTCTGAATAGTCTGCTTGACTCGACTACGGGGTCGGCTCTGGGCGAAGAAAGCGTCAGAAGCAGCCATGAGCGCTCATCCACAGTGAGAAAGCCCTTGAGACTACATACCGAGCTTTCACGAACGGTTGCCTCGCAGGCTTCTGGAGGAGGATCTGCCCTATGGTCTCTATTCATCACGAGTAGTCGATTGCTGTAAGCGAAGTGAGGGTGCAAGAAGTAGGTGGGAGAAAAGAGAGAACCTCTGGCATAAGCTGAATACCCTTGACCAAAGCATGGCCAACACGTTGACCGGCTTCTTGAGGCGCTAATCATGATTAATCGGGCATAGCCCATTGCCGAAGAGAGCATAAAGCTTTGAAGTGCCGATGCCATCTACATAATCATTCAGCACACTCACTGGTGCACTGGGAGAAGCGAAAGAAATGGTTGGTTGTTGTAGGAAATAGTTTGAAGGTCGAGACTGAGTTCATTGGGGAATGCGTTGGCAAAGAGTTTGGAGAGGGAGATGCAAGACTTTAGATAGGCTTGTCGTGTAGGGACGTTCAGGTTTTGTAGGCATTGAGCAACAAAAGGATAGTGAATTCAATCAGGATCTACAAAAATAGATGGGTTTACAAGCGAGGAACTAGGCATACAAGCTTAGGTGGAAGGTACACGCGAGTACTGTGTGCATCGAATGGTTGTTGAAGTGGTGGAAATAACATCAAAGCAGGTACAAAGAGAGTAAGATGAGGTGGCGGTAGCAATGAGATATATACAAAGGAGGAGTGAAAGAATGAAGTAGGAACGGAAAAGATAGACCCCGTCCAGCTGGTGCGTACTATATGTTGCGATGATTGACAATGGTTGAAATTTGAAATTTGAAACGTTGACATGTTCATCGTTACTGTAGCTTAGTAAGCTTCACCAATGATGTGCACGTTCAGTTTCACTATACATAGCTCAACAGACACATCAATAGATTCAATACGCATCAGATAAACCCCCATCAAATTTATGGCACTGTGTCCGCAGACGTATGGAGTCACTTATGAGCGTTTTGACATATTGTTCAACGGGAACGCAGTGTAACGCCGGCAGTCCCTTTCTATCAGCTGCGGCACTGATATGGACGTACGGTATGGTTACCTGCTGTGATCGGCTGTGCATCCCCTATATTATAAGACGTAACTGTCCATTATTCTGATCCAAAAACCTCTGAACTCTACACATGAATTCTACTCGTCCTCCCGTGCTAGTCGTAAGTGAACCGCATATCATGGATGGTTGCCCCTCAGCTTAGTTCCTCTTTCTTAGGTAGGCGCTGGGCCAGCAGGTCTGGTGGCAGCGTTAACCCTCCTCCAGAACGGCATACCAGTTCGTATCATCGACAAAGATTTCAACCCTAGAATCGGACAGCGTGGTCCTGGAATCTGGGTGTGTCATCAAACCACTTCTCTAATTTCCTATAGTCTCATTTGATGCATAATCCAGCCACGCTCCTTTGAACTCTTCAACTTTCTGAACGTTCCAGAAGTCAACGAGCTGGCGAAACCCGTTTCCACACACCGTTCCTACAAGCCCGGGACAATGGAAGTCGCGATAGAATCTTTGATGATCCCGCATGCGGAACCTACCCCTGCGATACCATTCGTACGTACTGTGCAGAACCTTCCGGCGTCGTCTCTCAAGTAGCTATGCTGACGAATCGCGATTTTTTGTACTTCAGCACACTCCAAAGCTAATAGGTCAACAACTCTTAGATGTGATTCTGCGAGGTCACCTAGAGAAATTCTCGTGCTCTGTCGAGATGGGCACCGAACTGCGTTCGTTCGAGCAGTCCGATGAAGGTGTCACGGCTGTTCTAGCAAAGAACGGCATATTGGAGACTTTCGACACCAAGTGGATTGTCGGCGCTGATGGTGCTAAAGGTGAGTTGCGATCAAATTCAAATGCTGGAGGATAAGTCTGAGTTATGGTTTGCAGGCATAGTGCGCAAACAGCTCGGGCTTACATTCTTAGGTGAGACTCGAGACGATATCCGACTGGTCATGGGGGATATTCGTTTGCATGGTGTTGGTCTTGATAGAGCGGTGCGTCCAATTCTACCTATCCATGAAGGAGTGCTCCTTATACTGTCTTGAAAGTATTGGCACCGTTTTGGGACCTTTAAGCGAGGGTATGTCCAGTCTCTGCTCTTAAAGGTTGCGGATGTGTATATTGACGCTGGACAGCGTCTCATTGCGTCCAACAGACGAAATTGGCGAGGATGGCTGGCAATTTGTCATCATGGACAATGATCTAGACCTGACAACGGTCGCTCAGAGCGAGGAGCTGATCTTCGAGACTATCACATCAGCGATACCTACTGACATTACGTTCAACAAGCTCGTCTGGGTGAGCGAGTTCAGGTGTGTTTTTATCTTGTTGCATACATGCGTTTTAAATGTTCATTTGCATACTTTAGGGCCAATATCCGCATGGTAAACAAGTTCAGCGAGGGCCGCGTTTTTGTTGCAGGCGGTATGTGGTTCTATCTTTAAATGATGTGCCTGTGCTGATGGAAGTCTACGCAGATGCTGCTCAGTATGTCTATCTTTGAGCGCTTTCTTTCCAAACTGATTCTTGCATGTTTCAGCGTCCACAGTCCAACCGGTGGTCAGGTGTGTGCGTTCTGATCGAATTCCGATGCCTACTCATCCATCTATGAACAGGGACTCAATTCAAGTATACAAGATGCTGTAAGTCTTGGAATTGCAGTACGTATGACACCACTGACCGCATACCAGTTCAATCTGGGTTGGAAGCTTGCGCTCGTCGAAAAGGGGCTCGCCGACAAGTCTCTTCTTGAGACGTATAATGCCGAGCGTCTGCCTGTCATCTCCGAGATGCTTGAGATGACCACCACGATTCTGAACCGTGTAGTACAAACGGGCAGCATAACCGCAGTACGAAGCCCCATCCTTTTCATGCTTGGGATCAATTACCGATTCAGCGACATCATTCTTGACGAGTTTGCAATCCCGGGGAAGCCTATCAATGCATACGGGGTGCTTGACGAGGAGCACCTAGAGGCTGGAGACAGGGCGCCTGATGCACCAAATCTGGTCCAGGTGGGAGGTGGAGATTCTGACGTGAAGGCGCTTTTTAGTCTCTACAGACCTTGGTATCACACCGTACTTGTGTTCGCACCGAGTCATGCAGATGCTGCCCCGATTTTGGGTGCGCTGGAGGCATATGACACAAGCGTTGTGCTATCAGCAGTCGTTCTGCCTTCATCCGCATCAGTGACGTCTGTCGCATCTCCTGCTGACCTCGTTTTTGTTGATCAGGAGGGTCATGGTTATTCGGCTTACCTTGTGGAAGCTGGCCAGACGAGGGTGTTTGTGATACGGCCGGACGGAGTGATCGGGGCGATCGTACATGGTGCAGAAGGCGTGAAGAAGTATTTCTCAGGAATATTTTTGGATGTTTAGTTCTTTTTGCTTACATCTCAACTCATTCGTATTTTACCATCAACTTAGTTGTTAAGTAGCGTAGAGATCATTGCTTTGTTTCCGCTCTCTCTAGGAGTTGAAAGCAGGCCGGTGGTTCGTATAGACATATTTTGCTTGCAACTACTACACGCATAATATCGTCAGCAGTGTATCTATCGTTGGAAAAACAATCAAACAAGAACCCGACAAAGAAGTATGATGAGGGACAGGAACACACCAGGATATCATTCCAAGTATGATCCCAGTCGCTCAGAAATTTACAAATAGAGACGCACGGAGCACTTGAGTTCAATGATCTTGTCAGAATGAGCCGATCAGCACGTCCTTATATCTAGACTTGTACGTGTGAGGTTGTAGCCGCTTCATGACATACACTTCGATCCAGACTGGCTGTCATGACTCATGAGAACGACGGTCGAGTTGGAAAGTCTGAAGGTACCGTCTGCTGTTCAGTGCATTGTTCAGTCAGGCAACTACAAATTCAGGATCGGCGCTAGGTATGAAATAGGAAGAGAACCATAGAATCAAATGGTACACTCGATATTGCAGCAATAAAATCATCGTTACGTGGAGCTGGAGGGATTGACGTCAGCAACTATGAGGACAGATGGTAAAGACTAAAAACTTACGCATCTTGGCAACTCGACCAGCGCGTCCCGTTCGCCATGCAGCTCAAATCAAGCTCAGGGTATCCTCTGGGTATCACCAATGAGGTCCAAGGAGTATAAAACGCGTGTCGGGAAGCAGGAGGTACCCAGAAAAGAAGCTCATGTCTGGGTCCCATGACCCACCCATCAGGCTGCAGCCAGAAAGGGGTTGAATCAGAATGATGATCAGAGGCGGGTTCAAGCAAGTCAGCGGGGTTGAGCAGGGCGTGTTTGAGGCAGGGCGAGAAGAAAATGGGGGGATGGTTACAAGTGTTGGTTGGCGTGATATGATTTTCTTGGGTGGAAGATGCGGTACTTCGATGCAGTGGAGATGTAAAGGGATCCAGCTTCGTTGACTCGAAGGATGGCAGCACTTTCATAAGCCGCACAGTGTTATCCCATGAACCAGACGCGATGCGAGTACCATCCGGTGAGAACGACACTGAGGAAACCGGGCGAGTGTGCCCCTTCAAGGGCTCACCCAATGGCTCTCCCGTCGCTGCATTCCACAGCCGCACAGTCTGATCATCCGAACCAGACGCGATGCGAGTACCATCCGGTGAGAACAAGACTGAGTGAACCATGTCAGTGTGTCCCTTCAAGGGCTCACCCAATGGCTCTCCCGTCGCTGCATTCCACAGCCGCACAGTGTTGTCTGATGAACCAGATGCGATACGAGTACCATCCGGTGAGAACGAGACTGAGGAAACCCATCTAGTGTGCCCCTTCAAGGGCTCACCCAATGGCTGTCCCGTCGCTGCATTCCACAGCCACACAGTATTATCCGATGAACCAGACGCGATGCGAGTACCATCTGGTGAGAACGAGACTGAGAAAACCTTGCCAGTGTGCCCCTTCAAGGGCTCACCCAATGGCTCTCCCGTCGCTGCATTCCACAGCCGCACAGTGGTATCCCATGAACCAGACGCGATGCGAGTACCATCCGGTGAGAACGAGACTGAGTGAACCCATCTAGTGTGCCCCCTCATTATGGCCTCCACAACCGTCCAGTTCAAATCCCGGCCAGATGCCAAACGAAGGCTATTGGGAAACCTAGCCGTAAATTTGGTAGCGATGGTAGAGTTGACCGGCGAGAATGGGAGCGCTGATAAATACAGATGGGGTGTGCTGTGCAAAATCATCCCGCCAAACACTTGCATGAATCTTTGTACATCCATCGTGGCGGACCGCACATCCTCGTATCCAGAGTGGCCCTGTATTTATGTATGAGTTGTTCGTCCGACACTACCTCGTAGGCATGTGCTCACCTTCAGCCACTTGGCAACGAGTGGAAGCACGGTAATTGCGCCGCTGATTGCACTGAGAAGTCCGAGTGCTTCGATCCAGAACATCAGTCTCTCGTTGTCGAAGAGTGATCTTATTTCCCTTGCTAGCTCATCGTCAAAGTCCGTTTTCTGGATGTGCGTGGCCCAATGTCGACAGGAATAGGAAATATGTAGGGAAATGGATGTTTTGACTCGTTGAGGCAGCTCTGTGTCTTGGGAATTAGGGAGGTATGATGATTTCAAATCACAGATATTGAAGCGAAGGCCGTGTTCCATCACTCATAGTGACGCAAATGCGAAGTCGTGTTGTTGCGCCTTCGTGATGTCAACGAAAAAGTCTCCGCTGGATGACTTGTCTCTGAGAAACTCTTGAAAGGATGCGTGAAGGGGTCTGACGGGAATAAGTGGGTCCGTTGTGCCACTGAGGAGGGATCCCATATGTTTTACAATGTCCACTTGGTAATGTTTGGTGTGATTTGGAAAACAGTTCCGCATGGCGGTGAGGGAATTCAAAGGCAGAGGTTCGACCATGCCAAGTATTTGTCCTATCACCGAACGAAACTCCGCCAGTGCTTCCTGGTACTCGACTTCGCCATACCGGTCTCGTGGCAAGATATCTGTCAAAATAAGCCGATACATATCATACAGCTTGTTTGTCCACTTCCCAGGATCGCGGTTCACGACAGTTTCAAAGCGAGACCTTCGATTTATCCCGGGAAGGTCTTCCTTGATGTATTCGCATGCAAGACGTGCCCACTCAAAAAGCCCATCGGCTTTCGCAGCGAGGTTTGCAAACTGCTTGCGCCCAAAATTCGGCAACCCTTGCAGTTTGTCAGATACAAAAGCGCGGATGTCGAGTTCCGCTACTTCTGCTCGAATCTCGTCCATGGACAACCTGAGAATATGATCAGCACCCTCAAACTCCTTTTCGATATCATGGAGTGGGCGAGAGGTGACGAGAATTCGAAAGTTGGAAGGGAGTTCGGTGATTTGGGGGAGTCCTTTGTCCTGAAGTCTACCGGCCAGTATGCGGAGAAGGTCCTGCCGCGTCTCTACTCCGCCGCTCTCGTCCAGCGCATCAATCACGATCAAGACAGGTCCTACGCATGACCCAGGGAACTTCTTCAGCGGTTCCATGAGAAGCTTACGCCACTGCTGGATGATGTCCTTCGTATTCTTGAGCGAGGTCGCATTCTTGACTGCATTTGCTAACGCTCGTTTCATCCCCGGATCACGATCAGCCAGATCGCGCGCGATGGTGGAGAAAATCTTTTCGTGACGACGGTCTGCTTCTCCATGTCGATCGAAACAAAAACATGAACCGAGACCTCCCGTTTCCTCGAACCAGTCGGCGATCGTGTGCGCGATGGCTGATTTGCCCTTGCCTGCAGGACCAGATAGCCACATCACACGTTTAGCAGCATCTCCGCTGTCGTTGATCCAGTCCGTAATTTGGGAAAGAATCTCCTTGCGCATCCCTGGTAGGCACTGTTTCTTGGTATTTAGTCCTGCGCCATTTGCATAAGCAATATCCCCGAGATCCAGTGTATCGCCTGAAACGGTGTGAGTAGATCTAAAGTCAGAGGTATGTATGAATCCTTACCCGCAAACTGGACAAAGATGGCTACGTCCTGAAGTGTTTGATCCCGGAATTGCTGCATAAGGCCGTCCAAGGCGGCGTTGTACTGTGTGATGATATCATCCGTTTCCTTGATGATGTTTTTACCGGCCCTCTTCCCTATTATTATAGTAAGCATCAGATTCATGTGCGAATGCGATAGTCCGACGACTCACAGAAGCTCTTCGTCTCCGAGTATTCCCTGATGAAACGGGCGCACTCCAGAGTCTGCTGAGCAATCTTCCCGATGACATCATGCATCGATTTAACCTTGGAAAGATTCTCGTCTCTGGTAATGAAGCCATAGACTTCATCTAATTTCTGGAGAAGACGATCCACCGACTCGTCCCGCTCCGCTTGAGCAAGAATAATCTGCAAGGAATCACGACTTCTGAGTGGGAGGCAGATCTCCGGGCAACATAGAACGTACTTTGGCTGCAACAGAAAGTACGCCCAACGCCATCTTCGCATATGGATGCACCTATAACCTGATTAGTTCGCTACCAATTAAGGGGATCATCCCATACATCTGTGATCTTGTCGATGGCACTGTCGAAAATTTTGAGAGGTTGGAGGTAATTGGTCTGGAATTCATCTGCAGCAGCGAGACCAGCTGGGGCGTTCGCGGCGGCGGATGTCGCAGGCTGCGCACGCCCCCCGAATGTTTTCATATGTTCCGAAGCCTCGTGGGCACGCTGAAGTTCGGCAGCAGTTAATTTGGGACCAGGGGCTTCCTCGACGCGAGAGGAGATGTCGGGAATCTGCTCGACCAACAAAATTTAGAGACGAGAACCATATAATTCGATGCAAGTACCTTCAAAGCGGGTTCTCCGGATGTGCCTTGGCTGCTGGGATTTTCGACTGTGGTGGGATGCTTGTCGTCCGTGAAAGGAAGTGTACGTGGCGTGTCCTGGGCGCCTATGATAAAAAAATTGAACTGGAATTAGGAATTCGAGCACCTGCCTCGATATTCTGATTCAACGAAGTATCCTGAAGGTCCGCATTCTGTATCGCAGGAGTGCGCCTGCGGGAAGACTTGAAGAGTTTCTGCGCAACGTCAGCCATATTCAGAACCAGGAAACCTGGCACTCTACTCACAAAGAGTTTCCTGGCGATGCCTTTCGCAAATTTCCGGATGGTCTGCTTGACTCGACTACGGGGTCGGCTCTGGGCGAAGAAAGCGTCAGAAGCACCCATGGGCGCTCATCCACAGTGAGAAAACCCTTGAGAATACATACCGAGCTTTCACGAACGGTTGCCTCGCAGGCTTCTGAAGGAGGATCTGGCCTACGGTCTCTACTCATCACGAGTAGTCGATTGCTGTAAGCGAAGTGAGGGTGTAAGAAGTAGGTGGGAGAAAAGAGAGAACCTCTGGCATGACCTAAATACCCTTGACCAACTTGAAAGCATGGCCAACACGTTGACTGGCTTCTTGAGGCGCCAATCGTGATTAATCGGCCATAGCCCATTGCCGAAGGGAGCATGAGGCCTTGAAGGGCCCCGGGCAATGCCATAAATCTAAATAATCATTCAGCACACTTGCTGGTGCACCGGGAGAAGCGAGAGAAATGAGTTCATTGGGGAATCCATTGGCAAAGAGTTCGGAGAGGGAGATGCAAGACTTTCAATAGGCTTTTCGTGCAGGGACGTTCAGGTTTCGTAGGCATTGAGCAATAAAAGGGTAGTGAATTCAATCAGGATCTACAAAAGTAGATGGGTTTACAAGCGAGCAGCAACTAGGCATACAAGTGAAAGGTGCACGCGAGTGTCATCAAATGGTTGTTGGATAACATCAAAGCAGGTACAAAGAGAGTAAGATGAGGCAGCGGTAGCAATGAGATATATACAAAGGCGGAGAGAAGTGAAATGTGAAAGGATGGAGTAGGAACGGAAAAGATGGACCGTCCAGTAGTGCGTACTATGTTACGATGGTTGAAGTGTTAGTCCGAGCGAGGGTCCAGTGCCACAGCCGTAGGCTTCTTTACATAGTCGAGGAGGGTGAGAGACAGTTATTGTAGAAATCGAGAAGGGAACGCAATGGCCGTTGTTGTGGGATATAAGCGAGCAGGAAGATAAATGTCGTTGTGGCAGACAGTCAGAATTCAAAAGGGAAGAGCAACATCCTAGGCGCGAGTTATAACGTGGGGACAAGGGAATACTCAGCTTGTACCTTTGTGAGGGAATTCACCGGGTCCTCTAAAGGAATCATGACAAAATCATGAAGTATGTTTGAAGTATGTCTGTTGAAAGTTCCTGTAGCTTAGTAAGCCTCACCAGGTACACGTCAGTTTCTACATCACACTCGGGAACAGACATCCGAGTCAATACCATCAGATAAACCCCCATCAAATTTATGGCACTGTGTCTGTGTCCGCGGACGTATGGAGTCGCTTATGAGCGTTTCGACATATCATCTAACGGGGAGGCAGTGTAACGCCGGCAGTTCCTTTCTATCAGCTGTGGTACTGATACGGGATGCACAGTTGGACGTACGGTTACCTGCTGTGATCGGCTGTACTTCCTTATATTATAAGACGTGACTGTCCATTATTCTGATCCAAAAACCTCTGAACTCTACAAATGAATTCCACTCGTCCTCCCGTGCTAGTCGTAAGTGAACGGCTTATGATGGATACTAGTTGCCCCTCAGCTTACTAGTAGTTCCTCTTTCTTAGGTAGGCGCTAGGCCAGCAGGTCTGGTAGCAGCGTTAATGCTCCTCCAGAACGGTATATCAGTTCGTATCATTGACAAAGATCCCAACCCTCGAATGGGATAGCGTGGTCCTGGAATCTGGGTATGTCATGAAACCACTTCTCTAATTTCCCAGTCTCATTTGATGCATGATCTAGCCATGCTCCTTCGAACTCTTCAACTTTCTGAACGTTCCAGAAGTCAACGAGCTGGCGAAACCCGTTTCCACACACCGTTCCTACAAGCCCGGGACAATGGAAGTCGCGATAGAATCTTTGATGATGCCGCATGCGGAACCTACCCCTGCGATACCATTCGTACGTACTATGCAGAACCTTTAGGCGTCGCCTTCTCAAGCAGCTATGCTGACGAATCACGATTTTTTTGTGCTTTAGCACACTCCAAAACTGATAGGCCAACAACTCTCAGATGTGATTCTGCGACGTCATCTAGAGAAATTCTCGTGCTCTATCGAGATTACACTCCCACATACGAGAATAGTACAGCACCGAATACCTGATGCACTAGTTATCTGATAATTCAATTGATTGTACGGAACCTCCATGCATGAAGTCTAGCTACATGCATGTGCAGCTAACCGAGAGGGTTGTTTGTAGCTGTTTGTCAGGCCAGTCACGCCCGTCTAGCTGTTTGTAAAGACATGAGTTACCGGGTTGCTCTCGTGTCATTCTCGTTCAATCCTTGGGCTTGATTTCCCTTGAGCAGTCGCCAGTTTCTGATCACAATCTTGTCTACCCAACATTTGGAATCAGGACATTGAGAACATCTGCAATGCATTTGGTGGCAACTAAAGTTCGCGCTCGCTATTGGGATTCGGCAAGTATAGCCTACTGGTAAAGGAATCACGACCCGAAAACTTGAAGTATGGAGACTACATGCGCTCACATATATGCACGTATCTGGGACTTTTGGCCGAGTGCCACTGTAAATTCCTCGATACAAGTATGTTTGTTGTTCCTGCAGTGGCCACACGCAAGTTGCTTCAAAGTTAGGCTTGGGAACAGACATCAATACCATCTGGTGCTCGAATTCAATGCGTTCGAAGTTGAACGTCCATCAAAGCCATGGCGGTGCGTCCGCAGCTGTGTGAAGTCACTGACAAACGTTTTGACAAATCATCCAACAGGTATGTGTAACGTTAGCGGTTCCTTTCTATCACTGCTGCGGTACTGATACAGGATACACAATGGGAGGGCACATGTTACCTGCGTCACCTTTCCGCTGTGATCGGCTGTCCCCTATGTTATAAGACGTGACTGCCCATTATACTGATCCAAAAACATCTGAACTCTACACATGAATTCTACTCGTCCTCCCGTGCTAGTCGTAAGTAAACCGCATATGATGGATGATTGCCCTCAGCTTAGTTCCTCTTTCTTAGGTAGGCGCTGGGCCAGCAGGTCTGGTAGCAGCGTTAACCCTCCTCCAGAATGGCATACCAGTTCGCATCGTTGACAAAGACCCTAACCCTCGAATCGGACAGCGTGGTCCTGGAATCTGGGTGTGTCATGACACCACTTCTCTAATTTCTTGTAGTCTCATTTAATGCATAATCCAGCCACGCTCCTTCGAACTCTTCAACTTCCTGAATGTCCCAGAAGTCAACGAGCTGGCGAAACCCGTTTCCAGACTCCGTTACTACAAGCCTGGGACAATGGAAGTCGCGACAGAATCTTTGATGGTTCCGCGTGTGGAACCTACCCCTGCGATACCATTCGTACGTACTGTGCAGAACCTTCCGGCATCGTCTCTCAAGCAGCCATGCTGACGAATCACGATTTTTTTTTGTATTTTAGCACGCTCCAAAGCTGATGGGCCAACAACTCTTAGATGTGATTCTGCGACGTCACCTAGAGAAATTCTCGTGCTCTGTCGAGATGGGCACCGAACTGCGTTCGTTCGAGCAGTCCGATGAAGGTGTCACGGCTGTTCTAGCAAAGAACGGCATATTGGAGACTTTCGATACCAAGTGGATTGTCGGCGCTGATGGTGCTAAAGGTTAGTTGAGATCAAATTCAAATGCAGTAGGATGAATCTGAGTTATGGTTTGCAGGCGTCGTGCGCAAACAGCTTGGACTTACATTCTTGGGCGAGACTAGAGACGATATCCGACTGGTCATGGGAGATGTTCGTTTACATGGCGTTGGTCTTGATAGGGCGGTGCGTCCGACTTCTACTTGCTCCATGAAGGAGTGCTCCTGATACTGTCTTAAAAGTATTCGCATCGATTTGGAACCTTCAAGCGAGGGTATGTCCAATCTCTGCTCTTGAGGCTTGGGGATGTGTATATTGATGCTGGGCAGAGCCTCATTGCGTCCAACAGGCGAAATTGGCGAGGATGGCTGGCAATTTGTCATCATTGACAACGATCTAGACACGACAAAGGTCGCTCAGAGCGAGGAGCTGATCTTCGAGACTATCATATCAGTGATACCCACTGAGATTACGTTCAACAAGCTCGTCTGGGTGAGCGAGTTCAGGTGTGTCTTATCTTGTTGCATAGATGTGTTTCAAATGTTCAAATGTTTACTTTAGGGCCAATATCCGTATGGTAAACAAGTTTAGCGAGGGCCGAGTCTTTGTTGCGGGCGGTATGTGGTTCTATTTTTGAATGGTGTGCCTGTGCTGATGGAAGTCTACGTAGATGCTGCTCAGTATGTCTATCTTTGAGCGCTTTCTTTCCAAACTGATTTTAGCATGTTTTCAGTGTCCACAGTCCGACCGGTGGTCAGGTGTGTGCCTTCTGATCAAATTCAGATGCCTACTCATCTATTGATGAACAGGGACTCAATTCAGGTATACAAGATGCTGTGAGCTTCCCAATGCAGTACGTATGACACTACTGACCGTATACTAGTTCAATCTAGGTTGGAAGCTTGCGCTCGTCGAAAAGGGGCTCGCCGACAAGTCTCTTCTTGAGACGTATAATGCCGAGCGTCTGCCTGTCATCTCCGAGATGCTTGAGATGACCACCACAATTCTCGACCGTGCAGTACAGACAGGCAACATGCCCACCGCACGAAGCCCCATCCTTTTCATGCTTGGGATTAATTACCGATTCAGCGACATCGTTCTCGACGAGTTTGCGACTCCAGGGAAGCCTATCAATGCGTACGGGGTGCTCGACGAGGAGTACCTAGAGGCTGGAGACCGGGCGCCTGATGCACCAAATCTGGTCCAGGTGGGAGGTGGAGAATCTGACGTGGAAACACTTTTTGGTCTCTATAGACCTTGGTATCACACTGTGCTTGTATTTGTGCCAAGTCATGCAGAAGCTACCCCGATCTTGGGTGCGCTGGAGGCATATGACACGAGCGTTGTGCGATCGGCAGTCGTTCTGCCTTCATCCGCATCAGTAACGTCTGTTGCATCCCCTGCTGACCTCGTTTTTGTTGATCGGGAGGGCCATGGTTATTTGGCTTACCTTGTTGAAGCTGGCCAGACGAGGGTATTTGTGATACGGCCGGATGGAGTGATTGGGGCGATCGTACATGGTGCAGAAGGCATGAAGGAGTATTTCTCTAGAATATTTTTGGATGTTTAGTGGTCTGTTCTTTTTGCTCGTGCTCTTACATCTCAACTCACTCGTATCTTACAATCAACGTAGTTATTAAGTAGCGTAGAGGTCAAGGTGTTACTTGTTGGGGAGCGCACTTCAAATCTGGACCAACGTAATCCAATCCTCTTCACTACTGATTGCCATTCAACAACGGAATACATAGCTTCGGCCGCGTGAGAGCGCGGCGAAGGTCAGTAACATCGACGACTGTGTTACACCACTAGTTCTATAGTGTAGGATTCCAATGAGGATGAGTTTAAGAAGGGATTGACGAACGAGAAAAGTTCAACCCGTTGAACCTGGAGTTCCAAAGCTGGAACCTGATGTGAACCATGAGCATACCGCTAGAAGCAGGGTTGTGAATGTTTTTAGGAAAGATGATCGCATAAGTCTTGGATAAAACATAGATATGAAGGCGAAAACTCCGTTGTCGCAGAAGTTTGAGACCGGAGAAGAGAGAATTTTAGCAGCATCCGGTGCACACAGTCGGTAGGGCGAACAGGTGATCTATGTGCCTGCGCTTCAAGTAGGTTGCATGGCGATGGGTTGGTGGCTGCTAGACACAAGACAGCACAATGTTCACTAGGCATCCAGGATAAATAGTGTTCGAGGGCCTGGATAGAGCAACTGCACTATTGCAATCGATGCGAAGGATACATTCTTGAAATTGTGGAGTCGGACGCATGTACGCAGTGCAGAAGCAGTAGGAGGGTGTACGATCGAGGAAGGCGGTTGTGACAATAGGGAGCATCCTTGCTGCAACCGTGATGGCGAAATGCCTCGTGCCTTGGGCGTCTATGGAAATGAGGTAGCATAAAAGCGTACAATACTCGCACCGATACCCACAATTCCTCCTCGACCGTGCCTATAAGATGTCACAGCACATTTTCAGCGCCCTTCAAGTTTTTGAACATCATCAGGAATCCGTGAAGGCAGTCGCAGTGCTCCCCGATAAGCGACGAATGGTTACGGGCCCGTACGGCAAGACGCTTTGTCTGTAGGACTTGAAGATAGGTGTTGTGTTGAAGAAGATGGAGGGGCATCGCGATAAGGTGCAGGCATTGGTGGTATCACGAGACGGTCGAATAATAGCGAGTGGTGATTGGAGCGGAAAGGTCATTGCCTGACACGGTGAAACTGGTGAATTTCTCGCCCAACCCATCGAAGCTCACTCCAGTGCTATCGACTCGTTGGATTTTTCTCCGGATGATGCAGTGCTGGCCTCTGGTACCATTCATGTGACGGATCGGTGGTACCAAGACGTGGCAGATACGTTAATCAAATGTAGTGGTTTGATCGACTCCGAGATTCGCTAATCGCCGTGCGGAGAACTTCTTGCCATCACAACTTCATTAACAACGAAATTTATAATCCAGGCACAAGGGATTCGAAACGCGTTGCTTCTTTGGCTACCAGATCATACACCTTCTCACTTGCATGGACGCCCGATGGCACACGACTTCTTGTAAGAGACGATAAAAACAATTGCACCATACGTACCGGGTGAATGGGACACATCAACCTATTTTCAGAACGGTCTTGTCAACATTGGGTGCACTCCAATTATGCTCTGAGTCGTCCCGGGTACATATTTTTCCTTATGAGCTTTATAGCTGGTAATACCGCTATCTGGTTTGCATCTGACGACTCGCACTACCATTGGGATCTGACGGCAGTGCATGATCTTTAAAGAGACCATTAATACTTCGATATTGGTGGATGGTACTGCGGTCTCGCGGCGCCCACGAAGAGTGAGTGAGTTCTTAAGCCACTGACCTACTAAGATGCCGCCCTGGTTGACGGCCGACATCTATCACTTTGTATGATGCATTTGGACTCAAGCTGACGACAACGGCACGTTTTATGAGATGTGGACATGCATCCCTAGTCATAAGTGACCTTCCATGATGGTTGTTTGCAACTCAACTGAACTCCTCTTTCTTAGGTAGGCGCTGAGCCAATGGTAGTAGCGTCGACACTCCTCCAAAAGATTTGGGTCTGTCCCTACTACACTAGTACTCAAGACGTACCGGACCATGGTTTTATTGAATGCACAACATGGCCACGCTTTCTCAAACTCTTCAACTTTCTCAGTGGCTCAGAAGTCAACGATCAGGCGAAGTTGGCTCCTATCGTCCGTTCGTATAGGCCTCGAATGTTGTAACCTCTGAAAGACTCTCCGCTAGCCCCGCATACGGAACCTTCAACCTACTAGCGATATCATTCATGTGCAGCACAGCCGTGTTCTCAAAGTTTCATGCTGATCGTTTTGTCTTCCAGCACACCCTAAAGATTATAGGTCAGCAGTTCTTAAATGTGATTCTGCCAAGCCACCTGCAGAGACTCTCATTCTCTGTCAAGATTAATACCGAACTGCGCTAGTTGGAACAATCTGACAAAGGTGTCACCACTGCTCTTGCGATATATTAAATAGCAAGTGGATGATCGGCTTTGACGGTGCAAAAGGTGAGACGCGCTCAGATAAGACTGAATTTGGGTTCACAGACATTATGCTTAGGCTTATGTTTTCGGGTGAGACTGGAGACAATGTTGGACTCCTTGTTACTTAGTGATATTCATTCAAAAGGCGTTGATCTTCATGGAGTGGTAAGTCCATTTTCTCTCATTATCCGATGGCAGAACCTCCTGATCCTGTCTCGGAAGCATTGACATCGATTTGTAAACGCTGGTGAACTATCGTATGTACTTCTGCTCATTACCCTTAGAGATTCGCATTATGTTTTCACGTCCAACCGACGAAGTTGCCGAGGGTGGCTGGCAATTTTCATTTTCGGTCCTAGATAGACCCGACGAAGATTTCTCAGAAGGACATTGTATTACAGATTGTCGCATCGTTGACACCTATGTACGCTGGTTTGGGCGGGAGAATTCCGGTGCGTTTTGCCTGTTCTGTATGTGTCGATGCGTCTTTCTTAGGGCCAATATCTGCATGGTGAATAAGTTGAGCCAGGGTCCAGTGTCCGTTGTAGGCGGTATGTGGTTCTGATTTACATAGGCTTGTGTAGCTGTGCTAATGGAAGTTGCCGTAGATGATAGTATGTCTATTTATGAATGATGGCTGGTCTGATCCAAGTCTGATCGGTGGTAATACTTGCTCATTTCTATACGATTCGGGACTTGGACTTAATTCAGGCTGTGAGGTAAATGCAGACACAATAGAGCGCGCCGTACAACAGTTAGACCTAGGATGGAAACTTGCGCTCGTTGAAAAAGGACTTGCCCATAAATATCTTCTTGAGACATGCAACGACTAGCGTTTACCTGTCATCTCCGAGATCCTGGAGATAACCATCTCGATTCTTAACCAGACAATAACGACAGGAAACATACCGATGTAACAAAACTCCATTTTTTCTATGCCTGCTGTCAGATGCCGATTCAACAGCATCGTGCTCAACAGGTTTGCAGTTCCAGGAAAGCCAGCAATGCATACGGAGGTGCTTGGCAAGGGTCATCTGGAGGCTGGGGACAAGGTGCCTGATGCGCCAAATATGCTCCAGGTGGAAGGAGGAAAGTTTGATGTGAAGACGCTCTTTTGATCTGTACAGACCATGATGATGATGGTATCACACAGTGCCTGTGTTCGTGCTGAGCCTCGCAAACACAACTCTGATCTCGGGTTTTACTTGAGACGTGCGACAAACATGTTGATGCAATTGTTGTTCTGCCGTTATCGGCATCGGTGATGGGCCCGTTGCATCTTCTGCTGACCTTCAAGTTGTTTTTGTTGATCAGAAGAGCTATGCTTATTCGGCTTACGTCATGGAAGTGAATCAGATGAAAGTATCAACCGGACGCATCGTTGGTGCAGAAGGCATTCAAAAATATTTATGAAGGTACGGAGATCTTTCATGAAAACTTGTTCATTAACGACTCTCAAATGCCTCTGATGTATGTGATCTATGTTACGTAGGCATCACATCTGTAACCAAAACATATGTATCCAGGTAATGTAAGTCGGATTTCCAATTCATTTCAGCTAAAGTGCTTTCGGGTTGCGAAGAGTGAGAAAAAGGTGGATTGTACGCGCATCTAGTGAACCTCCGATACCCAGGCGGACCGGAGAAAGCCCTACATTACACACTAGCGTCGGTTTTGCAAGTTGCCCGTGGTACAAGTGTGTAGGATGAACACCGGTCCGGGTGAGTATAAGTGCGGGCCGCATTCATGTGAAGGATGCTGTGGGGTCATTCGAAAATACAATAATGGAGGAATCGAAGTTGTACCAACGTGTTCGGTTGCCAGTTCCAACTTCTGTGGGGGCCTATAACTCCGGGCAATGCCTGACAGTACTCGTTTCGGTGGCAGGTGGAATTGAGATCGGGCTGCAGACAAAGCAACGCGAAAGCAAACCATGTAGCTAAGCAACGGAGAACGAAGGTGGTGCCACTGGTGGCACAAAAACAAGCGGCAACGCGCGCTCCGCACGGCTATCTTAAAAAGCTATTCTTTAATAGTCTCGACTTCGTTGCTGACTCAAGTACAAAGTGTTACCAACTCACATTCATACCGTAATCAAAGTAGCGTGATGGGCGTATTCTTTATCCTGTAACTGGATGGCCCTATCGCAGCGTGAGTTTTCGTACCTTGGAATACTGGGCGTGTCCAGTCCGCAATCATCGTAGGTGATCGCTAGTAGTAGAAGAAAAGTAAAACTTTTGAAAGGGCTCAAGTTCCGAATGAAGATTACGTTTGATGGAAAAAAACAACATCTGATGTGACATGTGGCAGATAGGCTGTAGTTATTGCTGTGCATCAAAGGCCAGGCTGCCCCACAGAGAATATTTGCCAAATTGCGGTGGGCTGCGTAGTATACTATTGGTTGCTTTGTAAGCTGGGTAATTGAATGATACCGGACCTGCGCCTGCCTTTGTCAAGGATCATCATCATCTCCAGCGACACCGCACCTGTGTATAATAGTACAGCCATCTCATCCTATGGTACTTTTATCTTCAAACCGTGTAATCGCCTAGGCATATTGTCATGCTGGCCCCTTCCAGAAACCACAGAGCGGAGGCAAAGTTTAACGTCGCTACTGAGTGTATGTCATTCAATTATTTACCTTTATTTTATGGTTTTTCTGACTATATGACAGTCCCACATCTAGGACTTCATTCAGCTGCTGCATCAGGCGACATCGGACTGGTTCAGTTTGCTCTCAATCATGGTCAACCAGTAAACTCTGTTTTAGACGGCGTTCTACCTTTACACGCTGCTTGTGCAGGTGGTAATGATCTCGTAGTCAATCTTCTCATCCAACACGGAGCAGACGTCAATGCATCAAGGTAAGTCCTCGTCATCAATCCATGGTTCCGATTGCATATATATGAACGCTTTCCATAGACTTCCCCGCAGATATTCTGATCGCAGCCGTGATTCTGCCGCTCCTATAGTTGGTACTTCTGGTGCAACCCCACTCCACTTCGCTGCTGCAAACGGTCACGCAAGCGTCGTTCGCACCCTTCTTATGCATGGTGCCCATCCTAATCGTCCAGATAAACACGGTATCACCCCTGAGATTATTGCCCGTCAGAATGGTTGGGTTGAGTGCGCTGATATCCTCGCAAGCGAGATGCTTGCACGTGCACGCGGTGACAATACACCTGATAGCGACAGTCATTCCTCTAGGGAGCGACCCCATCCTTGTGTCGAACACGTTGAGTCTTCCCTTAGGAAGAAACTCCATTTCAAGCGCTCTATCGACCATGCTCTCACCGCACTCAAGTCCGCAAGCGCCACCCCTGATATCGATCAAAAACCACCCTTTGTGCGCTCAGGCTCCTCTGAACAAGATGTCACGCAACCTCAAGGCTCGCCTTCGTCTGGTCGCCGTCCATCTTTACCTCATATCTACGACGAACCACCCCAGCGCCCCCCGCTCCCCAAAGCTTCACGTCGTCCCAGATCGGCAGGCACAGGTGCCGAGGCTCCCCCGCCCCGCAAACTGAACTCAAAGCTGTCACTCCTCAGCCTGTTCAAGAAATCAAATGTAGATACTTCTTCGTCGAGCGTTACCTCTGTCTCGGAGCCCCCGATCAATTCCCCCTCTTCTTCATCACCCGTCCCTGTCCCTGGGACAGCATCGCCTGCGTCACCTGCGGCAATAATATCTTCCCCGCGCGTCTTCCCCACACCACTTTCATCATCTCCGCAGGAGACACCCACGCATGACCCCCACCGCCGCAGGCCAGAAACCAATTCTACACGCACTTCCCCCGATCCAAATCCATGGCATCGTTCCATCAGTTCCTCGTCCACACCTGGCGAAGAAACGCTTCCCGAGTCAACAGCCCCTGCGAGGCCGGGCATACTGCGCATGCACACACGCTCAACGTCAGGCCATGGCTCCCAGCAATCCTCCTTGTCTCGTATCATCCGCTTTGAAAACTCTTCCTCTAGCTCCTCCTTCACCGCGCGCGCGCGCAGCCCACCCTCACGTGGGAGCGTTCCACATGACAGCCGCCTGCGTGCCCTCAGCATGGGCTCCTCAGCAGGTGCCCCGGACACCGATCGTATACCAGACACCATCGAAGAATCTCCACGAATCCCCCAGTCCCCCCCTCCCATCCTTGTCAATGCCATCGACCTCGATGACCTCGAAGACGAAGAAGAATACGGCGTACCCATCATTCACTCTCCATCCATGCCAAATATGATGCTCACCCCCGATCGCGCAGTGACAATGCCTGCTCAATTCCCATTCAGCATCAACGTACCACCACCTCCTGATGATAGTATCTTGTCTTCTGAAAGTCGCCTGCGTGGAGACTCTGTCAGCAGCTCAGGCACAACAGGTACTGCGAGCACATTCACACAATCTAGTGCAAGCGACTCACCATGGCCTCCAACGCCCCACTCCTCTGGCGCCAGTCCTCTAATTGTATCCCGTTCCGTGGACACAGACACCGGCATACACATGGGCGTAGACGCACTCCCCATATCCCCACGTATTCGCAGAACGCCTTCAGGTCTTGACATGCCCTCAATATCCTCACGAGCAGAGGTAGAAGCGCTTGTTCAGCGGGCGCAGCAGTCTGTGCTTGATATGGCTATTGATTTGGAGGAGAATACAAGGAGGGATCAAGGGACTGGACGGACGCCTTTGAGCTTAAGGTTGGCAATGTTTGGGGAGAGTTTGGCTATTGAGAGGAGGATGAAAGAGGAAGAGGATGCTGTTGGAAGGGGGGTGATGGTTGCTAATACAGGGACGACACCTGTCGGGAACAGTTTGGGTGTGGGTGAGAGGTCTTTGTTGTCGAGCAGTAGACCTCGGGCTGTGGAGTTGGATTTTTCGAGGAGCAGCAGTAGGAGTGGTTCGTTGTCGTCCCTTTTTGTTGCTTTTCACGCGTTGACACATGATATAGGTGCATCCAGTGAAGACACGTCGCTTCAACACAGTACGCGGATAGCACCGGACGAACTTAGACGGACGGCGTCTGTTGATTTCAGGCGGACGATGTCAGATTCGCCCTTCGCTGGCATCTCTCGAACTTCAGACAACACCCGCCGTACACGTAGTCCTCCCGTGACATCACGACACCTGCCCTTCTTGCACCACGACCCGAACCGGCATCCACATGCCCCGCCGCTCCCCAGTCCACACACGCAATCATTCGAGACATCCACGTATACGCCACCGCGGTCGCGTACGCCTGACTCATGTGATACATACATAGATGAAGATACAGAGCTGACGGGTTTGGGTATTGGTTTGGGTATGGGCTTGGGTATACCGCTCTCGCGCATCTCGACAGCTCCCTCTCACGCTGGACGCATACCCACGATGCGGAACGCAGCAACGACCCACGACGCATCAACAACGCGTAACTTATCACCATCTAAACGTAACCCAACGATGGCACGCAACGCATCGCCAGCAACACGGACCACATCATCGTCAGGACCACGTGACATATCATCAACGCCAGCAACACGGAGCGTGAATAAATTATCCCGGATGGGATTCTCGACGTTGGAGGGGTGGCAGCCAGCGTCGATAACGACGGGTTCGCCACCTACGAAGCAGAGATTTGGGGGGATACGGACGATTGTTAGGGGGTTTCAGGGGAAGTAGGCGTGTGCCCTTGATTCCCATATTTCGCGCTGGACTTGGACTCGGACTCGGGTACCTCGTCGTTCCCTATGCATATGCCTGGCAGGCTTTTGTTGATGGCCAGAGCTTACTTATTAGACGCTGTGTTGTGTGTTTTCTGCGCGTTTTGGTTTTCTTGCATTTTTGACATGTATTATCCATCGTTGTTGTCGTCATTGTTTTTATTATTGTTGTTGTAGTATGCTGCTTGTGATAACTTACTTGTGTTTCATTGACATTGTAACATATGCACTTTTTGATACCTGTTTGTAATTTTATTGATATGATCTTATGGGCGTGATGAATTGATGCTTGGATTTTTGATGTAGTCGTGACTAAGAGAGAAAACTGCAATGTCTAAGCTTGGCTGAAAATTATTGTGGGTGCCACTATTTCCAGTTCAGAGATATTTAAAGCACCACCATGCTCACAATGGTCGAGTCCGCCAAAGCGATGCACACTCCGTCGAAGTTCCTGCACTCGTAGCCGCTTGAAACGAATATTCAAATAGGAATCAAAGTATCGTTGTTGTTCAGCATTGCCCAGCCGAAGACGTTCCGACGAAAATTTCGCTCGCTAGCCGATTAGCAATTCTCGCAAGAGACCCGGTCTAAAATTGTAGAATGACATCTCATTCATAAACGTCCCAAGGTAACGGCCCATTATACACCATCCCCGCATCATCAGGACACCACTCCAACAGCCCCCTCAACTCCGGTGCCGATGCATGATAGGAATGAAATCGTAGAAACGGGTTCCGCGCCCGTCGCTTAGCGAGCAAAAAATCGTGGCAACCATACAAATCGAGTTGATACGGAGCGTATCCATTCTTAACCTAGATTCCAGTTCAACACAGCATAAAACCGCTAAGGAAGACAAAGATGCTTACTTCGCCGATACGAGCTGATTCCTCGTTAGCGGAAGGCTCGATTCCGATGTATTCAAAATGATGAGCGGGGAATCGAAGGGCTGTGCGGTGAAGCTCTTCGAAACGACGGCGCTTCATTTCGTAGCCGACGATGGTGACATGCAGGGGATACCGGCCTGTTATTTCGTGAAAACGAGCCAGCGAGAATAAAAAGTTTTGGTATGAATCAAGAGCGTAGGTCTCTGTTGTCGCACGAGGGAAATGGGGCGTGTAGGATGTTTGTTTTGAGTCGGGGTGGAAAAGACCTAGACTTATTGCTAAACGCATGTAAGATTCTGCTTCTGTCGTGGTCGACTGTAGTCTAGTTTGACCACTAGAAAGGAGGGTTAGCGAGACGAACTTGTATCCTGGGTTGAATACCTGCCCGCTGAAAACGAGTAAGGATGAATCATCTTTGAGCGTTATTTCTACTCTGAAATTTATCAGCTTCGTGATTTGGTGATTTGGTGAGAAGACATACCCTTGTCTGATGTGTTCTACGAACGCAGAGATCCTGTAACTACCTCCCCCTCTCTGATATTCCTCTAACGTCCACTGATCTGCGTCTAACACCTGATCAGGCTGCGTGCCGGTCCAAATTGCGTGACCTGGAACAATGACGAGATGAGAGAGGTTTTCTAGAGTTGTATTACGAGCTATGGTCGAGAGGATGCTCTGAGGGGGCGTGTAAGTTACCAGTGAAGGCGGAAAAGAAGAGAATATAAAAGCGAGATTATATAAGAATGAAACACAGAAGCATCCTGCGAGAATGATGATGCTTAGGTTCGTGAACCTTGATCGTGAACGTAGGAGGCTGAGAGCCCGTCTGAGGTCGGACGAGGAGAATGTGCGGAGGTGCTGGGAGGTTCCTCGTCGGTTGGATGAGACTGGTGAGGGAAGCATAGGGCTGCGATATATAAAACGCGTCCGCTGGTAACCCAGTCGACTACTAGTGACTCAGTCTGTACGCGTTAAGCATTCGTAGAAAGTTAGCTGGACACGTTCAGGGCCTCTGTCCCAGTCACGTGAGATTCATTCCTGAATTCACTGTTTGGCACGCGTTCAAACGTTCACGCGCACGCCTTAAATCAGTGTTCAAACGTTCACGGCTCGTGCTCACGACCTTGAAATAATAGGTACTCTAAATTTTGGCTGCTGCTTGCTCCCGCTACCTACGACGTTTTTCAGGCCGCAGGCATGTTAATTCCTCGACACATTGGTCCAAAATATGTCAACAGGGTGACGGTCAAGCAAATCGCACGTTACTTGAATGGTGAGCTGGTGGCAGTGGCTGCTGGCTACCACAATCGTCAATTGCAAACTTCGGTATAACGGTTCACGCGTTTTTGAACAGGTCCGGGAAATAGTACAGCCAAGCCCCGTTCGCAGCTCGCATTCGCATTCGACATCGTATGGTTTGGACATGATGCTATGAGACTGTCCAACGACTTATTGTTTCTTGCACTCTTCCCAGGATGGTGTTCTCCTTCGTGGAAAGGACCCCCTGCCTGCTGCCAAAGAGGCGTTATCGATCCTTGATGGCAACAATAAATTCGGCCTGTACTCGCGTCTTTCCTGCTGCTTATCATCCAGCTGACTGACTGACTCAAAGCAAGATACCCTTTATTCTGGTAAATTATCACTATGTCATTTGTGATGTAAGCATTCAATTGTTACCACAGCTCACCAATGGCGGTGGTGTAAGCGAAGAGGAACGGTGTCGCAAGTTGAGCTCGCAGCTTGGCGTACAGGTGCTATATCAAAGTTGTCCTGAATCCTCAATTTTACTGACAAATTTGGACAGATTCATTCTGACCAATTCATACAGTCTCACACTGTTCTGAAGTCTATTGTACACAACTACGTTGACGTGCCAGTCTTGATTCTTGGAGGCCAGGGTGATACCCTTCGGAGGGTCGCGGAAGGGTACAAAATTCTTGTAGCTTGCATCTATATCCTATTGATGGAATCTCAATTAACTGCAGATACGGCTTCCGGAAAGCTTATACTACCCTTGATATTCTCAATTGGAACCCATCGCAAGTTATTTGCTTCCCTGATAGTTTTGACTCGACTTTTTTCATATTCCCAGGATATGGCCTTTTCATAACCTCACACAAGAAGAACGAGCATCCGTCAGGGTAATATTCTCACTCGCTCAAACGAACGGCTTATACAAACATGATGACACAGCCGGCCGACTTTTCGAAGATCCAATTTGGCGCAATCTTTGTCTTCCATGATCCTAGAAATTGGGCTCTCGACACCCAAATCATGTGTGATGTGATCCAGGGTAGCATTGGGGGATCTCATGAAACCAATCATACACGAAAACCTGTCGACCTAGTATTTTGCAATCCCGATTTAATATGGCAGTCGGATTTTGAGGCTCCTCGTATGGGCCAAGGAGCTTTTAGAGTTGCATTCCAGGCTGTTTTCCAGGCGAGTTTTTCATTGACCGCTAAATCCCATCGAGAACAATCTGATGTGTCGTTTTTGCAGTCATTGACAGGGTCCACATATCCCTACATCCAATTTGGCAAACCAACTGAGGCCACGTACAATTTTGCCGAGGTTATGCTCAAGCATCGCTTACAGGGTATACCCAAATCATCGTTGTTCGTATAATTTGGTGATATGTCCGTCCTGGCGGTCAGCTAACGACCGTACAACGCGCTACCAGGTACATGGTGGGCGGTACGTATTTCGCAATTCTTGCCCTCAATGTGACCCTCAATTATATGTCACCGTAGATAACCCAGAATCTGATATAGCAGGTGCCAATACTGCAGGATGGAAATCAATTCTAGTTCACACAGGTGTATACGATCCCCATCGTGGACCTCCAAGTCACCAGCCCACTCACCAAGCAGGGGATGTCTCAGAGGCAGTTCGTTGGGCGTTAGAACAAGAATTCTGCTAATAAATTACTGATATGGGACAAATTTTACATCACGGTAGATGCTATTATCTCTTCCACCGATCAGTCATAGAGTGATGAAGCTGATACATGACCCTGAAGGTGGTATCGACAAGACAGTGCGACGGGGAGCATTGCCCGAGGCCAGTGATGGCGACAATGATCTCATGCATAACTTAGACTAAACATATTTTGGGATTGGTCTAGACCATCCGCAATTATGTCCGATCTGATGTGCGCAGTAACTCACAACTTGCAGATTGACAATTGGAGATCTTAATTAGGTTCTGAGGTAATAGTTAAATCCCACAACTCCACGCAGTTAGCCGGCCCCCACAACAGAGTGCACCACTGAACGTGGTGCCTGCTGCAAGGAGATTGATCATAAAGAAGATTTCATCTCGGAGGTTCTTGCAGGGGCCATACAACCAGTGTCGTATGCACTACTGGAGCCGCTCGCACGATTCTTGGCACATTGCACCCATTATTTTCGAAATTCTGAAGCCTAGATCTGATACCGTGTTAGTAACGGCCGCAGTAATGTCAACATACCAAAGCTCCGTGTCATGAGTTCACATTTCTGATTCGATGTTGAATTCATCTGAATGGTTACTATGTATTGGTGTTCCAAATCACTTCGTGTCGCAGCTGGCAAAATGATTAACTGAACTACAGTTCTGCTACCGTGCTAGGTGAAGTTCAACCGACCCTGTTGAAAGCGGTTTTTCAAATCATCCATACCGTTCAATATGCGTCCAATACAAACCTGCAAAGTACCTACTGGTAACCAAAAAAAGTTTAGAACAAGACATACAAACTCTTAGTACACCAACATAACCTTGACTACTAACCAATCACTATCATGATATAAATGAACCTCGCTGTTAAACAAACCCTCGGTCGGGTGAGCCCAAATTTGTATAGGAAGCCATAGGTAAAAAAGCACAGTCAAACAGTCTGCATGCATCAGGCAGGTACCATAAGAAGTCATGCTTTACGCTCTTCCTCAGGCTCATTGGTTGCCTATGCTGCCAGTGGACCTCTCCTACCCTGTTCCCGACAATCGCAACATCGTGACCCACGGAAAGATCCATTTATTGCCGAGATCGAAAATAACAACTAGAAGACTGTAATTCGCAGCCAGCCTGAGCTAGTGAACACAGCCGATGATTCATTGAAGTCGGTGTTATACCACTAATGAGCCCTTCATATTCTCCAACCTTAAAAATCTCGCTTACGACTCAAAAGCCGTGGTGGCGGATCATTAAGGCATAGCGTGAGCTATTAGTGCTCTGTCATGACTCGTAGGGTCAGTCGGTATGTACCACAATCCGTGTCGCATGTATCGGCTGATAATTTCCGGATTGCTAGTGCAACGACAGTTGCCTCAGAAAGTTTCAAGATCAAAGTTACACATCTCGGAGTTTTGATTCTGTGGACAGCAATACAAAAAAATTCAGCTTGCATCCCCAAACTCACTAGTTGATTGAACGTACGAACTTAATATTTACACGCGCCTTGCCTGTGGTAAAGTCAGGCGGCCGTTCCGAGTGGAGGCCCACGTGTTAAGGAGGTTATCGTGGATGTGTCCACCACAAAGGCCGCCAGCGAAGCCCGGCTTGTGATGGAGCGGGAAGACTCAAACATTGGCCCAATACCAAGCGGGAAAACTCACACTTCGTAGGATGCCCGAAATTGACTTGGCCTCGTCATAGTACCCCCGCGACATCCTGAATTGCTGCAGTTATAAGCACCAAACCTCTTCATATGACGACTCACGAAGCAAACACCAGAGTCTTTGAGTCCAGACCAACCACCCACAAATTACAGGCGCAGACGAATGGGGCCCGTGACGGTTGATTCCGTGATGAACCTGAAGGCTTAAGCTTAAGGCCGAGTTATTTGAATTGAGCTTTAATAATTAAGCTGCATTAAGTTACCCCCACTTGAAAATTTGAGATTTCCCTAATGCAGCCGGAGAGGAGCAAGTACTAGGCGGCAGGCATGAATCGGTTCTAGATCTTCACTCTCATTTGTTTCGTTCTCGCAATGCATAGTAATAAATCACATTGGACACGCAAAAGTAGATGTCCTTTGACTAATAGCCTGAGGGCGAGCTCGGACGTGTGCAAGTTCAATAGACAGTGCACGCGGAGGATCTTCATGTGACTGCTTACTAATACAAATTACAAAGGAACTTCAACTTTAACGTTCAACGTCAGTACCGTCGCATCCGCTTGAAACAGCCATCTTTCTGCAAGACCCCACCGGTACCGTAACTGCGGCTCTAAACGGAAACATCTTGTGCGAGAATCTGCGCGAAATTACGATACCTCCATTGAACCAGCGTCGCTGGAAAATCTACGATGAATCACATTCTCTATGGTCACCTACGAATATTTTATCATTTGTGGTTCATCGTGATGTCACGTCGATACGGGTGAGGGCCGATTTTCACCGGAGATGAGTCCTCATAAACTCCTCGGGTATTCACTGGCTGGCAGGTTCAAACTACACATTGCCCGTGAGACAAATTTCAAGCATGATTAAGGCTGTATCATACTTACTTCAAATCAATACAGATTTAGAGGCCAGCGGTTCGCTTTCGCACTCGATCAATTAGTAAGTCCGGAACTATCCTGTTTACAACTAGTATTCTAGGGCCAACCGTCGGTGCAGACAACAGTCTTAGTGTTTGTCCGTTGGTCCGCCGTGATCATGCTCTCCCACAATTAGTACTGTTGGGCAGCAATACGGCACGCCAGTTTTGCCACTCCAGTCCCGGAAAAACCAGGCGCATTCAGTAGCAGGGTGGCTTGTGATGAGAGTTGACTTAGACGATCTTTGACAGATTCGTCCCCAGGACCACAGCGCACTATCACATAGTCACATCCATTCCGATGTTACCATCATTCGCAGCCCCGTTCACTCGACCCTGTCTTACCTTGTCATTCACTGATTGCTTGGCCCCTGAGCTTCGCTTGCTTAGATCCATCGCTCGCAACTTGTAAATTTCGGATTCTGCTTGTCTTTTGACAGGATGACCGTAATCATTACGACCTGTGTTTCTAGGAGGACGATCCGGCTCTCGCACCTCCACTTCTGGCGCAAATCCACATATCCAGCTGTAATACACTGAGAGGTGATAAGCTTCACAAAATAAAACCTATAAGAGCATCTTTCGATAGAGACGATGGTCCTCATAATCACCCTTCCAAGTTGATCATTCAGGAGATATGTCTGGCGTAGAAACCTTCGCTGTTCCGTTGTCTGCAGGTAAGTCCGCCTTTCAAAATCAGTCCAAGTCTACTTATTGTTGAATATATCAGATGCTATCTCCTCCGTGTGGCTTGCTGCGTTGATCTCTGACCTTTCCAGCCCCAGTTTTACTCTCAAGCACTCGTTTACAAACGATAGCTACTGGCGAGATCTCTTGGCATTCACTCCTGATTTTCGTACCTTGCACGCACTTCCAGAAATCCAGCATTTTTTCTCAGTCCCCGTTGCCCTTGCACGGCCAAGTCGGTTCCGACTCTTGCCAGGTGTTCGTCATCGGCGCATTGGTCCTACAAAAACGTTCATCCAGGGAATTGTTCAGTTCCATACGGCCATAGCGCAGTGCACTGGCGTCTTCACTCTGACTCGAAGCGAGGACTCCTCATGGAAGGCTTGGTCCTTTGTGACCATGATGGATCAGTTGTCCGGCGTGGTCGATCGCTTTAGTGCACATACGCCTCTCTGCCGTCCTGCTGAGTGGAAACCTACAATGGAGTACACAGCGGTCGTCGTGGGTGCAGGTCAGTGCGGCTTATCCGTGGCTGCCCGTTTGGAGAATCTCGGCATCTCTACACTTGTCTTGGAGAGATCTGGCGCAATTGGCAATAGCTGGCGTACTCGATACGAGTCACTGGAGACGAATACTCCAAGGGCGTACAGTGCGTGCAGCTGAAGAACTCCCAACTTCGTCCTATACTGACGTACCGGCAGATCATCTTCCCTTCGTCGCATTCCCAGAGGGATGCGGAAAATATATTCCCTGTAGAGACGTTGCTGACTATCTTGAAAATTACCAAAGGACTCTTGGTCTTCATGTGTTGACCTCGGCGTGCATTTCCGCTACTTCATATGACGCTTCGTCAAGTACCTGGACATTATCTATATCTCTTTCAGGGCAAGCCTCCATCACTGTGACAGCCCGGCACCTGATTGGTGCAACAGGTACTGGTACAATGGGAGGTGCACTCCCGTTTATGCCGTCGATTCCAGAAAAAGTACGCAGCAGGACTTGATTTTTTGGCGACGCTGACTCTCCGTGTGCAGAGTTCCTTTCTCGGTTCTGTTATCCATTCAAGTGAATACAAGTCCTCCTCCTGTGTCGGCGCGCAGAAAGTCGTCGTCGTCGGCGCGGGATGCTCTGCGCACGATATTGCTCAGGACATGGCAAATCATGGATCTCAGACAGTGCTTGTCCAACGTTCTCCAACTGCCGTTGTGAGTCGCCAGACGATCGACCGTCTACTTACCGGTAATTTCAGTGTATCTACTCCGGAGATCTCCATTGATTTGACTCGTAGGATATGTCGGGCAGGACGTTCCTGCGACAGAGATCGCCGACCGCTTTTATGTCGCTCTCCCCTTGACAACCCTACAAAATCCCCAGTACAACACTATGGAGATACATGCCCACATCGACCAGTTCGTTGGCAAAATTCGAAAATGATTTCTTCATCTCACCTTTTTCTCTTAGGGACCTCAGGGAGAACTTGTCTCGGCGTGGATATCTCCTTCCTGGCCCTGAGGACAATTTCTTACACCGTCTCTCCGTTCGACGAGGCGAGTTTGTGCACTCTGTATCGTTCTATCTTTCTTACAGGCATTCCAGGTGGCTTTTATATCGACCGGGGTTGTGCAAAGCTCATCACATCTGGCAAGGTCATTATTACTTTTTCTGGGTTTCCCACGCGTGTTGCTTACTAGCAACTAGATCACTGTCAAGTCCGGGCATGAGATTTCCCACTTCTCCCCTTCCGGGTTGGTATTCGACGATGGTTCGCGAGTGGTCGCAGACCTTGTTATCTTGGCCACTGGGTAAATATTTATCCGTCTGATCGTGTACTTCTAACACATCATATACAGGTACTCGAAAACTACAATTAAACAAGTTGCCGAGAGCCTTTTTGGGGCCCAGGTCGCGGATGCCGTCCATGAGCTTGGAGGATGGGATAATGATAATGAGCTCGCAGGTGTTTGGAGGCCGACTGGACGTCAGTATTCTGCTGATCTGATTGCGCGACTCGGTGATGCTGACGTTCTGTTCCAGACGATGGACTCTGGTTCGCAGAGGGCGATCTCTTTTCTGCACGGTTCTACTCCCAATTTCTTGCGTTACAGATAATGGCGAGGGAGATGGGATTGTTAAGTCCAGACCAGAGGAGTTACATCTCATACTGATTTCAGGGATCGGCTTCTCAATTACCCTAGATATTAAAAAAGTACACAAGGTGTCCTTAGCTGCTGCCAACAACTTGTCAATAACATTATTTATACGCAACATACTGGAAGCATTACAACAATCAACTATACCGTGGAAGGAATCTTCAACTGCTTTCTATTGGGGTTGCCTGGTCAAACACAGGCTCAGGGATGCCTATACTACGATCACGACAGGTCGACATCTCGATGACTTCGAGCCGGTCCATCCTTAGATCCTCAGGCTAAATATTAATAAAATCAGTATCAATACAGCGGGCTTCCGGGAGGAACCTACGTTGTCATCCGCCGGGTCTATCATGGCTAAATAAATTCTGTCCCCATCGACCCACATTTCGATTGACTCCATGGCGTCGAAGACTCTATCGGACACAACCTCGACATAAGGCAGAGATGTTGTTAACGTCTTCCCGGGCTCACGAATTTCTGTTTCAGATGGCTCTTTCACCACTCGTCCCAGACCCTGCCGGCGCTCAACAGCCAACGGACTGAAGTCCATCATATGTAATCTATACCGGGACCCGGTGCCTGTGGGGAATATCTGTAGAACTCGATTCCCGCTGACGTAAACTTTCCAGGAGTCTGGGAACACACGGGTGTTTGTAGGACCCCAATGTTGCCATGGTATTGTCACCGCCTTTTCACCAACGCGCTCCGAGTCGAAATCGAAGAAAATGCTGGTGGAGATGACGAAGACGAGCCGTGGACAGAGCGTGGTGTAGCATAACACTCGATGTTCAGGGTCTGAAGTCCACATCGTTTGTTGGGCTCGCATATGCAATTGCGAGCCGTGCGCAATATCATTGATGGGCAAAAAACACTTTTTATGCTCCACTGGAAAGGACAACGAGTAGCATGCCAGTAACTGCGGTTCCCGGGACATATCCTCGATTGAATAAAGCTTGAAATTATCGTTGAGCATCAGCAACCTATTGTTTCCGACGAAGCAAAAATCGATCGAAACTTCGAAATGTGACATTGCGTCACTGAGGTTGCACTACATAAATCAATTATCAGCTTTCAAGTCTTTCGACTAGTATGTCTGACAATGCCAGCTCACATTGGACGTTGTTGAGTGTTGCCAGTCCCAAAGTTGCAACCACCAGATGACTCGAGATGTGTTGGTTGGATCATCAAACAATGGGGAACACTGGAGAGCAAGATACCTCCCAAAACCCTTGAGCTTCAGATTCTCCGTCACCATGAATGAGTCATAGCTGTCTTGTGCGGTAAGCACCGACAGAAGCAGTGTTTGCCCAGCAGCTTGAGGGTGAATACCATCTCCATCCAGGGCTCCAAGGTCAACGTAGAATCTTCCCTCCTGGTGCATATTACGACTGACAGCATACGCGACGGCGATCAGGTTTTGTGCTGGGTCCATATACACATCGACGATATATGCATTGGGAACTGGACACAGCGATCCTGAAGACCAATGTCGTTCGACTGGTTGCTGTGAGGGATTCGGCAGTATTGGAATGATCTTGGCCCAGTTTCCCAAGTCTTCACTTTCATACCATAGACAGAAATGCCCATCAGCGATATATGTCCTCACTTCGTAGAAATGTTCTTGTATAGAGAATGTTTGGAAAGAGCGAGCGTGGAGGTTAAACTGCAACCATACGTGGGCTTTGTCCCTCAGGAGTTGTAGGCACTGAGAAACAGGAGTGTGGTTGCCAAGATCCGTGATGGGGACTGGGAGTAGTCGTTGGCCGCCGAGTTCTACAATGTACTGCAGCTCGGAGGATAGTACGTATGTCTGGCGAAGGGCCCTGCATACCTGCCAGCAAAAAAATTAAACTTAATCTAGGAGGTTCGACATTGACACTCACAGATGTACAACGAAGAATATCTTGCCAAGGAAGGAAGCTTAGAATGTAAGAGTGAAGTTCTTCAGCAATACTACTCTAATTTGGGCTTATGTCTGTCCCAGCTTGGTCCATTGGGTCATTCATGTCGTGAGGGCACCTACAAAGTCCCATACGATTGTATGCCACTGATAATCGATAACAGGCGACAAGCGTCTAAAATTGAACTGGCCTGGCATAGCTTCCTGCAGAGCCTATTGTCCTAAACAAGATAATGCTTGATACAATACTGGTGTGGCAGACTCCGCCCACCCTGACTTTGGCGGCAAAGCAAACTGACATTTAGTTAGGGCGATCTTGTGGTTCTACTCCTGGTTCAGCGTGTTACAGATAGTAATGGCTAGGGAGATGTGATTGTCACTTGGTCCAGGTCAGAGTACCTACCTGATGATGAGAGGACGCGGTTCGAATGCAAGCCATGTAGGTGGTTCATTCGAGGACAGACCGTGGTGAGTTCTTACCCACTTCACAGTTGTAGTCTGTTGATTTCATTAACTATCGTGTGAATTTGATAAGGCCGTGATTAAAAGTCAATCCCACAACTGGCAGCAACAGTGGAGGTACTCGATGTATTACAACTCAAGAACAGTTTTGGCAACAGGTATAATGACAGATAGTGTAAGTAATGGAACTTCCCTGCTATCCGTAGTTTAAACGGTTGTTTAATTAGAGCTTCTATCCATCTTTTGTGACGCGGCTCAAGCAGACTGGGCCGACAACGACAGACAAAATATAGAGGGCTATCCCACAACTGTGCTGCCAAAGTAACACCAAGGATATGAAAATTTACATGCATGTTAGATTCGACATCACCAAAAACGGGTGATGTAGCTCGAGGTAGCTCATATGCATGAACTATTGCACAGAGATTCATCAAGACGAGTTGCTTACCTAGACTGCAAAGTAGCGGGTCTCCTTCGATCCGTTCCAGAAATAACCGTTGACAACTTTAAATATAGAGCTAGCTATTATCGGTATCTTCACGAGATATGAGATTGCACTGAACCATCATGTCATCTGCAGTACCGCGTCTGGCAGTAGTCGCCGCTGGGGCCATGGGCGCTGCCGTGGCGAAACGCCTGACTAGCTTCGGCTGCACAGTCTACACCAACCTTGACGGCCGCTCTGAAGACACACGAAAGCGAGCACAAGATGCCGGGATGATTGACCTCTCTGTCGACGAGCTCGTGCTCAAGTCAGACTGGATTCTGAGTATTTTACCGCCAAGAGATGCTGTATCATTTGCCGAAAAGATACAGAAAGTTGCAGCAAAACACGGCAGGGCGTTACCCTCCCCACAGACGTTTGTTGACTGCAATGCTGTCAATCCGGAAACGGTAAAACGTATCGCGGCGCTATTTGCAGGGACGAGCATCAGGTTTGTTGATGCTGGCATTATTGGAGGGCCTCCGAAGGGCGACCAAAATCCTACATTTTATGCGTCAGCGGAAGATGTGAAAATTTTGGATGAATTCACTGCACTGTCGAAGTACGGTTTGAAACTATCTCCTCTTAAGGGAAAAGGCGTGGGGATCGGAGACGCTAGCGCACTGAAGATGTCGTATGCTGTGAGTGGAACAGGCAGGCGAACAAGTTGTACGTTACTAAAAACACGTTTAACAGGGAATATCAAAGGGAACGACAGGATTGTATACCACGATGGTGCTAGGTGATTGTTATCTTCTTGTGAAGAAATCGGGTGATTGACCCAAGGCAGCGGCTCATGCATCGTCGCCTGCAACCGCGGATGCTCTCATGAGAGAACTACAGATGTCGCAGCCAATTTTGTTGGACCGTCTAGTGAAGACTGTACCGCCTATGCTACCGAAAGCGTACAGATGGATTGGAGAGATGGAAGAAATCGCTGACTTTGTTGGTGGGAGCGAGGGGGACGTCTACCGGGGTATAGCGAAGGTATATGAGCGGATTGAAAAGTCGATAGCGGGTGATCAAGAAGATATAGCGACGTTGACGAAATTTGTAGAGAAAGCAAAGGAATCACGCTAGGATGGACTAGGATACTACAGAAGGCCACTCACATGAATAAAATTTGTTAACGGGATGAAGTAAGTGGTTCACGTTGGTTACAGCAACGTAAATGAACTATGCTGCAACTTGTACTTATATTGATGGTCTGATCTGATATACTTTTCCGAATTCGGGAGGATCGATTACGGCCTTGCAAGGCAATTGCAAGGGGTTACTATCTTTAAGCGATAGTCGAAACGTTGACCGTCGTCGGAACCGTCTACCTTCAAATTTTTCTCTTTTGATTTCCTGCTTTTTGATCGTCTCTTCATAGTTTCTTGATTTGATAAACCACCCAGTTTTCGTCGTCGTCGTCGGGCTCCTTACGTCCATCGGGATTATTGTCACCTTGGCGCCTGGGAAATCTCCACCTCATCCACTTTTTGAATCGTCAAGAGACCCATTCCTTGAACATGGCTGTTGCTGTGGACGAGGCAACCGCTGATTTGAAACTGCTTTCTCAGCCATCAGACCCTCAGGCAGTCCCTGGGTCACAGGCACCCCCCTCTGCAGCCGATCCAGACGCAAAGACCAATGGACATACCACGGATACTTCTGGCATACCCCAAGTAAACGTCAATGGCGAGCCCGTGAGCAGTCTTCGCCTGTCAGCAAGTTTTTGCCGTGTAGATGCGGAGGATGCGAGATGGGGCTCCAATTTTTGGGTGACTTTAGTAGATCCGCAGGTATTCATCTTGTCTCGATCGTCCATATGGGTTCATGTTTAGAACGCACTTTACAAGACTAGTACTGTATTCTTCGCGTGCCCTGCGACTGGACAAGTGAGCTGGGATCCACCAGCTGGTACGTTTGTGTGCGTGATGTCACAATTTCAAATATCGAGCTCTATGTTCTTACAGCTTGCATTTGTGCAGTTTGCCTCCGAGTACGGAGGGAGAGTGGTGGGAGCTCAGTGATGACTCCCGAGGTGGAATTCCATACTATTATCAAACAAAGACAGGGGAGACAGTTTGGGAACGTCCAGATGGTTTTGTTATTCCCCTGACTATCATTCAAGTGATACATTCATGTCAACTGATCTCTCTTACAAGAGTAGCTGATGCTCTTTCTACAGCAAACCGCCCTGGGTCGTCGCCTCTCGCAAACTGGCATGCGCAAAACGACTTCGGATTCCCCTTTAGCGCCAGGCCGGTCTCCCTGTATAACTCGGACTCGCTCACAGGCAAGCATAAAAGATGCACATCATACATCACTCCGTTCCAACGAGCCCCCGTTGCCCAGACACTCGTTATCATCTATGCGGAGTTCGCCAGGAAGGATGTCGGCTTCTGGCGCTAGTCCGACCAAGAAGCCTCCTACCGTAAGGCGCTCATTCACCACAGACCAATATAGCCACCCAGGCACCCCTCGTGGATGGACAAATGGACATCATCTACCCCCTATACCCGCTTCTCCATACGCAACGGAACCTTCCACGCCATCCTCACGAAAATCATTGTCAACGCCACCTGCCAAGGTTGCAGCGAACGGAAGTACACGATCGAGTCGCCACAAAGAAAAAGACAAACGTTTAACTTCAGATATCAATGACACCTCACCATCGCGATCGCGGGCCAAATCATCCTCATATGTACCACACCGATCCCCCGTCCCACAAAGTCTCAACGCTGCTGTGGAGATGTTGTCATTTTCTGAGCGACGGGCTGCTTCTGACATTGGTCACGGGCTACCACCGTCATCCCCACCGGCCATGGATAAACCACGGCCAAGCACAAACCATTCTCCCAAAGAGAAGGCGAATGAGAAACGAGAGGTTCCTCAAACTCCAAAGTTGGCTCCGGGCAACAGTTTTTGGATGGCACGTAGTACGTCGACCCCTCCCACTACAGTACTCGGTAAGACTATCAGCCATCCTGTTCTCAACAAAGGTACAACTTTTCACTACCGATACTTTCTTGTCTGACAACCTGCGTCCAGAGGCAACCAAGAACATGAGCGCCGTCAAGAGCCCCACAGGAGGAAAACCAATTCCAATCACCAGGCAACCTAATCACCCTGCTCCTACTACAACTTTAGCATCTGGGTAAGCACGCCATATTTGTAGATTAATAGTGGCTCATACCTCCTCTCAGCACATATCCTGCCCTTCCTCATGACCTCGCATCAGACATTCAACAATTTGTCGAATCAGACTATGCAAGACAATATTTCTCGACACATCGTACAGGCTTCATCTTCAGGCGTAAGGTTCCCGTTGCACAGATGATGACATGGCAAAAGGCTAGTACCATCTCTAGTCCTTGCGGCTAGCTAGCTAACATACATCCAGGCGCCCCTCAGCTCGCCGCTTCTCACATTGAATCGTTCGCTCAAGAACGATGCAGTCCGGATCTTCAAAGTCATCCAACACATCATGGGCGATCGTGAACGTGAGAAATCTGCCGGTATACCCGTTCACAATAGTTCTGTGCACTCCCTTACGGGAGGCACCGTTGGCTTACTAGAGGAAGAGCGATGGTTACTTGGGGAAGGTTTGGCTCATGGCGAGCTAAGGGATGAGATATATTGTCAGTTGATGAAGCAGCTCAACGGGAATCCCAATACGTATGTCATCCGTCTACATCTGATCTCCAGCTGTCTCACAAGCGTTTCAGAGAAAGCGTTTTTAAAGGCTGGCAAATGCTCTGCGTACTCCTCACTGCTTTCCCGCCCTCGAAGAACTTTGAGACCTACCTGCGTTCCTTTATGCAACAGCGAACGGCTCAGCAAGAGGGCAGGGTTGACGTAATAGCCAAGCACTGCCTCCGCCGTCTGGTTGCGATCTCGAAGAAAGGACCACGCGGAAAACCTCCGACGATGGCAGAGATCGAGACGGCATCGGACGCCGCCTTCAATCCGTCCACATTTGGAGAATCACTGGACGCGACGATGCGCCTGCAAGAGCGTAACTACCCACACGAAAAGATTCCCATCATTCTCCCATTCCTCGCAGACGGTATTCTCGCTCTTGGAGGCATGAAAGCGGAAGGCATCTTCCGCGTTCCTGGGGATAGCGACTCCGTGTCAGAACTGAAGTTGCGCATTGATAGGGGCTATTATACGCTTGACAGCGTTGATGATCCGCATGTCCTAGCTTCGTTGCTGAAGCTCTGGTTGCGTGAGTTATGCGACCCACTGGTACCCGAAGAGATGTACAACGACTGCATCACGCATTCTCACGAACCTGAAACGTGCATACAGCTCATTAGACGTCTGCCTACGATAAACAGACGGGTCGTTATTTTTCTAATCAGCTTCTTGCAGTTCTTTTTGGAGGAGAAGGTACAGACGGCGACGAAGATGACGTCGGCGAATCTGGCACTGGTGATGGCGCCAAACTTGCTCAGGTGTAATTCGGAATCTATGACCGTCGTGTTCACAAATGCCCAGTGCGCATTCCGATGATGTCCTTGTCGATCTATATTAATGTCTTTGCAGGTACGAACAAGTGTTCGTCTATAATCTTTTGATGCATCTCAAGTGCGATCAAATTGACGCGGATTATGTTCCCGTCCATGGCCTTGGTGCCAGTCTACCATCACCCCCACAACCTCGCGTTTCTAAATCTCGCAACAGAAAGTGAACCATACCTACCATGCTATCGTATATCCACCATCTTTTTCTATACCCACCATCCAACTTGATATTGCATTCACGTACATACATTTTTTTTGCTCAGTCCTTGCAAGTGTACCTGCTATCATCTATCATCTTCAAACTCTACTGTCATTCATCAGAGTGCACGCTCCTACCTCTCCTTGTTAATTACGACAAAACACGTATAGGTTAATACGCTATTTGAATTCCAACTGGTCTTTGCCTAGTATCTTGGCACTCAGCAAATCATTTAGCCCTGTCCGTTCTGAGTCCAAGTTGTTTCCGACATTTTGGCTTCAACTTGCACTAGCCGAACTCGGACAGTAACTCACTGCCACTTGTATTTCCACCGTCACTTACGTCGATGTTATCGTCGAGTCATATTACTTTGATACCATTCTTGCTGATATGTTTTCATGCCATATAGAGCTAAGCATGGCTGACAGCATCTTCAAATCTTCAAATCTGCCACGATGTCGCGCTTTTTTGTACATAGCACCTTCGAATGATTTTTGATAATGGCGCACTCAGACTTCATACTATATCAATGAATACTGTAGAATTATTGGAGGACGAGCATGAATGAGGGTAATTTCCGATTTGCCATGTTCGACTAAGTAACCTACCTATCTATTGTGTTCAAGGGTGCACGACTACGTTTCATCTCGTTTTAGGAAAGCTATCAATACAATCCCGAACGAGACGCAACCTTGTGGTACAACACACACGTGTACTCAGTACTCAATCTTAGAGCACTTGGCATCCCAACACGTAGTCGCCTCAGGCCAATCAATCCATCCCACATCAACGACCGTGTCTCCTAGCGGCCGTACATCCATTCATTAAGCCGTTTCCTGATACCCTCGCGTCTATTGCGATGCAAGTCAAGCACAGCGCCTGTGCTTATTTTTCGAAGGATGGGTTGATGTTCTTGTGCGTAGATGTTGAGAGCGAGCGACTGCGCTGCCTAATTGGCTTCTTCTTCCAATCCACCGTGACAGCGGGTTGCAGCTGCATATAGACGCAAAGACTAAAAGGGCGTTATGATAAGCATGCATACAGTGAGCGAGACAGGCCTGGGCATTTCGTATCTTTCTGCGGCGAACAACAATGCATCAACCTCGTCACACGATGTAATCGGAAGACCACGGACCATAAGTAGCAGACTCTCTGGTGAGAGTCTTTGTCTAGAATGATGGCCTCTGGATGATTCAGAAGAGGGTTTTGTTGAGGCATGGAAAAGAGGGATCGGCGGGAACTAGCCCGATGTCGTCTTGAGCTTCCACGACTGAATACGGAACAGGGTATGATCATTCACACCGAGTACCACACTCCGTTTCCATCTGCCAGTGCAATCAAGTGAAATGGGATGCGTGGTAGAACTTCACGACAGTACTTCAAGCTTCAATATCAACTGTGAGCGAACGGCTTGACATCGTGGTAATTTGCAATTGAGATTTGTCAGGCTCAGCGCTCATCGCTCGAGGTTGAATGATTAAGTTTTTTTATTTGGAGATTCAAAATCACACACAACGCTGTATCTGACCGCCGTCAGGTGGAGCGTTAGTATTCGGTAGGTCAATGGTTTCATAAGGCCGACATCTTGACATGCACTCGAGAGAGATCCTGTTCAACAAAATGCAAGATTTCAAACACATAGATAAAGGACCATAAGAAGTTCTACAACTCTCAACTCTCCCAAAATACACCACATACAAGCAATCTTATGAAGAGAAAAGCAACTAAGTAAGGCCATTGGTTTGAACGAAGATGCTATGAAACCACAGTAAACGTTGAGGTGCAGACATCACAGAACGGATATCTAGGCACACCAATGTCGCATTCCTTGATCAAGCATGGGTGAGCGTGTAACGTCCACTGGACGCGTCACGCGAGAGGTTCCAGGTTGTGTTCTGAGCAAGCCCAGTGAGGTCCTGCGACCAGATCGCAGGGGTGTCGACCTGACCTCGTAAGATAGAGGTTTCTTCATAGTCCGACGTGATGTAGGCCCGCAGGACTGGAGTGAACTTTGCCGTGACGCGACTGCCATCTCTGCATTTGATACTGTGAACGCTCTGAAGGAGAAATACAGGAAAGATGACATACCCAACATCGCTGAAGTAGAGTACGGGTGTGGGCATAAAATCTCCTTTGTTTACGAAGCCTGGAGGTGGACAATATGCTCAGGTGAAAGAAGAGGAGATGATGATGGTCACAAACCGACTGCTATTTCTTGAATACTCCCAGTGTGGTTCTGGGCCTGCAGGATGCCAGCGGTTCCCGCCTGAGGGGGCTACACGAGGTATTCGTCGGTGGTCGGGACGAAAATCAACGGAAGCCAGACTTACAGAGAAATGATAGACATCGTTGGCTTCTGTCAGGGTTGTTTTCTCGTTGTTCTACATCATGGCTTGCGTTGGTGCTAGCAATTTCAGAGTAGATGAGAGTCGCTTACATTGATGTTGACGGAGGTCGCAGCACTGATGACCTTCCCACTCTCGACCTGGGCTCTGGCGAATGCAAGCCTATACGATATATAAGCGACTTCCAAGACTATTGATCTTGTTGATCATCTTACTGGGCCGTGTAGGTCGCGGTAGCCCTGTATGGACCTGGAAAGAGGGCTCATATGTAAGTCGGGAACTTGGCAGCAAGAGAACAGGAACACCCACCCGACTTCCCGAATTTGCTGACCCTGAAACAATTGCAAGGTTTTAAATAGTCCAAGATACGAGTAGGCGCACTTACTTCCAAACTATCGGGAAGACGTCCTCGTAGAGGCCATCCACGTTGGGACTCCAGGCGAGCATGATCGTGACCTCCTTGCCGAGGTCGTTGCTGCGAAACGTTGGGTGAAAATTTTGTGCAAGGCGAGATCATGGACACTCACGACTGGAAGGTCAAATTCCTAACGAAGGGTCGGGGAGACATTGTTTCGGATTGTTAAAAACACAAAGTGTACTAGTAGTTGAGATTGAGTGTGGATTGAAGAGCTCGAGTTCTGTAGTTACAGTCTCAGCAAGCAGGCTTTTATATGTTTCGGCTCGCATAGGTTGCACCACCTTCCTTGGTTTGCGATTTAGCCAGCGTCTCTTTCATCCCCCGGTACCTGACGCTGGAGACCCTCATTATTCAACAAGGAGATAGCACATGATGGCCCTCGACTTGTCAGACAGCCGGCTTCTGCACGAACCGATTTCCCTGTGTGTTAAAGTTACGCGCCGAGCAACGGTTGGCTGTCCTTCATACCTGAGTCCGTTTGTGCTCCTTTCATAACGTCACAGGTGGATTAGTACCGAGTACCAAATACTGGGATTTGATCTGCCTGTTAAGGTAGATGACCATGTAATCAAAATAGTCGACCTATATTTGTGGGGAAGCCATGGCATATTTCGTACACGCGACAGCAATATCTTTTTGCTATAGTAGTGACTGGCGCCGTCGACCCGCATTCAGTCTGGGCGAATCAACTGTCAAAGTCAAATGTCAGTCAAACGAGCTGCGAGACGCTGAATCCGCCAGTGCTTAAAGGCTTTAACCGGCGTGTAAACCTGACTTCGCCGAGTTGCAGTGTCGTTCAGAACGTTCAAGGCGCTTCGCCCGTAGTTCTAAAGTAACGTCGCATCAGCGGACAAAAATAATTCACCTTCATCGCCAAAAGCGTTGAAATAAATACTTGAGCGCGTTACGGACACTTGTAAGTTGTGGATGTATGTACATTTATACATCGGGGTTTGCAATATTTAAGACATATTTGTGCGAAATGTTAAGATAATATTTAATATTTAGGTTGTTATCTAAGCAGATTTAAAATTTCAAATGTTAAGTCATCAGGAAATCATCTAGTCCCTTCTATGTTTCAATGCTCGTGAGGGACTCAAACCAAACAAGTCCAATATTTTATTCAACCGCGAGACAACAGTCAGGAAGGACTCAGAAACTAGATATGGTATCGTTGAACTATCAATGTTTTGGGGAAAGGAACCTCTTTTAGGTTCATTCAACAGAAGACTAACTCCAGGACCCTAATGAGAGGGAAAAGGGCAAGAATGAGCGATGTTTCCCCAGAAAGGTAGGAGCTTGACGACGCAAATAGTGCAAGCTTGCCCCAAGTGATAGGAGGGAAGCAAAGACTTACAACAAAATTTTTAATGCACAGGAGGCAATGCATAACGTGTGAAAGGTTTGAGTATCGGCGTGTCTTGAAGGTATGGTGCCATGATGACAGTGTGTTGTCTTAAATACCTTAAGAAAGCATCACCACCCCATCTACCCATAGACTTCACTGTTTCGAAGGGAACTCCCTGCAACAAGTACTCCAGTGTGCCTCCAATGCGGATACCATGGCCTTTCAAAGGCTCGATCTGAAGAGAGCGTGAGGCGCAGTCCAGACCATGCAGAAACTCAGAGTGAGTGAGTGGATGAAGACCAGTGCGATGCTTCCAGCTAAAAAGAGGAGCTGATGCGGGTGTGGAGTTTACTGCAAGATGATTCGACAATGCATAAGCCAGGTCTGCATCACCAGATTGTGGTGTGAAGTACAGGTCTTCCCCAGTTGGGGACATCTTGGTGCAAGGTAAGTGTAAGATGGTGACACGTAAACCGTGACGGTCCTCTCCATAATGAATGTCTGAGCGTTTGACGTGCAAGGAGGGATCAAAGGCAGACAAAGAGCGGAGAGTTACCTCTCCCACGCGTGCAAGAGAGAAAAAGGATACAGTGAGGCATCCAAAGATTGCGGTGTCGAGAGGAGCTGACATATCTAGTACTGAGCATATAGCAAGCAAAGTACTGATGGTGAAGGGGTGACACTTTACACGTTTTGATATAGCTGGTGCTAAACGCGCAGCACCTGCTAATGCCGAGGAGATTTGCGCTGAGTCTGGTAACCAGTCGAGTCCGTGTAACAGGTGCCAGGCTCAGACACCATAAAAGTAATTCTCTAGGGTTTTTCCGGAGTACAATCCAGTGCAGCTAGCAATGAAGCTCAGCAGTAAAATGGAGGAGGCAGGGCCACATTGGTCTTCGGGAATAAGCTGGGCATCGCAAAACACATGAAATACTAGTAATCCAGCACCGTAGGTCTCACGAGTGCCGGAGGCAAGCGAGTGCCCAATAACTGTGAGGATGCGATTAAGATCAACATCTGTCAAAGGAATATACGTCCCACTATGACCAAGAGGTTTACGGCGAGTTGAAGGCAGCCAGAGGCGAAGACGGTCTTGAGCTAAACAGTGAGGATGAAGGTTTGAAGGTAAAGGATTGAGGGAAACTGCGTAAGGTCTGGGACTGGCGGTGGGCAGTGACTCTGGCGCTAATGTGGCCATATTTACAAAGTGTGACTCGTTAATCACTCCAACTCTCTCGGAACTGTAAGAGTTCCTCTCCATAATCCCAGTGCTCTGGCCTGTCAGCCACTGAGAAAGTACTTGAGTGCTGTTGAGAGTGGGAACAGGAGGAGGAAGACAGGGTGTCGAATTCATCGTGCATGAAGTCTTGAAGGGCGGAGGGGAGAATAATGGGGGGAAGAAGCATGGTGGTGGGAGGGAATACTCCATGTGAGGGACCATCTGCTGGGTTGGACGCACTGGGGACATAAGAGAGGTGGAAGGAGGTGTGAGGACTAAGAGGTTCGAGCATAGAGAGAATGCATTGAAAGACGCAGTTGGTTGCCCAGTTTTGGCTCCTTCCATTCTTCCAGCCCTCAACGACTCCGAGGTTGTCGCAGTGTAAGTGGAAATGTCCACCAGCCGAGGGAATGCCAAGGCGAATGATGCAGAGTATGAGTAGTTCGAAACCAACTGCTTTGGCCCAGCCGATGTCTTTGGCTCCGTTGAGAGATTGCCAATCTCGGCGCAAGCTCCAAGTGCGCCAAAACCCCTTGATAACAACTCCAATTCTGACACCGGAGCTTGCATCAGAGAATGCATGGATGTCGATGATTGAGAATGGCTGAGGGATGATCCAGTGGAGGGAAGGGCAGGACAATTGCTCTGTCCACCATGCAAGGTCCTCGTTGAGATGCCGGACGGAGTGATATGGCACGAATGGACGTGAACTGGCAATGCTGAGCATGGATTCCAAGGATGTGAGATAGGCACGGCCCCGGGGAAGAACGAGGCAGGCATGTAACAGTTTGCCATAGAGCTGCTGCGTTTCGAGAAGGACATGAGTGGGACGTTTGAGCCACCAAGCGATGGCCGCCAAGTACTTTTCTCTTTTGGCATCAGCCAATGCAATGATGAGACATGTGAGGTTCCACAGAAGTCCAATGAATAAAACGGTATAAGCGAACTGAGTATCCTTCATAATCTCCCAAGGAATGCCCAAATTGATGGAAGACTCGTCAATATCAGCGAAAGAACTACTGAAAGGTTGGTCTTCAGGAGTGCGATTAGAAACTGTGGAGAAGTCTCGTAGCGGGAAACAATGATCCTCACTGAATACTTTGCATGTTCCATCCTCAAAGGTATCACCCTCAAACCAAATTCGACCCCCCATTTGACGCATGCCGCCAGTAGACAGGTGCTGGCATACAGAATCGCGATAGCTGTTATAAGCGTGAAGATGTTCACACCTAATCCTGAAGAATAAGTGGTCATTGACCCACTTCATGAGAGGACCGAGTCCCAATGCGCGAAATAAGTCTGCACCAGCATCAGCAACGTAACCATAGGCTCCTGCTGAGGGCCCCATACCAAACGAAGTACAGGTGTCCACATAAAACGAGTCAAGGTCGGACCGCACAACAGTAGCCGGCCATTGGGCAGACAGAAGAGGGATAGTTCTGTAAGCTTCTGCAACATCTCTGGTTGCAGCCTGTGAACCAGGGGGAAGGTGGCGTATAATGGAACAGACCGTGTCAAAAGTGCCCCAGGTGCAAGGGAAGTTGTCGGATATAACCATGGAGTTGATCGAGGGCTGCGGAGCATGTGGAGAGGGAGAATGCAGAAAAGAGAAGTTTTGAATGACCCGAAATCTACCGGGTTTACCAGACTTAGGAATGATCGAGACTGGTGACATTTGAAAGGGTCCCACCAGAGACTGTAAGTCAGAACATGTGAACGGGCCAATGTACCAACCAGCAAGAAGTTCTCGATCGATGATGTCATCAAGTGCCTTGCTATGTTCCATGAGAGAGGGACTGTTGAGGGGAATTTGAGAAATGAGAATGTGAGGGAGATCCAGGTCAAAACCAAAGCGAAAGCCATTTGTAATCTTGTGGTAACGCTCCCGAAGACCACGTTCCTCAAGCAAAGCTTCCCAAGCCAACACATTATAAGGACACACTGGATGAGAGCGTCTGTGCTCGAGGGCAGTTTTGAGCTCCATGGGAGAGCGAGAGACACCCGGAGCATAGGTGTCGTTCATCATGCAAGCGAGATGGGCAACTTCGACCTCGTTGCCAATCGACACAAAGTGGCTTGTCGCTGCTTCAGACGAGCAACTGGCGAAGGACCCATTTGCTGATGGTAGAATAGGAATTGTCCCACAGGCGGTCTGCGGGACATTCAGCGAAAGGATGATTGTTGTGCCCGAGACAAATGGCACACACAGCGGGAGAGCGTTGGCCGTGTGCGCCGTTGGAAAAACCCGCAGATGAACGTGGTGTTTTGTCCTGCCTAGCGCTTTTGTTACGCGAGGAGGGGGAAGGAGAGCGCTCACGCTCAGCCACTGATGAGCACTGATCGACAGAAGGTATGGAAGTGCGAGGTCTCTTTTTGGAGGTGCGATAGTCCTCTCCCGATGACCTGGGGTTCAGACTGTGCAACCTCTAGAGACCGAACATAATCGCAAACGCAAAACGCAGATCACATACCGCAAAACGAAAATGCAACACAATGCAAGTAACCAAATATAAGTCATAGATAGTATCATGACAACAAGTGCGGATAACAAGTGGAAATGAAGAAAACAACGTTAATATCAATTTGAAATTTTAAAATGAAGGAACGAACCTTGAACTCGAAGTCTAAGTCAGCACGCTCTCGTTCAGCATGATAGAGATGATCGAAGGTCCATGACAATTCAACTTCGTCAATCAGAGCAATGTTCCATGCTCCAGCAGGCAATGGAATAGCTTGATGCCATGCCCAACGTTGTTCCTCCTGATAGGCAAGGAGAGCATGCCGCTCAAGAGCATTGTCAGACGTCCAATAGGTGTGTGACATGAGTGCACCGAAGAAGTTAGCCAACATAAGAACGCGTGAGCTGTCCCAGCCGCATTGTTGTAAAGAGGCAATGAAGCGAGGGATGGCATGAGAGAAGTCGAGCAGAGCGAGGAGATGATCAGCGATCACACCAGAGGCAGGACGCGCAGCGTTGGCAGCAATCCAGGTGGTGGAGCCATCTGTGGCAGTTGTCAGTACTAAACTATTGTCATCAGTAGTGTGGAAATTCAGCCGCGCATCTGCAAGCCCTTTGTTGGTCCAGTAGTAAAGCTCAATGAATTGTACTTTGTCCAATTTACGTAGAGTGAAGTCAGACACAAGTATAGCTTCGGAAGCCCGTGTGGGACAAGGGCGGTCAGGGATGGGAATATGGTGTAGATGGTTTTTCTTCTTGTCCTCTTCAGCAAGCAGGTCGGCTTGAAGCTTTTCAGCGGCCGCACGCTGGGTGGATGCTTCATTGATGATATGTTGCTCCTCCACAGCCGCTAGAGCATCAGCTGCAAGTTGCCCCTGCCAGCGGATCCTTAAAGTTGAATTAGTGGCGGTCCAGATGGTGGTCAAGATGGCCGCAGCTTGCTCGTCGGTGGTCGAAGGACCGAGCAAAGGCATGCGACTGCTCTGAAGATCAGCGGAGGTGAAATCCAGACACTGTTCAAGATGCAGATCAGCTGAAAGTCGAGTCATAGTAAGATGTAAAAGAAAATTTCAAAAGAGCAGATCAATGTTCAAAGGTAATGACTCTAGGAGATGATCGATGTGCTTATACACATGCCAGGCTGTTGGTAGCGAGAAAGAGGAGAACGAAGCTGTCCTTACTCGCCTCATACATAGACTTTGTTCTATGTGCGTGTTCATTCCTCACTCTTACATAAAACCTGATATTTGCTCCTTATTTGCCTTAATTTGCACAATAAGGTGAATTCAAGGCCGTTTTTCGTACTTAAAATAAGGAGAAAAAGGAGATCCATTTCCTTAAACTAAGGAAATAAGGAGCTGCTGACTTAAAATCAGGCAGATAAGGGAGTCAAGCATACTATTATTTCAGTAGACACAGAATGATTAAGGCAAAAAAAGGAGGTCAATGAGTTCAAGGTGTTCTATGAAAATGATGAAAAAATATTAAAAATGGTGTATGACAGCAATTCACGGAAGCATGAGCAGGGATTGAAGCGAAACAATTCGAGGCTGGGAGACGAGCGCACATATAGAAAAGCCAAGCAAGTTCTGTCAAAAATTATTGCGTTAGAGCAAGAATAATCAGAATAAAGAAACAAATACTTTAAATATGGATACATGAACGTGGATTCACGGAGGCCTGACTTTTGAGCAACAACTCAGATCAGCATGGCTCGAGCTTGAATGAGGATCAACACTCACTCCCTATGGATGGTAGGAAACAACTTGGATCAGTATGGCTCGAGCTCAAATGAGGATTGAGACACTCACAAACTGTGAATGGTGGGCAATGACTTGGATCAGCATGGCTCTTGCTCTAATGAAGATTGACACACTCACTTCCTGCAAATGATGAGCAACAACTTGGATCAGCATGGCTCTTGCTCTAATGAGGATCAACACACTCACTAACTGTGAATGATGAGCAATGACTTGGATCAGCATGGCTCTTGCTCTAATGAGGATCAATGCACTTACTTCCTGTGAACAGTGGGCAACAACTTGGATCAGCATGGCTTAAGCTCTAATGAGGATCAACAGACTCACTCCCTGCAAACGGTGGGCAATGACTTGGATCAGCACAGCTCGAGCTTGAACGGGGATCAACAGACTCATGAACTGTGAATGGTGGGTGACAACATGGATCAGCATGGCTCAAGCTCCAACAAGGATCGACAGACTTATGAACTGCGAATGGCGATGACATGGATCAGCATGGCTTGAGCTCCAACGAGGATCAATGCACTCACTCACTGCAAATGGCAGGCAACGACTTGGATCAGCATGGCTCAAGCTCCAACAAGGATCAATGTACTCATTTACTGCGAACAGCGAGCGATGACTTGGATCAGTGTGGCTTGAGCTTGAAGAAGGACCCATACATTCACTTTGTCTGTAGGCAACTTTCAGGTGAAGATAATGGTAATGAAGAAACATAGGAAAGTGTGTGATGATATGCAGTTTCCCTGTATGAGTCAAATGTCAACCACAACCGTCAAATGGAATCATATGTATGGCTGGCCACCACTGCTCGAAAATACAGAGTCTCAAGCTCTCCATTGTTGGCAGCATAATGTGGTGGAAATAGGTAGGTGGAGGGCTGAATTATGAGGAATAGCATTGAACAAATTTGATGTACTGTTTAAGAACTGAACGCACAGCCTGCATAAATGTGCTCAAAATATAGTACTCACATGCGGTACTTCACTGGTGGATGCTCAGAAAGTGATAAAGTAAGAACACTTAGGAGTGAGGACACAGGATGTTCAATTTCTGGTAAGTTGGTCAGCCATGCCATAGTGTTAGAAGGTGCTGGTGAGACTCGGAGAAGAGAGTAATGTAACCATCACACAAACAAATATACACAAATGTTGGACTTAGATGTTTCAAATGATTCCAAATTTGCCTTTATATGTCCGGTGCTGGTCCTTCAGGAACTTCAAAAGCTGGCACCAATGGCCTTGATGCACTCACACTACTAGCAGCTGATATTGTAGAAAAGGATGACCATGGTCCAAAGTAGTTTTAAAATACTGTCTTTATTTGAGTTTGAGTAGTGATGAAATCTATTGGTTTTGCACCACAAGATGATAGTGAGCAACATGATCATGGTGACGGACCTCACCAAATAGAACATTGCCCAGATCAAGCCATAGCTGCTCATCCTCCGATGCTTTCCAGATAGGCATGTATACACTACAAATCTGATTAATGCCAACACAAATAGATCTCACATTGCTTAGTCTGACACATAACTCCAGAAGCCTCTGTCGTTGTGCTTGATCACTGACATCCAATGGGACACAAAGTCTGCCAAAAGAACCCTCCATCATTCGTATACCCCACTCCAGTGTCTGACGATAGGATAGCAGTTGCTGGTTGAATGCAAGGAGCTCTGCCTGTGCATGTGAATCACCTCAAAGGATGGCACCACTTTTCAGTGGTGCTTGAATCTTGCCTGAGATAGTTGCAGTCCCATGTGGAAATGCTAAGTCAGCAATGAGATAATATCCATCAGGAGTTTTTTGACAAAGTTGAGTGTATATGGGGCGAGAAGTGTGTGAGTCATGCCAACTTCCAGGAGCATTCAGTACAGCAGATATGATGACACCTAAATATTATGGGCACAAGGCAAAAATGCAAAGATCATATTCAGATTCACCTCATGGAGAAAAAACAAGTATATTAGAAATAAAATGTGAACTCTTTCATCCGTTGTAAGTGGCATTATTGACTTCAGGATCATCAGCCTCTTGACATGGAAGACTAAGCCCATCAATGCTGGCAAAGCCCCCCACAAGTTTTGGATGACAAGCATGAATCAACAAATTGTCCTCAATGATTTCATTATGGTCAGGAAAGTGAATTGCATTTTCAGGCATGTTACAGAGAGTCTGAAGGAGGATATCAAGTGCAAAATCAAGGTGCCAGTTGACAGTTGTGGGTATGAGTGCAAAAAATTGTTGCAGTGAGATTTCTTGCATTGCTGAGCTGAGGAAGTGCAGTGTGAGCCCCAGTGCACCTGCAGCATCAAGGGAACTGGCTTCAATACGAGGCTGACCCTGGCTGGATACATTAGCACGGGGAATTGGGGTGGAGTTCCACTTATCAGTGAAACCACTATTGAGAAGTTGATAGAATGTGGTAACATCAAATCCCATTGTAGTAATGTAAGCATGGTCATTGTAACTTTCATACAGCTGTGTCCATGGTGTCATGACACGAGGGTTGGGGAGTAGCTGAGGATGGCACAGATGTCAGATACAGCTGCAATGGATTGTGGACACAAGTTTTCATAAGACGAGCCTCTTCTGCTCCAAGAATGAGAACACCAACAGCAGCAGCTTATAGTTCCAGCATCTCATCATTAGCAAATGCCTGCTGCATTAGAGTTTTGATATCCATAGCAGGGCTCAGATTAAGGGGAAATGGCTGTATATTTGTGATTCTATGTCTTACAGTTTACAGATTTTGTCTGTAAATTAGCCGCTGTCAAGTTTGCAAATGTTTGACAGATGTCTTTTTTCTGTAAATTCTTATGGGAAGTCACCCATTGTTCAGTGTGATACCTGTAAGGGAGTGAATGAGTGTGCATATGCCTATGGTGCAGTTCACTTAGTCACCGCCTACTTTGTGCAAACTTCCCACCACCTCCAAAAAAAGTCGGATTTTATTTTCCTCTTGCAAAAACACTCCTTTTGATGAGTAGAACACAACTGTAAGACAAATTTTTATTTGGATCAAATCTGAGAGAGATAAATTTTCAAGTAGTGGGTAAATTGGTGGTATGTAGCAGTAAGGTAACATAATCAGTCGAAAAGACACGCTACTGTCTCTGGAATGCGTCTGTGATTTATACTTCGTGGAGCTGAACTGTCGGACCTGTAATTGAGCCTCCTTCGTCGGTAAGCCCGATCTGTAAGCCTCTATACACCTGTGCATACAATGTTCCCACAGCTGAACAGTGTTCACCTGACAGATTCAAGTGCTTTTGGCATGTTTGTCTTCAACGTCTCGAATGAGCCGTCACAGTTATCACGGAGGTATTTTTTGACTCTTCCCCAGAAAAACTCAATGAAATTGTTCACAGTGGAACTTCGGCAAAAAAATGCACGTGTGCCCGGCAGCCTCGATAATCTCTTGAATGAGAGGCCTCTGTTCCTGGAAATCAGGTTGATATTGGAGAATGCGCTGGTTGCAGCATTCTGTTGCACCTGTCTTGCACTTGGAGGAGCACTTTCCATGCAAGTTTGATTTCCAGAGTCCGCGTTCACTGAGAATTCCTTTGATACCTTTAGGTTGATTTGGATATTGTGGGTGGCTAGCTGCGAACACCATCTCTTGTTCAATACGGACTCTGTCGCAAACAAACCATCTGTTCCACATTCGTGCCTATTTGCCGCCAGGATTAACATTCATGCGACTGTCAACCCGCAGTGCATCTTCAGCATATGCAGAATGCCCCTGGGAATTGTCAATGATGAATAAAGCCTGATAGCCTGCTCCGTGAGCTGCTTCGAATGCCGGAATAATTTTCTCAGCCATCTGGACCATGTTCGGTGAGAAATTAATGCCTGCAAAAATCTTGGTATGAACCTGAGTGCAAAACCGCTCACCATTCCAATACCCTTCATAATTCTTCCCATATTCCATAGATTTGCCTGCCTGTGAAAGATGTCCACATGTTGAACAAATCACATCACTGCGATGAATGCCTCAACCGACTCCTTTCTTCCATAACTTGAACTCGTTGTCAAAAACCCATTCTTTGTCATTCATGTCATTGGATTGTGCCGTCATCTCGTCATGAGGGGTGGGAATGAGGTGACATTCGACGTAATTGTGTGGTTGAACAAAAAGCTCTTTCTCCACATCGCCAATGGTATATCGGACGAGATGGTGCTCAAATTCCTTCATTGCAGGCAGAAACACATTCTGGTGATATTCCACAACATTGGGCTGGTCATGGCCATCAAAATACAATCCCTTCTTGTGTGACATGTACCGAAACCCTTCATGGTGAAGCCAATGACATGCCGTGCTAAGCGAGATGCCACGACCAACTTTGAGATGAATACGAGGAAAAAGCTCCAACTCAATATATCTTTTGAGGGCATTTGGCATCTCATCATTGACGACATTCTTCAGGTAGAGATCTGCTTCTTTTGTGATCATCTCGTTGTTTGTAAATTTTGCAAGCTTTTCGGGATTCATTGACTATTTATTTGAGCGAAGATACGCGCGGAGCTCAGTGGCTATGGATGGGATGGCAAGAAGTGTGGCGACTTTCGTATGGTGCCCTTGCATGGATTCAGGGAGTTTTCGATCATTGATCCACTGGCATGTCCAGCTACGAAGCTGCCGTCCACCCCATGCAGCAGCAAAACCATTTGCTTCTGCTGCACGTTCAGCTGCATCAGCAGAGACACGCCCGTTCCGGACAACAAGATCAAGGTGTGCACGAATTGCACGTGTACGACGGGCCTGAGAACCATTGACTCCACCGACAAATTTTGTCTTCACAGATTTCAGCAGCTTGTCAACATCTCGAAGTCCACTCTTCAACTTATCCATCTGGGCTGACCTGTCTTTTTCATGCTGGACACGATGGGGTACCTCGAGCTTCCATCGTTTGAGTGGTGGCACTGCAGGCAACTTGCCACTGCTCTGACTCATTCCTGCTGTGGGAGAACATACTGATATGCCACCATCTTTGTAAAGTTCATCGTCACTGCTCCAACCATCATCATCCAAGTCCGACAGATACATGAAAGCATCATGCTTTGTTGGTTGAGTCAACACTCGCAGCACGGGAGCCTCTGACTCAGATAAAGGAGTGTCGGATGGCCACTGAGTCGACAATGGCTTTGGTGCAAACATTCGAAGCATCATTTTGACCTGCGGATTGTCTCTGACATGATTTTTTAAGTAAGAGTCCTCGCTCATTCAGTTTGTGAGCTGACATACGATTTCTTGCTCTTTTGCTGCAGCCTGAGCTCGCTGACCTCTCTGCTCATGTGTCCGTTGTGACTGGCCATTGTACCCAAGTCCTCAATTTTTCTCAGCCTTTTTCCATGCTATACTCGAGACTCCTGTTGCAATTTTCTCAAATGCAGTGGGTTGGGTAAGCAGGTCTGCTTCAATGGCACTTTCAGCTTCCAGAATGCACATTTTCTGCTCCAACTCATCACCCAAGAGCTCCAAGAGAGTATCATCACTCAACTTGGTCTCCCAGTCCAAATCTCCAGGTTCATAATCACTGTCGGAGCTGTCAACATTGACCCCACCTGTATACTCACATTCTGAGTATGAATCAGATTCAATGACAATGTAATTATGTGGGTCCGTGTCTTCGCATTGCTGGATCGGAGGCTCTGAATCAGCAGCAGCCTCGAGACTTGGAGAGGGCACAGTGAGATTCCATCTTGCAATTCTGGCTTGAGCAGCAGCAGAATTTTGGTGTTTTTTGCCCATAGATGATGGTTCATGCTGTGCGTAACATTTGGTAGATATTTTGATACATTTTCACTCTGCAATTGCTCGACCATTGCAGACTATGAACTAATATCAAAGAATGATTGAGCTGGAAGTCACTGTTCCCTATATAGATATGCTAAGGTTAGGGTTGGGATTTCATGTCGACGAAATTGGCAGTTGCACAAAGTAGGCGGTGACTAAGTGAACCACACCATAGATTTATTAATGTTAGACTGACTCAGTGTTCCTCAAAAAAAGTCACTTATGTTTGAAGATGTGTTTAATATCAATATCATTAATGATGTGTTGAGATCATGAGTGTCATGTGTTTGACTTTTTTCTTCATGTCTGACTCATTTAGTTGGTAACTTCCTTTGACACACATTTTCCATTGAATGGAGTATCTAGGCATATTTTACAGTACTAAAAACACCCCCTTCCAGAATCAACCTAAACTTTTTGTGCAAATTTGAGGTCTCTGTTGAGAACCTCAAAAGTGGTCCCCAAGAAACTTCGGGTGGCTGTGAATTAAGGTTTTGTGCTTACTTAACGTCAAGCAGCATATTCGGGATTTTGCGAACGCACGGCACATGATGGTTACCAAACAAGCTCTTAGTAATCAGGTAACATTGTTACCTGATATTTTGAGGGACACTCGAAACTTTATATTTATTTGTCATCTGAAATAAATACATGGACGTTGCTTTGTCATCCAGCTGACCACCGAAATGTGTTCTTGTTCGAGTGTCAAAATTCAAAGTCCAACCATCCAATTACATCTTGATTTCAATCTCCCTTGAGGCAAAACTTTGATCGCAGTGCGCACTGCCAATGTGTAGATACTTCTTGTTTCGACGTGCTCTTATCACCGCGGCTGATTCTGTTTGCAACAGTTTATTGAATGTGTAGGTTCACGTTCAATGCTTGATGCTTACGAGCCAGATTGGTTCTGCGGCGACATGTGTAGTAGTGGCACCATCTCTCACAAGAACATGAAATTGCTGTTCTTTTTTAATCCAACACTCATCTACACTCATCTGTACCATGCCTAGGATGTTCAGCAATACGTGTTCGCCCCTCGTCTGTTGCTGGTACCACAGAACTGCCAAATTTGGCTTACCTCTAGGGTGGAAAATGCACAAGAGAGGGCGAAGGGCTTAGAGGGTCTTAACAGTATAAGGTGGCCTTATTTACATTTTTTCCCAAGCAGTTACCTCTTGACGCAGCCCATCAATGAACCGGTAATCAGCGTCCCAAGTTTATACGGTTGAAGCAGGTTGGGCATTTTGCAGCTCGTTTGACTGAACTTTCACTTTGACAGTTGAGTTAACCCATACTCAACCCGGGCCGGCTAGGCCAGGACTATAGCAAAAAGATATCGCAGTCGCGCGCCGCGAAATGCGCCCTGGCCCATGGACTCCCTGTGACTCAACTCTCTACAAGTATAGGCTAACTATTTCGATACCGATGTCTACCTTGGCAGGTAGATCAAATCCCACTCGGTACTAATCTCTGTCCACCTGTGATGTGATGAAAAGAGCACAAAAGGAAGGTATGAAGGACAGCCAACAGCGGATACGAACTTCCCAGCGCGCAACTTAAACGCTCAGGGAAATCGGTTCGTGCAGAAGCCGGCAGTCTGACAAGTCAATGGCCATCATGTGCCAGTGTCTTGTCGAATAATTAGAGTCCCAGCGTCAGGTACCGAGGCACGAAGCAAACGCTGGCTCAATCGCATACCAAGGAAAGAAGTACAGCCTACTTTGCCCTACTATGCAACCCGCAATATATAAAATCTTCCTTGCTGAGACTCTAACTGTAGAATTCAAACTCTTCAATCCACACTCAATCACATTGTGTGTTAAACGATCTGAAACGATGTCACCCCGGCCCTTCGTCAAGAATTTGACCTTCCAGTCGTGAGTGTCTGTGATCTCGTTCTGCATAAATTTTCATCCGACTTGCTGTCGTTTCGCAGTAACGACCTCGGCCAGGCCCAGAACCACACTGGGTCCGTTGAAGATATTGCAGTTGGTTTGTTACGATCGCCATCTTCTCTTCTTTCACCTTAGTGTATTTTCCACCCCCAGACTTTGTAAACAAAGGAGACATTATGTCCACGCCCGTATTCTACCTCAGCGATATTGGGTATGTCGTCTTTCATGAATTTCTCCTTCAGACCGTTCACAATAGAATGCAGAGATAGCAGTCGCGTCACGGCAAAGTTCACTCCGGTCCTGCGCGTCTACATCACGTCCGACTACGAAGAGACCGATATTGTACAAGACCAAGTCGACACTCCTGCGATGTGGACGCAGGACCTCACTACGCTTGCCCAGAGCACGACTTTGAACCTCGCGCGCGACCCGAACACTGGACGTTACTCGATCGATCATGCTTGATTAAGGAATGCGACATCGATGCGCCTAGATATTTGTTCTGTAGGATCTGCATCAGTGTTTTCTCTTTTTTCATAGCATTTTTGTCCAAACCAATGGCTCCAATTGGTTCCTTATCTTTTTATGAGATTGCTTGTATGTCATGTATTTCGTCTATGTGTTTGAACTCTTACTGCCAAGTTGCCAACTTACATATGACTCCTCTTTCCAGGTCTATGCAAGGCTACCGTGACCTGCACAGCCCAGTAAGATCATCGACGAGAACAATAGTATTGAAAGTCACTTATTCAGTGTATAGACTTGCTTTTCCAGAGCTCGGGCCGTGAATGGGAACACCATCAGCGCTGAAACCTCCGTGAACATCATCAACGTGAGTGACTCTAAAATTGCTAGAATCGACGCAGACCATGATGCAGAGCGGCGAGAAAACCCTGACAGAAGCCAATGATGTCTATCGTTTCTCTGTAAGTCTGGCTTCCGCTTATTTCATCTCGACCACCGACGAATATCTCGTTTGATTTTAAACAGATAAATAAAGCCCCATAAAAAAACGGAACTCTTGCAAAACACATGACACACGAAAAAGACAGGCAACTAAGTAAGGCCATTGGTTTGAACGAAGATACTATGAAAGGAGAGTAAACATTGGGATGAAGACCTTACGCAACAGATATTTAGACACACGAATGTCGCATTCCTTAATCAAGCATAGTCGATCGTGTAACGTCCAGTGACCGCGCCGCGTGCGAGATCTGAGATCGCGAGTAGTGTTCTGGGCAAGCGCAGCGAGGTCCTGCGACCGGTTCGCAGGGTGTCCACTTGACCTCGTAAGATTGCGGTCTCTTCATAGTCCGACTTGATGTAGGGACGCAGGACCGGAGTGAACTTTGCCGTGAAGCGACTATCATCTCTGCAATTTGTCAAGGGGACGTAGAGGAAAGATGACATACCCAACATTGCTGAAATAGAGTGTAGGGCCCGGTACAATGGGCATCAACCAGCGTCTTTGTTGAGCTGTCAAAAACTCACCAAGGATCAAACATAACCGGATTCCGAGGCGGTATTTGATCCCAGGAACATAGCTATTCAACGTTTCAACTCTCTCGCATCTGCACATTAAATCGCACCATCCATCAGTGAAACGGTGAACAAATGATGAGAGTATTTAAAGCAATATATTATTGTATTAGATACCTAGGAACAATCTTCGTAAATCTGCTGACCGCTTATATTTGGTATTGTCGAAGAAAGACATTTACAAGTACGGTAGCCCCAATACATAGCACTATTGTCTTCGCGAACTTTTGCACTTGGACGTATCAAGAACCCGACAAGAGAAAAAAAAGCACATGTTGAAGCGTGCCAGTCAATGGACCGGTGAATTCTTGCTGGCAATTATGCTGCATTTACATGGTATCCTCATCGTCGGTTGGAGGTCCATAGTACAGCCTCAGAGAGCAGAACTTTGTACCCAGACGTCAAATTGATTTGTAATCCGGCTAGATTCGTCAGCCGTCCCGATTGCGCTCGTACTCAGACATCAATCATTGGTCAAACATCTAATGTCGACAGGCACAGGGCTGCCTTTGTAGTGCATCTAGATGCAAATATCGATACAAACCTTATGGTATACGCCATGTAAACGTCAATGGCGATGAGCAGCCCTTACCTGTCAGCAAGTTTTTGCCGTGTAGATGCGGTCCGCGGAGGATGCGAGATGGGGCTTCAATTTTTGGGTGACCCGCAGGTATTCATCTTTTCTCGATTATCAATGGTTTCATGCTTAGAACGCACTTATACAAAACTAGCATTGTATTCTTCACACGCCCTGCGACTGAACAAGTGACTCGAAGCTGGGATCCACCAGCTGGTACGTTTGTGTGTGTGATCTCTCAATTTCAAATATTGAGCTCTATGTTCTCAAGGCTTGTGTTTGTGCAGTTTTCCTCCGTACGGAGGGAGACAGGGGAGACGTTAATATTGACAGGGACTATTATACGCTTGACAGCGTAGATGATTCCGAGTCGCATGTTCTAGCTTCGTTACTCAAGCTCTGGTTGCGTGAGCTATGGGACGCATTGATCCCTGAAGAGATGTACAACGACAATATTGCGCATTCTCGCGAACCTACGGTGAATCTGGCGCTGGTGATGGCACCGAACTTACTGAGGTGCAATCCAGAATCTATGACCGTCGTGTTTACACTGGCAAATGTTCAGTGCGCGTTCCGATAATGTTCTTGTCGATCCATGTTGATGTCTTTGCAGGTACGCGAAGTGTTCGCCTATAATCTTCTGATGGATAAGTGCAATCAAATTGACGCGGATTGTGTTCCAATCCATGGCCTTGGTGCCAGTCTGCCATGGCCCCCACAACCTCGCGTTTGTAAATCTCGCAACAGAAAGTGAAACATGCCTAACATGTTACCGTATATCCACTATCTTTTTCTGTGCTCTATGTGCACCATCACCCACCAGCTTGAAATTGCATTCACGTGCATAGAGATCTTTTTCAGTCCTTGCAAGTGTACTTCCCATCATTCATCAGAGTAGCACACACCCCCACCTCTCCTTGTGAATTACGACAAAAATGTGTAGGTTAATAGGCTATTTGAATTCCAGCTGGTCTTCGCCCAGCATCTTGGCATCCAGCAAATCATCCAGCCCGGTGACAGCTGTCCGTGATGAGTCTTGTTTCCAACGTTTTGGCTGCGACTTGGCAGAACTCCACTGGCCGAACTCATACCCGTCCTCCACATCCTCCTTGAGCGCATCGCCCTTCCATGCATCCAAAGCCGGCAATTTCTTGCCCGGCCTTTTCCCCTGTTTCCTTCTCGGCTCCTTGATAGTAAGCTGCTCGATCTTAGACAACATTCCAACGACCTCTCCACTCCCAAACACAGACTCCTCTTCCCAAATCGTGCGCGCGCCTACTTCGCGCCTTAGTTTTTCGACGAGTTTCTTGGTTCTGCCATCCGGCTCGACGCCATTGACGCGCATCTCTTCGAGTGCGTCGTGCACGCCTCTGAGGTCGCGGAAACATGACCAGCGGGTTTCTATCAACTCGTTGTATGCGGGAGTGGTGCACCCGAATACGTAGCTTGGGATGCTTAAGTGCCGGGCGTAGTCGAAGATGGAGAGAGCCAGGTGGGGATCACGGTATTTATCACGGAAAGAGCGCATGAGGTGCGCGATGAGGTAGGGATAAGTCGGGTGTTGGAGTTCAGGGTGCATAGATGCAGGTTGTGGCGGTGGATTTGCGTCACTTGTGTTCGAGGTTGGGGTAAGGCCTGAAGCGGGCTGTTCCTCGGCTTTAGCAATAGCATTCCGCCCGCGTTCCTCGTATTGCTGAGACTGCCCAAACACCTCGCGCATAGACCATTCAAGCAACTGCTGATCCGTATCGCAAAGCTCCATTTCCTCCTTCTTCTTATCAAATTCTTCATCCGCCTCTGTCGTCCATTTCAGCCGTTTTGAGTGCCGTCTGAGTTTGCCGAATAAATCTGACGTTGGGGCGTGGCCGAATGGTTTGCGACCGATTCCGATTCCGTCGAGAACAGCGAGCGGGTCTTCTTGTTTTGAGGAGGAGAGTTTGGCGGAGGGGTTCTTTTGCTCTGAGACTGCGTCGAAGATCATGTTGAACATATCATCGAAGGCACTGATTTCGCGGGCGGTCATCGCCTGTCTGCGTGCCCGGGTGCGTCCTGAGGTTTCTACGCCGCCAACGCGTAAGTGATTGCCGACTGGGGAGGGGAGGATAGGTGGCATATCTTTTATTGAGTCGTCCAATATGTGGTCCCAAGGAGATTCTTTGGCAGCAAAAATGGAGTCGGGTTGCGTGCTACTGCTGCTGCTCTCTGACGGCGTAGCAGAGGAGGTGATGCAGCGTGCAGCTGCCCTTGCAAGACTCGCACCTGCATAATTGGAGACTCGATGGTAGACGAGCATGAATGAGTATAGATATTCCTAATTTGACCAAAAATTGGTCATCCTTGAAACATACTTAGCAACTAGCATTTGCTCGACTAACCTATCTATGATGATATATCGTGTCTAATGGTACACCACTACGTTTCACATCGTCTTAGGAAGACCTTCGATGCATTCCCGAATGAGACGCAAAGTCTCGACCTTGTCGTACAACATGCACGTGCACTCAGTATTAGGGCACCTGGCATCCCAACATGCGATCGCCTCAGGCCAAACGGTCAATCCCACATCGACGACCGTGTCTCCTAGCGGTCGAACATCCATCTCCATCACGACTCTATACTTGAGCTCTCTCCACGTATGATGATCAACCTTCCATCTGCACCTCGGACAATATGCTGTCGTGCTTCCTGTCACGAACGGCTGCTCATTGAGTCGTTGCCGGATGCCCTCGCGTCGATTGCGATGCAAGTTCATCAAGTCAAGCACAGCGCCTGTGTGCAGCTTTCGGAGGATGGGTTGATATTCCTGTGCGTAGATGTTGAGAGTCAGCGACTGCGTGGATGCACGTCTGGTCTCCTCCTCCCATCCACAACGGGTTGCAGCTGCATACAGACGCAGAGGTTGGTCTGAGAGCGGAGGAGTCATGATAAGCACGCGTATGAGCGAGATGGGCCCTGGCATCTCGTATTTTTCTGCAGCGAATAGCAGTGCATCGACCTCGTCATACGATGTGAGTGGATTGATTGGCAGACCGCAGATTATACGCAGGAGACTCTCTAGTGTGTGCGAGTCCTCGTCTAGATTGATGACCTCGGGGTGATTCGGAAGAGGGTTTTGTTGAGGCATGGAAAAGAGGGATCGGAACCAGCCCGATGTCGTCTTGAGGGTCCATGAATGGATACGGAACAGAGTATGATCTTTGGCGCCGAGCACAACATCGGCATCTAGAGAAGAGAATGACTGGTGGAAGGTGCCGCCATAATTCAGCGCTTGGACTAAAGCTGTGTCAGGAATGGACTCCGTTTCCATCGTCGCGACTGTCGGTGTAATGAGATGACTAATAGTATAGCAGAACTTCAGGGCCCGGTCAGAACCTTGCTTCTGTCGATATCAAACGGCCTGACTTACGACGTGGTACCGTGCAGGTCTTGCAATTGGGGTTTTGTCAGGCTCGTCGAGGGTACTAGATGAGAACACGACCGCTCACATGTTGACCTGAGCCTTAAATATTTCAATAATAACCCCTGTCTACTTGTAATTAGACAACTAACAATCACACACAAACGCTGTACGCGTCATATGTGCATGTGAGGAGCTCGGGAAAATTCCTATTCAAGCAAGAATTTTCAGATCTAGGCGCCCGACCTCATCATGTCGAGTTTTCACTGGGTTCGGTTTCACAAAGCTAACATCTCGACATGCACACTCCAGAGATCCTGTTCAACATAATGAAAGATTTCAAACAGATACATAAAGCTCCATAAGAACTTCTACAACTCTCAATCTTTGTGAAATACATGACATACAAGCGATCTTATGAAGAGACAAGCAACTAAGCGAGGCTATTGGTTTGAACGAAGATACTATGAAACCACAGTAAACATTGAGATGTAGATATCACAAAACGGATGTCTAGGCGCACCGATATCGCATTCCTTAATCAAGCATGGGTGAGCGTGTAACGTCCAGTGTTCGGGTCGCGCGAGAGGTTCCAGGTTGTGTTCTGAGCAAGCCCAGTGAGGTCCTGCGACCAGATCGCAGGGGTATCGACCTGGCCTCGTAAGATAGAGGTTTCTTCATAGTCTGATGTGATGTAGGCCCGCAGGACTGGAGTGAACTTTGCCGTGACGCGACTGCCATCTCTGCATTTGATACTGTGAACGCTCTGAAGGAGAAATACAGGAAAGGTGACATACCCAACATCGCTGAAGTAGAGTACGGGTGTGGGCATAATGTCTCCTCTGTTTACAAAGCCTGGAGGTGGACAATACGCTCAGGTGAAAGAAGAGGCGACGAAGATGGTCACAAACCGACTGCTATTTCTTGGATACTCCCAGTGTGGTTCTGAGCCTGCAGGATGCCAGAGGTTCCCGTCTGAGGGGCCTGCACGAGGTATTCGTCGGTGGTCGAGATGAAAATCAACGAAAGCCAAACTTACAGAGAAATGATAGACATCGTTTGCTTCTGTCAAGGTTGTTTTCTCGCCGTTCTGCATCATGGCTTGCGTTTGTGCTAGCAATTTGGGAGTGGATGAGAGTCGCTCACATTGATATTGACGGAGGTCGCAGCGCTGATGACCTTCCCGCTCTCGACCTGGGCTCTGGAGAAAGCGAGTCTATACAATATATAAGCGCCTTTTCAAGACTATTGTTTTCGTCGATTATCTCACTGGGCTGTGTAGGTAGCGGTAGCCCGGTATGGACCTAGAAGGAGTGATCATATGTAAGCCGGCAACCTGGCAGGAAGAGAATAGAAACACCCACCCGACTTCCCGAATTTGCTGACTCTGAAAAAATTGCAAGGTTTTAAGTCGCCCCAGACAGAAATAGGCGCACTTACTTCCAAACTATCGGGAAGACGTCCTCGTAGAGGCCTTCCACGTTGGGACTCCAAGCGAGCATGATCGTGACCTCCTTGCCGAGGTCCTTGCTGCGAGACATCAGGTGAGCAATTTGTATAGAGCGAGATCGCGAACACTCACGACTGGAAGGTCAAATTCCTGACGAAGGGCCGTGGCGTCATTGTTTCAGATTGTGAAATACAAAGTGTACTGGTAGCTGAGATTGAGCGTGGATTGAAGAGCTTGAGTTCTGCGGTTAGAGTCTCAGCAAGGAGGCTTTTATATGTTTCGTATCACATAGGTTGTTTCTCTTTCCTTGGTTTACGACTTAGACAGCGTCTCCTTCGTGTCCGGGTACCTGACGCTGGAGATCCTAATTATTCAATAAGGCGGTAGCTCATGATGGCCCTTGAATCGGACTTGCTAGACAGCCGGCTTCTGCGCGAACCGATCTGGACGTTTGAGTTTGCGTGCTGGGAAGTTGGTGGCTGCCGTTGGAACTTGGCTGTACTTCAAGCACATGATGATGGCCCTTGAATCAGACTTGCTAGATAGCCGGCTTCTGCGTGAACCGATTTACCTGGGCGTTCAAGTTGCGTTCTGGAAAGTTCTTAGCTGCTGTTGGAACTTGGAAGCACATGATGATGGCGCTTGTATTACACCTCACCCTGCTAGACAGCCGGCTTCTCCGCGAAGCCGTTCCCTGGGCGTTCAAGTTGCGTACTGGGAAGTTTGTAGTTACTATTGGCTGTCCTTCACGCCTTCCCGTTGTACTTGGAGAAAGTTGAGTCACGGTTACGGTCGCAAGTAGCTAGTACACGAAAACAGAAGGCTATGGGCGATGTGGCTTGCAAGTTGTAGTATCGTTCAGAACAGTCAAGGCGCTTCCCTGCTCAGCTAGTTTTAGATCAACATCCGCACATCAGTGGACAAAATCAAATCACCTTCAGGGTTTGTGAATTCTAGAAAATGTCGTTGTCAATGTCGACTTGACCTTATGGCCGTATTCTCGTAAATTACTTCACCTGTGTGTCATCATTTATTAACAACACTGATAGGCTTATCAGATGCTTTTTTACTAATCAGTGGCGGAAACCTATGCTCAGCGCGTTCGTTCACAAACATCGCTAGATTGGTCGGAGGACAATATGCAGAACATATTGCAAAATATTTTACATCTATTGTTCAATGTTGAACCTAAACAAATAATAAAAATTGTGGTTAAAATTAATTTCCTACCAGAACAAAAAATATATTGACATTATAGCGATTTTGATAAATAATGACAATCCCAAAAAAGAAAATTGTTTGAGGCTGTGAGTTGTTTGTGCGCGTGGTACACTGTTAACGTTCATCATCATGGTCAACCGCCGCATCAGCGACGATGCAAAATGCATCACTCTGCGGCTGAAAAATTGACGACGAGACTCCGACCACGAAATTTGCCAACTTGTTGACTTCTCACTATCTACATTATACTGAACTCTATGTCGAAATCGTGCTACTGGAGATGTTACGAAAAAACTTGCTATTGGACGTGGACGCCCACGAAAACTTATTCATTCTGATTGTCTGTACTTGCTGTGCTTGGCTCGTCACAAGCCAACCCTTTTCTTGGATGAATACAGCTGCCGTCTTGAAGAATATCGTGATCTGCCTGTGTCTCTTGCAACCATCCATGCCTTGTTCAAATGTGCTGGACTCAATGTCAAACGGGTGCAGAAGCTTGCTTCCGAACGCAATCCCATGGTTCGTGCAGCATTTGTCTGTCGAATTGGCCAGTATCCAGCCAACTACCTGATTTCTCTCGACGAAGTCTCAAAAGATGACAGAACTTATGCACATCTTTGGGGCCAGGCACCTGTAGGCCAGCGTGTCGAGCAGCATGACCCATTTGTTCGTAAACGGCGCCTGTCAATGTTTGTTACGCACTCAAATAGATCTGTTAGGCGGAGCCCTAAGAGGGGCGTCGTCCGCTAACGTTCGTGACGTAACCGGAAGGATCCGGTATAGCAAGTGAGACTGGCGATGACGAGTCGGCAGCGATCACAGTACGCGCGTGTCACGTGACTTCGTAGACAGATGTCTGTGAAGTCGCTCAAGGTAAGGACTGTCTTGTCTGTACAATGAGGTCGATCGAGGTAGACTTAGTCGTGATGAGCAACTAAGAAAAGATACTAGAGACTGAAGCCAAAGGGGCGTTCAGAGAGAAGTATGTTCCAGGGAAGATTGAGTAGATTCAAGTTAGAGAATCTAGTACAGGGTGACCGACTACTTATACTAAGTGGAGAGGGTTAAGGGCAAGGCTACCGCACAGTAGGTAAGGGTAAAGGGGAAACGAGAATGGTATAGGTGCGTTGGCAACATAGCCGGATTAGTGATGGGTGGTCGAATATGGAATGAGACCGAGAAACGTTGGAATGAACCAACGGTAAGAATACAACATGCGGGAATCCGCAGTCAGAGGGAACAGAAAGAGGAAAGCCACATTGGTGGCACGAGTCAGACCGAGTCATAGGTGCGGGACCACATTGGTGGTCAAATCAAGGGAGGAACGTGCGTGCACGTGCATAGAGGCGGGCGATGCGAGGGACGGGAACGGTCCCGAGGATCTGGTCAATGGAAAGTCGGTAAAGGAGGACGAGCCGGTAGATGGTAAGGGCGAGGATGAAGGGAAAATGATAGGGGGGCCACGTGACCGATGTTACTTGTAACAATGTTAGCTGCCATGACTCTAGATCAGGGAATCATTGCTGCAAGGGTTGTTGAGGGCTCGTTCACACACCAGACATTCTATGAGTTTCTTCGTGATGATCTTGTAAGGTTTTCATATTGCGAAGCCATTCTCTAAACTCAACTTGACCTTACTAGCTGCCATTGACCAACCCATATCCTGCTCCATGAAGTGTTATCATTCTTGACAATGCTCATATACACCATTCTGAAGAAGTCATCAATCTCATTTATAGCTATGGTAATTGGCTGTCGTGACTCGTTTCAAGTGCTGGCATGCTGATGTGTTCATTCAAGGTTGCCGAGTTGAATATTTACCACCATATTCACCTGACTATAATCCTATCGAGCAAGCATTCAGTGTCATCAAATCTCGCCTTCGTCGGAGTGGGTTACATGCTTTTAGTACCAAGAAACTCTATTATGAGATGTATAGTGTTTGTGACTCCATCGCGCTGTCGATGACATGGGGCTTTTTCTGCAAATCAGGTTACATATGATGAAGTTCACATACAGTTTTCAAGCACAAATTTTCAGTGTACAATAGCAGTTCAATTACAGCTCATGACCTTCTTTCCAACGTTCCTCGGCATCACGAAGGACTGCTAGTTCTCCTAGAGAGAGGCCACCCTCAGTTTGAAGCTGCTCATTAGAGACAAGACGGAGAAGGTGTGGCCCATCCAGATGAATCGCTTTCAGTTTGTCATGAAGCTGCCCTGATAGACCAAACCAAGTGGCAAAAGACTGGAGATCGAGTTTCGGAGGGATAGACATTGTCTTGGTGCTGCAAGTTGGATTTTTTGAAGGAGAGGATGGGCGAATTAGCTCAGCTAGACCAGCGAAGTTGACAGTTATGTTGGATTGGTTGTTGTGATCGCGGCCTGCAAGCTGTGCACGTCGTCTTCGTGCAAGAGCTGAAATGTCATCTGAATCTGAATCACCATGGTCAGTTGGATCAAAGATTTTCGAGTTCGGAGGATGTTCAATATCAACTCCGAGTGTATCAGCCTCCTGCATATAACCTGTCAGTAAATATGTCTGAATAATACATTCAGACCTCGTGCCATTGCAGCTGCCCAAGTTCGAAGGTGTTTGTGGGTGAGATGGACGTGCTTTGCAGTTGGACCTGAGGGATAACAAAGGTCGTATGGGCAACTTCGGTCTTCACAACGATATTTGTTCTGTAGGCTGACTATATGCTGGTCTTGTGCTATTTCCTCCATCGATGGCACATGCTATGACCACCACAATCAACACATTAGCAATTACACACGTGAAACTAGCAAATTACAGTGCATATATACCTGTTTTCGTTTCTTTCTGGGGTTCTCATTTTCTTCGTCATCATCTTGTTCATCTTCAGTCAGATTGTTGCCAGTGACAACCTTGATTGTACCAACTCAATAAGCCAAAAATACCACATGGCGACGAGATATAAGTACCTTCTGTTCAGCTAGCTTGAGTGTAACCTCAGCTTTTCTCGCACTCTGAACCTGAGTACAAAGCTCCAAATAATCATCTTCATTGTCAAGAGAGACATCTTTGTTTTGAGAACGGTATACAGTGTATGTGAAAGTGAGTGAATCGGATCCTTCAAGCCTGGAGCCAGCATAGAGCCAAGATGTTTGAAGCAAGTTGCGTCGTTTGATGGTATCAAGGACTTTGATAATCATGTCCTTCATAGACATGTCTTCATGCACATAAACTATCTTTGTGATTGTTGTCGGCTTCGCATTCCTTCGTCGCTTGGGGTCAAATGGTTGAAGAGGTGTGAAAAGTACAGTAAATTTTATTCCCTTCTCGTCATTGTACAGGCTCCGGCCCCCTGTTCTTCATGAGCAGTGTCCCAATGATGGTCCAGATATCAACATACATCCATTGTTGAGGTCTTCCACCTCGGAGCTAAGTTCACGGCCATTGTTGTTTGCCATTATGGAGTAATGAGTCAGACGTGTGCAAATGTGCAAGTATTATTGGTGCGGATGGTGACCCAGACCGATCAACACAGCGGTACAAAGTTTTTCTTTTTTTGGATTTGTCATTATTTACGAAAATCGCAATAATCATGTTCTCAATTAATCTACAACTTTCAGTGAATCTTTTGTAGCTTGTCAACCACTTCACATTATCTTCCATGAATTTGGAGTGTTGTAGATAGGGATGCACACTGGTAGTAGTGCCACGGCTCGGCTACGGCTGGCTCTGGCTCGGTATTTACCGGTTTGTGAGAAGTTCGGCGATACCCATTAGCCAAACCACTGGTCACTGACTTGATCCAATTTACTAGCCATGTGAACCGGCTACAACTTTCTTAAGCCAAAAATTTATGAACCGTGGCTTGAACCGCTTTAAGCCAGCTCAAACCAGCTCAAGCCACGTGGCAGTTGCATAGAAGGACAGCTTTTTTTGTTGCCTCCAGACTCCAGTGTTGTTGGTCGGATTCCCTTGATTTCTCTACTCGTGGGCTATTGTATACACTATGGATAAGGTTCCCGTTCGAGTTGACAGAAGATTCAGGCTAGGAGACATTTTGGGATCCGGCTCATATGGTATGTTATTTACATATCATGATTACTGACTATATGTTGAATTCGACATTTGGACCCCATTAGCTGTCGTGTATCGCGCACGGAACATCATAAAGAATGATGCAATTGCTGTCAAACTTGAACCCATCACCCATTCATCATCTGTCCAGCATGAATACAACATTTTGAAACACCTTGAAGGTGGTGTTGGTATTCCTCATGCCCTCTGGTTTGGTAGGGAGTCGACATATCATGCTCTCGTTCTCGATCTCCTTGGGCCATCCCTGCACAGTCTCTTCCTTTCTCACAGCCAAAAATTCAGCCTTGAGACTGTCATAAATCTAGGAGATCAGCTGGTCAGTCAGTGTGTGCTACTGTGTGGGTTGCATGTACTGACCCCTTTCCCCAGCTTTCACGTCTTGAATATGTTCACTCGCACAATTATATTCATGGTGACATCAAACCACAGAACATTGTTCTGGGTCTTGGCGATACGAGGCACACCGCCTTCATTATTGATTTCGGTATCGCGAAGGAATTCTGGAATATGTCAACCAGTGTCCATATACCATTTCGCCAAGGTCAACGTCTCACTGGCACTCCTGCGTTTGCATCAATCAACAATCACTTGGGAGTTGAACCAGGTCGTCGTGACGACCTTGAGTCACTTACGTACATGTTGATATACTTCTTGCAGGGCTCCCTTCCTTGGTTAACCAGTGACCAAGAGAAACTTTCCAATTCTTCCATACTCAAGTGCAAAGTGAACACTACTATTGAAGATCTATGCCGTGAAATTCCTGTTGAATTTGCAACAATGCTCATTTACACACGCTCTCTCACATTTTCAGAGGATCCCGACTACAATCACCTTCGTTCATTGCTTTGTACACTTCGTTCTACACTACCCACACCAGCTGCGTGCTTGCTGGATATAAACCAGCCTGGTGTACCTATCACACATTCCCCTTCCCCTCCATTCTTCGATAAACCCTGTGTAATTGAGGCAGTGCCTCCATGCCTGCCACTTCGCAGATCGACTCATGTGTGAGTAGTCCATTTATCTTAGTACTTACGAACTAATGCAATTTTAAGTTTGCGTCCACGAAATGACTCCCTGTTGCATCATGCACCCACTTCAACTCCATGCTGGAAAAAAGCTAGATCATGATACTGTTGGATACCTGTAGCCTGTAGGGAGTAGTTTGTACATGTACTTTGTGATATAGTAGCATTCACGGCACCTACAGTATCATTATTAATTTCTTACAACGAGCTTTGCATCACACATATGACGTGGCGGATGCAATAGTCACTCGAACCGGATATATTGATATTTGCAAATTTCTTCCACTCCCACGCAGCACCTCTTATCTTTCAACATCCCCTGCAGGCTGCAGGCTACAGCCTTGAAATGACCTTTGCCGCTCGCAAGGGACTCATCGTGACTTCCAGAACCATCATAATGGGTAATTCAGCCATACAACATAACGACATGACTTAGGAAGTGCTTATCGATGGAGATCTAGCTTTGATTCCATCGATCATTTAACTACACCTGAGGGTGAAGACGTGCTTGACTTCAAGCCTTTGGGCCCTCTGGAGTCTGGAGTTTCAAGTTGGAGTTGATTCTCTCCAGGTATGCACAATTGCGCGAAATTTTTTCACCCCCCACTGACTGCTGAATAGATTTGACCTGCCTGAAGCATGCATGAGTTGCGGAGTCTGCCTCATGACAATCACCCTTGAGGCTTTTCCATCAGGGTCTCAGGATCACTGCACATCAACATGTTCTGGGGTTTCCCCAGATGCCATTATATATGTACACCAATAACTCTGCTGTTGGATCATCTCCACTACCACCGCCATTAACATGCCCCCTCGACGGAAGAACGCCCAGGCTACTGCCAGAGCTGCTGTCATTGTTTCCACTGTTGTTCCCATTCCTCCCGCTGTAGCACTCGGATCAGCGTTGGGCTCATATCCCGCCAAACACATAGGTATTCCACATACACATTCCTTGACACTCCATTTACCTTCTGAGAGTTCCGTGCGTTCGTCCGAGTCGTCCGAAGGTCGTCCGTCCATTTCCGAGGCCTGTATACAGTTCCGATCCTCCGTACCATGTCCCGTCCGTGTCCGTTTGACTTTGCTGGTGCGTTTTCCACTTGGTTATCTGTTATTGATTATGTCTAGGGGCACATATGTTGTCAGCCCATTGGTTATACACATAACAAACATGCCTTGCGCCTTATTACATGCATATCTCTGTAGCGGCTTGCCTTGAGTCTTATTACATTTCGGATGCCTTATCTCGCTACTGGTTTCGCCTACACAGTTTCCGGACTTTCATGCTATAGGATATAATCTGCCTCGCTAGCTACTCACACTTTACTTCACTTTCCCTGCTACGAGTCATAGTTAGTAGAGTCACTTTCGGATAGTCGTACTTTGCGCAATCGATCTTTGTTTATTCGGAATGATTGTTTGGCCTGACCGCTGCCATTTCGCCCTTCGCTGTCTCTAAAGTTCTCCCAATAGTCTTTGCTTAGTTATACTTCGCGAGTCTTATACTTCGATACACCCGCCGTACTTCTCTCGGAACCTTCACTGTTCATTGGAAGCTCTTCGGATGCTTTGCGCAACCTCGGACCTTCGTTTCTAGACGTCGGACCACCTTCGGACCACTTCGGACGAGTACTTCGGTACTTCGGACATATCCTCAGAACACTGAGTGCACTCTTGGTAACTTCCCTTCTCTCACTTTGATCTTAACAAGATATCCCTTGCTTTATATCAAGGAGCATTTCTATAGGCAGTCTCTTTGGGACGAACATCTCACTCGCACTCTGAGTCTTAAGGTAACACTTTTGTAGCACCCACATAGAATCAACTCTTTATACTGCTCCTGTTGTTACTGCTCCCATCTCTCCCATGCCTGTCACTGTCCCCGTTACTCCCACTGCCGGTCCTGGTCCAACCGCTGCTGCAGCAAATGTGAATATCCTTCGTAACCCTCAAAGGCATTGTCAGCTTCCTGCTCGATTTTGAGACAATGATGCAGATGAAGGGGAATCCTTCCACCTTGAGAATGTCTCTGGGGATGAGGGGGACAAAATTGTCAACTCACCTGCACCTGCAGTTAGGCCTGATGCAGGCCATAGTCCATTGCAGACTCCAATGAATACTGCTACAACTGACCCTCTGGCCACTGGTGGCCGAGCAAAAGCGCCGAAATCCTCTGCCGATATTCATTTCTTCTTCAGACAGGACCCTATCACTCTTTCGAATATCTGCAAAGCCTGCGAGTGAGTATCGTGTTTGGTGTTATCGTTCTCTCTGACATCCTTCACCAGAGCAATCCATAATCTTGACGATACTCACCACATTATGTCATACCTTCCTAGCACAGGCACTTCAGCTCGTCATGCACATGCCTTCACTGACCATATCGACATTTACCTGGAGGAGGCAGAGCGTCAGCACTGGCATGTCCTCCATAAGTCATCACATTTGAAGACATTTTTGGATGAAGGCTGGACGGTCACGACCATGCATCAAAGGCTGAAGGATCCAGCTTACACGTTAGACTCACTCGGTACTCACCCTAGTCCTGGCTCACTCCCCGGAACTAGCCTATCAGCTCCAGACAATGTATTGCCTGCGTTTAATCTGGACGAGATGCATAAACAAATCATAAAATTCAATGTTGCCGACAATCAGGTGAGTCAATGCACACTTTCTACACGCTATGTTTATTAACTGTCTTCAGGCAATCAATATTATTGAATGTCCGGAATTTCGTCGTTTGATCCGTCTTCTGCAGCCATCGGTGAACGAGACCAATATATATCACCATACCAAAGTTCGTGAGTTAGTCATTGATGCTTTCCATGAATACTTCAATGCTTTGAAGAAGGACCTCGTGGTAAGCCTACAGTTGTCAAGAGCCTTACAAAATATCTTATATCTTTTAGGCTGCCCAGGGAAAGGTCTCATTCACATCTGACCTCTGGTCAGATTCTAACCTTCGCCCGTTCATGGCCGTTACTGCCCACTGGATCGCTAAGGCCGAGCAGAGTTCAGTACTCGTTTTGAGGGCTGCATTAATAGGCTTCCATCATGTTCCAGGCAGTCACACAGGTGACTTGCTAGCGACAGTCATCTTGCACCTTCTTGATCGTGCCGCTGTGACCGAAAAGGTCAGTGTCTAATTTTACCGTGTAACACACGCTGACTCTGTTTAGACTGGTCATTTTACCTTGGACAACACTGCCAACAATCAGGTTTCCATGCGAGAGCTTTTGCAAAAGCTGGAGTGTCGCAAAATCGATTTTGACCCCATTGACCGCAGAATCCCGTGCTTCCCCCATATCATCAATATATGCGTGAAGCATATTATTGATGATTACCACAACACCGACTTTTTGCTCGTGGACGAACAATGGGCAATGGGCAATTGGCGATTGCGATTGCCCGATCATCAAGGCGGATTATCTCGAAGCAGTGACAGGGAAAGCTCTCAGCAGAGCTAGGGACCTTGTGCGCATGGTTCGCGCATCGGACCAGCGATGTAATTCATTCAAAGACACCATCATAACAGGTAATGAGAAGAAGTGGTTCCAAAATGACCTGGGTGAGACACTATGCCTCCCTGTTGTCGAACTTCTGCTTGATGAGGTCACTCGTTGGGATTCAGTTTACATCATGCTCAACCGATTACGAACCCTTCGCCAGGTAAGGCATTGCATATGAAATATTTGTTGTGAACTAATAGTTGCCCAGGCAATAGATTTATTCTTCAGTTCTCCCACTCAATGCTCTATCAGCAAGTTCAAGTTGAGCCCGATGGAGTGGCAGTTCCTACAGGATTTCAAAGTAATCCTAGAGGTTAGTTTTAATATCTTTGAAACTCGTGTTCCATCTTATCATTTTATATTAGGCACCCCACGCTGCCCAACAATGCATGTCGGGCGAACGCACTCCCATGCTGAGTGGTGCATATCCAGCATTTGAAACATTGATTGAGCGGTGGAAATCATTGGCTAAACACGTCCCACACTGCAGCCCCCTTGTTCAGATAGGGCTGACTTGGGCTGACAAGTATGATGGCAGGATGGGCGCCACAAATGTTTATGCAGTCGCTATGTGTGAGTCCAGCATTTTTAAAAAATATTTGGTTGCTCATGAGTCACAATTGCATCTATAGTTGTTGACCTGGCGATCCGAATGTCATGGGTTCGGAGTCGTTGGGAGGAACAACTGGTTGAAGATGTGCAGAAATACATAATCAAGCTGGTACGTCTATCAAACCAACAACAACACAACTTTGAACTAATATTATCACACACAGATGCATCAAAAGCAAGCCACAAACAACTCATCGTCTATCGAGTCTCCAGCTAATGAAATAGCACCTCGACAACAACCCCACACGCTAGGCTCGCGCCTTTATGGACTTCCTGATATTGGCATCCTGCCATGTAACAACAGCGGCGCCCAAACAGTCGAACAAGAATTCGAGGCCTACACCACAGCTAATCTCAGCATCAAGGGAACAGATGTACTTGGATTCTGGATGGTGAGCGTCCCATATCTCTACAATTTAAATCTTTATTATTGACCATGAGATGTTCACCAGGTCTCGGAGAACTTATTTCCGACAATTTATGGCATTGCGATGGACTACCTCCCGATACAGGCCTCTGCTGTTCTGTGCGAGCGAGTATTTTCATCTGGTAGTGAGACCAACACGAAGAAATGTAATCGCATGAGCCCGGTCCTGATGGAGGCCCTGCAGGTGGTAAAGTTCCTCGTGAAAAAAGAATGACTCAACTTTATGAAAGGTTGGGCAGCGTTGCAAAAGGATATGGAGTATGAGGTGTTGGGCAAAGGAGGGGAAACTAATGATCTTTTGACAATTTCCAGCAGTGGAATGACAGGTGATGTATGCGACACTCTCCTCAGAGCTATTGCAGAGGAGGAGTGTGATGATATTGACGATGCTCCTACTACCTACAACTTGTGATGTTTGCTTTCCCTGCTCAATTGTTGTGGATTTTGTTTCACTCCCTCTTTACACTGCTCTTACTTCTGTTTGCCTGGCATCTTGCAATGTTTCTTGCATCATATTATGATTTCAATTGTGAACTGTTCTCTCTTCCTTGACTATCTTCATTTGGTCTTAGCGAGCCCTCACTTGTTTGTGCCCATCTGCACTTGTGCGTGTCCATCTGCGCTCGTCTGTGCATATCTGTGCTTGTCTGTGACCAGGAGGACCATTCAGTATTCCACCCTTGTTAATTGGGAATCCCCCCAAACTCGGCAGAATACCAGGGGTAAGTGATCTCATGTCATTCACCATAGGCGTCTGACCTAAGGTTCGTTTGTCAGGTGAAATTCCGGCTGTAAGTGACCTCATGTTGTTCACTGCCAGCTGGCCAGGAGGACCATTCAGTCTTCCACCCTCATTAATTGGGAATCCTCCCAAACTCGGCAGAATACTAGGGGTGAGCGACCTCATTTCATTCACCATAGGCATCTGACCTAAGGTTCGTTTGTCAGGCGAAATTCTGGCTGTAAGTGGCCTCATGTTGTTCACTGCCGGCTGACCAGGAGGACCATTCATGGTGATGGATATCGTCCTTGGTGTGTTTTCATGGGTCCCGCCTCTTTCCCACTGATGCACAGCACATGGATCATGGATCACGGAGTCCTCCATGCACCATTTCACCTACCTCCTAGGATGAAGGACACGGTGATGGATATCATCCTTGGTGTGTTTTCATGGGTCCCACCTCTTTCCCACTGATGCACAGCACATGGATCATGGATCATGGAGTCCTCCATGCACCGTTTCACCTACCTCCTAGGATGAAGGACATGGTGATGGATATCATCCTTGGTGTGTTTTCATGGGTCCCACCTCTTTCCCACTGATACACAGCACATGGATCATGGATCACAGAGTCCTCCATGCACCATTTCACCTACCTCCTAGGATGAAGGACACAGTGATGGATATCATCCTTGGTGTGTTCCTCACCCTTGCTATCATTAGGCTTGCGACACATTGTAAGTGCCCAGTTTTATAGGCTCTTGCACCTGAACTGAAATGAAGTGCATCTGATTCATTTGTGTAGGTTCGGCATTCAACCCTGGTCAAAATGCACCCTCGAACGTGCTGGCCTAGGTCATTTCTAACTTGTAACATGAGACTCTTAATGTAGCCTAATTCATGGAAGAAACCATCCGAAGGTGAGCACTTGTACATATTTAAAATGCGAGGGGTGACCATGATAATGGTTCAGGCACGTTTAGACGCGAGAACAGGGATGCCAGCTGAAGGCGAGTCTAGGGAGGTATGTGTGGGAGCAGTCAGTCTTTGAGCCGTTTTATCTTTCCTTTGGCTTGGGGGGCGTGACATCCCTGAAGGTGGACTGTTTCGTCGCGTTCATTGCATTGTTGGCATCGTGCCGTGGTGGACTTTGCAATTCGGTGAAGAAATTGGTTCAGTGGGGCGTGGCCCGCGTATATTGTAGGTACTGTTACGCTGACCGTCGGTCGGCGTGTGCGAACTAGGATAGGTCTTCTCAGCGACGGCTCGAGTGAGCCTACTGAAGCTGAGGGTGGTTCTCGGCTTGATGGAACGTCAAGGGTTCCTCCAGTGATCTCGGTAAGACGGTGCTCGTCGAGATACAGGGCTAGCGGATACGTGCTAAGTCGTAAGGGGGGCGACTTAGAAGTGCGGTCTTATCCAAGAAAGCTGGAAGGCTTTAGTTGAACAAGTTCTGGGATGAACCTAGTAGATTAAAGTAAAGTCTAAGTACAATAATCTGTCTACTTATATGTGCTACATGTAAGTATTCTAGCTCAGTCTGTAATCTATAGTATATTGAAGATCTATGATAACAAGACATGAGGGTCAGATAAGGTACATGAGGCTTAACCTCTGATCAAGCATGCAGCGCCAAGTGCGACTGCGCATAAGTACCATGAGGCGCCAAGGGTGCTCTGGATCTTCATGAAGCGACATGCTGTATACATGCGCTGATCTAGGGTGACCATGAGGCATACAGCCTCCATGGATTAGGTACAAGGCTGTCTAGGCCAGGGGCGGCGTCACAGCGCCAGGGGTGGCGTCACAGCGGTCCAGACCGCTGTCTTTCTAGGCGCGGGCGGCGCACCGCCGCGTGGGGAGTCTAGCAGAGCGGGGGCAGGCGTAGGCAGAGCTGAGGCTCCTGTAGGTGTTACGGATGCCTGTAACAGGTACCATCACCATCTAACTTCTGTACCTCGTATCAGGTTCGCTCGCTTGCCACAACTCCAATCGCACGACTGACGCAGACATGCGCCTTATTCGCAATGTTCATGTCTAGGAAGTGGTATGTCATCCTTGAACATCACTAACAATGTTGAGCTGCGATCTCGATGTGCCTCCCACTCTCAGTATGTGCGTGTTCACTTTCGCTTCCAGGCCAACCTGCAACTCATTCCTCCCACCCCCTCCAACCCAACCTCCTCAAAACCCCACACCACCATTTCACTACTGGCCATCCACGAACATTCGCTGCTGCCCCCGCCTCCACTAATCCACCGTTCCATGAAGCCCTTGCTGGCTGCCCTGCCCTCCATCTCTCCATTTTTGCCTCTCTGTGGGCATCCTGTATCCTGCGGGCACGTGTAAGACTGCAATATTTCTAATTCAACTTAGCATTCGAACTAACAGAGAAATCAGCTGTCACTCACATTGTCTTGGGGGCCCATCGCGATCGTGTGTTTGGATATGTGATAGGTGATTTCAGACGTAGTGTAGTCATTGTAGAATTGAATCTGATCGATAGCACACAGCACAGATCGTTACTTTTTCGTATGAATTTATTAATACATGTATTCTAATTTAGCACACAAAGTTATTTATATATTCTAATTTTAAACTAAGTTTGAGCTGGCTTAAAGGCCTGGAAACACGGCTTCACTGACTGGACTGGGCCGTGTATTACATAATACATAGCTAGATACATGGCTTGGCTAATTACAGCTCCGCCCACAGCTAAAGCCAGTCACAAGCCGGAGCCACAGCAACACTACACACAGGCAAACCCTTGGGTATCACTCATGTTACCCTTTTGAGATTATGATAAAGTACAATTTTGATTATAGTGCAAGCAAATATGAGACTCAGAGGCACACAAGAGTTGGTGCTAGAATTGCTTACAGTTCTTTGCATAATTATGTGGAAATGCAAAAGTTGAATTGGCATCTTGGAAATGCCCAAAGTAGGACCCCATAAGTCTTTGGCTCATGCTGATTGTGCACTCGCCGCTCATTCACACTCCAGCATGCTACTGCACACTGTCTCACAACTTGACAAGATCTAAAAGCTTGCATTCCTGTTTTGCACCGACGTGGCCATTCTGTCACAAGCATTTGTCATTTGCTTGGTATTAAGAAGATACTTGTATACAAAACCATCAGACTGACTGCTAACTCATCCCAACATGCAAACAATGGATCTCATGGCCGACGTTGCAACCTCAGTATAGATGACATTGCCTTTCTCACTACTACCCTTTGTCGAAATCCCACCATCTACCTCGATGAACTACAGCATGAGTTATGAGCATGCTGCAGTGTCTTTGTATCTATCCATACACCTTTTCATACCCTGCACAAGCTACAATACAGCCACAAGGCTATCTCAGCTCGTGCTCTTGAATGAGATGAAGAATGATGTGCCATGTTTATAAACCATATTGCAGAGATAGCTTCAAACCCTGAAATGTTGATGTTTGGTGATGAAGCTGCAAAAGATGAAAGGACATTGATTTATAGATTCGGACATTCAAAAATAGGAACAAGGTTTGCTTCATTTACAGATCAGTATCAGTCTTGGCTAATTCATACCAGGTGTATTCAGAGAAAGTGTTGGATACAAGGCAAACAGTACTCAATCTTGCCCATCCTCACACTGGATGGCATCATTGTCTATGATATTATCGAAGAGTCTATAATGAGTGAGAGATTTGTGCAGTTCTTACAAAAACATGTGGTATGCCTCATAATAACATCATGGATCTTACTGATTGTCTTATGAATAGTTGCCATTGACCAACCCCTACCCTGGCCCTCATAGTATTCTTGTGTTGGACAACTGTTGTATCCACCACAGTGAAGAGGTCTGACATATTGTAGAGGATGAGGCTATGTGTAAACTTGTGTTTCTACTTCCATACTCACCTGACTACAATCTCATTGAGCAGGCATTTTCTTCTATCAAATCTTACTTATGCTGTCACTTTCCTGATATGTCCTTGATAGCTATTATATGAGCATGCCAGCACATTACATCTGACAAAGCGAAGGGGTATTTCCGTGCTTCTGATTGCATTGCCTAGACAGTTTCAATATACTTCTACCTAAAAGGATCTTCATCTTCATGGCTACCCTCTGCATCAAATATATACCCTGGTGGAAAAGGAACCTACTCTTGTCTGTTGCTGCAAAAGTGATAAAGATCATAATCAAGATTGGAACACTCTCCTGAACCTTATGAGTGGAGACGATATGATAATGCCATTTAACTCACCAGGTGGTCACTCTTCAAGTCTCATTCTACCCCCATTAATTCATGCACGTCCTCCATCATGGTACCTTTTCTTGTACTGGTACTTCCTGTCCTCAGGAATACCAGAACCAGTAGTATCACTATATTTGTGCTTTATACTGTCCATTGGCTCACTCTTGGCAAGGGGGCAACTCCACCAAGTGACACTTCCTTTCTTCAAGTGAATGATGTCACCTAGGGTTAGCCTGATGTGAGTGTGTTCATGGTCAGCAATCTTTGCGAGGATGTCTAGTCCAGCTCCAATACTATGCAAGGAGGATTCATACACTGTCACATGACTAACACCAAGTTCCTACTCAGTATACTTCAAGAAGCGAGTAAGTTTTGATGGTGTTAAGATAGCAGGTGAACGAGCAAGGACAAAAGTATTGACTGTAGGCAAAGGTGTTGAAGAAATTGCAGCATGGTCTTGGTTATGGGCAAGATCTTGAATCGTCTATAACAGAAGCATTGAAGTAAGTGAGCTGATGTCACTGGCACTTACAGTCAAAGGTGCAGGAGGAGCCATTGGTGTAGTTAATGCAGCACAGCGCATTGGGTGCAATGCAGGCTCTCGTTTTGCAGGATTGAATGATTGAATATTTGGTGGCATTGAAGTCGTAGCTTCACCATCATGCTGAAAGAATATGAGGTTCAACTAGAGACATAAAGTTGCTACAATTCAATTACCATTGCACAAGTCCAATCCTTCACTATGGCTGGGATACAAGGAATCTCCATACCACTCAAGTGGACATACATAACAGAGTTGTCATAGTCATTTCCCCACTTCTTGATAATGAGTTATGGATGACGAGCAATCTTACACTCGAGCTCTGAAGCACCAGTCTGCAAGAAACATCATTGAACAGCTGAAATCTTGAGATCAGTCTTTACAGTTGAAATACCTCAGTGACAAGCACAGTTTCCTCATCCTCAGATTCTCCACTCTCATGGCTGGCAGCATTTCCAAAAGAACTGTGTCTTTGTTAGCTAAGGTATCACAGAATCTTCAAGACTCACCTCATGGGTATAAACAGGCAATTTCTCGACATTCTTCATATCAATGAAGATCTTGACCTTTTTGAGTTTCTCCAAGATGATCTTCTTTGCCATCTCAACATAATCATTCTTATTGTCAACATCCATGGCTTCTGTGCGATTATAATCAATCACCTAAATAAGCAGGATCCCATTGTTGCCATGGCATTGGCAGATGATCCAAGGACCAACATACCTGCGTGAAGCACCAGGAAAGTATTTGAAGGTATACCTTTTCTTCTCAGTAATCTTATAGAGTGATTTATCATGCTTTGCAAGCATAGTCGTGAGGAAGTCAAGGTAACTGGGTGCTGAGACAAGAAAAACAACTTCTTTGACCTTTGTGGATTTCACCTCCTTGATTTTGGTTTTGCCATTGTGTTCTGCCGAGTTTTTCATATATGTATCAAGATTTACAACAAAAACAGTCTCAAACTGAGGTATTTCTGGCTCAGTGTTATGCACTCAAATAGGTCTGTTATGCGGAGCCCTAAGAGGGGTGTCGTCCGCTAACATTCATGACATAACCAGAAGAATCCGGTATAATGAGTGAGACTGGCGACATCGAGTCGGCAGCAATCACAGACATGTATGTCACGTGACTTCTAAGACAGATGTCTGTGAAGTCACCAGGCTCAAAGTAAGGACAGTCTTGTCCGAACAATGAGTATCGATTGTGGTAGACTTAGTCGCAAAGAGCAACTAAGAAAAGATACTAGAGACTGAAGCTAAGAGGCTTCAGAGAGAAGTATGTTTCAGAGAAGATTGAGTAGATTCAAGTTAGAGAATCTAGTACAAGGTGACTGACTACTTATACTGAGTGGAGAGGGTTAAGGGCAAGGCTACCGCACTGTAGGTAAGGGTAAAGGGGAAACGAGAATGGTATAGGTGCATTGGCAACAGAGCCGGATTAGTGGTGAATGGTCAAATGTGGAATGAGACTGAGAAACGTTAGGACAAACCAACAGTAAGAATACAACGTGCGGGAAGCACAGTCAGAAGGGAACAGAAAAGGAAAGCCACATTGGTGGTTAGACCGAGTCAGAGGTGTGGGACCACATTGGTGGTCAAGTCATAAGAGGAACATGCGTGCACGTGCATAGAGGCGGGCAATGTGAGGGATGGGAATGGTCCCAAGGATCCAGTCAATGGATAGTCGGTAAAGGAGGACGAGCCAGTAGAGGGTGAGGGCGAGGATGAAGGGAAAATGATAGGGGGGCCACATGACCGATGTTACTTGTAACACTCAGGGGATATGGAAGGTGAAGCCATCACTGGAAGCACGTCTACTGTCTACCTTGGATTGGTCTGTGGTGTGTTCTTGCACAGATGGTGCTTATGGGGTCTGAAACAAACAGACACTCTGCTAGGAGTAAGTAAAGGTGAATATGCGAAACTATAAGTATCTCACCTCAGTCATTGTGCGCAAAGGCAAACATCTGAGGTGACAATCTGAGTCTGTAGCTATCTAAATAGTACAAGTGCTCTTGTGTGAACAAATAAGTATATGAAACTGTAACAAAAGATATGTGGCGCTGGCCCATGCAATCAATAGATTCAGTAAGTACAAAGAAAAATAAATAACAAGATTGAACAATAGAAACATACGAGTCGTTGGGTTGAACCAATCAGAAGATACCAATAACGAAGCACCTCGGCTGCGGGCGCACTTGCTTAATTCTAACAGGGTCCTACCTTGGGCATTTCTGACACACAAATTCAATTCTTGTGTTTCCGCATAATTATGCAAAGAGCTGTAATCATTCAGATATGTCCATGTAGGTTATATACACTTTGTATTACCACTAGGTTATGTAATCTCTGATGTGGCTGACCAGTGTGCTAGGTTTGTTCAACCTTGACACTCCCCCTCAAACCTAGGACATCCTAAGTCCACATATATGTTGGTGATGTACAGGTTGGGGTAGTGCTTTTGTGAAGATGTCTGCCATTATTTGTACAGTAGGACAATACTTCAGTTTTATTAGTTGATCATCAACTTTGTTTTGAATATAGTGATTTTTTACAGCTATTTGCAAAAATGTTGTCAGTATGCATTATTTGAGAGAATAAGGAAATTAAAGAAAAGAAAAATCGCCACAACTGTGACTGTCTTGATGCGCCTGGCTCAATGCACTTTAACTTACCATTATCATATATCACGAAGTCTCTAGCCATGCCTTCAATTTTTGATGAGTTATCTGATGACACTACTATCAAACCTGAACATGAAACAGCCACTCCAATGGATAAACCTGACATCCCTTGACTTGAAGACCTCCAAGTTCAAGTTCCTGCACTTCCTGCAGCGAAGAAGAAACGGGGCCGACCTCGAAAGCAACAAGCTACTGGTAAAACTTAGGTTGCTACTTTATTTACACTTCTGAAGTGCTGGTTGGCAGTTCCTACCTCTGAGCCTGCAGGGCAGGATCTACGAGCAGCACCTGCACCTGCTTCAGAGGCTATTGTGAATGAACCACAGAGGCCTAAGATCACGTACTTTCTTGCCATGTTTCCAGAAGATCAACTGAGAAAGCCTGAGAAACAGCAGAAAGCCATCAACACTTTTCTTTGCCTGAGTTCGGACCAGGAGTTTGACACCCTCAAAGCACAAATCCTTCAGAAAATCTCCGAGAAACTCAAGCCAAAGACACTGGCTTATGAAAACTACTCTGTTGAGTGGTATATTTCCCGGCTTCAGACTGCTCCACTTGCATTATCTTCGGCTGATGACTACAAATTCCTTCTTGAGCATGCACTGAAACAAGAAGCCCTAACTGCAAACATTGTTATCCAAGCACTGCCCACAGCAAAGGTGATGTATTTCAGTCAATGTATGCGCCACTAACCTGACTTTTTGAAGAAGTTAAAGCACAGGAGAGACCATAATGAATCAGGAGATGAAAACCAGAGCAATGATGGTGGCAGTGAGAACAGCAGTAGTGAGGATGACAAACCAAAGAAGAAATCGAAGAAGGATGTGAGTATCTTTATGTGCTGTGCTTCCTGCAGATAAATGATCCTGCATTACAGAAAAAGTCAAAATCTGTTGTTAAGACAATCTTGAACGAGAAGATCACATCAAAGATTGTTCAGCTACAGAACAGGTGGTTGTGTTCAAAGGCTGGATGCTCCAGCAACCATTGTTTCATTCACCCTGAGCATCCTGACCACTTTCTGCTTGGACATAAGCAACTCTTGGTGTGGGCATCAGCCTGGGTATTTTATTTTCGTCTGACTCACCTTGCACTGTGTCCGTTACTCATTATTTGACCACTAGAACAAGGACAATGAACTTGCTGACCTTGAAACTCCACCCAACCATCTGAAATTCAACTTTATCCCTGGTCAGAAATCTGAGGTGTCACCCCTGCTTCAACATCGTCTAGCTGAGCGTAACCAGCCAATGACTGGACATGCTAGCAGCCCCATCATCAATTTCAACATCCCCCCTGATCTCCTTGCTCTGTGGCATCCTCCAGGCGAAATCTGTGATGTTCAAAATGTCAATAATGCACCTGCTGCTGCCATCACATCGGACCAAGCTTCACTAATGCCTGTGGGTGCTCAACTTGGCCCTGACCTCTCCCTCAATGACTTCTGTGCTCAGTATTCCCTTAGCGATGATATCCAATCGAAGTTGCATAAGAATGGCTATATGGGGACTGATGTGGAAACAACAACCTTGCTGGGTGGCAAGAAAAGGTTGGGTCAAGCTAATGCCTAGCTGCTATGTCTATACAGACGTGTTCGACCCTAAAGGGAATTGCTACTAGAATGATGATGGATATGTGTGACCCGAGAGCGCACTAAGTGCAGGAAAATAGCGGACAAGATATGCGCGAGGTGCGGGAATGTATCTGAGGCTATCTGAAGCGCAGGAACACACGGCCAAAGGTGCGGAAAGTGTGGGAAAGTGTGGACAAGGTATAGGGAGGTTAAGGAACGAGGTTTAGAGAGCGAGGGCAAAGGTATATTGCAAGGTAAGGAAAGTCTAGATATAGAGAGGTATAAGGAACCTAATAGGGGCTAAAAAGCGCACACTACAAGGGACTACTTTGAAGGTAAACCTATAGGGGGAGGTATACAGTACGAGGGAAGTGTAGTAAGTAATACTTAGAAGTAGTCAACTTATACTATCTAGACTCTCACTTGGAGAAGGAAGGAATAGGAAAGATAGTAAATATGTAAGGACATGTAATAAGGCTGCAACACATTTTACAAGCCTCGAGGTAAGGAAATTCACATACCAATGGGGTTTGGACAGACTATGGATGGACAAGGATCTTTCCTAATGCATTTCCGAGGTATCTGAAGCATGGGAACACGCGTCCGATGCGGCCGATGCGCGGGAAAGTGCAGATAAGCAGATGCGCAAAGTGCGGGAAAAGTGGGTTTGGTTTCAGACAGAGGTTACTTGCTGGACAAATGATGGACAATGGTAAGGAAACCTATAGTGCTCTATACTCCTAGACACATATATGAAAACAGCCCACTTGCTGCCCAGGGAGGATCCAAGTGTCACACCGAAACACTCTCTTTCATCATTGTTGCAGAGCTGAAGGACATGGGCTTCAAGTTCAGAGAAGTTGCAGTGATGAAGGCTGCAGTGTGACACTGGTCCATATTGTAAATTTTCACTTTGCTCCATCTGCTCTCATGTTGCATACTGTTCAAGCTATAAATCCAATTGTCTGTATTTGTATTCTGTTACTTTGCAATTCAGTACAAGTTCGAGTGCAAAACATGACATTCAATGAGAGCTCGCAAGTGCAGTACAGTAAACATAACACAGAGAACAGCTCTAAAAGTAGCCTGCATGCATGATATATCCTATGGCATCCGAGTCCATAATGATGTCCATTGCAATGTACATATTGTAAATGATGGCATCAATCTTGTCAGTGAAACAATCTTGATTACAATGTATGAAAGCTTTGATCTTCAAAAAGGCCTCCTTGACGGGATTGAGATCAGGTGAGTATGGCGGCAGGTACTCAAGTCGTACACCTACATAAACTGAATATGAGTACAATGAACAAACTAGATATGTACCAGCTTCACAAATCAAATCTGCAACACCATCTCCATGGTGTATCTTCGCATTATCCATGATAAGCATGCTCAATTTTCCTGGATACTCGGTGCATAAGGGTAGCTAGTATTTGATGATCAGAATGTGCTTGGTTGACAGAGAAAGCAAAATGCACTTACAACATCCTCCTCGATAAATGTCTTGAACTTCGCAGTTGTGAAAGAGCCCTTGACAACAGAGATGGCTATCATGCCATCAATAGTAAGCAGACTGAGTCCAGACAAGCAATGGCCGTGAATGAAAACCTGCTTCTTGACTGCATGAGCACCCTTCATTGACCACCCACTGCATCTTCCCAGTGTCCTCTCATCTTTGGAGGTCTCATCCAAGAACCCAAGCTCCTCTGGCTCATACTGAGCCATCTGCCGGATAAAATTAGCACGTTGTGACTCATTTCTCTCTTTGGCGATTTTCTTCAGTTTCTTGAGTGACATGCCTGCATGCACAAGTTCACGATAGATGGTTGTAAAGTGGACTGAGATGAAACGGTTGGATTTGAGCATGCCGAGAAGTTCATCTAGAAACCAATCTGGACGATGGTTAATGAGGCACAGTAGGTAGCTGACATCCTCAAAGTGGAGGCTCTGTGGTCGGCCAGGGAGACCAGTATTGTGCCACACAACATCCCCCATCTCTTGCCAGAGCTTCATGACACGCCAAAAAGTACATTCTGTAAAGCCAACACAGTCCACAATCTGTCCGATAGTGAGCAAATTCTGTTTGAAAAGATTTACAGCAGCAAGCTTGAGGTCACAGCTGATTTTACGGTAAGGCATGGTATTATGATGGTGTGTTGAGCCAGGCACAGTTGTGGCAATTTTTTTTTTTTAATTTCCTTATTCTCTCAAATCACGCGTACTGACAATGTTTTTGCAAATAGCTATAAATCAAAATGCTTGATTCTTTTGTGATACTGTGGGTTTTGTGCAATCACTGACATGCTAGAGTTGTTTGCATATAAAAAGTAGCCTCCTTCTGCTTGTATCCTAACTCCAAGTATAGATTTTGGAGCCATACTGCTTCTCTTACTGCATCTGAGAGACAGATATATGTATCAGCTGATTATGTTAATATGATATATTATATTAGTGTGATTGAAGCAAATTCATGATATATCCCTGCCATTGAGTTAAAGCATAGGGCAATGATATATCACCTGTGCACTGATACTATTGTGCATTTGGCTGTGCTATTCTTAGCCTATGCCTGGTCATAGTCTAATTTAAGCTTTGGTTTGTTAGAAACCAGCAGGAATCTAGATCTTTGCTTGTCTCTGCATAGCCACAAACTAGTTACTCAATCACTTTTTGTGTGCATCATCGCTCACACTTATTATAGCTTCACATATCCCAAATGCATATGATATCACTTTACTTGTTCAATTTTGTGTGCTGTTTAATATTATAGGTAAACAACAATCACTGGACACTACATGAAGTGAGCACCCAGTCAAATATGTGTGGTCTTGCATGGCCTAGTCTGCTATACTTGTGAGACAAGTGCATTTGATTATAATACTCCTGGGCTACCCCTGACCCTTAGTCTGAGGGGTAAGACCTTCTAGGGGTAAGAGTGTGGATTGGGCTCATGATACCCAGGGGTTTACCCCTGCTGATCTCTAGTTGTAGATGTTCTCAAAACTTGGATCAAAAAATATCCAGGTGATATTCTCTTAGAGAAGTGGGCATATGGCATTCTCAAAGCTGCATGAGGTCTCATTCTTGCAGCCAGCAATGCAGTGAGTCAGTTTTATCTTATTTCTAATAAAATATTGACATACTAGTATAGTTGCCAGTCCTCGATGTAGAGGTGGATTCTATAAAGCATAAGCCAGTCAATGTCAATAATCATCAATCAGAGAAAAGAAAGAAGGTTTAGAAACTTGATACACATATCTTCTCAACCTTTGACAATGACTGATACCTTACTGCTGATGAAGGCGAGGATTCTTGGAAAGGTGGTGCTAAAATGCACCCGCTACTTCACAAGATTTCAAAGCCTTATCATCTGGCAAGTGATCCTACTGCTATCAAAATTGTATAATGCATTGCTAGCTGTGGGTGTAATGTGACATGGGTATGGCCAAGAGCTCAACTACATATAATGAAGCATGCTGCCCATGAGTGTCCAAGCATGGCAAAAGAGTGGCAGAAAGAAGCAAGAGAATATATGGTGTCCCAGGCAATAGGAAGGAAAGCAAAGGTCACAGAAGCAGCATTAGACTTAAATTCTAATGAAAATGTTCTTCTATTGGAGATAACAGAATGGCCGATGAAGAAAGTAAGAATGGAGTTCCAGGCTGCATCAAGTTCAAAACCAGTTATGCCATTCAACAAGACATATGTTATAGAAGGAACCAAGCAGTTGAAGATGAATGGGAATCATGCACTGATGCTATTTGTTACGTGCACTAGAGTTCCACCAGACATCATCATTGATTCCAAGGAGTTCAGGGCACTCTGCACTATCCTGAATATGAACTACAAGACTCCCTACACATCAACTCTTTCTAAGTGACTGATCCCAAATGAATGTGGGAGAATCATCATTGCAATAGTCAACTATTAGAAAACACAACATGATCTCACCATTACATTTGATGGTGGGAAGGTCCAGAATCATTCTACACTGTCCACATCACCACTGCTGAATGACGAACATTTCTATTTGAGCTTGATGATGCATCAATGCTCAGTCATACAGCTCATTATATTGGGGAGTTATTGGAAAGTGTGAGTGCTAAACTCATTGATTGCTTAAATGAATTTAAAGCTCACTCAATAACAATAGGTTATTCTTGATATTGGACTCTTTTGGTTCTCTGGCTTGTCATCAGATGACACAGGAAACACAAAGAATAGCTACAGATATTTGTCAGCAAAACAGCCCTATATACTAAACCTCCATGATGCATGTCATTTGCTATCACTATGCAGCAAGCAAATATGCCAGCTGCCAGAACTCAAAGAGGTGATAAACACTTGTATGGCTTAAGATTTGACTCTTCAATGATGTTATCATACCCACAGATTTCTGGCCATCTGAGAAAGATTCTATCATTCATGGTTAAGTCAGGCTACACCATGGAGCACTTCAATTACCAGTGCAATGTGCTTAAAATTGGTTGTGGTTTTGAGAAGATCAGCAAAACTTGATTCATGAATATCCATTGGTTGGTGGCTTCACTGCAATGAGGTTTACCAGCAATGCGAGCCACAGTCAGTGATAGTGATGTTCTGGCCTGGCTTGGCTCAAAAGCCCTGGTGTAGAGATACAACTATTGCTGGACACTACATGAAGTAAGTGTTTAGCAATATAAAAAATGTGTTGTAGTCTTGCACAGCCTAGTCTGCTATACTTGCAGAGCAAGTGTGTTCAATCTGAGGGGTTTGCTGTTTGAAATAGGTCTGTAGTTAGTGAAACAATATACAGTCAAAAGTCCGAGTGCAAGAAACAATGTCCGAAGTATATCTATGATGTCCGATGCCAAAGTGTCAGGTCCAATGTTTTCGGGTTTCAGGTTAGCGGGTTTCAGGTTTGGGTTTAGCGGGTTAGTGGGAATTGTGATAACAAATTTCGGAAAAGTGAGCAGTATGTGGATTAATGATAATGACAGGTATTTTGGATAGAAAGAGCAGTAATATTCGCAATGTCAACTAAGAACTACGAAATATCAGGTTTGACCACTAAGTATTGGGAAACGGCTCCCTACTACTTGGATGATGGAAATACTCGAGGTCAGTCCAATATATATGTAAGTACGTAGAAATCCGGAAACCTGTAGGTGAAAGTAGCGGCCAAATATTTCGGGTCCGAAGTACATGTAAATAAACACGAGGTACTGCAGATGACGGGAAAACATGTAATAGTGCTGGCTATGATGTGAGTGATTGTGCAAAATAATCAACTATGCACCTAGTGGGGCTAGCAAGACAGGACAGGACATGGATAGGACAAGTGCGCAGGATTTCAGGTCGGCCGATGCAGCCAAAATGTCAGGTCCGCTAGTCAAAGTGTCGGGTTTCATCAGGTTTGAGCGGGTTAGCGTTGGGTTACATCGGGGAATGATTGGCAAGTGACAGGTATTGGATATGTATTGGGAAATCACTGAATATGTGCTCAGTGTGAGCTCGAGTGCTACACTGGCTTCAGATGGCTTGGGCTTTCAGAAATCACAAGCCAGGCCAAAGCCCTTGACAATGGCTTGGCCCTGGCCTGGCCTGGCCTGGCCTGGCCTGAGCCGCGGCCTGAGTATAAACATGAGTAGGCAAATGAAATCAATGATTAATAGGTAGATAGAACAAAAATTAAATGATATCTATATCATCCATTAGACAAACAACATAACCTATGCCGCATACGCCCCACAATGTTATTGAGCAGCTCCACCATGCCATTCCCAACATTGCAAACACCATGTGCAAATGCCCAGTGCACATCAGCAACTGCTGACATGGCTCAGACAAATACAGATGATGGATGAGAGCAGGAGGAGGGAAGAAGGCAAGGAGGAGAACGAGGGACAGGAGATGGATGAGACAAGCTGGAAGGGAGACATTGAGTAACACAAACTGAACCCTAAAATATCCATGAAGACATACAAAGTTAGATGTAACAATAAATTGGGGAAAGCCCACAGAATAAGAGCCATGGTGATGAAGACCGACCAATTTGTGACATGTTGACCAGGATGCACTCTGATATTGTAAGGCATGAGGAATGGTCGAGAGATGAACAATACTACTCACCAGCAGCCAAAGCCAAAAGTCAAAAATCAGATATCACCTCACATACGACCACAGTGCATCATCAATCCAATGCTGAGGATTAAATGTGTGTGGTTCCGGGAAGACCTCTGGAGCATTTGCAATAGCCCTTAAGCATGAGTGTCAGACACAAACGTGGAGGGTGAAAATGATTGTGTACTGACCAATGGTTCCCAATAACAGTTGCACCTGCCAGAATGAGGTATTTCTTCTATATGATGGCCTTAGTTGCACAATGCGCAAAGCCTGTAGTGAAAGGCAGTACAGATACCCTATACTACCTAAAAGCCCCAGCTTGGGCCGGCAGCTCCAGCTTTGCAAAATGATGGGCCAGGCCAAAGCCCTGTGCAAGCCATGACTTTGGCTTGGCTTGGCCCAGCTTAATGGGGGCTGGCTTTGGCCAGCCCGCAGCCTGAAGCCGGGCCATGCACATCACTAGTCAGTGATTCAAAATTGGGGATTGATATCAAGGTAGATACATCTGTTGTCAGTGTAATTTGCCTGTCAACCAGACGCCATACCCTAATTCCTGGAACCCTATACTAAAGGCATTGATCTATGCAGTCTCCTCATAAATCTCTGCCTTCACTTCTTTTGATTCAGCTGCAAAAGAACTGTTTATATGTTTCTGCACAATAGCAATTCTCTTCTTGGTGTCAAGCTTGTTTTTCTGGATGTCATCCTCAACTAGTGGCTGTACCTTCATTTTGTAGTATGCCTTCGAGTACATGTTATCTATCTTATCTTCGAGATTGAATGAGATGCAAAATATTATCATTAATCAAAACATTTGGTTCCATATTTTGTAGGTTTATAAAAACGGAATAAAATAATAACATTAAAATGCATCTCCACCAATCGGAGGAGTGCGCCACTGAAGTCGTAAACATTCGTAAGTGTCCGTGATGCGCTTAACTTAAGCGTTCATTTCAGTGGCCCTTGGTTTCAAAGCGAATTCGGAAACCGCCGATGTGTAAGAGTCTTTAATTTGTTCACTGATGCGCTTGATCTAAGATCAGCTGAGCAGGCGAAGCGCCTTGAACGTTCTGAACGACACTCGCAGCAACTTGCAATGTACACAAGTCATCAGTGAACCCGGAACCGGTGATCGGCGAAGTCAAGTCCATGTGCCGGTTAAAATTGGCAGGTTCAGCGTCTTGCTGCAACAGCTCGTTTGACTGAACTTTAACTGTTACAGTTACTAATTCATACCACACTCAACCTCGGCGGGCCGGCAAGGTCAGTACTATAGCAAAAAGATGTTGCAGTCGCGAAATGCGAAATGCGCCATGGGCCATAGGCTATTGCTGTTCTCATATACTACCTACTTGCGACCGTAACCGTGACTCAGCCCCCAACTACTACAAGCACAATTGGAAGGTATGAAGAACAGCCAACGGCAGCCACGAACTTCCCAGTGGCACACAACTCAAACGCCCAGGTAAATCGGTTCACGCAGAAGCCGGCTGTCTAGCAAATCCGATTCAAGGGCCATCATGTGCTACCGCCCTGTCGCATGATTAGGGTCTCCAGAATCAGGTACCGGGGCACGAAGGAGACGCTGGCTGAATCGCAAACCAAGGAAGGAGGTACAACCTATGCGATCCAAAACATATAAAAGCCTCCTTACTGAGACTCTAACTGCAGAACTCAAGCTCTTCAATCCACGCTCAATCTCAACTACCAGTACACTTTGTGTTTTAACAATCTGAAACAATGTCACCCCGACCCTTTGTCAAGAATTTGACCTTCCAGTCGTGAGTGTTCGCGATCTCGCTCTGCACAGATTGCTCACCCGACGTTTCGCAGCAACGACCTCGGCAAGGAGGTCACGATCATGCTCGCTTGGAGTCCCAACGTGGAAGGCCTCTACGAGGACGTCTTCCCGATAGTTTGGAAGTAAGTGCGCCTACTCGTGTCTTGGACGATTTAAAACCTTGCTATTTTTTTCAGAGTCAGCAAATTCGGGAAGTCGGGTGGGTTTTCCTGTTCTCTTGCTGCCAAGTTCCCGACTTACATATGAGCCCTCTCTCCAGGTCCATACAGGGCTACCGCGACCTACACGGCCCAGTAAGATGATCGACAAGATCAATAGTCTTCAAAGTCGCTTACATATTGTATAGGCTTGCATTCGCCAGAGCCCAGGTCGAGAGTGGGAAGGTCATCAGCGCTGCGACCTCCGTCAATATCAATGTGAGCGATTCTCATCTACTTCGAAATTGCTAGCACCAACGCAAGCCATGATGTAGAACAACGAGAAAACAACCCTGACAGAAGCCAACGATGTCTATCACTTCTCTGTAAGTCTGGCTTCCGTTTATTTTCGTCCCGACCACCGACGAATACCTCGTGTAGCCCCCTCAGGCGGGAACCGCTGGCATCCTGCAGGCCCAGAACCACACTGGGAGTATTCAAGAAATAGCAGTCGGTTTGTGACCATCATCATCTCCTCTTCTTTCACCTGAGCATATTGTCCACCTCCAGGCTTCGTAAACAAAGGAGATTTTATGCCCACACCCGTACTCTACTTCAGCGATGTTGGGTATGTCATCTTTCCTGTATTTCTCCTTCAGAGCGTTCACAGTATCAAATGCAGAGATGGCAGTCGCGTCACGGCAAAGTTCAGTCCGGTCCTGCGTGCCTACATCACGTCGGACTATGAAGAGACCTCAATCTTGCGAGGTCAAGTCGACACTCCTGCGATCTGGTCGCAGGACCTCACTGGGCTTGCTCAGAACACAACTTGGAACCTCTCGCGCGACGCGAACACTGGACGTTACACGATCACCCATGCTTGATTAGGGGATGCGACATCGGTGCGTCTAGACATCCGTTCTGTGATATCTGCATCTCAATGTTTACTGTGGTTTCGTAGTATCTTCGTTCAAATCAATGGACTCACTAAGTTGCTTATTTCTATATAAGATTGCTTGTATGTCATGTATTTTGCGCGAGTTGAAATTTGTAGAACTTCTTATGGGGCTTTATCTATGTGTTTGAAATCTTGCATTTTGTTTAACAGGATCTCTCTCGAGTGCATGTCAAGATGTTGACTTTGTGAAACCATTGACCTAACCAACATTGACGCTCCAACGTCATGATGCATACAGCTTTGTGTGTGATTTTGAGATTGTAGTTGTTGAACGTTGAATATTGAATGACAGAGGTTTCTCTTTCTATAGTAGACAGGGGTTATTATTTATGTGGCTTAAGTGAACATGTGATCAGTCCCCACGGTGTATCAGCTAGCAGCTCTGCTAGTAAGTTACCCTGAACCCAATTGCAAGATCCGCACGGGACCACTAAGTCAGGCCGTTTGATATCGAAAGAAGCAAGGTACTGACCTGAAGTTCTGCTCTAGTCAGCTCATCTCACTTGATTAAACCGGCAGTCGCGATGATGGAAACGGAGTCCATTCCTGATACGGCTCTAGTCAAAGCGCTGAATTATGGCGGCACCTTCCACCAGTCATTCTCTTCTCTAGATGCCGATGTTGTGCTCGGCGCCAAAGATCAAACTCTGTTCCGCATCCACTCATGGACGCTCAAAACGACATCGGGCTGGTTCCGATCCCTCTTTTCCATGCCTCAACAAAACCCTCTCCCTAATCACCCCGAGGTCATCAATCTAGACGAGGACTCGCACACACTAGAGAGTCTCCTACTCATGATCTGCGGTCTGCCGATCAATCCACTCACGTCGTATGATGAAGCCGATGCAATGTTATTCGCTGCAGAAAAATACGACATGCCAGGGCCTATGTCGCTCATACGCGTGCTTATCATGACGCCCCCGTTCTTAGACCAGCCTCTGCGTCTATACGCAGCTGCAACCCGTTGTGGATGGGAAGAGGAGGCCAGACATGCATCCGCGCAGTCGCTCGCTCTGAACATCTACGCACAGGAATATCAACCCGTCCTCCGAAAGCTGCACACGGGTGCTGTGCTTGACCTGATGAACTTGCATCGCAATCGACGCGAGGGCATCCGGCAACGACTCAATGAGCAGCCGTTCGTGACAGGAAGCATGACAGCATCTTGTCCGAGGTGTAGATGGAAGATTGATCATCATACGTGGAGAGAGCTCAAGTATAGAGTCGTGATGGAGATGGATGTGCGACCGCTGGGAGACACGGTCGTCGATGTGGGATTGACTGAGTGGCCTGAAGCGATCGCATGTTGGGATGCCAGGTGCCCTAATACTGAGTGCACGTGCGTGTTGTACGACAAGGTCGAGACTTTGCGTCTCATTCGAGATTGCATTGACGGCCTTCCTAAGACGACGTGAAACGTAGTAGTGCACTACTAGACACGATATATCATGATATCAATAGGTTAGTCGAGCAAATGTTATATTTCAAGGATGCCCAATTTTGGCCAAATTAGGAATATTTATACTCATTCATGCTCGTCTACCATCGAGTCTCTCATTATGCAGGTGCAAGTCTTGCAAGGGCAGCTGCACGCTGCCTCACATCCTCTGCTATGCTGTCAGAGAGCAGCAGCAGCACGCAACCTAACTCCATTTTTGCTGCCAAAGAATCTCCTTGGGACCACATATTGGACGACTCAATAAAAGAGATGCCACCTATCCTCCCCTCCCCAGTCGCCAATCACTTACGCGTTGGCGGCGTAGAAACCTCAGGGCGCACCCGGGCACGCAGACAAGCGATGACTGCCCGCGAAATCAGCGCCTTCGATGATATGTTCAACATGATCTTCGACGCAGTCTCAGAGCAAAAGAACCCCTCCGCCAAATTCTCCTCCTCAAAACAAGAAGACCCGCTCGCTGTTCTCGACGGAATAGGAATCGGTCGCAAACCATTCGGCCACGCCCCAACGTCAGATTTATTCGGCAAACTCAGACGGCACTCAAAACGGCTGAAATGGACGACAGAGGCGGATGAGGAATTTGATAAGAAGAAGGAGGAAATGGAGCTTTGCGATACGGATCAGCAGCTGCTTGAATGGTCTATGCGCGAGGTGTTTGGGCAGTCTCAGCAATACGAGGAACGCGCACGGAATGCTATTGCTAAAGCCGAGGAACAGCACACTCCAGGCCTTACTCCAACCTCGAAAAGTGCAAGCGCAAATCCACCGCCACAACTTGCATCTATGCACCCTGAACTCCAACACCCGACTTATCCCTACCTCATCGCGCACCTCATGCGCTCTTTCCGTGATAAATACCGTGATCCCCACCTAGCTCTCTCCATCTTCGACTATGCCCGGCACTTAAGCATCCCAAGCTACGTATTCGGGTGCACCACACCCGCATACAATGAGCTGATAGAAACCCGCTGGTCATGTTTCCGCGACCTCAGAGGCGTGCACGACGCCCTCGAAGAGATGCGGGTCAATGGCGTCGAGCCGGATGGTAGAACCAAGAAACTCGTCGAAAAACTAAGGCGTGAAGTAGGCGCGCGCACGATCTGGGAAGAGGAGTCTGTGTTTGGGAGTGGAGAAGTCGTCGGGATGTTGTCTAAGATCGAGCAGCTTACTATCAAGGAGCCGAGAAGGAAACAGGGGAAAAGGCCGGGCAAGAAATTGCCGGCTTTGGATGCATGGAAGGGCGATGCGCTCAAGGAGAATGTGGAGGACGGGTATGAGTTCGGCCAGTGGGGTTCTCGCCAGTCGCAGCCAACACGTCGGAAACAAGGTTCTGAACGGACAGCTGCCACAGGGCTGGATGATTTTCTGGATTCCAAGATACTGGGCGAAGATCAGCTGGAATTCAAATAGCGTATTAATCTATACATTTTTGTCGTAATTAAGGAGAGGTGGGAGCAGTGTGTGCTACCCTGATGAGTGACAGCAGAGTTGGAAGATGACACATCGATGATGGACGATAAGAGATACAACTGAAGATGTCTGTATACACATGAATGCAATTTCAAGCTGGATGGTGGGTGATGGTGGATATACGATACCACAGTAATTGCGGGAGTTAGACAGGCGAGGTTGTGGGGCGATGGTAGACCGGCACCAAGGCCATGACAGGAACATTATCGTTATCCGCGTCAATTTGATCGCAGACGAACACTTGTTCGTACCTGCAAAGATATCAATACAGATCGACAAGGACATCACCGGAACGCGCACTGAATATTGTGAACACAACGGCCATAGATTCCGAATTACACCTCTATCGTGGACAGACACATACGAACTGTATGCGCGTTTCAGGTTCGTGAGAATGCGCGATGCAGTCTTTGTACATCTCTTCATGCATCATGGGTCGCATAGCTTGCGCAACCAGAGCTTGAGCAACGAAGCTAGGACATGTGGACCATCTACGCCGTCAGGCGTATAATTGCTCCCATCAGTGTGCAACTTCAGTTCCGACACGAAGTCGCTATCCCCAGGGACGCGGTAGATACCTTCCACTTTCACAGCCCCAAGAGCGGAGATCCGTCTGCGAGGAACGGGAGACGATGGGAGTCTGCTTGTGTGGTAGTTGCGCTCTGCAGGCGCACCGTCACGTCCAGCGGTTCCCCGAATGTGGATGGGTTGAAAGCAGCATCTGACGCGGTCTCGATCTCTGCCATCGTCAGAGGCTTTATGCGTGGTCCTTTCTTCGAGATCGCAACTAGACGGTGGAGACAGTACTTATCACGTCAACCCGCCCTCTTGCTGAGCCATTCGATGTTGCATAAAGGAACGCAGGTAGGTCTCGAAACTCTTCGAGGGCGGTAAAGCAATAAGGAGTACATAGGGTATTGCCAGCCTTTGAAGACGCTTTCCCTAAAACATTTGTATGATGACTAGAGACCAGATGTAGACAGATGACATACGTATGCCGTTGGGATTCCCGTTGAGCTGCTTCATCAATTGGCAATATACCTCATCCCTTAGCTCGCCATGAGCCACCTTCTCCAAGTAACCATCGCTGTTCCTCTAGTAAGCCGACAGTACTTCCCGTGAAGTGGTAGGCTTAGGCCTGGGCGCCTATATATATGTTGACTAGCTAGTCGCAAGGACTCGAGATGGGTACCAGCCTTCTGCTATGTCATCATTCGTGCAACTGGAGTTTTGCGCCTGAAGATGAAGCATGTACAATGTGTCGAGAAATGTCTTGCGTAGTCTGATTCAACGAACTATGGAAAGTCTGATGCGAGGTAATGAAGGATAGGTGTCTTGAGAGGAGGTATGAGACACTGTTAATCCATAGATGTGGCGTACTTACTACCCATACGCCAAAGTAGTACTAGGAGCAAGGTGAATAGGCTTCCTAATATCGTAATTGGTCTTCCTCCTGTGGGGCTCTTTGCAGCGCTCATGTTCTTGGTTACCTCTGGACGTGTCAGGCTATCAGCCAACAGAGTACTATCGGTAGTGAAAAGCTATACCTTTGTTGAGAACAGGACTGCTAATAGTCTTATCAAATACTGTGGCAGGGATCGATGTACTGTGTGCCATCCAAAAACTGTTGCTCGTAACCAGTTTTGGAGTTCTCGTTTCTCATTCATCTACTCTTTGGGAGGATGGCTTATGCTCAGCCGTGGTTTATCTATGGTCGATGGGGATGACGGTGGTAGCCCGTGACCAGTGTCAGAAGTAGCCTGTGACTCATACAACGATAGCATCTCCACAGCATCATTGAGACTTTGTGGGATGGGGGATCGGTGTGGTACATAAGAGGATGATTTGGCCCGCGATCGCGATGGTGAGGTGTCATCGTTAGTATCTGAGGCTAGACGTTTGTCTTTCTCTTCGTGAGGATTGGTGAGGACAGTGGTGAAGAAGGTTTCGCTGTGGTAGATGATGTCCATTTCAAGTTTTCCGTCCATAAGGGGAGCTTAGCCATATTGATCCATAGCGAATGAGCACCTTACGGTAGGACGTTCTTAGTCGGGCTACCACCAGAAGCTGATGTCCTTCCTGAAGAACTCCGTGTAGATGATAAGGAGCATCGGAGCAACGAGGGCTCCTTGTTGGAACGGAACCGCGTGCGTCTTTTGACTATTCGATATCATCATATATATTCCACCTACTGCGACTATCGCAATATGTTTGAGGAATGTCGGGCTTGTGCATGATGACAGTTGTATATTTTGGTGTGGTGTGGCAGTGATGCGGCGAAATAAATACCTGAGCCCCACATGTACAAATAACGCGAGCCAATTTCAATTTTGTACTCTCAATGTTACGAGCTCAGATGCTTGTATACATACAGCAGTGTATATACCTCAGGCTCAGTGTCAAAGAAGATAAACCATAAAACACCTTGGTGCGTGACATATTGCATGCCGGTTGGCAACTGTATTGAATGTCTTGGACCATCGGACGTCTCATGGACTGCCAGGGGCTATTAATTCGTATGCTATACAGGAATGACAAGCCTCGAACAGCACTGTCCATATCGATGTAGAAGATACAGGGGTATTAGACAGGTGCACATCAAGCTAACCACCACTACATCTGCTACCGGTGTCGTCCGGCTTATGACAAAACAATTGGCTTCATCCATAAAGCCAAGGATGCGAGAAGGGATGTTCTTATCGGAGGCACCGGTAAGGCGGATAGTATGACTCACCTGCAACTTTTCTCATGATCCTACAGGTGATGACTCCAGGGGCCACTTCGTACAGCCTACTATTATTCTAACCAAAGATCCTGAATCAATCACCATGAAAGAAGAAATTTTTGGTCCTGTCATCGCTGATGATTTTTTGTTTGGAAATGCGGCCAGATGTACCAACAATTTTTCAGGCTTATGTATACGACGACGCGAATTGTGAGAAGACTCTGGAACTCATCGATAACACCCCTGCCTTACGCACTGACTGGCTCTATGTAAGTCATCTCTGCGATATGCGACCTCTTCTCCAGCTTCTCCGCAGACCGCAAAGCCCTTCTAACTGCCACAAACAAGCTACGCAACGCTGCCAGCAATGTCTATTACAACGAGAAATCCACTGGCGCGGCCGTGAGCTAACAACCCTTTGGAGGAGGACAAACGAGTGGGACCAATGATAAAGCTAGGAATATTAGCATCTTCTATTGGTTCGTTTCGGCGAGAAGAATAAAGGTGAACTTCGTGGGCCTGGAGGACTTCCAATACCCGTCAAACTTATTTTGAAATAATTGGTATAAAGGCAACAATGCTAGTAATCGATGTTGTATCAATCAAAGAATCGTGTTGTTACTTGTGTCCGATGCAAAACGTGCATGGATGAATGCATCCTGAGGAACAAAGAGCACCAGATAAACAAACCTCATTATGCCATCGTCACTCTATGATACTTGTAGCGTACAATGGATTTGACATGCTATTGGTGAAGCATCCACTCTGCAACCACGACGATAGCGAACAACTTTAAAATTCGAACTCGATAGCAGATATAGGATCGACATAGAACAAAACCGTATACTCGGTATTACTACAACTGGATCATTTGCAAGTAGTGCTGAAAGTATTGGTTCAGCAACTACAAGAGACAATCAAGGCCATGAACTCACGCATCTCGGCAATTCGACCAGTCTTCTCCATGAGCCATTTGACTCAAATTAATCTCTTGCCCACTGGGTATCGTCAATGCAGTCCCAGGTGAATAAAATGGTCGTTCTTGGGAAGCAGGCAGTACCCAGAAAAGCAGTTGATGCAAGGCTCCTTTCATCCATCCATCGTTCAGCATGACATGGGTTGAATTAAGATGAGAGGTGCCCTCAAGTAGCTCAACGGGGGTATCCTCAGGTAGCTCAGCGGAGACATCCTCAAGAAGCTCATCAGGGTTTTGCAGTGCATATTCCAAGCTTGATGCGAAGCAAATAGTGCGATTGTTCCGAGTAGGGATCTGCACGGGTACGGGTAACCCGCGCGGGTCACGGGTACGGGTACTACTGGGGTACGGGTACGGGTCGGGATTCTAAGACCCGCGCTCTTACCCGTACCCCAGCTATACCCGTGCCTTCCATAAACGCGATACTTCCCGCGTGCACGCTACAACTGGCACCACCACCAAGCACTCACCTGCTAACACGCCACCACCAGCATCCTCGCGTTCGGCAGCACTCGCTGCACCCCCCATGCCAATTCTTCCGGCACCCGTTCTAACGCCACTAAGCACATCAACGGACGCCCTCAGCCAGCAACCACCACCACCATTCACACGTTCCTCGACGCCGGCACCACCATCACCATCGCTAGCAGCTCCCTTCCCACAGCAACAACCACCTCCATCCAGGACGCCACCAGCAGCTCCCACCTCGTGCTACCAACCGCCAGCATCGAGCATCTGCGCCCAGAGCACGCCAGCGAATGCTGGCGTGGCTCGGACACATACGGAGGATACGAGGATGAGGAAAGAAGGGAAAGAGAAGGAAGTGAGAAGGAAAAGAGGAGGAACGAGAGGAGGAAGGAAGGATCTTGTCAGTAAGTCGCCGTCCTGACTCTGCCCCCATTTTCTGCAACAAGGACGCGACGCCTGACACGTCACACTCTCGCGCCACCACACCACCATCTCCCATTTCGACACGCTCACCTTCGACTTCGATCATACGCGACACACCACCTGCCACGACATCAGCGTCTATTTCGACGCGTCCGTCATTCGCGCTGTGCCTCCACTCCTCCTTGTGCCATCCACATATGTTCGAGTCACGTCAGCATTCGCTGACGTGTGCTGGACATATGTGCTAAGCACTGGCAGATCTATGACCCGCGGGTACACCCTTGATGGGTTGTACCCCGGGTCCTTACTTCGCTACCCACTGTGCAACCCGTACCCTTGCTGCGGGTGTGGGTTTACCTCGGGGTGCGGGTGCAGGTTGACCTGCCGACACCCGGGGGTTCACCCGTGCGGATCCCTAGTTCCGAGTATTGATTAACATGATAGTGTCCTGTTTGCAAGGTGTGGTGAGACGTCTGTCCAAAGAGAATGCGGAGGAGTGGATCTGAGTGTGTTCCTGGAATTGCTCGTCTGTCGCTGAATTCCACAACCGGACAATGGAATGCAAGGAACCAGACATGATGCGAGTGCCATCGGGCGAGAATGAGACTGACTCAACCGGATGAGTGTGCCCTCGGAAGGGCTCACCTAATGGCAGCCCCATTGCTGCATCCCACAGCCGAACAGTGGAATCCGAAGAACCAGACACGATGCGAGTGCCATTGGGCGAGAACAAAACTGACCAAACTAAATCAATGTGCCCTCAGAGGGGCTCACCCAATGGCAGCCCCGTTGCTGCATCCCACAGCTGGACAGTGGAATCCGAAGAACCGGACACGATATGAGTGCCATCGGGCGAGAACGAGACTGACAAAACCGGACCAGTGTGCCCTTGGAAGGGCTCACCCAATGGCAGCCCCGTTGCTGCATCCCACAACTGGACAGTGGAATCTGAAGAACCAGACACGATGCGAGTGCCATTGGGCGAGAACGAGACTGACAAAACTGGATCAGTGTGCCCTCGGAGGGGCTCACCCAATGGCAGTCCCGTTGCTGCATCCCACAGCCGGACAGTGGAATCCGAAGAACCAGACACAATGCGAGTGCCATCGGGCGCGAACGAGACTGACTCAACCGGTTGAGTGTGCCCTCAGAAGGGCTCACCTAATGGCAGCCCCATTGCTGCATCCCACAGCCGGACAGTGGAATCCGAAGAACCAGACACGATGCGAGTGCCATCAGGCGAGAACAAGACCGACAAAATCGAATCAGTGTGCCCTCGGAAGGGCTCACCCAATGGCAGTCCCATTGCTGCATCCCACAACCGGACAGTAGAATCGTATGAACCAGACACAATGTGAGTGCCATCGAGCGAGAACGAGACTGATGAAACTGGATCACTGTGCCCTCGGAGGGGCTCACCCAATGGCAGCCCTGTTGCTGCATCCCACAGCCGGACAGTGGAATCCTCTGAACCAGACACAATGTGAGTGCCATCTGGCGAGAACAAGACTGACCAAACCAGACCAGTGTGCCCACTGATCATGGTCTGAATAGCCGTCCAGTTCACAAGACGTCCACGAATCAGATGAAGAGTGTTCAGAAACCTTGCAGTAAACTTTGTAGCTATTGTAGACTTGATGGGACAAAATGGTAGCGCTGATACATACAGATGTGGCGTGCTGTGCAAAATCATGCCACCAAAGACCTGGACAAATCTTTGCACATCCATTGCAGTGGACAAGATATTTTGATATCCAGATTGGCCCTGCGTTCGCACGTAAGCACTTCGCCCAACACCACCAGGTAACTCTGTTCTCACCTTTAGCCACTGGGTAATGAATGGAAGCACAGCAACTGCACCGCTGAGTGCATTGAGGAGGCCAACTGCTTCAATCCAGAAGAGTAGTCGCTCGTTATCGAGGAATGATCCTATTTCCTTGGCGAGCTTCGTGTCAAAATCTGTTGCTCGGACGTGCGTAGCCCAAAATCGACAGGAATAGGACAGATGCGAGGGTATGCGTGCTGCGACTCTATCCGGCAGCCCAGTATCCTCACTATTGGACAGGTATGAAGACTTTAAATTGCACATATTGAAGCGAAGGTCGTGTTCCATCACTCGAAGTGATGCAAAAGCAAGATCACGTTGCAATTTCAACATCTCCACAAAAAAGTCTCCGCTGGATGATTTGTTTGTGAGAAATTCGCGGAAGGATGCGTGAAGGGGTCGGATGGGGCTAGATGAGTTGGTAGTGCCGCTTAGTAGGGATCCCATGTGTGCTACCACGATTTCTACTTCGTAATGCTCACTTTGGTCTGGAAAACAACGCCGCATGGCATTCAGGGCATCTAAAGGGAGGGGCTCAGCTGAGCCAAGTATTTGTCCCATCACGGAATGAAACCTTGCTAGCGCTCGTGGATACTCGATTTCTGTGCTATCCTTTCCCATGTTTTCTCCTAAAATGAAGCTATACATGCCATACAACAAGTTCTCCCGCTTTCCATGATTGTGGGACACGACAGAATTGAAGCGTTCAATTGGGTATGAGCCAGCAGAGGGTTTTTGGATGTATTCGCATGCAAGACATGCCCACTCGAATAGTCCATCAGCTTTGTTAGCGAGGGTTGCGAACTCTTTGTTCCCAAGACCAGACACCTTTTTCAGCTCGTGAGACACAAAAGTATAAATGTCTCTCTTCGAGTCTTTTTCTGAGATGTCGTCCATGGATAACCGCTGGATATGTAAAGCATCCTGAAATTCAGAATTGATATCAGAAAGCGCGCGAGAAGTAACAAGAATCCGAAAGTTGGATGGGAGTTCGGTGATTTTGGGAAGACCTTCGCCCTCCAGTGTACCCGCAAGTATGCGGAGAAGGTTACGCCGTGTCTCGACTCCGCCACTCTCGTCCAACGCTTCGATCACAACCAAGACAGGCCCCACACTTGACCCAGAAAACTTCTTTAGCGGTTCCATAAACAGCTTGCGCCACTGCTGGATTTATATCTGTCGTCTTCTTAAGCGCCTTTGCATGTTCCACTGTATTCGCCAATGTTCGTCTCATCTCCGGATCACGGTCAGCGAGGTCGCGAGCGATAGTAGAGAAGACTTTTTCATGACGTTTGTCGGTTTGGTTCCGGTCGAAGCAGAAACACGAACCAAGCCCTCCCAAGTCGTTGAACCAGTTAGCGATTGTGTGAGAAATGGACGATTTGCCCGTGCCCGCAGGGCCAGATAGCCACAGCACACGCTGAGCAGTATCTCCAGTGTCGTTGATCCATTCAGTGATCTGAGAGAGAATGGCCGTGCGTGTCCCTGATAGGCATTGTTTCGTGGTATTTAGTCCCGCACCTGCTGCGTAAGGGATACCGCTGAGATCTAGTTTGTCACCCAGTTCGTCACCTGAATGGGTTTGAGTGGACGGAAAGTCAGAACGACCGAATTCTTACTCGTACACCGGACAAGATCGGCTATGTCCCGAAGAGCTTGGTCCCGAAATTGTTGCATAAGCTCATCCAAAGTGTTGTTGTACCGTGTGATCAGATCGTCCGTCTCCGAGACAACATTTTTCCCTAGTCTCGTCCCTGTGATAATGGCATAAGATTCACAATATGGGAAGTGTAATAGCTCGATGACTCACAAAAGCTCTTTTTCTCCGAATAATCCCTGATGAAACACGCACATTCCAGAGTCTGCTGGGCGATTCGTCCAGCGATACTGCGCTTGGATGAAATCTGGCCAAGGGTGTCATCTTGTGACATGAAACGGTAAACTTGTTCCAATTTCTTGAGAAGAGATTGTACCGATTGGTCGCGTTTTGTTTGAGCGAGAATGATCTGCATAGAGTCAACAACTGCTGAACAGGAGGGCAAAACTACACGTACTTTGGATGCAGCAGACAGCATACCCAGCACCATCTTTGCGTAAGGATGTACCTAAGCAACCTGATTAGCTCGTTTCTAACCAAGAAGAGCGACCCATACATTCGCAAGACTCTCAATGACAGAAAATTTTGAGTGGTTGAAGATATGTGGTCTGGAAATCGTCTGCGGCAGCGAGATCTTTTGGTCCATCCTCAGCTTTGGATACTACAGAAGTGACATGTCCTCCGAGTAGTCTCATACTTTCCGTACCCTCACGGGCACCCCGAAGTTCAGCATCAACTAATTGGGAATCAGGAATCTCTTCTACGCCAGGAGGGACGTCGAGGACCTGCACGACCACCAGAATTTAGAGATGAAAACTAGATCGTTTGGCTTAACTACCTTCGGAGCAGGTTCTCCGGACGCTCCTTGATCCATACAGCCACTGAGATTTTCAGATGTGACGGGCTTGTCGCCATCGGAAGGATGCAGACGCGACGCATCCTTGGTGGACCTCAGACTAGTTCAAGATCAAAATAATGACTACTTACTTCGATATTATGATTCGATGAAGCACCTTGATGATCGACGTTTTGGACAACGGGAACTTGGCGGCAGGAACGCTTGAAGCGTTTCTGCACAATATCAGCTATATTCTAGCTCCTTCAGCATTCAGGCCGACGTACAGAAACTTTTTTGGTCACATTCTTCTTAACTTTCCGTAGGGCCTGACCGAATCCGCAACCGCTACGGTGCTGGCTCTGGACAAAAGATGCGTGAGAGGCAGCGACGATGTTATTAGCGCTTGTCGACAGCAATCTCATGATGGCACGTACCGAGCTCTCGCCAGCAGTTGCTTCTCTAGATCCATACGCCTCCGGAGGAAGTTCCTGCCTGTGGTCTTCACTCATTGGGAACAGTCAAAAACTGGAATCAGCCCGAGGAAAAAGGATGCAAGAATTAGAGGTGGGGCCCCGTGGGGGAGAGTACTTGGTAGAACCAGAAGTCAAATAACAAGCGCGCGAATACCGTCCACAAGCCTCAAGGCGGTGCTAATTATTCAGCCACATTCAAGTTATAATAATGGAATGTGGTTCCTAGCGAAACTTTAGCGTCGTTCATCACGCAACATGTAGCTGGATTCACGGGTGCGGGTAAGTAAACACATACATATGTATGGCACAACGAAAGTCACATCACAATCATTGTCAAGTCGAAGAAAACTGGTGGGACTTGCGCCAAATCTTGCGCCGGGTCGGCGTCCGTGCAACCCTTTGCCATATATAGGGCCACCTTACGCATCGAGCTAGGCCAGCCGCCTAAACACCCAAAAATCGCGTTGGAAATAAGTTGCCAACAATGTTGAATGCATCACCAAGGGCCTTAGGATTTCGCCAGATCGTACCGCTGTGCTGCACTCTACACAACAAGTGTCTTGTATGTGTATATAATATGATGACAGTACTTGTAGGAAATGAGCGCTGAGCGTTGAATGGTGTGGTGCGGCAAGTTGCGGCATGCAGTGATTCAAAATACCTCATTACGTGAGACGGGCGAGCTTATAAAAAGAAAAGTATGCTACGAAAGTTGAAACCAGGGAGAGCATTAAATTTAGACCTCACAGAATACATAGTTAAGCGCACCAATTTCGCATTTCACGATCTCGTAATGTCTCTAGTGTCCGGGTCACGTCTGAGCCGTACAGTACCCTCCGAGTCGGCAAGCCGAGCGTAATAATCCCTGTCTATTGCTAACTACTAGCAATAGCGCACCTTGGCAGCACAATATCTCAGACGGAAAACGACCTTGCGTCACAACTTCGCCTGTTGTTCAACAACCACAATCTCAAAATCACACACGACGCTGCATGCATCGTGACTAACAACATACACAGCTCGGGAGATCTCGTCCAACAAAATACGAGATTTCAAACACATACATAAAGTCCCATAAGAAACTCTACAACTCTCAACTCTTGCGAAATACACGATAAACAAACAACCTTATAAAAAGATAAGGAATTCAGTGAGGCCATTGGCTTAAACCAAGATACTATGAAAGCAGTGTAAACACAGAGATCCAGACTTCACAGAACACATAGTAGGCGCACCAATTTCGCATTCCTTAATCAAGATTGGACGATCGTGTAGTGTCCATTGGACAGGTCGCGTGAGAGCGTCCAAGTCGTGCTCTCGGCAAGCGCAGCGAGGTCCTGCGACCAGACCACAGGAGTGTCGATGGCACCTCGTATGATTGCAGTCTCTTGATAGTCCGACGTAATGTAGGCGCGCAGGATCGGGGTGAACCGAGCAGTGACATGACTGCCATCTCTGCGTTTTTCACTGTGAGTACTCTGAAGAAAGAGAAGAAATAGAACATACCCAACACCATTGAAGTAGAGTGCGGGCTGGGGCATCAAGTCTCCTGGGCTCATGAAGCCTGCATGCGGGGAATACACTGAGATGAGAGGAAAGGAGACGAGGATGGTTACACACCGACTGCAATATCCTGAATGGCCCCAGTCTCGTTCACGGCCTGCAGGACACCAGAGGCTCCCGGCTTAGGGGGCTACGCGAGATGTTCGTGAGTGGAAAAGATGGAGATTAACAGAGATCAGACTTACAGAGAAATGATAGACATCGTTGGCCTCGGTCAGGATTGTTCTCTCGCTGACCTGTGTCATGACTTGCGTTGGTGCTAAGAATTGCAGAGCAGATGAGAGTTTCTCACATTGATCTTAACGGCAGTTTCAGCGTCGATGATGTTCCCGTCCACGACCTGCGGTTTGGAGAAAGCAAGTCTATACGTTGGATAAGCATTGTATACGAGCATTATCTGCATCATCTTTCTTACTGGCTCGTGTAGGTCGCGCGAGTCCTGTATGGACCTGGAAAGAGGGGTCATGTGTAAGTTGGAAACTCGGAAACGAAAGAGTAGGAACACCCACCCGTCTCCCCGAATTTGCTGACCCTAAAAAATTGCGTGGTTAAAAATCGTCAGGGACAAAAGTAGACGTACTTACTTCCAAACTACCGGGAAGAATTCCTCGTAGAGGCCTTCTATGTCGGCATCGAAAGCGAGCATGAGTGTGGCCTCCTTGTCGAGGTCATTGCTGGGAAACAACGGTGAGTCGGCTGCAAAGTTATGCAGGGCAACAGCACAAAGACACTCACGACTGGAAGGTCAAGTTTCTGACGAAGAGGTGTGACATTGTTTCAGATTGTTAAACACGGAGTGTACTAGTTGAGATTGAATGTGGATCGAAGAGCTTGAGTTCTGCAGTTAGAGGTTCAGCAAGGAGGTCTTTTATATGTTTCGGGGTCGCATTAGTTGTACCTCCTTCTACGGTTTGCAGTTCAATCTGAATCTTTTTGAAAGCTTTCTCGTATCTTCGTGCCTTGGTACCTGCCGCTGGTCGCCTGATATATTACAGCCTCCTCACTTTTGTTTGCCACACAATGAGAAATAGCCAGTTTCGAGTTCTTGGCCCGTCCTGTGCCTTCAATGTCTCAGGAGTGCCTGCCGCTGGGGACCCTAAGTATTGCGATGTACGCACCTTTCTGATCTACAAGGCAGTACAAAATGCTCGCCTTTGACTTACTAAACAACCAGCTTCATTCTGTGGCGTCGCATGCTCGGAAGTTCGTAGCTGCCGCTGGCATTCCTGTGCCTGTCCTTCATACCTTCTTATTGTGCTCCTTTCATAACGTCACAGGTAGACAGGAATCAGTACTGGTATTTGGTCTGCATGCTATGGTAGACAATACTGTGATTGCAAAAGTGAACCTATACTTGAAGGGAAAGTTGAGCCACGGTTATGGTCGCAGGTACTAGCAGGTATGCACAAACAGGAACTCATGCACCATGTCGCATTTCGCGATGCGCGACTGCAATATCTTCGTGCGTTGACATCCAAATAGCGCCAACCCCGCCGGTCCTGGGGTAAGTCAACTGTCAAACAAGCTGCAAGAGCTGAGCCTACTTCAACGGGCACATGAGCTTGGGATGCGGCAAACTCCAGAGGCTACGTACATTACTACAAGTTGCAGGGTCATTTAGGTTATAACGGCGTGTTCGCCGTAAGTCCGCACGTCACCTGCTGAGCGCTGAGCTTGGCCTGTTTAGCGGCCTCAGCCACTAGGAGTTCTAGAGCATCCATTGTGTAAGGAAAACAACCTCCGTCGAAGGTTCAAGTCAGAAATCACGATGACTAAGCAAATACTTCTTGAAGCTCTCGCGCTCAGGGTTTGCTTCGGAGAGCAATATCTGCCGAAGCTAAGTCCTTTTTGTAACGAATATCTCGCAGATATCGATATCAATCAAAGGATACGAACACAAGGAAGTGCCACAGGGAGCTATCAATCCTATCATAGACCCTGGGTGTTATTGTGTAAACGTACCTTGCGATTGCAACAATTGTTCCCACGGTCTCGTACTCCTATCATAATCTCAAAGTGGGCTTCTTGGACCAAGTGTTCGACATGATCACGCACGTTCGTTTTGGTCTCTTCTGTGGATGGTTGCGAGGCAGGCTATGTATGTATATGAGGCATGTATTTTAGGTGTCGAGCTTCTTCATTCTTACCACCTCTATGAATCACGAACCAGATCTCAGTGGATGCCCTCGTGCGACCTGATTCACTCGATCATCGTACAGTGCCTCCTGACTTCCGGGTACTCGATACGGGTACACCCCCAAAAGTACTGTCTAGAAGCCATTCGGAAGCCCCACGTCTACTGAAACACACAGAAGAACAATTTGTCATCGACCTCCTAGTCGACGCACTGATCTTCGAAAAGAACGCCGCCCTCGTCGAATCGCAGTTTCACCCTCATCCTGGTAGCATCATTCCTCTTCTACACGTGCTTTCTGATGCCAAGGGCCTGGAGCACGTTTCCTGCCGGAAAACTCCCCCTCCCTTCGCCCAAAACGAACTCCCATTATACGTCAACTCCTTGGACTTTTCTCTATCAAGGACAGCCATCCCGACGTTCCCCGATATGTGGGGCAGGTTGGTTTGGAGACTTGACAGGCGAAGTTGTTACCGAAGCTCTCCGAACAGGGTCAGAAAGTTAAGTGAAATTGTTGGTAGGCCGAGGTATAGCATGGTCGTCAAAAAGAACCTCTGGCCAAAGGGGATGAAAGTCTGCAGGGCATGTGGTTACACAGCCGATCTGGAATGATGAGCACTACAGCGTCGATAAGTTCATTTGGCTAAATTCTTTATGCTCAAACGACGACGACGACGATCTCGTTCACGGGTTGTAATGGCGACGTGGGAGCATCTCCTACTCCAGGCAGATCAGTTACTGTCACGCTGTAATCGCAAGTGCCAGAATTCCAGAAAGCCACAATCGTGGCGGAAACATCATGACGTGTTACATCATATAAGTCCATTATCAGCAAACAAATAAGTACCCATTGACAAACACCACATGCACATGCACATGCACATACGTAGAAAGACAAGAGATTAACTAGCCTCGAAAAGGTATGGTATGAGCATAGTCAGTTTCAGAAAAAGTTGTGAGCGTGTGAGATCAAATCCCGTTTCCACGAGCATCCATTGTGCTACCATAGTCTGTTGTTTCCGATTCCAAAAAGTCCAAATATACAACTCATCAGAGGAGGTGTTTCCAACCCGCATCACGACATTTCTTCACGAGGCGCTTCACCTCTTGCGATCGTGCACGTGTGGTGACGAGAAGGGTATCAGGCATGTCAACAATAACCAGATCATCGACGCCCAGGCACGTGATGAGACGTCCTGAGCCGGGTACCACAATTCCTCCAGCAACTTGTTCCGTCAGCACTGCCGAAGAGAGATGAAATCAACCACGGCGACTTGGTGAGAAAAGGTAAAAATAATCACCCAAAGAGCTGTCCCCAAGGACACGAGGTTGATTAGATTCAGCAGGCAGGAGGTCTGCGAGCGAAGAGAAGTCTCCGACATCATCCCAGCCTAAAGTCCGATATTAATCTACTTCCCTTGCTCCACCATAAAAATGGAATGTGGAAACATACCAAACGTCGCTGGTACTACAGCAACCTTACCCTCAGCAGCAGCAGGTTCAGCGACTGCATTGTCGATCGGGATCTTCTCGAGCTCGGGCCAGATTTCGTTGAGAGCGGTCTGGCGCAACGCCTCGTCATGCCATACGGCCGCAATCTTTTGTAGCCCATCGTGGAGTTCCGGCTTGTATTCCTTAAGAAGATCCAAGAGAACAGTCGCTTTTGTAACGAACATCCCTGCATTCCATCGGTAATTTCCGGTACCTATATATGCAGCAGCAGTGCGCGCATCAGGTTTCTCTTTGAAGCTAGAAACAAGCCTTGCGTTTGGAGCTTCCTTGATGCCCAGTTTGTTTCCAAGTCGAATATAACCAAAGCCGGTAGAAGGATGAGAGGGCGCAATGCCAATGGTAACGAGATAATCTTTTTTCGCTACTTCAACAGCCTCCGCGACAGCAGAAAGGAAGGCGTCGTCGCCAGAAATCATGTGGTCAGCAGCAAAAGAACCGATGACGGCATTGGAGTCCCGTTTTGCAAGAACAGCTGCGGCAAGTCCGATAGCTGCCATGGAATCCTTTGGACCAGGCTCGCAAATCAAGTTGTGCGCGAGAAGGTCAGGCAGTTGCTCGCGGATGGACTTAACATGGCCGGGACCCGCAACTACAGTGGTGCGGAGGGGAGATGAAAGAGGGAGAAGACGGTCCCAGGTGGCTTGAATTAAGGAACGTCCCTTAAGAGTTAAGTCGAGAAGGAATTTCGGGTGTTCTTCTCGAGATAGCGGCCATAAGCGCGTACCAGCACCTCCTGCGGGAATTACAACGTAGAACCCGGGAATGTCGCGGACACCGAGTTGGAAAGGGGCGACCGCATTATCACCCAATGGAGATGGGAGGTGGCTGGTGGGTGTAGTGACAAGGGATGGGATACTGTGCGGAGATAGGAATGGGGATTTGGCCCGGAGCTGAGGGCTGCCGGGCACTGGAGTCACAAAGCCAGAGCCTATGCGCGAGCTGGTGTAGTAGTTTCCGTTCCCATTTTGCTGTTGCAATCGAAAAAATCTTGGAATTTAGAATCTGTTGAAGTGCACAGTCATCCCGCTCACCTGAAACCCTTCCCGAATTTGACGTTCCAAGCTTGCGTTTGCCAACCGAAGGTCAGCACATTCCTGCCGGAGATCAGATATCTCAGCGTGCTATGTATCGATGCATGAGCTACTGTATTTTAGAATGTCTTACATGATGAACGGAACTTACTGATTTCTGGACTGCGCCCATGATTTGAGCAAACATGTATTCAACAGGAAGAGCATTTTCGCTGCTGCTGACCTGCGCGGCAGGTGGGGCAGCATAACTGTACGGAAAAGACATGATAGATTGAGACGATGTTAAGGGTATTGCGTTAGCTGTCAGAGTGCAGTTTTATATATATAAGCGTGGTCCGTTTTTTTGCAAACGTGTACGAAGGCTTTTAGCGCTTATTCTAGATATCGTTTATTTCGGGAGTTGCCCGATGTCTTATTCGGTAAAGTCACGGAACATGCTTAGTATAAACTCCACCCGCAACTACTAGCTCACTCGGGATAAGGTCATCATGAAAGAACCACCGTTAACGTTATGAGCCGCAACATGACTTATCGTACGAGTTGAAAGGTGTTGGCAATAGTATAGCTCAACTCGATAGGTATTTCACTCGTTTCCTGTTGTCAGTGACACCGCACTAGCAGGATCCGGCCAATTACCCAAAGCCCAGGCTGGCGAAATATGAAATATTTAATGCTTTGCGGCTCATGTGACATACACAGCTGACTATTAGTCTTCATCACTCTCAAATTCGAGAGCTTGGTACTTCCTTGCCTTCTTATTCGGGTTGGCCAAAGATGCGCCCTTTGGAGGTCGAGAGCCGGTTGAAGGTTCTGTTCGGCACTAGAATCAGCTGCCTCTGAGTACGTGGCACGCAACAGGGGCTTACTGGATATCGCATCACCTGACGGAGACTTTTCTTTTGAGCGAGCAAGTTCCGCTTCAAGAGCCTTAATTTTCCGTTCAGCTGCCTGATTGACAGCAGGGACAGGGACCTGACTCAGGCCCAAGGGTGTGCGTTTTGACGGAAGCGTTGAAGCTATGGCAATGAGCTCAACATGCGCATCAACGTTGACAAGGGACGCAGCGGACCTGAATTAGCGTGGGATGACTCTGCGACAACGTTGCGGGGCGCGAAAAGAGGGTTCAGCTGGCATTTGCGGGACTGGGCTTGTAGCGCAATCTTGATACGAGTCAAATATTGTTGGTGAGCAAGCCAACGATTCATGTGCCTTACGTCAATGAACAACGCGGTTGCCTGAGATGCAGCTTCGGCTGCTGACAGTTCTTTCAGAGCCATGTGTAGTGGACGCTTGGCAGTTGGCCCAAACGTGAGCTAATAAAGTCCTGCGTTGTCGGCTGGGTATAATCCGTACATCAAGAGTAGTATTTACGTTGATGTCCGAGTCTTTCTCAGTCCAGTCTCCAATGGTGAGATCACCATTTACGAATGTCGTCCGAAGCTTTTCAGCGAAGTTCTCAAGCACCTGAGGGCTTGATTGCACACCCTAGAACGACGCACGATCAGGGTAAGGGTGGTCGAAAGGCCTCGACACGAACGTTGGTGATGTTGAGGATATCTTTGGTAGACCATGAACCTCGCCACCACCTGCCTTCTGGTCCCTTGAGGCCTAAGTGAATCGACCATGTAGATTTAGTTACTTGCGATAGTAGGACGAATCGATCGAAGCCCTGGTAGATAACTTGTATGAGTTCGTCAAGAACCCCAAAATGTGACAAGACGTCGGTGGACATGATGAAACTGTAATTAGAGCTTGACTGAATCTTTGACATTTATTTAAATTTAGTACCTATTGCCTTCCAAAACAAGCATTTAGGTATTGATACCTATGTCCCACGCACAGACCATCGACAAGAAACTATATAAACCAGTCGTCAAACTTTTATGTTTCCTTAGAACATACTCAGCTAGGATCTATTTTATAGAAACTAACTCGAGTCTCGCATGTTTACACATGCCACGTCCTTCAATTCCGCTGGATGACACTAGCGCTCACTCGTTCGACAGAGAACATGGTCTCCGCTTGCGGGGATTTCGAGGACGTTTGGGTTTGTGCATTGTCGGGCTGCTTGCAGCCTGGTGAAGCCACACCCAGCGAGTTGAGCGTCTGTCTGACGGAACTTCCGGACGATAGTTACTGTTAATTTCCGATACATGTTCATACATGAAATCCATTCACGTTGTGCAAAAACTTTTGTTGCTCGTACGTCCTAAGGGAACATGAGACCGGTGTTTGTCCTGGACTAGTTCTTCATAAACTGAAGCTAGATTTGCGATAACGATTCCAAAGTTAAAGCATTCAAATTATACAAGTGTTAGCATACAAAAAAATACAAGGATTATGTTACACGAGTCCTGCATCCGAAGCACGGCGTCTCAGCTTGTTCGCCCATCCATGCCTTTCACCATCTACATCTCCACTGACCTGAGTCATCGATATCTCTGACTGTTCAATACCGCCATTGTATTTGCGTGTCCATTGATAGTCTGTGAAACCTTGCTCTCGTATTTGTCGAGACGCGGTAAAAACGTTCCAAGATGTCGCATTGCTGAAGAAATCATCCATTTGCTCAAGAGGACGACCTGAAGTTTCTGGATCTACAAATAGAACCGCCGCGTCAATAGGATCACACATTGAAAACAGTAAGACGCAAGCCGTACACATGAAAATGATAAAGGGGATCACGAATATATTGAGGCCAAAGAGGAGCAGGAGCACACCATATTCGATCGCCTGAAACAAGAAAGGCTAGGGAAAGGACCATTAATTCATTTGCAAATGTTCGATCCTTCGACGACGTACGGTAATCATAGTCACGACGCCATTTCCTATGGACCATCCAACAACAGACCATGCACCTCCTTTGGCCCGAACATATGTGGCTGCATTGTTTCAGAGAAAAGAATTGGACAAAGGCATTCATCACACTCACGAAAGAGCTCAGTTGGATAAAGCCACGGAGTTACTAGCCAGGTGGCACCAAACGTGCCGGTATACAGGAACTGGGAGGCACATCATTTACAAAAAAGACTTCACGATACCAGAATCGGTTGCTTACTGTCATCGCTAGGACACCCGCGCCATATGCTCGTTGATTGGGGCCCCCTGATTGAGCGTCTATCGAGTGATATGAGCGACGATCAAACAAACAGAGTAAACGTAGTATATCACATTTGTCCAGGATGCCACCAATGAGCAGGAGCAACGCCATGCCAGCAGCCCCCCATACCATTGTGCCTCGTCGGCCAAACCTATCCAGAGTAAACACGGCAAAGAGCACGCTGAACATGTAGGACAGGTTATTGAATCCGGCCAAGAGTTTCGCCTCGTCTTGGCTGAAGCCAGCGCCCTGAATAAGATCGATGGCTGCATATAACGTCAGAGAAGTAGCGAGAGCCGGTAGAAGAAAGTGCTTTGCCGTAGACAGTGATGACTCCGATGCCGACGAGCTCTTGCATAATCTGGAGCCATACACTTAGAACAACTCTCCGTCGTAGTTCGCGCTGGCTCTTTGTCCTCGGAAATAGCATGCGAATATAACTATTGTTTTCTGCGTGCTGGTGATCATGTATCACGCTCTGCACAATGGTAGCGAGCTCAGCCTCAACTCCATCCTTGCGGGTGGCTTGCAACACATTGCGTGCTTCGGAGACACGGCCGACTTTTGCCAGCCATCGAGGGGACTCCGGAAAGAAAGGTACAAGCGCTGTGATGGGTTAACATAAGCGAGGTTGAGTAAAGGATCGGGACGAACCGAGAATCGCGAGCAGAAACACGATTTGCAGTGCCAGGGGTGTGCGCCATGCCAGTACCTCATTGTAGTTCATGCTCGCAAATCTACAAATACGTCAGACAATTGTTTCATAACAGGGTGCTTGGAACGTGCTGACATCTCTATCCAATATGCCAATGACAGTCCACCGATGTTCAGGAAGAACTCGATGGCAAGAAAGCTACCTCGTGCTGTATGTGAAGAAACTTCGCTGCTCCAGACAGGAATGACTATGATAAAAATAAGTACAGAGAATCAAGATAAGGACATAGGGTTATCCACCTGCGTCGATGGCTCCCACGCCGAGACCAGTCACGACTCGTGCGCAACACATCCAAGTGATATTCATCGCGGAGGCTTGAAATGTTGCTCCGATGATCGAGACAATGACACCCAATATTATGGCAGCTATACGTCCTGACCTGTCGGCGATAGAACCGCCGAGCAGCGCTCCGATGAGGGAACCGCCGTAATAAACCTGATAGACATGCAGTAAGGGTTACTGTCAAGAAGCTTGCAACTTACAGAAACAATTCCCCCAAGCGCCGCAAGGTTACGTGAATTGCCCGTGGTGGGGTAGATGCCCATCAATTTCAGGTAATCCTCATTAAGATTCACTTGAGACATGACCCTGCGCGTCGGTGTGTTAACATTCACTCGGAAGAGGAAATGCAGGGAGGTGTACCCTTGGTCATAACCCTAATCGATCGATCAGCTTTTGATAGGCGAAGAACATGCAACTACTGACATAAAAAAGAATCGCTAGACCAGCAAGCATATTATTTGCCCAGTTATACGAATTCGGGTTACTGAACTTGAACATTCGCGCAGCCGAATAACTCTGTAAGTGAGTTGTACATCACTGGTAAGCGTCTCGAAGATAAGATCCAAGGAAAGTATACTTACAGGTAGATACTTACTCATCCACCATTCGGGTGTGACAGGAACATTCTCTGCATCGCATGTTACACCAGTTGCGGATGTATTAGACGAAACTACATTGTTGCTAGCACCATTGAAGAATCTAGATGAACCTACGGAGAGTGATCGTTGTTCAGAATTGTTCTGCATCTCGCGCGAGGTGCAAGGTGAAGATCGCTCTGTTTCCATAAAGCAGTGGATGGGCTTTCTGGTGAGAAGAACCAGACTGCGGACCTGGCTAACCACTGTCCGTATTTATAGTCAGTCAATCAGTCGAGTGGAGAGCCAGTTTATGTTCTGGGTCTCAATCCAAGGACGGTGATGTCAGAATACCGAGGTCTGGCCATGTTTCGATTCTTGATGTATAGCCGGCTAAGTAAAGATCCCGACAGGAGATTCCTTGTGGGGCGGCCTGAAATTGTACAAGATCTTGAAAGGATCAATGGGATACTGGATTCGCCATCACAGACATACCGAATGTGTCAGTACAAAGTCCATTCAAAGAATCTCGGTGCTCGGTCTTGGCCCGGACCGTACACTCTCTCTAAATGACGATTGCATCATCTAGTCAGGCTCCCTAGCTGATGAAACAATGAGGTACAATCCAATCAGCACTGGCGCAAACTCGAAAGCTTTCAGTCGATTGCCCGTACGTTGATAATTGTGCCTTGAGTTACTTGCAATTTTGGTGGCCGAGGCTTCAAGCTTCAAGTACAAAGCCAAAGTCTAAGGAATCTCCTACATTTCAATCTGATATTCCCAGTCAGAGTAGTAAAACTCCACATAGAACCACCAGGTGGGATGACGTAGCCGTGTTACGTAAGAAATGCGGGTTTTAAATAATTACATTCGTTGTTTTTTTGTCAGTAACACCCTGAGTTAGGACCTGAGAGTTTCGGCGAAGAAGGAAAAAACCAAATAGATTTCACTGCGGATGATGGAACAAATCAGAACGAAAGCAAAAAAGAGAGCCACAATCAAACCATACATTAGAGGTCCGCTAGTCCCGGAAAAAGGCGGTCTGCTCTTTTCATCATGGTTTGTGAACCTACGTTGGACTTGAAGTCTGGAGATAGTGGATATGAATTGATCAGAGCTGGCCGTTGGCAAGGTCCTCGCTATTAGCTGAGTAGCCCATTGATCAAATTATCAAATGATGCATGACTCAATGATGGCGGAACCGGCTGCGGTTTGACATGTACTCCACATGCTTCCAATGTGCTAGAAAATTTCGGCCATCATGGTGCATGTGCATGAGGCCCGGGAGTGGCAGGCTGTGTAGCACCTACGCTAGCCCACGTACATTCGCTTGCTCCAACCAACACATCATGACACTTAAATCCTCCCAGGCAACCAAGTACGTTTGATTGAACTGATATTAAATCTAAAATGTACGAGGTCATGTTATGGACATCCTGACTTCCCTGATTGGCAGTCGTACAGATACAATGCATGCTGGTCGAGGAGCATCAAGTCATCTTTCCACGATCGAAATTAAGCGCTCGAATTTCTGGTACATACTTTAATTTTCATGCAACAATGCCTAACTTTGTCCGCAATAAGTCACAGGTAGTGTAGACGCATGATCACTCGTGGGTGGCGTTGGTGTGGATACACGTAGTTGAATTTCATCTCGCCCGCTTCGTCTTGTATATCAGGTTATCGCCTCATAAAAGACGCAAAAAGTGTCACGAGGAACGAGGCATCCATTATAATAATCCTTTCTGAGCGACGGAGACAACCATGAATCATATAACGTTGTCGTGGGTCCATGAATGAGACGATAAAAAACTAGATTTGATCGATAAGCCTCTTTCAGTTTGAATCAACAGCAAAGCTCGCGCTTTGGAAACATAATTTAATAATTACGGAGCATCAACAGGGTTCCAGCTGATGGACCCCTCTTTTCCACGGTCAAGTCCGTCAAGTTGCTCCATCTCTTCGGGTTCCAGTTCAAAATTGTACAATTGAGCGTTTGATCTGATGCGTTCTGGCGTTGCTGATTTGGGCAGCGGAACGAAGCTAAACCGATGTGAATTCAACTTCAAAAATGAAAAGACGGCGCCATACCCTTTTTGAAGTGACCACCGAAGGAGCACTTGGGCTGCGTCGCGACCATGCTAAGAAGGCCTTTTAGTCATATCTGGTATAGCGCCTCAGAAGCAGGACTAACATTCTGCGCTATTGTTTGAATGATCGGATGATCCATTTTCCCTCGCATAATCGGACAGTAGGCTTGGACCACGATCGAGTGTTCACGGCAATAGTCCACTATAGGCCGTTGCTGGCAAAATGGGTGAAGCTGCCAGCATGCAATGAGTGGAATGGTACTACTGTTCATCAAAATCAGTTGCATGCCTCAATTTGATTCACCGCAGGCATATCATATTTTGCATCTGCAATCTCTTCTAAATGCTTGATCCCACTGAAAAATGGTGCATCATGATTACGACTATATCTCTTCTTTACTAGGAAACAAGGCAGAAAACGCACTAATTTGAAACGCCAATAGATCGTATTTTTCCCGCATCACGGGCATCTTGCAAAGCCCTGTATGTGGCTAGACGGCGCTCAGTGCCAGAATACGGGTCGTGAATGAGGAATAAGTCGATGTACTCTAATTTAAAAAGACGTAAGAATATTTACTAAAAATTCGTTCAACAATGACTCACCAAAGCCAAATTTAGCGAGAGATTCATCGACACCCCTCAGCGTGCTCTCATACCCATGATGTTTGCTGATACATTTCGTCGCTAATGTTCGGTAGGTGATGGAAGCTCATTTCCTGCAGAACCACCTTCACAGCGACACGCACTAATGAAAAGTTCTCCTCGGTCAATGCCGCTATCTTTGACAGCTTCCCCAACAGCCGCTTCATTGCGATAAGCTTGGGCTGAATCCACGTGTCTGAGATGGTTCATTACAATGGGGAAAGCATCAACGATGGTCATGAATTATATTACCTGAAGCCCGCTCGCAATGCCTCAAGAACTGACGCTCGGGTAGTGAAATTTTGATACACGCCGAATCCCAGGAGTGGCATTGTATGGCCTATGGTCGTGCCGTACGAGGGATTCTCACTAGTTTAGCCGTAGACAGGTATTAAAAACACAAATTATTACCTGACACCAGTTGAATTCTAGACTCGATCGTAAGTGTCATAGTACAAGGTGGACTCGGTAAACGTGTCCGTCGTGCCAAGTATCCGCAGCTTCATTATTTGTGACAGCTTGTCAGACCTCCCGATTTGAAAAGACCGCTGAGACGTAAAATAAAGGCAAGCGAGAGAAACGTCAGGAACAAACTATGTAGTGTACAGTTCACGATGAAATCAAAGAAGTATTATTCACGTTGGGCGCCAAGAGACCTCTATTGTCATTCGCTAGTCAAACTCGGGAAGCGAGGACGAGACTGAGATTAAAGTACGTGCCCAATGCACTGCGGGCAAGGTCAGCTGTGCAATCAGGCCGAAACTTCCAAAACCTTAACCTTACTGAGTACTGTGACCGCACATCAGTCTGCCCCGCTCTAGGACTGCATCGCTCTTTGTCTCTCTAAGCGCTCTTGCATCACTCTCTGCGCATCTGCTTTCGCCGAGTCAAGCTTTCCAGCCTTTGCTAGAGCCAACAATAAAGCATGCACAAGGCCGATGTGGTTGTGGCGACGCGAGCTGTTCTCAAACTTTTAAAACAGAATCAAAAGTGTGAGTATCGGCGACAAAATAATATTTCGGTACTTACTGCCCAGCGTTCGCGCTTGGAGTTTTCATTGGAAATTTTATTCATAAGATCGCTTATTTCAACGTCCTCTGCTGAACCTTGCAGAGCGTCTAAACGTCTTCTCATTCCAGGTATTGGGTCATCCCGAAGAGCGAGTAAGCTGAACTCAAGCTACAGAATATAAGTTGAGACATAAAACATAAAATACATATTTTGCTCACTGCTCCAGTCGGGTAAGTGTGTATCCGGTTCTCTATAACTTCCCTAGAAAGCGGGGGGATTCAATGACAAAATATGACAACAGCCTGTCGCTAAGTACCTTGCTTTTTTAACCCATCCCTCTCCAGATCCGTCATATTCGCCATGTTGCACTGGGTAAGGTTTCAGTCCATCCAGTTCATACAGACTCCCCATCACCGGAAGGTACACAACGAAGTGATAGGCTTCTTCGCTCTTCTTCGGAAGGTCTAGACCATCTAACGAGATGGAACTAGGTGGAGAAAGCGCGTTATGAGCTTCTCGAAGCCAATCCGCGCTTGTGATAGCCATCCCACATGTCTGTGGGTCCATGCCTGCGGTAAAGCTCAAGAGGTCCATAAATTGCGGTCCTGCATGAAGAGACGCAATGTTTCCCAGGGCATTGACAACGGCAAGTGTAGCACAAGCGTTGTTCACAGTTTGATGGGCGAAGAATCCAGGGAAATCTGAATCATAGTGACCAGCACCAACACCAGGCTCGTCGTCAGGTGATTCAGGGAACCATTTAAACAAGAAGATTAGGGCATGTACAGGCTGTAGCGCCTCCAATGATTCTGGTTCAAGTGAGTAGAGGTCATCGACGATGTAAGGCACTCCAAGGCTTTTGAGTAACTCTCTGTGACCGGTTGCGTGAGTCAGGTAGATCAGTTATCATCATTTCAACATACGTGAACACCCCAGGGTCAGATTCTGTAAGTTGCCAGCCACTAGAGTCCTCGTCTGACATTATTCACGACGTGCAAAAGCAAAAGCAACAAATTATACCGCGCGTCTAGGTTCGGCTTGCCACGTGACTCTTGTTTGGTGATGCCTTCCGTTCATAACAAGCTTTCTCCACCGTGACTTGCACATGATGGAGGCTTCCGACCCTGCTCAATCGCCTCAGGTCATGACAGAAGATCCACGAGCTGCTAACCGCGACAAATTCGAGCTTGAACTGGAATTTATGCAGTCGCTGGCAAACCCATACTACCTCCATTCTCTCGCACAGCAGAATATTCTTGATCAACCTGCATTCATTAACTATCTGGAGTATCTCACGTACTGGAAAGAGAAGGATTATGCCCGGTTTATACAGTTCGTCCATAGTTTGCGAGCGTTTACGATACTGCAACCGATGTTTTTGTTCAGCTACCCGCACGCACTGCACCATCTTGATTTGCTTCAACACGCCCAATTTAGGTCAGAGATGAAGAAAGATGAATGGCGCGAATATCTCAACCAAAAGCAGTATGACCACTGGCGAACATGGTATGAGATACAGGAGTTTATTAGAGACACTTTCTTGATAATGATCTGTCGCGTCAGGCGAGATTACCCAGGGATTAGTACTAGTGTTGCCTCCACCGACCCTCAAGAAACCGGTGTGCAATCGCAACAGAATGCTCCTTTTGGGTGATATGGTTTACCGGATGTCTTGGCGGAAGCACATGGCGCTTTGTTAATGAAAGTAACAATAAAATGAAGCGTTGCCAAACATACAGACTCGCAAGGAGTTACTGCTCTATGTCATTTGGTTCTTACATAAATCCTTCTGGCTGTCTTCAAATTGAAAGTTCCCACGCGTGTTAAACACTTCACGCGCAGTGCCACCGTTGCTTGGAATCTTACTGTACATGGCTCACCATGCTGAAAATGACTCTGAAGGTCGTCACTCATACATACCGGTGGAATCAAGCTTCAGAGAGAGTGACCACGGCGAATCCTCCTTTCATATCGCGTCGCTTGCAGAGAAACAGCGAATATGGTGGAGAACTGCCATCATCAATACATGCTTCATAGCTTCATGGTACGTGGGTGCTACTGTGAGGCTCCTGAAACGGGTTCATATGTTGACTACATAGGTATATATTCGCAACCCTACTGTCTTTGTACAACAAGTGGATGTTTTCGCCAGACCTTTTTGGATTTCCGTATCCGCTCTTCGTGACCACCTTGCACATGATCATTCAGTTTGTCTTGGCTGCTGCTCTTCGGGTCTGTTTCTCGCATCATTTCCGGCCAGAGAGAAGCCCTTCGGTAAAAGACTATAGGTACGTACTTTCTCGCAATAGCTAGTACCCGTCGGGCAGTCCTTGTCCTCACTGGGCACCGGTTCTAATTGTAGCCTCTTTGAAGCAAGAAAGCAGTTCCTACTGCCGTTGCTACCGGTCTCGATATTGGTCTGTCGAACCTATCACTCAAGACTATTACCCTATCTTTCTATAGTGAGTTGTCAGTTCTGAACTTCGCCAGACGCTGGCTGGCCTACGTTTGAATTCTTAATATGTAATTGACGCTCAACTCATACATCTGGTTGTCTACAGCAATGTGCAAGTCATCTTCTCTCATCTTCGTGTTGTCCTTTGCATTTTTCTTCCGTCTGGAAGTGTTCTCTCTGCGACTTGTCGCTGTCATCCTGCTCATTTTTGGTGGGGTGATTCTTATGGTTGCTTCTGAAACGGCCTTCGTTCTTCCCGGGTTTTTACTTGTGATGACCGCCAGTGCATGTGGGGGTCTCCGCTGGAGTCTTACGCAACTGCTCTTAAAGAACAAGAATATGGGTCTAGATAATCCTGCAGCTACCATATTCTGGTTGGCTCCTACAATAGGCGCCACGACAGCTCTTCTTAGCGCCATCTGGGAGGGGTGGTTTACCATATACGCTTCACCATTCTTTCAGGACATGGCTTCCACCGTTCGTTCGGGTCTGTTCTTGGTCGCGCCCGGCATTTTGGCGTTTTGTATGGTCATGAGTGAATACTAGTACGTTTATGACCATGCGCTCAACTCCACGATGCCATCTAATTAGGTCATAAAAGTATAATCCAACGGGCCGGAGTCCTGCCAATGTCAATAGCAGGCATAGCCAAAGAAGTGTCGACCATTACAATCTCGGCATGGTTTTTCGGAGACACGCTTACGCCACTCAATATAACCGGCGTAGGTATCACAGTTTGCGGTCCGTTTCGAAGCTATATGAATGCGGCACTTCTAACGGTATCTGTAGGGATTGCCCTTTTTACGTTTCACAAGTACCGCAATTCCATCGATGGTAGACTATCAGTGGACGCGCAGGGGAACATGGTAGCGATTAACGACGAAGATGTGGGCGACTCGTCAGATTCTGTGCATGGGATCAACTTTGAGCTTAGTGCTGCTAATCTCGGACATCGAGAGGATGGTCATTTTGCGGTATGTCGCATCGTTACGGAAAAACCTTCTAGAATTATGTATTCATCGAAACGCCACAAAGCATCAGGGGCCTGTTGATAGCGACGCGCATCAGCGCCTGCTTTTTTCCACCGATCATGACGATTCGGATGATTATCATGAAGGCGAAGAAGATGCCGAACTAGTCCGGAGCATTCAGTTCTCTAAGTTCAATTGGGAAGCTGAAAGAGGTATAGACGAGAACTAGGGCCCCGGATGCGCTTCCAATTACATAGCCATCATATGCAGACTAGTTACCAGCCTTGACCTTTTTTTTTGACAAGAAGTTGCAACCTGAAGCGGCTTTTTGAAAGCGAATCCTCCGGCCCATTTGCACCTGATTGTCCTTGCCCGAGTAGGGAGACTGGAGTCCCAATAACCATAGGTCTTCTGGTACTAAATATTACGAACCATTACCTCTCTAATTTGGTCCCGAGCCGTGCACAACTCAAGTTTGTATTAAGCTTAGCTTACGTTGATGTGCAATAATAGTGAACTGTTTGAGTTATGGTTCGAAAATTTTGATCCGAGGACACCTGACTCTGGCTGACTTCTGTTCCGTTGAGCCCGGCAACCACGCGGCCTGTCTTGCGCTTAGCACTCTGACTTGGTGGTGATGTGATTTTTTGGTTTAGATGATTGGGCCACACGAATTGGGAGACAAATTGTAGCAAATCGTTCGGTTACTGCGGAATATTATCTGATGCGATCAATTTAGTCAGCACAGCAAAAACCCTTGAACGAAAGACATGTGGCTGCGCTGGAAAATACCTGGATACGGTGTGAAAATCAGACCCAAGTCCCTCCAAAGTGCCTGTAGGAGGCGATGAGCGGCCTTGCGCACTACGCACTGGCAGGCCCATCAAGGAGCCGGGCACTCCCGTAGGTCAAATTAGAAGGCGATAATCGGACTGCTGCTTTATGACGTGTAACAGTCTAGAGCTTTTGTGATGCGACTAGTAAGTGATATTTCCCGCACGTTTTTTTTTGCCATCAATGATTAAGTGCTTTGTACTGATTGTCAATCCTATTACGATATGAAACCAGAAGAAACGGCCATTCACGGATTGACTAATAGCATCTGCTAGATCGTTGAAATGCTGGGTTAATGGCGACGTTCTGTTGGGTAAGAGGCCCGATCCATTGTCGCTTATGGACCGTATGGGCACGGGAAATCAGCGATATTCACTTTTTGATCTGACTTTCTTCGTGTACAGATCTCACACAACGGCCTCGAGGTATTTAGGCTGTGTGATATATAAATCCGGGCTATTCTGGCTTTTGAATTATTCACTTTACCATGGATGGTTTTCAATTCATTATCGAGTCCCCTCAAGAGACCCAAGGTCACAAGAAACGCCCGCGTCTTGTGACTTCTTGTGATAACTGGTACTGCCCATTCGAATCTCCATCAAGTAATCCATGTTGACCTTTCACCTTGTCCCTCTCCTAGCCGCCTCAAAAAAATCAAGTGTCTGCAGTCATCCCCCGAGACACAATGTGAGGCCTGCAAGGCAGCGAAAATCCCATGCAAGTTTCGCGATCGCGAACGATATTTTGCTGAGCGCAGTCGAGCCATCGCGGGTCCCAGTTCCTCCCCAACGTACCATGGATTATCGAGTAGAGTAACGATCACGGCCTCAGAGTCTTCAGAGCGCTCTAATTCGAGTAGTGCAAATGAGCACGCCACTCCGGCATCGACCGCGCACACGCCACCATCGCAGGGATATGCCAACTCAATGTCTCGCTCTCCGTCCTACTCCCCACCAGGAACATCATCCACAGACCATGGTCGATATCAAACCTATCCAGATCATTCGAGGCCTCCTACAACTCATAGGTAATACATCCACACCTCTCAGATATCAACATTCATTGACATGGCCATGGAAGACATACAACTGCAGGTGATGATCACAATCGTCGATATGGAACTCCCGGTCCAGGTCAGGCAATGGGTCGTTCCCATACCACATCGAGCGGCTACCGGCCAACTCAGGTCTTCGACCCCATGAATCCTCAGATGCCACAACGTAGCTGGATGCCCCATTTCATCCAGATATTCATCAGTCAACTTGGCAGCCAATGCGCGTTCATGACTTATGATGACCTATATGAAAAATTCCGACACCAGACTCTATCCCCTCTACTCTCCAACTGTATCGCAGCACTCGGCGCAAGGTCTGTCTTTTGCAATGCACTCAACTCGTATATGAACGAGATCAAACAGGTTCTCTGACATACCGGATGTTGTCGCACGTGGTCCCCAGAATGTTGCAGATATTTTCTGTGAGAACGCCAAGGTTCGTGGTCGTGTGTGTGGGTCCTGCTGATCTAACGGAATGAGTAGGAGATGTTATCCGCGGCACTTAACCAACCATCTCTCGACGTTCTTCACGCTGTCATCACCCTGGCATGGACAGAATACAAAACTGGTCGGCTTCTTGGTAAGTACCGGGAATGTTTCCCGTGTTCATCGGCTAAATGCTTGGCTCCTAGGATTCCGACAATACGGTGATGTGAGTGAAATTGGAATGTTTGGCTAGTTCGCTTCTGACAAACGATCAGCTTGCCATGAGAACCGCAATGGCCATAGGATTGTCTGAAGAATCCACCAGGCAAATGAGCCCTTATGACAGTTACCAAAATCGTCTTCGTTTGACATGGCAAAGTGTCTCTCAGTTGTACGCCTCATCAGCTTGTGAGTTCTCAGGCTTGGTGTAATTCAAACCACCCTAATCATAACCAAGTGTCGGGGTAATTTTAACGGTCAACCGATTTTTACACCCGCTGCACCAGCCATGCCCCAGCCATGCCAAAATCTTGCTTTGTCATTTAACTCCAATTCTTATGCCCCTCTTGCCTTGGTTAAGCCTTTGGGAAGACCTTTTGGTTTCTCATTCCACTCGGAGACCGCTGGCAGGCTTCCTTCGTTGACCATATATTTCGTGCTGCCTTTATTTATTCACCTGACACATATATCAACTCACATCAATAATACCACCAGACTGCATGTTACATTGATTACAATCACATCCCTGTATACACAGATTTCCAAAGTTGAAACAACGTGCAAGAACATCAGCTCCACGAGTTTGCATCATTGCCAGCTAACCTGTGCATGCTGCGGCACATCACCATGGGAAGGTCGATCATCATCATCACCATCATGCTCAAGATCAGCAGTTGGTTTACTATCCATAGATTAATCATACGCCGATCAAACGCTCCTACCCTCCCCAGTCCCGTAGTTCGCGCATTTAAGTTTTCGTGCTTACTTACAAAGTGGTCGGCGGCCGAGTTGTGCCGATGCGGAAACAGGGTTTGAAACATGTCATCCCACGTTTGTGAGCTAACTTTGTATTTATTTAGCCTAATCGCGAAGTTTAATCACGAAAAAGATTTAAGACGAGACAAGAAAACGGTCAAATGATGCGCTGTAACGCTGAAGTTGAGCGCTGAAGCCAAGGTTCGTGCTCGGTAACATTGTGCACTAGCACTGAGTACGAAATCCTCGACTTCCGAGGACTTTCTGGACGGGCTATTCGGAATGGGAAGTGTTCTATTTATTTTTCTTCCAATTGCAGACCTGTAAGTCGGGTCCATGCTGTATTTGAGGAACAGCTGACTTTCTTCTATCAAATGGTCTGATCATGGCTACAAGACTAAGCAGGGCGATTAAACTACTTACCTACTCTTACCTCACCAATCATAGCACACGGCTACTTCCAGAGCCCGGGGTTCGGTGACTGTTAGCGCCAATGTGTATATGTTCAAAACTGTCCCGTATATGTTCCGACGGCCTTTGTCGAGTGCACAACGAGAATGGAAGTGCAGGAATGACTGCATCTGGATTCTGGAACGAGTGTCCGTCCTTCCGCACTGCGACTGCGGCTGCGCTCGAGGGACGACAAGTGCATGATTCGCGGGTACATATGCCGGCGGTGCGCAGTTGAGTTAGGTTGTGAAATTTAAAATCTTAGTCTTGCACCGCACAATAGAACGGGCTCAATTATCAAGAGGTAGCAGTAGCCCGGAATGAATGCATGCCTGCGCCCTGGAGGCTGGGTATACAGTTTTCTTGCAAGTAATCCCGTGTTTCAATGCAGAAGGGTCGTACCGTGTTCCAAGGCCAAACCGATTTAGGCACGGTGGGCTTCTCGGCGAGGCTGGTCGCGTAAGACCGTGACGCCGGCGACTGTGTGTCTTTTATAATTTTAAGCTTGTTCATCCCCGCCGACCGGCAAACTTGCCGTCAGGGGTTGATTGTATGTGTAGTTTCGCGGCAAGGTCCCCGACCCTGTCATTCTGAGCGCTGGGGCATAATGTTTTAACAGGGTTGAAGGTTTAACCTTGCGCCACCGCTGCGATATGATGGTCGCAAACAGTGTATCTAGAGTGTTGCTACAGTCCGTATGTAGTAGTCAACATTTACCGTGTGTCATGGACTTTGAGACGTTTTAAATACGTGAGATCAACTCTCCACATGATCTTGTTGTTGTGAAGTTACCACTGATCAGGACCGAGGAGGTTGCATTAATGCAGCCCGCCGGTGGTTTTTCAGATGACATTCCAGTGAAACGTCACGCACGCAAAATGACCGAGAACTGACCGACGGGTGAAATTTAAATTTGCTGGTGTGAAATTTGTCCAACAAGAGAGTTCTCGAAAGATGTGGCCTGACTTCACACTACAGTGAAGAAAGGGTATCTCATACATGCCATCGCCCAGAACAGAAGGTCAGTAAAAATGCACTACAATCGCCTACCGTGCGATTCCTACGCAAAGACTTACCCATCCATCTGCACCCGCCATACAAGCCCCTAGCCATGCCATCTCCGCATCAGGAGGTACCAGCACACCATGCATCATAGCATAAGCAAGTTCTGGGCCAGAATATGGCGCAGGTGGAAAGAGGAGGGGAAGATGCGTAGATAGGTAATGCACTAAAGTATGCGCCGAGCCTATTTAATAACTCGATCAGTTCCAACAATCCTTCACCAGCAATCCTCTGGAGAGAAACATACCATCTTCAAGGGTCGGAGAGACAACGTCTTGCATCACGGGCCCGTCAGGTAAATACAACCTAACTGGGACACTGCGAACGTTATAAGCATTATCACGGTCCGGTGCACTCTGCGGGTCTGTAGATGGTGGCCTTGCATGCATCGATGGATTTGTGGAAGGTGGTGGAGAGTTCGACCGCGCAGGTGCGGTTGTAGGCACTATCTTAGATGCGACGCGCCAATAGTCATCGAAGTTATCTAGAAATGACAAGCATCCTGAATTGCGCATACACATAATGAAACGGCTGGCTTACGTTCTTTGATGCCTTCCCAGATACCATCCTGGTCTTGCTTCCGGAGACCTGTCATGCGCTTCGTGTTTCCCCACCGTATGAAGTCCGCCTCCTTGAGCTGCCCCATAAAAGCTTGTTTGCATGATTCGGCAGAAGGCGAGAGAAGAAGCTTCTCTGTGGGAGGTGATGCAAGGTGGAGAATGAGCTTCAAGGGAGTCACTTGCAGATTGTAATGAGATGTGGAAGTCTGAGACGGAGGCCGAATTGAGGCAGAGATGATGTGATTATCGTAGATCAGCCCTATCGGCCAGTGCCTACCAGAATATTATGTTCAGGATACATCGTGTAGCGCGCTACAAGGGTCTGAAACTAACCACTTTAACAGCGTACCTTCCTCGCTCTCGAACCACCATTCTTCCTCCTTAAGCATCTTGCCAGCTGCCTCATCGAATACGACATCCATCAAGAATCGTCGTATCTCAGGCATGAGAAGAGGCAAGTAACTGACGCGAGGAGCTTGAATATAATAACATTCCAAGCCGCGATCAGAATTCGCTGGCAACTCTTTTGAGTCTACACGAATTTCAAGGGGAACAGTACCCTCCCATGTCAGGCGGCGAAAGAGAGTTGTTGATGCTGGAGTTGAATTCGCAGACGGTTGACCGTGATGGCGTGTAGTACCGTATGCAGACATCAAAACTCTGTCGAGATGGCAACTATTTGCAGGAAGCGTTTCAAGAGAGTCTTAGTCGTGACTCGTTAGTGTAGCAGCAAGTTGACCTGATTATGATATTCACGTGACTCGACGCGCCTAATGTGTAGTTACCAGTCCAACTAGCACCATCACACAATATGGTCCACGTCGCAGCACCGTCGCTGAACTGGGTCAGGTTGGTGCCAAAGGCATGTTAGCGGATTCCCTCACAGCACACACACGACTTTCTCAAGGCCCTTGGCTTTGAGACGAATATCGCCAAGAATGGGATGACATGCTGTTTCCCTCGGTAACATCCAAGCCAATAAAGGTTGAGAGTACAAGCGATCATAGTATTCTGGATGCCTTTGGAAAGACCACAACTGGCCACACTAACCTATGGAACAATCCGCACCAATCATGAAGGATGCATTCTTTCAATCATCACCGTTGCGTGAACTATTCTCCGTACGTATTCCCGACCCTGTTCAATAAAGCGAAGATCTGCCAAGGTCGTAGATTCAGGAGACTTCCTACCTATCATAGACAATTGAGTGGTTCTGCCGCCACAATCGCCTCGTATTATTGTCTCGACAAATCCATTCAACAGCGGAGGGAAAACGGAGACTTTTAGGGCTCGACGGGTGGTTCCATGATAGAGTTTTGATGTGCTCGCCGCTACAAGGGCTGTGAATGTACGAAAACGGAGGTCCCTTTCGAGTGCCAGGGAGGCCAAGGACAACTATTAACCCCAAATCTTGAACTCCGATGGCATGATCCTCGGTGTGATCAGGACTGCAGCAAAGGTGTCATGGGGGTTAGACTTTCTTCTCAGCTTTCCGTCAAAGAATGTGCCGGTCCGGCGTCGCCACATGAATTCAATTATCGTGGTAATGCTGCTGTTGAGTTGGAGATGGTACCGACGTCGATCAGACAGAAGAGCGTTCAGAAAGGCAGCCGGCATCATGAGCATTAACCCAGCAGTTCCGGAATCGGCGTCATATTCATGATATCTCGAGATCGATGCTCGATGTCATATCCGCAAATTCCATGTTGAGCGATCATGAACGATTCATCACTGAGAGCCTAGACTTCGGACTTCCAGCTCAGTCGGGAGCATATTCAGTAAAAACATCTGTAGCGGGCCGCATAAGGCAAGCTTGAGCGGCCCGGACATGAGCATCGCAAATGTTGTAATGGTAAGTAGTTCAGTTACACACATATATACATAGATTAGACGTACGTGTAAATCAAACTGTCCATCATGAATCATATACTGACAAGCGATGACGCCGGTGAGTTTAACCTGGTTCTGACCACCTTTAATAATGTTTCCACCGCGGAAATAACACTCTCAGGCTCTGAGTACTTTCTCAGGACATCTAGCACCCAGTCTATTCGCTCATGAAGCGTCTCAAGTGCAAATCTGTCCAGCGGAATGTATTCAAGCGTCAACTCTGTAAGGTCTGGCAAGATTTCCACACAATCATCGTTGCCTGAGAGATACACGCTAGGGAATGCATCCCATGCGCCAGGGACGAGTGGCGATAATTTCGCCCTTGAGAACATATCATCGAGTGGAAGTTCCAAAACCTTTGAGACAGCCGTGATCCGCAGGAAAATACCGGCAAGATAGAATGCGTGAGGGTTGCTGTCCGCGGCTTCCGCCATCAGACTGATGCACCTGTTGATGTGGTCGTCTAGGGAAAGGCGACTGCACCACGCAGGATTCTTTACAAGGGTAAAGAGGAGTTTCATGTAACATCCATCACGTCCTTCATCGAACAAGACACCATGGCTACCTTCCACGCTAGGGGAGATAGCGGTGAGGATGGCGGGGGAAAGCGCAAGTAGTTTCTCCCGTAAATTAGCATAGCCATCTGTATCTTCTATGGCGGCCAGTAGTGTTCTTCGCGTTTCGTATGTAGCACGCAAGGCAGCATAACGCAACCGGGCAGGCTGTTCCGGCCCCATAGACCACAAGAGGACTTCCAGATAAGCTGCCTCTCTTGTTGGACTTCCGAGACTCTTCATAGCACTAAGTGCCAGGAGTGCATCTGCGAGAGTGTCCTCCACTTCATAACCCTCGAGCTCGCGCAGTTCGCAGACATAATCAACGAGCCACTCAAATTCATGCGAAGAACGAGTGTCGTGCGCCCAGGTAAACTCCCCATACCAATACAGGAATGAGTCGTCTGGCTGGTAGACATATCCGAGAGGGCCTTGGGGGATGCAGATAGCTGTATGCAGCGCAGCTCCTGCTTCGAACAAGCGTCTCTGCACATCTCCTGAGTCCTCAGTTTCGTCGTCAGATATCGCTGAGCATCCGAGGAAAATTTCTTTGCAGCAAGCAAGGCCCGCTCGGAAAAACGAGCCGTCAAGGGGAACGGCCCCTGTCAGCTCAATGATGCGAAGGGCATGTGGGAGACATTTCTTGGCCCTGCAAGCGTAGTGTTGCGGATGTGCTCCATCAACGCAACCTTGTAGACAAGCGAGGAGTTTAGTGACAAGTACATCGATAGCAGCACTTCGGTCGCTGTCAGATAGGCGACCTGCGGAAATAAAACAATTGCCATACCTTTTGTCCACCTTCACGAGTACCGTTTTGTCGACGTTTAGCCCGAGTAAGATGCCAGCAAGAAGTGTACAATTAGCGAGCACCTGAGCTGACGGGGCTTTATTCGGCATCTTGGCTTCAAGAAGCATCGAGATGATACTCAATGCTAAATCCTCCATCTGCGCGAGCTCGTCGATGTCTTTATGAAGGAGGAAAACATATGGAAGGACTTGGGAGAGCCACAACAAGGTAGCGTCAGACGCTGAAGAGAATGTTGGCGTATCCCGGAAGAATCGATAGGTGTAATCAGCTATCCACTTCTGTCCGAGGTTGATCTTCAATGCATAATCAGCATCTAGCGATTCTCGGCTGAGGAGGTGCCAGAAATGAAGATATCTAGGCTGAGAAGGCCATTGCGCAGCAGAATAATACTCCCCGTCCAGTCGAAGGTATTCCCTTCCACTGAGATGGACGAGAGCTGTTGCGCAAGCTAAAGCTCGTTCTTTCGCTGGCGCTAACAGCCTATCTTTAGTGTCGAAACAGCTTCCAAGGCTGCGATGCAGGAGAGAAATTATACCGGAAACATCAAAATCGAATGGCCATTCAACTTCAGGGACCAGCTGGCAAGCGGCAATGAATACGTTGGGATCTGTGGACGTTTCGAGCAACCATTTTACGGAAGGAGCATCCGAAGATGCGACGGAGACAGCTGGAAATTCGTACGACAGAGAAATTGCGGGAAGGTACGACTCCGTTGCTTCAAAGGAAAGTTTGCCAAACTCGAGATCGCAGATCATGGGAGCACTGGTCTGCGAGGATCGCAGAGCTCGTATGGAACGTAAACAAGAACTGGTGACCGTTCGAAGAGCGGACAGCATGCTTCTGGCACTAGCAAATCCCGCGAGAAGCAACTTTCCGAGCGCCACGCCTAATCCAATGCATCGCGGAACATATCGCAAATGGTATAGATCATGGAACTGAACCATGCGAATTTCTATGAGTTGACAAGTAAGTCTGATGACGACAGACACAGGCGTCTGAAAGGGACAATCCGAGGACATGAGGGACGCGAAGACGGTGAATCCATAAAGCATAACGCCAAACAGTGTGATACAGATGATGACATATGCGATTGTCTGTTGCTGAGACCACAAGTTGATGCTGAGGGAGACGCCGAAAAGGAACAACGAAACCTGCAACAACGCCGGGAATGACTGAACCACGGCATCAAAGTACCACGTCCTTAGTGCTTCCATCTTCTGTTGCCGTCTCCTTCCACGTTCCTCCATGGAACCGTGACCGTATCTGTTGGACTTGTAATAGCCTAACCACTGTTTGCCCAGGATGGCACCAAAGGCAGCAAAGAGGCTAAGTAAAAGACTGGCGTAGGCTAGGCTTTGAGCCCAAACATTACTAGACGAATACCCTGCTGGTTGCGGAAGCGTAATGCTTTGGGGTGCCGAAGTACCATTTGCCGCAAGTAATATGAGTTGGACCAGCAGTGCGTTGGTGGTGTCTCCTGGATTAGGTTGCGACGCAATTATGAAGGAGGTGGTGACAGCTGAGAAGAGACCCGCCTGAGAGATTGCATTTAGATGGTTCGCAAACTGTTCTGAGAAAGGAAACGCACGAAAGTAGGGATGATATCGATATCACCATTGTACCGCTCCAGGAACTCGCTGTCGACCTCCTCTGCTACCACCTCATATGTTTCCCAGAACTGTGATCGGACGTCCTTGTCCGCTTTCTCTAGTTCTGCGCGCTTAAGGACTTCGAGAATTTCGCTCTGTTTTTGGAGAAGACTGCATTGGGAAATATTCAGTTTGCAACGGCTGACGGATTTCTGAGCTACTCACGAGCTAAGGACCTCCGATTGCTTATCGTGCTCCATGACAGACGAGGTGCTCGTTTGGTGATATCCCTGATTGTCATCATTGGCAAGTCTAGAATTTCCACAGTAACCAGGAACAACATATCAGCACTGAGACAAGTATAACTGTCACCTGTGATCATCATGATCATGCAAGAGCGCGACGACGGCATCGATGGCTACTGTTTGATGGACCACTCAAGAGGAGAAACGACCTCGATTACTTACAGCTGTAGCATCCTCAGTGGAGTATGTACTTACTATGGGTGTACGGCGGAACTCGGACACTTTGCGGCCCGTCTGACGCCATATTCGGAGCTCGGAGCTTCCCCATAGTTGTCTCCGGTCCACAATGTCGTTGGTCGCACTCTCCCGCTCAACATTCCGCCATGCAAGCAGCAGCGTTCGTTTCTTCTCTACCAGTTTGCGTGTACAGCGCGAATACGCAAATGTCCTTGTCTCACGGCCCAGCCCAGGCGTGGCGCTCATCACTCTGAACAGGCCCAAGGCACTCAATGCACTCAATGCGGCGCACTTTCAAGATATATCTGATGCGATGAAGGAGGCTGATGAGGATACTAGTGTGGGTGCTATAATCCTCACTGGGTCAGAACGCGCGTTTGCGGGTGTGTTTCTCAGTCAATCGGATCATGAACTCGATTAGACTTGTTTATGCACAGCTGGTGCGGACATCAAGGAAATGAAGGACAAGTCCTGTGAATATCTTTAGGACCTTAGTTATTGAATCCTTTCTGACAAACTTTCCCGAAGTCGCCGAAGCGTACACCGCCAACTTCCTCGCTGATTGGGAAGTTATCACTAAGCTTAAAAAGCCGGTTATTGCAGCCGTCAGCGGTTACGCCGTATGTTCTTGGACTCATTTGTCAACCATTATGTTTTCATTCGAATTATTTCCTTCAGCTCGGAGGTGGCTTGGAGCTTGCATTGCAGGCTGATATTCTTCTCGCAGCGCCCTCAGCACAACTTGGACAACCAGAAGTCAATCTCGGAGTCATCCCTGGCGGCGGCGGGACCCAACGTCTCGCCCATCTCATCGGCAAATCGCGTGCCATGGAACTCGTCCTCACCGGACGTATAATCGGTGCAGACGAGGCAGAACGCTGGGGCATCGTACGGGTTGTACGCGAGGGCAGTGTCGTTGATGAGGCCGTAAAGGTGGCGAGCGATATTGCAAGCAAGGGACGCATCGCAGTAAATGCAGGCAAGGAGGCCGTAAACGCAGCGTTTGAAATGAGCCTCGCTGAGGGACTGAGATTTGAGAAGCGGTTATTCCATGCTTTGTTTTCAACCAAAGATCAGAAGGAGGGTGAGCATATTTTCTGTGTTGTCTGACTAAACTTTGCACTGATTCCTTTCAATCTTGCTAGGCATGGCTGCTTTTGCTGAGAAACGAAGGGCAGAATGGACGCACTCGTAAGGGCATTCTGTATATTATGAGGGAACCCCCGGTCGTCAACATCCCTGTGTTGTCCTGTGTTGACCCACATTGATTCTATCATCTAGGTTTGATTTTCGACATCAGAGCCTAAGTTTACATCACTAGACTATTACAAACGAGGCTAAGCAATGGTATTCTGATTGTTGATTGATCGGCCTTCAGTCAGATAACGGTCTCCGCATCTATCCCAGCGGTTTGTGTCTAACGGCGCTAGCCCTATGACGAATGTGGCACGATTCAAATCAACCCGCGCGACAAGGCGGTGGTTGTCTAATTGCAACGGCGAACTCGGCCGACTGCGATATCTCCAATACCCTAACGTCCATTATGTGAGCAGAAGCCATCCCTTCTATTCAAATGCTGCTGCGCTATCAAAAACGCTATCCAAGGAACAATCAATCGTAATGAGTGAATGAGTGGGATTCAAACCCAATCTGCTTATGTTAATATCCTTTTATTGCGGAACAGGTTTGACTTCGTCAAGAATACCAGCTCTTCGTTGGAAATCGAAGGGTGGGGCCTCGATGCGCCCGTCTTCGTCATAAACATCTTCGACAATGGGCACTTTATCTTTCCTTTCACCTCTAATATTCATCTCATGGCGGTTGTTCGTTCCTTTGATGTCAGAAGACAAGATACCGATGTGGGCGAGCTCGAGGGAGACATCTCTGGTTCTGTCCTTACAGATGTTACCGTGGAGTCGAGCTGTGGCACATCAAACAATGCCCTTGATACGAATTGAGATCCTTGACACGATAATTCATTGATGGATGGGTGACGACCCAGTGACGTAGTCCCGCTTGCGGTCTTGTTGTTATGTAGGTTTTGACTTGCAGTACTTTCGAACAAGCTCGTGCGCTGCATCCAAGCTGTTAACGTGGTTTACATTTTAAAATGGTCTGGGAAACGGCCAGATTCGGCCATCCACTGTCACAACGACCGAGCTCGCTTTTCTCTGACTACTTTCGAAACGGTTGTTCGCAATGAATTGGTATTATCTTCACAATGGAGAAGTTCTAGTCAAACACCGATCCAAAGCCCCGAGTTCCCATCAACGCTCTCGAGAAAATACCACACTACTTAGCGTTCGTTTTTTGATCCTCCATTTCCCTCATCTTCTTGCAAATGGTGCGTAAGCGGGCTTCGGAAGCCACTGTGGAGGATGCTCCATCCAGGCGAAGAATTTTATTCCACTTCGGCACCCGGTCAAGGAGTTGTTCGCCAGAGGGCCGATAGCTCGGATCACTGTTTGAAAGATGGTCCATAGTATCCCTGACGTCGTCACGATGGATTGTGGCACCACTCCAATATGGGCCTGCAATATGACGGTCATGGTATATAACACAGATAGTATTGTTATGGATGACTTACCAGCAGCAGCGATGGCCATGACAGAATCCTTGGTTTCATCTTGAAGAAAAACACATCCTGCTTGCACCAATATGTCGGCCCTAGCCTCGTCGATATGGAACTTAATGTCCTCATCCAGCTCATCATCTTTCAGACTCCTGCTCGCAAACCTTTTCACTTCCACGAGAAGGCAAGCATTTGCTGCAGTTATTCGCCACCCTCCATAGCGAGACTTCTCCTCTGGTTGAGGCACGGCTGTGAGACGGACGACGGTAAAATCCACCAGAACGCTCCTAGCATCCTTTTCGGGGATAGTCGATGCGAAAGAGATATCCCCCGCCCCAACCTCAGGTTCATGGTCCTCATCATCGACGTCGTTATCGAGTACTTGCATACCTCCTGCACCAGTGTGCTCTCCCTGTGCTGGCTTTTCCAACTCTTCCACCTCTTCAGGATCGTCACCATCATCTGCGCCTTCGACTTGGTCATTATGCTCTATGATCCAAACTGGAAATTGAGGCGCTACGATCAAGTTTGGCACACCTGCCACAAGATCGAAGAGTGTTTGGCACCACAGTGGGTACCAATAAAACTCTATATTACGGGAATTGAATGTGCGAGAGAACGCATACGACGTCTCCAAGCGAGTTTTGCGTGGTAACAATTGATCAGGGGCCATGATGAATGAGTAGCTGGTTCAGGTGCGGTGAATATGACGGCGACCAATGTGAATTAATATATGTCGTGCGGACTTCAATTTCTTGCGGTGAATATTACTGAGAGGGTTCATTCCAACGAGATGTTATTGTACATTTCCAGTGAACAATGGATTTTAACTTTGCTGATGTTGCTCCGAGTCAATATTCTCCTACAGTTCGGGCACATCATGACGTGGCAATTAATTCCCAAGAGAGTGAACAAAAAATATTCTTTAAACTGGACAGACAAAAGAGGTCAACAATGGCGGGCAAACAACGGTGATTGTGCACCACATGCGGCATGCCACAACTCGTCGAGACTGCAGTCCATGTAGAATCACGTGCCTTGTCACATGACACTCCATATAAATTGGCAACACTTGGTTCATAGTTCACAAACATCGTCACGGATCCAAGGTAAGAGCATGCTTTGCGTTGGAATCATCTGTATCCTAATGCTTCTTCAATCGTAGTCATGGTAAAATATTATGGATATGTGGTGAGCGATAGTTGGTTTCACCAGCGAGCCCTTGATGTGGGCTATCCACCCGCCAAGACACCCGAAGAGTCGCGTGGTATCATTAGCCTGGCTTCGAGGAATGTTATGGCAGCGACGGGCGTCATCTCTTATGCCAGATTTCGTAGAGTGAAAACTCCCAAGGGCAAATCCTTCTGGTGCATTGCCTTCGCTTGTGACAGTCCTTGTGTCGCAGGGGAACACTTACCAACCTATCCGCCGCCAGAGACAAAATACAAGGCTTTGAAGGAGGCACTTGGGAAGGATGGCCCGCCTCACTGGTATCGAGCTATTTGAAACTAAATGTTGGTGAGCTTTCCACATCGCCAATGGACGCAACTGATGTTCATTGCTTTTAGGGAAGGAACACAAGTCTCCTCGCATTGCCACAAACATCACCTCATACCGTCGAAATTATCCAATATCAGGACGTGGTGACATTGGCGTATACGATTGTTCTCTTCCCGTCATACGTGTGTATTTATATATATAGGCCTGACTCGGGGGAAGGGCATGATGCCGGGAATTCTCTATAGGCTTCCTCCTTTGGGTCCGTTCCCGCTATATTCTGTTGTATCGAGAGAAGTGTTCCGAATTGACGAATTCAGGCTGTTCAACATTTCATAGAGTTCATTCAATTTGTGCTGTCCCATCGAAGATTCGACACTGCGTCGCCTAGTACATGCAGACTTCAGTGACGCCACACAGCACCTACTAGCATTGGAAGCCTGCAAAATTTTAAGAGGGCCTAGTAAACGGCTGAGAGGTTCGTTCGGCGGACTCAGCCGACTACAATATCTCCAGTATCCTAAATCCATCATTATGTGAACAGAAGCCACCCCTTTCACTGATACACATTCCCCTCTATTCATATGCTGCGCCGCTATAAAAAATGCTATCCAAGGAACAATCAATAGTAACGAGTGGGACTCGGACCCAGTCTGCTCATGTTCTAATATCCTTTATTGCAGAACAGGTTTGACTTCGTCAAGAATACCAGCTCTTCGTTGGAAGGGTGAGGCCTTAATGCGCCTACCTTCATCTCAAACCTCTTCGACAATCGGCACTTTACCTTTCCTTTCACTTCCAATATTCATTTCGTTGTGGTTGTTCGTTCCTTTTATATCAGCAAGCCCGACACTAAGGTAGGCGAGCTCGATATCTCTGGTTCTGTGCTCACGTATGTTATCGTGGAGTCAGGCTGTGGCATCAGTTGAAATATGAAAGGTGAGGAATAATATGATTTCTGCAAGCTAATCTGCAACAGTTTTCTTCTCTGCACTGCTGAGCGATATCCCGGAAACACCAGATTATAAACAGAATCCCCACACAATCGTATCTCTGACGGAATCAACATTCAACGTGTGTCCTTATAAATAGTATCACGCAGTCAGCTTCTCGACATGTCGCTCGGACAACCCTGACCTCAGTCGGGATGCTGAGTATAAGATAGAACACAGAGATGTATTATCCTGGCCAACGGATGCATCTGATGATGGCATCCAATTTCGGCGAAGCGCTGTCTTCTGGGCATAGGACTTGGTCGTGAATCTGTTTCTTTATCCTCCACTTAAGGGTGGCCGCTTGCAAATATTGGTTGGCTCTTTCATTCTAAACCCGCTGCCATCGTTAGACCGAAACTCATGTAGTTGACAAGGCCATCATTCTATACGAAGAAATACCACGCCTACGCCATGCTGGGCACAAATGTCGCGCTGTGTAACTGAACATCCACTTCAGTCATCGCAGTGACATTAGTGACCTCAGCAGAGCTGTCATCCTCAATATTATACGTCAATATGTGTTGTCACGCGTCAGCTGGCAGTGAGTACTATAGGAGGTGTAAGTCTTCGGAAGTGTCCCTTGAATTGCCTCGTCATGAAGGTGGTTCTCCAATTCTTTCTCCGTGCACTGGCAGGACAATCATCCAGGCAACTTCAAGAATTCTGCGAAGTTTCAGGGCATTGTCCTCGGGTGACGTCCAAAGTTATCATGTTCATTTGCTACTATGTGCAAACCAAGCGGCAATGCATGCCGGGTGAACAGGTGTCGTAGTCAAGCCTGAGTCTTTTAAGGCGCTTAGCGCGCTGTCGAGGTCGTGGCTGGGAAATTTGGGAAGGCTATAACGAAAGATGCGAGGGAGAAAAGAAGAATCTATTCTGGCACGCACTTGATGCATTCCGTGAAAGAAATTAGGTTCTGCATCGTAGACATTCTGATCTTGCCCAGAAATCTCCGCCTGCATAACAGTCAGTAGCAAAGAGGCAAGTAAGGAGGTACATACGCCAAGAATACAATGCACCAGTTGCCACTGACCCACAGACCGCAGGTCGCGTACATATATGAGGCTGAAGCACGTGCTTTGTCACATGACACTCCATATAAAAGGCACTGGAAGTTGAAATCAAATACTGTCACGTACGGATCCAAGGTGAGAGCACACAGCTGTCGGAGCTGTCTGTATTCTAATGCTTCTTCATGCATAATAGTCATGGTAAAATACTATGGATATTTGGTGAGCGATAGCTGGTTACACCAACGAGCCCTTGATGTGGGCTATCCGCCCGCCAAGACACCCGAAGACTTCGATGATATCATCAGCCTTGCGTCAATAGATGTCATGGCAGCGACGGGCGTTATCTCCTACGCCAGATTTCGTCGAGTGAAAACTCCCAAGGGCAAATATTTCTGGTGCATTGCCCTCGCCTGTGACGATCCAATTACTGTTGGAGAACGTTTATCAACCCGCCCGCCGCTGGAGGCAAAATATAAGGCTTTGAAGGAGGCGCTGGGGAAGGATGGACCGCCTCACTGGTATCGAGCTATTTGAAACGAAACGTCGGTGAGCTTTCCACATTACCAAGGGACGCGACTGATGTTTATCTCTCTTAGGGAAACCATCAAAGTCTCGTTGTATTGCCACCTATATAGTCACTACATGCTGCTCAGGCTTTCGAATGCCGGCACATTGTGGCATATTAGCGCATATGATTATTTTCTTTCCATTATTCGTGCGTACTCATATATTGGTCTGACTCGGAGGAAGGGCCAGAATGCCGAGGATCCTTCATAAGCTTCCCTCTGCGGTCAGTTCCTACCATATCTTGTTGTATCGAGAAAAATCAATAAGGAGTGTCGCGGATTGACGAATTGAGGCTGTCCAACATCTGAGGCCATTCACTCCGTGCTGTCACATCGAAGGCTCGAAACTCTACCGAGTGCATGCAAACTTACTAAGTGACACCATAAGCATCAGTCACTGGCGCCTACTGGCATTGAGAGAGCCTAGTAACGGCTGAGAGGTTCGTTAGATACTCGTTAATGTCGATCTCTCAAATTGTTCCGTTCAACTTCTGTGGCTTGGGAGTTGCTCCCGCGTACAGGGGCTTACCCCTTTTGGCGTTTTCAAAATTTTCAACGCGCGGCCACTCCCGCAACTTGAAATTCAACCATATGAGCCCTGCGTCAGCGTGTACTCTGTCTGTATTCTATATTCTAACGCTTCTTCAATCACAGTCATGGTAAAATACTTCGGATATCTGATAGCTCAGGGCTGGTTGCACCAAAAAGCCCTTGATCTGGGCTATCCGCCCGCTCAGACCCCAGAAGACTCGCGTGATATCCTTAGCACTGTTCCCATGAATGTTATGGCAGCGGCGGGCGTTCTCTCCTACGCCAGACTTCGTGCAATAAAAACACCCAAGGGCAAATATTTCTGGTGCATTGCCCTCGCCTGTGACGATCCTATTACTGTTGGAGAACGAATGTCAACCCGCCCGCCGCCGGAGGCAAATTATAAGGCTTTGAAGGAGGCGATGGGGAAGGATGGCCCGGCTCACTGGTATCGAGCTATTTGAGATGAAATGTCAGTGAGCTTTCCGCATCGCCACTAGAGGCAACTAATGTTCATTCTTCTTAGAGAAAACAAGTCTCGTCGCATTGTCACGTATATCACCGCATACCATCGAAGCCATCGAATCACAGGATGTATATATTGATATGTGATTATCTTACTTCCGTTGCCCGTGTATTTACGTATTGGTCTAAGGAAGAGCCAGGATGCCGCAGATTCTGTATCAGCTCCCTATCATCGACCGTTGGGAGGTTCTACTGCTATGATCGTCTCATATTATTGTGTTGACAAATCCATTCAACAACAGCGGAAATGGACGGTTTTGGGACTCGACGTGTGGTTCTATGATACAGTTTTGATGTGCTTGCCGCTATCAGGGCTGTGAAAGAGGCCCCTTTCAATTGCCAGGGAGGTGGAGGACAACTATTAGCCCGAAACCTTGAACGTTCACTTGAACTCCGATAGCACGACTCTACGGTATGATCAGGACTACAGCAAAGTCGTCAGGGGAGTTTACGATGAGTTGTCCCAGAATCGGCGTCATATTCACGATATTTTGATCATGCATGAGCTCGGTGTCAAGTTACATGTTGAGCGATCATCCGTCATGAACGATTCATGAGATGCTAGACTTCGTGTACTGCAAATAACGTTCTCAGGCTTAACTCGGAATACTCTCTCAAGACATCTAGCTAGCATCTATGTGAAGCGTCCTAACGAGATTCAAATCCAACCTGACCATGTTCTAATATCCTTTTATTACAGAACAGGGTCGACTTCGTCAAGAATACCAGTTCTTCATTGGAGATCGAAGAATGGGCCTCGATGTGCCTGTCTTCGTCTCAAACCTCCTGGACAATCGGCACTTTACCTTTCCTTTCACTTCCAATATTCATCTCATCGCAGCTGTTCGTTCCTTCAATGTCAGCAAGCTCAACACTAAAGTGGAAAATATGTCTCTGGTGGTTCTGTGCCCGTGGATGATGTCGGGCTGTGGCATCAGTTGAGATCTGAAAGCCTAAAGGTGAGGAATAACACTCAATCCAGGATCGCTGCAAGCTACTTCTAAACATTTTTCTCTGCACTGCTGAGAGTAAGGTCTTGTAGTTCGCTTGTCTAGAGAGGTCCGATCGCTGTTTGGGCCAAGGTCGATCCCACGCAGAGCAGAGCAGATCGTCTCACGAGTCTGCGTGAAGTTCTTCAAGGTTTTGAACCTGCAAAGCGTTATTGTACGGTTCTTCAGATGACTCGGAGGGCAGAATTTTAGATTCCCTCATCCCCTTCATTTGCTCGATGTCATTCGCGCGTCAGCTTGGCATTGACTGGTTGACGAGGATCGATGATATTTCACCAAACTTTGGTTGTCGTCTCCTGTCACTCAAGTACCCAAGTTGGGAAGAAGGTCTCCTCTCACCATCCAACCATTGTCACGATCCAGGATAAAGTACTTCGTCGCTGCATCCCACAGCCAGACAGTTTTGTTGAAAGAACCTGCAGTTACGATGCGAGTGGCGTCCGGCGAGAACAAGGGTGAGTTCAGTAAACCAGTGTGCTCCCTGAGCACGATCTGGGCAGTCAGCCGTCAGTTTATATCACGTCTAGATGCTACACGAAAAGTATTCATGATCTAGATACTTACATGGAGTTAGTAGGCAAATGGCAGTGCTGATACATGAAGATATGGGGGCTGTGTAAACTGGTGCCGCGAAAGACTTGAATAAACTGCTGCATGTGCAGATGACGAGATATCTTTTGGATGCATGGCCCTGTGGTTGCACACGAGCACGATATCTGATACTCAGTAGCCTATGAGCAAGTCAAGGTTCACAATCAGTTATAGAGAGGATACAAAGTAACCTAAAGGATGCTGATAAGCCTATCGATAAACTACTGCCAATGTAGATATCATAACAAGATGAACGATAAAACTAAGATACCTACGGACATTCACCAATGATTCTAGCAACAGCGACAGGACAGGCCGCCTCCATGTTCGCCGGTGTCTACCTGAGCTGCTACTGGTTGATGTTGCTGTTGCGTATTGGGATCCTGTGAAGGAGGGTCTTCATCAGGTATCAAGGAGTGCTCACTCCCAGGAGCACCCGCTGCAGCATTACGCTGTAGATTTGAATGTGAGACACCCAAGAAACAGTTATGACAAAATAACCGAGCGCACCTGTCGACCTTGGGCAAAAGGAACCTCGGGCGTTGCATGATGGGGTGACCGGGTAAATAGACGTCGTAGGTGGGTTTTGAAGGTGGTGGTGGCGGTAACTGGCGGTGATGTGGTGGGTGGTGCAAGTTCAGGAGCTTCACGAGGCCTCCTCGTCATGGCGAGCCTAAGTCTTTTGAGGCGCCCAAAGCGCTGTTGAAGTCTTGGCCTGGAAATCTGAGAATGATGTAATGAACGATGTGAGAGAGAACAGAGTGATACGCTCTTGCACGCACTTGATGCATTCCATGGAAGAAATTGGGTTCTGCATCATAGCCATCTTGCTCTTGTCCCGGGATTTCCGCCTGCATAATGGTCAGTAGCGAAAGAGGTGAGGAACAGGGTACATACACCAAGAATACGGTCGTTGTGCGCAGCGAGCGTGGTGCATTTCTCCTTGAACTCTGAGTGATATGCGGGGTGAGTATGATAGCCGTGGGTGACATGACCGAAGACTTGCCGTTAGACCAATCGAGACAGCTGGCCTTCGCAGTCTCGTCGATGGCGTCCATCATGTATTTGTGTGCTTCGAGGGCCTCATCGGGTTTACCTGCTGAAAGGAAAGCCTGGCACCGTTTCTGGTGTGTCGTAAGCAACAAGGACTCCAGATCCCAGCCGAAGAGCTGCAAAAGGATGAGGTTATAAAAAGTGTTGGGTGCGCATCATCTTGACGAACCACCACAAAGTCCACATATATCAAATGAATGTATTGCGGTGAGAAAGCAGTGAAATTGACAGCGGCAGTGAAGTGATCAGTAGCTTCGTCGTGACGCGCATCATCCAAGGCTTTGATCCCGAGCTGAATACGTAGATATGTCTATTGTGCGAGTTGCAAAGATCAGGATTGATGATCGAGTGGGGCCACATGACACTCACTTCCACGACACGACGCGTGAGAGGATCGACATTCGGACAAGTGGCAGCCAGGTCTTTGATGAGCAGCATTGCTTCCTCGTGTTGATCTGCGTTGAAGAGTGTGATGGCCTGGAATACTTGGTGAAGCAGATAGCATGAGAGACGAATTAAATGTACCTTGATCAAGAGAAGAAATTGGTTGGTTTCTGGATCTTGGTTGGTGAACATGGATGCAACGTCGAATGCTACCCTTGCCTCCCGGACGTGGCCTTTTCCGCAGAGGGCAATGCCTTTCGAGATAAAGCCAATCAATGATGGCCTAATGTTGATTGACTATGTCACAGATGAACGTTAGCTTTTCGTAAAAGGACAATGATGGGCGGGTCCATCTCACCTTGATTGCATCCTCAAGGGCGTGCTCCAAGTCGTGCTTCCGGGCCATGACGAACGAACGATTGGCATATGAAGTAAAGTCGTTGGCGTTGGTGTCGATATCTTGTGTGAGAAGCTCTTCAGCGATAGACAAGTCCCCAGTTAGACATGCATCACGGGCTGTTGTGATGTCAAGGATCTGTACGAAGGATGCTCGAATTGCGTAATGAGAGTTAGAAATGGAAACTCGCCTTTGATTGTTGTACTGTCCATTTTGAGATCTTGTTACCGTACACTCCGGTGAGGATGTGCTTGCCGTCCACAGAGAACGTGACACATGTCGCGATGGATGAATGCTGGAAAATGGCGATGGTTCGTCGATCTGAGAGCTGCCAGAGACAGACATGGTTGTCATGAGATGCAGAAGCGACGAGGGTGCCAGCGGGATGAATGGCGATGGCGTTGATATAATCAGTGTGGCCTTCGTAGGGATGACCGACCTGCTGCCAGGTTGATGTGTCCCACTCCAATATGGATTTACTACCTCCTGAAAGAAGGCGTGTGCCATCAGGTGTCCACGCGAGTGACATGTTCCATGATCCCGTGAGACCTGTCAAAGATGCGACGCGTTCCCTTGTGCCTGGATTATAAATTTGGATATTCCTGTCTGTTGCGATGGCAAGAAGTTCACCAGAAGGCGAATATCGAACGCAGTTGACATCACTGCCACACTCGATTGGTTCTCCTTGCATCTGCCATGTTTTGGTACACCAAAACTTCACCATGTGGTCATATGAACCAGTGACCAGCACCGTTCCATCAAGAGAAAAATACACCGAGCTGGTCCGATCGGAGTGGGCTTTGATGGGTTGGGTGATGGATTCGCCAGTTTCACCGTGCCAGGCGATGACTTCTCCACCATAATCACCGCTTGCTATTGTTTTACCATCTCGCGATATCGTCAATGCCCACACCTCACTGCCATGCCCTTTCATATTCTTCAACACCACACCTGTCTCCAAGTCCCAAAGACGAAGTGTCTTGTCGTCCGAACCCGTAATCATTCGTCGTTTATCGAGGAACACTGCGACTGCATTTATGTCCTTCTCATGATCTTCAAAAGTTCGAATGGGTGTGGTGCTTGGAATGAGCCATGACATTTTACTGGAGGTTGATGGTGTTGAGCACGGCCGAGGGATTGTGGGTGTCTTTCTCTAAGTTACAGAGGTGCGTGTACTGTGCGTTTTTATGTTACCTTCACCACGCGCTAACCTTCTTCGTCTCCGTAGACGCCCAAGACACGAGGCAGTTCGCCATCACCGTTTCAGCAAGAATGCTCCCAACCAGTGATAACCGATTGCACTGCCTACATGCGTCCGACATTTGTTTTCACAATTTCAAGCCCTACCGAGACATCAAGCGAGTATCACACCTCACCAACAAACGTTCAAGCTCAAATCCTACGTCTCATGACCGATCATATTACGACTCGCTGTAGACTACTAGTATAAAGTACCCGCGTGTCTATGGTACGTCTTGATTGTTGATCCCCGTGAGGAAGGGAACGTTTCCAGTACTATGCATCAAGAACATTAAGCTTTCGTTGCTTTCGCCTGCAGTGAATTCGAACCCGAGAGCGACCATTATGCGCATCATAAATAGAAAATACAAGAACATTGTAGCCAATGATGTGTGAGGCGCAAAGTAGTCTCGATTCTCGCATTCCCATTAGCATCAGTGGTCGTCCGAGCCCGGCCATCCCCATCTAACGAGCCGAGTCGCTCCGTCATGCCACGACTGTACCCTGCGGCCAGCTAGTGTGGACATCGTGGAGCCACGAGTGCCAACGAAGCCAGCTCCATTCGACTGAATGATAGTATCGATGAACACCGGATGCCTGGTAGCAGCCATAACTCAAGTTAGCGCCGTTAGAATGAAAATATAACATCTAATCGGCTCACCATTTTCCATAGATCTCCTCTATCCGCTATGCTGCATAATCTACCCACGTCTACCCCAATGCCCTAACCTCTGACAACCATTCTGGGTCCCTTTCGTCGCTCGTCATGATAACATGCGTGGCATCAATCCCTTCTCGTGTGCGAAGCTCTTCTTGCGCCTCAGACACCCTGCGCGCAATGACAAACAACGGGGCGAAGCACTGGTCCACAGGAAAATCCTCACATTGCTGGCTGAAGTCACCGTGCCGCATATGGATGTATATATACTGCCAAAAGTTAGATCTTTAGAGCAAGCGTTGCCCGAAACTCTGACTCACGGGAGGTGTTGGGTCAGTTGCTGGTACATTCATGGCGCGTCGGGTATGCCAATCGGCAATCTTTTCCATGCTTGCAGTCCATCGCATGTGTTGCCCTACAAATCTCCATGCAGGAGAATAGTCTAACTCCCATTCCTTTGTATGATGCGCGCTTATGTAGTAAAGGAAATGGAAGCATAATACGTGATCGTCTGGGGGAAGTGAAACCTGATGCTAAGGAGAAGGATAATTTGTCGATGATAAATCCAGGTTTTCAAGCGAGCCTCTGGAAACCCAAGTGATGCGAGAGATGAAAAGGCTAGGAGATATCAGCTTGACCCAAGCTGAGGTTCGCGTCCACATGACATCTGTGATGACCAAGCGTTTAATCACTGAAGAGGGATGTTCGAAGTTGTCTCACCGAGCTTGAGCAGGTTCAGGGAGGGACTTTGTCGTGGTTCAGGAATCTCGAGGTGCTGTTGAACGGTTTCCCAGACAGTCCAACCGTAGTCAAGATCATTGAGAACCTGGCTTTCTGGATCCTTGACTTCGTGTCATTGAAGCAAGTGAATCCCTATGGCTTGATTGAGTTAAACACTTCTCCGAAAACAAATGGAGGTGCGCTTGGGTGGATATGAGTAGAGAGGAACTTGGGATTATGGGTAATCGTTCTGTTATAAGAGCGAGGTATATCAAATTTCCCGTCGATTGCGCAGGAGTACTCTGCATGTCCAGTATATAGCTTGAGGGCTTAAGCAAGAGATTTCCAAAGCCGAACAACTTAAAGACAGCCGGCAGAGCTGCACATGTCGTCCTCGGAGACAGATTTTCCGTTTGGTAAGAATATTGAGATGGATTCTCTGGGTGGTGTATGTGGCTCTCTCCTATAGCAAGCACTCGTCTGACTGTCTGCTCGCAAGGGTAGGAGAGAGAATTTCTGTGTTTGTGTACGGTAGTAAACAACTAAAATTGTCGAGACTCGCCGAGTGCCTGGCCGGCTGTGCCGGGGATATTATGTCGGGTTGACGTCTCCTCCTCGGGCTGAATTTAAATATGCTCTTTTCTTTTCTCTTAATGGCCCAGCGCCACACATGACTGTGAAGGTGCGTCCAAACCATGTAACATCAGTCCTCTCGGCGCGCTGTGTTTATTTAGAATGGCGTTGTATTACCTTCACAAGATTTTGATACGTAATCACGGTGGGATCTCGACCGTTTCTCATAAGATCTCTAACACTTATTAGATCTAAGCGCACTACAATATCACCTCCTTATGCTGTCGATTCCCAACATCTGCCTGCGCACCATACGCAACCAAATCTATCTCCTCTCCCACTTCAAATCCGCTTCTAATGGAGGAGTTTCCGTCTTTTAAAACTGTCGTCCCCGCATCATCATCGCTGTGTATGATATCTCTCATGTCTCACTCGCACTAATTTAAGACCTTCTCACCCAAGCACTCTTCTCATTAAGTCCAGACAACATCAAGGGCTTGTCTTAATTTACTCTCATTGCCTCAGTCTCAATGCACGCCAGCAAATGATATTGTCCACCGCGACTATTCTCATCAGCACCATACCTTACTCACCATTCACATTCATTGGGCATCAATGCATCATTCTCGGACTCCGCCTGCTCGTTCACACTGGCGATCACAATGCTCCAGTGATCATTCATGTTAATCATTCTTCGGAAACGATAAAACTGTTAGCCATCACCTCAAACCAGTGTACGACGTGAGTTGTTCTCATTCAATGTGCTAGTAATATACTCACCCTCAAAGGGCCCGCAACTATGATATTCATTCAGTCCAGTCCCGAGGGCCGTGCAGATGATTGATCGGGAGACGATGATGAGGAAACGAAGAAACGTCGGTCCTTTGAACGCGAGTATCTTCTTCAGCCCTGAGTATGTATTTGTATGCTAGCACCTGCAGAACACGAGCCACCTCGGGATCCAGCATCTCGATCTACTGATGACACGCGAACAAACGACACATGCATAGTTGGTTTATTGGAGAGTACCAACACGCATACGCTGGCGGCCCAGCGTATTCGAATTCTTGCAAGAGTCAAAAGTCTCGAAGAAGCTAAGAGTAAAGTCTGAGGAGCGAAGTGCAGAGCGGTTGGAGGTATCAGTGAAACGAGTCTTCTGTCCAGAAAAAGATAATCCATCCATAGTGCCTTCACGATGATATGACCGACTAGAACTTGTGCAATGAGCTCATTGCTTTTCCACAATCACTGAGTGTGTGAACGCAGTTCTTCTATCAGACGCAAGTGCCCGTAATATAGATTCTGCCGGCTTAGATTTCGTTTTTATATATTCCCTCTAAATATATATATTCATCCAGCTAACAGGTACGGCGCAACAACCCGACCATGAACAAATTTCATACACAATAATCAAGCAAAATCGCTTTACATAGTTTGACGAAAGGTTTAGTGGCTGAGTATCTGGACCTCTGACGCTCAGACTCCAGAGCAGTTGACATGGTGATGACTGCTGGACGAACTCATCCAGCTACAGGAAGTTTGATTGTATGAATCTGCTCGTTGTAAAGAATAATCATTACTATCTATAAAACAAGAGCTGACCACGTACATGTTACAATACAGGTGATGATAGAACCAAAATGTCCGAGGGACATCGAAACGTGCTAGCAGCAGACACAGGACTTCCCGCCTCCATGTTCGCCAGGGTCTGTATGTACTGCTACTGCTTGCTGGTGTGGTTGCTGTTGCTGTTGCGTATCAGGGTCCGGTTCAGTATCGAGATATTCATCAGGTACGATGTCCGGGTCTTGGCCAGGAGCACCCGCAGCAGCATTACGCTGTAGATCTAAGCATCAGATACCCAAGATACGCTGATAAGAATCGAGCTGACCCACCTCTTTAGCCTTCGCGAATGGAACATCAACAACGGGCGGCGTTGCATGATGGGGTGACCAGGTGAATGAATGTCGTAGGCGAGTTTTGATGGTGGTAGTGACGGTGACTGGTGGTGAGGTGGTGGGTGGTGCAGGTGCAGGAGCTTCCTGAGGCCTCCTCGTCATAGCGAGCCTGAGTCTTTTGAGGCGCCCAGGGCGCTGTTGAAGTCTTGGCCTGGAAATCTGAGAATGCTGTGATGAATTATGAGCGAGAGAACAGAGAGATAGGCTCTTGCACGCACTTGATGGATTTCATAGAAGAAATTGGGCCCTGCATCATAGCCATCTTGCTCTTGCCCAGGAATCTGCGTAGCGAGTGCATTACATTGCTCCTTGAACTCTGAGTGACATGTGGGTAAGTATGATAGCGGCAAGTGACATGACTGAAAACTTGCCATTGGACCAATCGCGGCAGCTGGCTTTCGCAGATTCGTCAATGGCGTCTATCATGCATTGGTGTGCTTCTAGGGCTTCATCGGGTTTACCTGCCGAAAGGAAAGTCTGGCAGCGTTTCTGGTGAGTAGTTAACAACAAGGACTCGAGGTCCCAGCCGAAGAGCTGGACAAAACGTTCAGTTATGAAAAACATAATGTATGCACTATCTTGACGCACCACGGTCAAGTCCTGGTATATCAAATGAATGTATTTCGATGCAAAAGCAGTGGAGTTGATAGCGGCAGTGAAGTGATCAGCAGCTTCGTCGTAACGCGCACCATCCAAGGCTATAGTTCCGAGCTGAACGCGTAAATATGTCTAGTGTACGAGCGACAAAGTTCAGTTTCGATGACCGAGCGTGACTGCATGATACTTACTTCCACGACAACACACCCAAGAGGATCGGCATTCGGACAAGTGGCCGACAGCTTTTTGATGAGCAGCATTGCTTCGTCGTGTTGGTCTGCATTGAAGAGTGCGATGATCTGAAATACGGCATGAAGCAGAGAGCATGCGATGCTAATTAAACGTACCTTGATCAAGAGAAGAAAATGGTCGACTTTTGAATCTTGGTTCGTGAACATGGATGCGACGTCAAATGCTATCCTTGCCTCCCAGACGTTGCCTTTTCCGCAGAGGGCGATGCCTTTGGAGATATACCCTGTCAATGAGGGCTGAATACTGATCGACTATGTCACGAATGAAAGTCAGCCTTTTGTAAGAGGGCCATGATGGGTTGGTCCATCTTACCTTGCTTGCATCCTCAAGAGCGTGGTCCCAGGCGTGTTTCCGAGCCATGACAAATGACCGATTGGCATAGGAAGTATAAAGGTTGGTGTCGGTGTCGATATCTTGTGTGAGTAACTCCTCAGCGACAGACAGGTCTCCAGTTACACATGCATCACAAGCTGTCGTGATAGCCAGGATCTGCAAGAATGATGCTCGAATTGTATCCTGGGAGTCTAGAATAAAAACTCGCCTTTAAATTGATATTATTTGGTAATGCCCACTCTAAGATCTTCTTAGCATCACCTCCGCTGAAGATGTGCTTGCCGTCCACAGAGAACGTGACACATTTCGTGGTGGACGGATGCTGGAAGATGGCGATAGTTCGTCGATCTGAGATCCGCCAGAGACGGACATGTTTGTCGTCAGACGCGGAAGCGACGAAGGTGCCAGTGGGATGAATGGCAATGTCATAGATAGTGCTAGTGTGGCCTTCCCAGGGATGACCGACCTGCTGCCAGGTCAATGGATCCCACTCCCGTATGGTAGAAAGGCCTGCTGAAAGAAGGCGTGTGCCATCAGGCGTCCATGCGAGTGACAGGTTGTAATATCTGTGACCTGTCAAAGATGCGAGGCGTTCCCTTGTGCCTGCATTATAAATTTGGATGTTGTTTTCAGTTGCAATGGCAAGAAGTTCACCAGACGGCGAATATCGAACGCAGAAGACATCAGCACTAAGCACGATTGGATCTCCTTGCATCTGCCACGTTTTAGTACACCAAAACTTTGTCGTTTGGTCCCATGAACCAGTGGCCAGCACGGTACCATCCGGAGAAAATTCTAATGAGTAGATTCGACGAGAGTGGGCTTTGATGTGTTGGGTGATGGATTCACCAGTTTCACCGTGCCAGGCGATGACTTCTCCCATTTCATCACCGCTTACTATTATCTGACCATTTCGCGATATCGCCAATGCGACCACCGCATTGCCATGCCCTTCCATCTTCATCAACACAACACCTGTCTCCAAGTCCCAAAGACGAAGTGTATTGTCGTACGAGCCCGTAATCATTCGCCGTTTATCGGGGAACACTGCGACTGTGGTTATTCTCTCCTCGTGATCTTGAAAAGTTCGAATGGGTGTGGTGTGTGGAATGAGCTGTGACATTTCACTGGAGGTTGATGGTGTTGAGCACGGCCGAGGGATTGTAGGTATCTATCTCTAAGTTACAAAGGTGTGTGTATTATGCGTTTTCATACTGCTTCACCACGCTAACCTTCCTCGTTTCCATAGATGCCCAAGACACGAGGCAGTTCGCCATCACCGGTGCGGCACCCTTGGCATCACGAAATCTGACGCTGCCTTATTTGGACACTTTCCCGCGCCACAAGCGTATGGGCACACCTTGTGTCACCGCTTTCAAGTTGTTGGCTGGATCTCAGGTGTCCATGTCAGTAATTGATGCACAAGCCAAGATCTACATATGGAAAAATCAAGGTTCACAATTAGCTAGGGGACACAAAGTAATCTAAATAATGCTGATACCTATCGATAAACTACTGCTTCAAGCCAACGTAGATATAATGACAAGACGAACGATAAAACTGAAATGCCCACAGACATTCACCAATGCTTCTAGCAGTAGCAACAGCACAGGCCACCTCCATGTTCCCCGGCGTCTACCTGAACGGCTACTGGTTGATGTTGCTGTTGTGTATTGAGATCCAGTGAAGGAGTTCCATGATGGTCTTCATCGCGTATCAAGGAGTCGTCGCTCCCAGGAGCACCCGCTGCAGCATTACGCTGTAGATTTGAGTGTGAGACACCTGAGAAACAGTTATAACAAAATAACCGAGCGCACCTGTCGACCCTGGGCAAAAGGAACGTCAATGACAGGTGGCGTTGCATGATGGAGTGGCATGGTAAATAGGCGTCGTAGGTAAGTTTTGAAGGTGGTAGTGGCGGCGACTGGTGGTGAGGTGGTAGACCGTACAAGTGGTCGAGGTGAACGAGGAACTCTCGTCATTGCAATCCTGAGTTTTTTGAGTCGCTCATGGCGCTGTTGAGGTCGTAGCTGAAAATTTCGAGAATGCTGTAATGAACGATGTGAGAGAGAAATGGAGGATACGCTGTTACACCCACTTGATGCATTCCATGGAAGAAATTAGGTTCTGCATTATAGCCATCTTGCTCTTGCCCCGGGATCTCCGCCTGCATAACGGTTAGTATCGTAAGAGGCAAGGAAGGATGCACATACGCCAAGAATACGGCCACCGTGCGCGAGTGCACTGCATTGCTCCTTGAACTCTGAGAGATATGCGGGTGAGTATGATAGCAGCGGGTAACAACTGAAAACTTACCGTTGAACCAATCAAGGCAGCTGGCCTTCGCAGTTTCGTCGATGACGTCCATCATGTACTTGTGTGCTTCAAGGGCTTCATCAGGCTTACCTGCCAAAAGGAATGCCTGGCACCGTTTCTGGTGTGTAGTTAGCAACATAGACTCGAGATCCCAGCCGAAGAGCTGGACGAAGCAATAGGTTATGAAAATATTGTGTATGCATCATGTTGACGCACCACAGTCAAGTCCTCGTATATCAAATGAATAAGTTTCGATGAGAAAGCGGTAGAGTTTACAGCGGCGGTGAAGTGATCAACCGCTTCGTTGTGATACGCCCCATCCAAAGCTGTGGTGCCAAGCTCAATACGTAAATATGTCTAATGTGCGAGTGACAAAGGTCAGCTTTGATGACCGAGCGTGGTCGCATGATACTTACTTCCACGACACGACGCGCGAGAGGATCGGTATTCGGACAAGCGGCAGCGAGTTCTTTGATGAGCAACATTGCTTCCTCGTGTTGACCTGCACTAAAGAGTGCGATGGCCTGAAATACGGAATGGAGCAGAGAGTATGTGAGATGAAATTGACCTGCCTTGATCAGGAGAAGAAATTGCTTGGTGACTGAATCTTGGTTCGTGAACATGGATGCGACGTCAAATGATATCCTTGCCTCCCGGATAAGACCTTTTCCGCAGAGGGCGATGCCTTCGGAGATGTAACCTGTCAATGAGGGCTGTATGCTGATAGACTATGTCACGGGTGAAACTTAGCTATTTGGGCCATGATGGGCCAGTCCATCTCACCTTGATTGCATCCTCAAGCGCTTGGTCCAAGTGGTCTTTCCGGGCCATAACGAATGACCGATGGGCATATGAGGCATGGTCGTTGGCATCGGTGTGGATGTCTTGTGTGAGTAACTCTTCAGCGGTAGACAGGTCTCCGGTTACACATGCGTCGCGGGCTGTTGTGATAGCCAGGATCTGCAAGAAGGATGCTCGAATTGCGTTATGGAGTCAGAAATGGACTCGGAAACTCGCCTTTGAATTGACGTCGCTGGGTACTGCCCATTCTGAGATCTTGTTATCTGGACCTCCACCGAGGATGTGCTTGCCGTCCACAGAAAACGTGACACATTTCAGGGTGGACGGATGCTCGAAGATGGCGATGGTTCGTCTATCTGAGACCCGCCAGAGACGGACATGCTTGTCCGAAGATGCGGAAGCGACGAGGTTGCCAGCGGGACGAATGGCAATGACGTTGATACTGTCAGTGTGGCCTTCCCGGAGATGACCGGTCTGACCGACCTGCTGCCAGGTTGATGTGTCCCACTCCCATATGTGTTTACCGCCTCCTGAAAGAAGGCATGTACCATCAGGCGTCCACACGAGTGATCCCTTATGACCTGTCAAAAATGCGACGCGTTCCCTTGTGCCTGGATTATAAATTTGGATATTGGAGCCTGTTGCGGTGGCAAGAAGTTCACCAGAAGGCGAATATCGAATGCAGTGGACATAACTGCCACACTTGATTGGTTCTCCTTGCACCTGCCACGTTTTGGTACACCAAAACTTCACCGTGGTGCGACTTGAACCAGTAACCAGCACCGTACAATCCGGCGAAAAATCCAAAGAAGTGATTCTATCGGAGTGGGCTTCGATAGGTTGAGTGATGGATTCGCCAGTTTCACCGTGCCAGGCGATGACTTCTCCACCATAATCACCGCTTGCTATTATTTTACCATCTCGCGATATCGCCAATGCCCGCACCTCCCTGCTATGGCCTTCCATCTTTTTCAACACAACACCTGTCTCCAAGTCCCAAAGACGAAGTGTCTTGTCGTCCGAGCCAGTAATCATTCGTCGTTTGTCGGGGAACACTGCGACTACGTTTATGTCCCTCTCATGATCTTCAAAAGTTCGAATGGGTGTTGTGCTTGGAATGAGCTGTGACATTTTTACTGGAGGTTGATCGTGTTGAGCACGGCCGAGGGATTGTGGGTGTCTTTCTCTAAGTTACAGAGGTGCGTGTATTGTGCGTTTTATGTTGCTAACCTTCCTCGTTTCCATAGACGCCCAATACACGAGGCAGTTCGCCATTACTATTTCAGCAAGAATGCTCCCAACCAGTCAGTCACATCCGACCTTTGTCTCCACAGTTTCCAGAATATAACCCCTCACATCCAATGGCGATAACGCAGTTTGTTCTGCCCGGCCCTTGGATTTATGTTCAAAGCTATATATTTTACAAAGATTACCACATAAATGTTGTGTCAAGCAGTTTCTCCAACACTTGTCCGAGCACACGTCACTCACCGCAATATCATCTTCTCATCTCGTCGATTCCCAAGATCCGCATGTGCACTCGATGCAACTAAATTCATCTCTTCTCCCGTCTCAGATCTGCTCCTAGCAGAGGAGTTTCCGTCTTTCAAAACGTGGTTTATCCCAATCGTGGTTTTCAAAACTGTCAGCCTTGCTTCCTGCGCTTTTCTCCTCGCTCATATTTTAGTTTCTCACCCGACTCCCAGCCTATTTGATTTCAGTTTGTCTCGTTGGCCAATCCAGGCTTGTTACGATACTGCACCACAATATCATATGCTCATCACACACTACTGATATCGATGAGCTCTTACTACGGTCCAAGCTGCGCGAGCCTGCATTTGATTATTGATATGTTCCTGCAGTGTTCAGGAATGTTATGTTATCGATGATCAATCACGCAATACATGAACCCAATCCTTGGCCTTACAGAGACATCAACCCAGTATCCCACCTCTCCAACAAACTTTCAAGTCTTACGTCTCATTATCTCTCACCTTACGGCTCGCTGTGGACTAGTATAAAGTATAAAGTATCTGCAAATCATGTCTATAGTGCGTCTTGATTATTGATCGATCGATCCCCGTCAGGAAGGGAACATTCCCAGTACTATGCACCAAGAGGATTAAGCTTTCGTTGCTTTCGCCTACAGTGGATTCGAGCCCGAGAGCGACCATTATGCGCATCATAAATACAAGAAAGTTGTAGCCAATTATTTATGAGGCACAAAGTAGTCTCGATTCTAGCATTCCAATCAGCATCAGTGGTCGTCCGCGCCGGCCACCCCCATCTAATGAGCCGAGTTGCTCCGTCATGCATCATGACGCGACTGTACTCTGCGGCTAGCTAGTGTGGACATCGTGGAACCCCGAGTGCCAATGAAGCCAGCCCCATTCGACGGAATGATAGCATCTTAATGAACACCGGATGCCTGGTAACAGCCACAACTTAAGTTAAAATGAAAACATGACATCTAATCGGCTCACCATTTTCCATAGATCTCCTGTCTGCTCCGCTGCATAATCTACCCACATCCACCCCAACGCCCTAACCTCTGACCACCATTCCGGGTCCCTTTCGTCGCTCCTCATGATAACATGTGTGTCATCAATCCCTTTTCGTGTCCGAAGCTCTTCTTGCACCTCGGATACCCGGCGCGCAATGACAGACAACGAGGCGAAGCACTGATCCACAGGAAACTCCTCGCATTTCTGGCTGAAGTCACCGTACCATATGTGGATGTATATATACTATCAAAAGTTAGGTCTGTAGAGGAACCTACACCCGAAACTTTGACTCACGGGAGGTGTTGGCTCCGTTACTGGTACATTCATGGCGCGTCGGGCATGCGGATCGGCAAATTTATCCATGCTTGCAGTCCATCGCATGTGTTGGCCTACAAATCTCCATGCAGGAGAATAGTCTAATTCCCATTCCAGTGTATGATGCGCGCTTATGTAGTAAAGGAAATCGAAGCATAATACGCGATCATCCGTCATGGTGAGAGTCTGCTTCGATGGAGTGTGCATGTTTCTTTGCTGAATGAAAATACACGTTCGCACGTCACAGAGGATGCCTAAGCTGGAAAGACATCCATAGTAACGCAGAAAAGTAGCGGATAGACTTTTTCCATGCGCTGAAATTGACTTTAGCGCCTTCCTTATGTGCGTGAAGGAAAAGTCGAGCTCACCTTCCAGAAGCGAGCGAGATCGGTCACGCGCTCGCCCGCATTGAACATGACTGGTTCACGCTCATAACGCTCAAGCTCACGCAGAGCATCTTTTCGGTCCTCTTCGAGTGCCTTAGCACGCTGTTCAGTGAGTTCTTCGAGCGAAGGCTGGTTTTATATTGTGGGGGTGGGTGTCCTTGAGGTCATGTGCGCGTGTGTGACTGATGATGTCGATGCTGAGCGTCGAATTGTGACGTTGATGCTTGACAGGCGAGAAACTGCGTGAGCTGGACGGGAAACGGCGCTAGTAGCAGCGCATGTTGTTACTCAGATGCCGAAGGGATAGCAGAAGCTGCAGAACTGTCCCACTGGTGAAAACTCATGTTTTGTGAATGTAATATTAAACTCGCAGTACGATGCACAACTTTATACGATGACCTAGACACCCGTCGCCTAATCACGCTTGAGGATTGCTCAACATTCGTATTATACAGCGTTGCGGCGCCTGTCATCCAGCGCTAAAGTAGTACTGCGGTCCAATGATAATACGTATAATTATGTTCTAGACCAAAAGGTTTGAGGATGGGCAACGGGGGAGCAGAGTACATTGAGGAAATGCTAGTTGCTGGAGTGGTAAGTATACTCCAACGTAACGAATCACCAAGTCACATGTTGGTCACAGGCCAAATTTAGCATTTCATCGTTCCTAATTCGATGCTTATTATTACAACCTTGTAAAGTAGTACTCATTTTTTCTATATGGCGTCGTTGTTGGCTCTGCGCCAGTTTCGCGGTCCTGGAAGCTCAACCTCCTCGCAGTTCCACACGTCCATCGTGTCCTCTCAATTGCGTACGAAATCCAAAAAACCGAATGGCAAGCCAGGTAAGTGTTGATACATCTAACTCCAATTCTCCTGCATAACACGCCCACCAACTTTTTTCCTAGCCTCTCCACGCACCGGTCTTGCGAAGTCGCTCCAGCCAGCCGGAAAAGCCAAAAGGCTCGGCAAGCTCGAGGTAGCGCCGTCGCGTCCGGAATTCAAGCGCGATGCTCTCCCGCATGAAGGCCTCGCGCCGCAACAACGAGGAAGCCCACTTAGGCGGCGGACGACGGAACCAAGACCCATCCCGAAGCGCCCGGCACCAAACGATGATGCGGATGCTCAAACTGAGGTCAAGAATTGGGCTATCAAAGCTCACTCTGAACGCGTAGACAGGCGCAAGGTTGCAGCACGTCAACCGCCCGTCGCTCAAGTCAATCCCTTGAGAGAGGAGTTCGATCTGTCGGTACCGGCTACTTCCTCCAGCAAAGACCTTCCCGCTCGATTCTCTTCTCCGCCCTTGATGCCTGGGTTGCTGCAAAGCTTACAAGAGACGCTAGGAAATGATGCAACGCCAACCGCAATTCAAGCATTGTCGATGAAGAATTTATTTAAGGAACGTGTGGAGGGCGAGACATACAAGGAATTCCTGCTTGCTAGTGAGACGGGATCAGGGAAGTCTATAGCTTACCTTCTCCCAGTGTTACAGGATCTCAAACGCACGGAACATGAACAGTCTGACGCTGTTTCCCAGCATTCAACTCCCAAGCCTTTGAATCCTCGCGCACTCATACTTGCGCCTACCCACGAACTCACTCGCCAACTCGCCAGCTTCGCAAAAAACTTATCCCACGTTATCAAATTGCGCGTCATGTGCGCTAGCAAGGCGAATACCACTAGCGCAGCCAAGTTTAGTGGAACCGCCTCGAAAATGAAAGAAAAATTCGAGGGAGCTGGTACTGTGAGTGATGGTGCGTTCGTGATTTCAAAATCCTCCCGTGGGTCAAGACCGGTAGACCTTCTGGTGGGCACGCCGATGAAGCTTCTTGAGATGGAGCGTGGGAGAGGCTGGAACTGGGAGGAGCGGGCAAGGGAGCGGGCGATGAGGATAGGGAAGGCAAAATCCGAAGATGTAAAGGATGCGGATGAGGGCAGCAAAGAGGCCCCGAGAGAGTTTTGGGTTGATGAACCTGAGATGGGCTTGGAGAACGTGCAGTGGGTGGTTGTAGACGAGGCAGACGTCCTCTTCGGTGCGTGTTTCACTCAAGGCATACATACATTTACTGACATTGTACAGATCCGGACTTTCAAGAATCTACTCGCAAACTTCTTGGTGATATCGCTGCAGCCCGTGGTTCACCTGTCCCAGTAATCCCTTCCTCGGCTCTATCCTCGACTCCGGATTCAGAATTAACTACAACAATCTCCTACCCGTTCAACTTCCTTCTCACTAGCGCAACAATTCCTACATCCCTTGCTACCTATCTTTCAAACTATCATCCATCCCTCACCCGCCTTGCATCCCCACGGCTGCATCACCTCCCTCCGACCCTTCGCACAGAGCACACCTCATGGACGGGCGGGAACAAAAATGCCGACATCGAGCGCCGCATCCGTCGCGTATGGGCTGAAGATGCCCTCGTGCACTCCAAGACGGCAACCGGTTCCGGCCCCGTCAAACTCTCCAAGCTCCTCGTCTTCTGCAACAAACGCAGCAAAGTCGAGCAACTAGCTGCATTCCTCGACGGCCGCGGGATCAAATGCGTCGCGCTAACCGGTGGTGCAGAAACGCGCAAACGGGGGTCGAATCACCATCTTGACGGGTTCTTGAAAACGGGTGGGCCTGTCCTGACGGGTCCGGGTGTGTGTGATCCGGCTCAGACGCCTCATGTGCTTGTTACGACCTCGCTTCTTTCCCGTGGGCTCGATTTTTCGCCGATGATCAAACATGTCTTCATTGTTGACGAGCCGAGAAATATGATTGATTTTTTGCATCGTGCTGGTCGCGCTGGGCGTGCGGGCGAGGCGGGGAAGGTGGTGGTGTTTGGGAGGGCGAAAGGGAGGGGTAGTGGGCGGACGGAGGAGGTCAAAGAGAAGGTCAGGGCTGTTGCTGGATAGATGGTGGTGGTGGGTCGTTTAGGATCGGTACGGTCATTTCAACTGATCTCATGTGTATTATTCATAGATGTCTGATAATCCCTACTAATCAATTTTTCATGCTGTGCCTTTACTTGTGGCAGCCGTTGCACATAACCCAAAGTCAATACTTGACTAAACTCCAGTCACAGTGAGACTCCTTGTCACAATCAGGTTGCTACCGAGTACCCAAGAGAAATGTTCAGAGGTCCGCTACTGAGGGAAAGTATTTGCTGCTGTATTGAGGTGAGTCTGACGATCGTGCCCTCTCGAGCTGCCGCACCTTGCGAAAGCACGAAAATTCCTATAAGGTGTTACTTCTTCAGGGTGTGTTTACAAATACTCCCAATGATCACTCCTCCTTGGGGCCAAGTGTATATCTTGAGGCAGTCCAGATTAATTGCCGCGCATGTCTTTCCGAACATGATATCACACTTCCACTTGGAAGATACTGTAAGCGGTCCAAATTTGTTTCCGTCGAATGTTCTACATAGACACGATGTTATATATATTGAATTCCTGGGAAGAGTAATATGACTAGTCCAGATTGATTGCCATCGAATATTCTACATGCGGATTCCGAACACAATGCGTCGATGTTCCTCTCCATGGGGGCACGTTGCATATAGATCGAAGAGCGACGATGAGAATTTTCGATGTCTTCTGGTCCGAGTCTCGACTTGATCAGAAATTCCATCATGGAACATTGATAACGAGGACATGGGTCATGGTCATGGTGTCAGCAGAACGGATGATATGTTTTTTTTTTCAGTTCATTTTCTCCTGACTCCTATTACCCCGCTTGTACTACAAGGCCAACTCGGATCCGATCGTGATCGATCTTACATGTAAACTGATAACATGTAGTATTACCTATCAGATATATCATAGCTCACGTGTTCAAGGGTCTCGGTTCCGGTCTCGAGAAGGTTCAAGATTAATGTTCATCGTCTCCGAGCTCACCGTTTCGATATATGTGCAAGTGTTGCGACTACAATCCTCCCGGTGGTCCAAGCCTTCTTCCTGGATTCCGAGTCAACAGCTCAAACTATCTCCGTTATGCGACATGCTTGATGGCGTTTTGTGTTTGGCTTTTAAGCTTATCAAGCCTCTATTGCCCTGACCAACCATACCAGTGGGGCCTCCTTTCCTGACTTAGTACATGACGCTCTGCATCGGTCACTAAGGCTCGGCTGTAATTCAAACGACACGTTTACTGCACTATTCCTGAAAAGCACATGCCAGGGGAATGTAGCCCTTTCGAGAATCTTGGCCTTCAGATCGTGACCCTTACTGCCGGCGGTTACCATGTCGCAGCGTGCTAATCAGCGATCCAAGCCTAAGTCCAAGCCCAAGACCCTCAACTCGGACTCGGACTCACTCAGAGTCGGACCCATTTGATCTCCAAGTCCTTGTATTCAATATCGTCCTACATGCGGCAAGAACTGCCCAACTTTCCGCCAAAACTTTGGTAAGAACATACAGTCCGAGTACGAGGTTGCCGTCCACACACTTATGTGCTCACAGGCATTTCATTTCCCGGCCACTCCCGCAACGTGCCAACGGGTGACGATAAGATTACAGAGATCCCAATTGAATGGCAAATAGTGCTACAGCATGAGTTGGGGTCGCTGACTACTAGGCTTCTATCAGGGCCTGGTTTGCAGCCAGGGAATGTTAATCTTTCAACCTGCTCACGCAATTGTGCAATGATACTAACCATCAATTTGTATGGGAAGGGCGCCGCCACTATTGTCAAAGTTATCGTAACAGCCGTACACTCCTCGGTTTCTCGGTGCATCTAATTGTCCACATCTTCCTACGCTCGGGTGTTGGATATGAAAACGACCTTGGTCACCCACAGCATGTCAGT